AATAGATTGATATAGCTAGGAGGCTTTTCAGGAGGAGCTCTGCCTCCCATTTTACAGAATGTCAAAGAATGCAAAAAATTAGTTGGCCTTTGCTCAGGACTTTTTTCCCCTTTTTGAAACTGGTGCATTTGTATTTGAAGTTTGAGCTTCATACAAAAAAGGAGGAACACCACATTTAGAGAAGGTAAACTATCATTTATTTCCTATTTTTCTCTTTTAATCCTACTTGGCACAATGTGGCTAAGATCCATCAAGTATGAAAGAGTGAAATATTGAAGAAAAAACATGGTGGGTCTAAAGCTATGTGTCATTTAGTTTACATAGATAAAGATTAAAGTTGTTGTTGCTTAGTTAGGTTAATTTAATTACAACAATGTTTTAATTTTAAAGGCTAGTAAGATGTTTGCATTTTTAAATGACTTGGAGGGAGATATTGGGGGCAGGGATTCTTCCCACTCAGCTCCTATTAACCCTGCAAGCCAAAGCCCTAATGGGGAGGGTGATCCTAGCTGGACAAACAGCAGGAAAGTTTGCCAGACAGTGATATCAATGGCAAGCTATGTGGTTTTAGCTGGTTAGACACCAGCAGTGCCTCACTTTGGGGGTCTCCAAGCTTGTCAGTTGCCAACCTGTGCCTGTAACTAATGCTCTCTGGAATTAGGTAAGCAGGATGTAACCCTGTAGGGAGAGAATGGAATTGCATTCCAGTGCACAGGAGTTTTCCTGTGTAGGTTTGAGTACTCAATATGATTGAATTCTGCATTAAGTTAGAGAGGGATATAGTTAAATCCGAGGCAAGTATTCTGAATTTAAATAAGGCTAATTTTGTAAGTATGAGGAAAGATTTAGGTAAAATAGACTGGAGAATAAGATTAAGAGGTAAAAATGTAGACCAACAGTGGCAAATATTTAAGAATGTAGTGCATAATTCTCAGCGGTCGCATAGTCCCTTGCGGAATAAGCGTACCACAGGGAAAGCAATTCATCCGTGGCTAACTAGAGCAGTTAGGGAAAGCATCAAATTAAAAGAAAAAGCTTATAAAACTGCCAAGAAAAGCAGCAAATCTGAAGATTGGGAGAGTTTTAGAAACCAGCAAAAAAAACCTAAAATCTCATTAAGAGCGAGAAAAAGGAGTATGAGGATAAGCTAGCTAGGAACATTAAGTCAGATTGTAAAAGTTTTTATAAATACATTAAGAGGAATAGGTTAGTGAGGGTAAATGTAGATCCACTTCAGTCAGAGATGGGAGAAGTTGTAATGGGGGATAAGGACATGGCAGAGTCCCTAAATGGGTACTTTGCATCTGTCTTCACCCGTGAAGACACAACACGTCTGCCAACAATAGAGATGCACCAAGGGGATAAGGACAGGGAGCAACTTAGGGAAATTTTCATTAGTAGAGAATTGGTGCTAGGGAAACTGTTAGCACTAAAAAGTGACAAATCCCCTGGTCCGGATGGCTTGCATCCCAGGGTTTTAAACGAGGTAGCTTGTGAGATAGTGTCTGATCTTCCAAAATTCCTTGGATTCTGGAACAGTCCCCATGGATTGGAAGATCGCAAATGTCACACCACTATTTAAAAAAGGTGGAAAGGAAAAGATGGGGAACTGTAGGCCAGTTAGTCTCACATCAGTGATAGGAAAATTTTAGAATCGTTGATTAAGGATGTAATAGTGCGGTATTTAGGAGAGCACAATATAATTAGGCCAAGTCAACATGGCTTTACAAAAGGGAAGTCATGTTTGACAAATCTCATAGAATTTTTTGAGGATATTTTGAGTAAACTAGATAAGGGTGAATCAGTGGATGTGGTCTATTTGGACTTCCAGAAGGCATTCGATAAGGTGCCGCATAAAAGGTTAGTCCAAAAGATAAGGGCCCATGGAATTGGGAGGAGCATATTAACGTGGATTCGGGAATGGTTAACGGGTAGGAAACAAAGAGTAGGGATAAACGGGTCCTTTTCAGATTGGCGGGATGTGACTAGTGGAGTGCCACAAGGATCAGTCCTTGGGCCTCAGCTATTTACCATCTACATCAACGATCTATATGAGGACATCAAAGTTAATATATCTAAGTTCGCGGATGACACAAAACGAGAAGGAAGTGTCAACACAGAGGATGATATTAAAAAATGCTGCGGGACATAGATAGGTTAGGTGATTGGGCAGGTAGGTGGTAGATGAAGTATAATGTAGGGAAGTGCGAAGTCATCCACCTCGGTAGCAAAAATAGTAGAGTAGGTTATTTTTTAGAAGTCTGCAGGTGCAGCAGCAATTAGGAAGGCGAACGGTATGTTAGCATTCATTATGAAAGGATTAGAGTATAAGAGTAGGGAAGTCTTGCTGCAACTGTATAGGGCCCTGGTGAGACCACACCTGGAATATTGTGTCCAATTTTGGTCTCCTTATTTAAGGAAGGATGTACTTGCCTCGGAGGGACTGCAGCGTAGATTTACTAGGTTAGTACCAGGGATGAAGGGGATGAGTTACGAGGATAGGCTGACCAATTTGGGCCTATATTCTCTAGAATACAGAAGAATTAGTGGGGATCTTATAGAAACCTATAAGATCATCAAAGGGCATGATAGAATAGATAGTGGGAGATTGTTTCCCCTGGTTGCTGAAACTAAAACCAGGAGTCACAACCTTAAAATCAGACGCCAGCCCTTTCGCACTGAGTTGAGGAAGTACCTCTTCACTTAAAGGGTGGTGAATGTATGGAACTCACTACCCCAAAGGGCTGTTGATGCTCAGTCCTTGAACATATTCAAGACTGAGATAGATAGACTTCTTATTGCAAAAGGTATTAAGGGATATGGGGATAAGACAGGTTTATGTTATTAGCTGCATTAGATTAGAATATCAGCCATGATTGAATTGCTGGGCAGGCTCGAAGGGCCGAATGGCCTACTCCTGCTCCTATATGTTATGTTAATGTGTGTTGGGGTACTGCAGAAGTCTAAACAGTTAAAAATGCATAGCTTGCCATTAATATCGCTGTCTCCAAGCTTTTCCACTCCTTGTCCAGCTAGGACCACCCTATCCGATAAGGCTTTGGCTTGTAGGGTTAACGGGAACTGAGTGGGAAGAATCTCTGCCCCCATTGACTGGTCTGCCCTTCCAAGTGCTACTGCTGAGCAAGTCTGGCTGTGTTGTTGTGAGCAGTGCCCAGGATTACTGCGGACCCGCCTGCTCAGGTCCCGGACAATGGCTCGATTCTGACAGTCCACTGCCAAACAAAAGGAAAACCTCTTAAGCATGGTGGTTTGTTTCCGCAAGTATCAGACACCCGGTTGACCAAAATAAATAAATAAATAAATAAATAAGATGTAATATTTGTTTTAACTGGTGTAGGTGTTGACCAGGCAAAAGCTTACAGTAAATTGGCTACTACTTCCAGCACCCCACCATCTAGACTATGTAGACAACTACTGCTACAAAGGTAGACTCGACAATGATACTTACAGAAGGCCGTGGACCCGAGGTACCTGTTATTTTTACTTTTGGTTTGTTAAATCTTTTGTTAGTTCGTGCCAGTCTAAAATGCATTTCTTATTAAGGAATCCAAGTTGTAAATTACTTCTTCTGGTAATCAGAAACTTACCGAAAGTACACTCTGAAAATACGTTTTGACCTCATCGATCTGCATGGATGCTCACTCCATGTTATGAGCCAGTGTAGAACCTCAGTGTCATATTTGACCACAACCATCTTTCAAACCCTACATCCAGGTTCTCACTCACTTGGCTTTTCCTCACCTGCAACATCACCTATTTACAGAGGAGTCCTGTAGCACAGTGGTTAGAGCACTTGCCTCGCAAGCAAGAGACCTGGGATCAATTCCCAGCAGGCAAAAACTTTGAGTAAGGCAAGTTCCCTTACTCCACACGCCTGATAATAATCCCTCAAGAAAAAACAATACTAAATTGATCACTTCAATTCACGACTGTGGGACACTGCTGTGTGCAAATGGTTGCACCCTCCATGCAGCAGGTCCCACCTGATCCGTTCCGCCATTGGTGTGGGAGCTTTCGGACATTCTGCCCCCATGCTGTTTTGCACACAAATATACAGTCAATTCACTTTACAGTATATTATGTGAAGCACTTTGAGAAGTCGAGAAGACATAAAAAGCACTATATCAAATGCAAGGATTATATTATTTATTATTATTTACACCACTACCTTTCTTCCCGGGCTGCTGAGACCCTCATTTATACTTTCATCATCTCAAGTCTTGTCTATTTGACAATTAATACTCTGCTCACCAGAATTCTTAGCTTTTCTCTCGACAAGCTGCGGACCATACAGAACTCTGCAGCCCATATCCTGTCGAGCACCAGGCTCCAAAAGTTTATCACTCACATACTCCCTCGGATCCACTGGCTCCGTATCTCTCAGCAAATTTAGTTCAAGATCCTTGTCATTACATTCAAATGCCTCCATGGCCTCTCCCCTACCTACCAACCTCATGCAACCCTATCATCTGGTTGCTCCATCCACTCAGTAGGTCCCACCTGATCCATTCCGCCATTGGTGTGGGAGTTTTCAGACGTTCTGCCCCCATCTTTGAAACTCCACACACAGACAGGTGGAGAGAGAATGGGAGGAACAGCGCAGGGCTGGCACTTGGTGTGTGTGTGAGTGTGTGTGTGTGTGTGTAAGGAGAGAGGCACTGGCATTGTATAATTTCTATTGTGACAGTATAAGTTACGATAAAAGGTTTTGTTTAGTAACTTTCATTGTATTTTGCGTGATGACTACATTGTAATTACATCCACAATAAGTGTTGTCCCAGTGACGTGGTTCTCTGCTGCAGCTTATTTCATGAATAGTTGTACTACAAAGTCAAACATTTGAATGTTGTCGTAAATTTTTTTTAAATGAAGTTATTTGGTGCTTTATTAATTTTTAAAGCTTTTTCTTTAGAAGAAGAGAATGCTAACATGCTGAATTACACTTGGTAGGGACAGTGATTTCTTCCTGCAAACTACTGATGGATGGTTGTGTATTGACTGAATGGAAGAAACATGTCTACATAGATGATTTTCTTGAGAGGTACTATCCAAGCGTTTGCTTTTTAAATAATTTTCTAATGTTGACTTTTAATGCACTGCATGTTACAATTTTTTACTACCCTTTATGCCCGTCCATGATATTTCATTTCTCAAGGTCTGTCCTCATTGTTAAAATTATATAGTCTTCATGTAACCTTTAGTGCGCCCCATGGTTTGGTAATTCTCCATACAAGGAATTGTGAAGGTTACTTTGAGTCCTATCACTCCATTGAGCATTGTGCTGGTATAGTAACTCAGCAGGGAGCGTTTATCATTTTCAAAAGAGAGAGAGGGTCTGTTAGATCAAAGCATGCCTGTGGCAATTAAGGAATCTGTTTATACTAGTACTCTGATAGGAAAATATTAAGTGTAACTTGGAGCTCATTGGCTGAACTGCATATCAAAGACATTATCTGGAGAGTGGATAAGGCAAGAGATTAATTAATGCACTGACGTGTAAGCTTTTTATATTCATCAGACTATTCTGTCTGTTCCTGTAAGTTATCCTTTAGAAAATGAAAAAAACATCATTTTTGAGGAGAGAATTCCTGATTGTATTACACTAGACAGTATTCAACAAAAATCTTAATTCAATTTGTTAACGTTATGGTATTTTGAATGTATGCTAACAGAAGTGGAAAGAAACCAGTTATTTTTAGAACCTGTTGAAGTTTTTCTGTTAAATGGTGTATCAGAATTTCTCTAAAGAGGACATCATAGTAATCTGTGGTCTTCTGCGGTCACATAGGATGCAAGATTATATTTTACTTGTTTAATTGTTCTCATAGTCTTTTGTGTCATATTGTTGCTCCTGTGGTATATACACAGAGCAGCAACAACAACAAAAATGAACAGTGTATAGAAAATGTCCGATCTTGTCTTAGAAAAAGAGGCAGCACTTTCTATAAAAGGAGATAGTTCAAAACTATTATTAAAAAAATTATTTATCAGGCAAGCATCTTGTTTTAACATCTCATTTGAAGAACAGCACCTCCCATAATGCAGGACACTGCCAGCACGATTGTCTGTAGGACTTGAACCCACAACTTTCTGACTCATAGACACTGGATATTGTTACCATCCAGTTATTTGTTATGTTTTAAAATCAAATAAAACTTGCAACTAAAAATAACACCCAATGTTATAGCTGATAAAGATAGGCAAATGGGATGAATAGATTAATAAATACCTAAAAATAACATTCTAGTTAAATTAGACAACATTCGTGTATAGCTGTAATCAAGTTTATCTTCTGGGGAGCCTGAAATGTTGAAACGATAATACTTGTATGAATCTTTTGATGGGACAGAACAGTAAATCTGTATGCATGTCAATATCTTGGGGCTTTTTTCATCTTGGCTTATTCATATATGTGATGATTGCTTAGTTGCACGATCCTTTTTTGTTAATCTGCAAAAAATTTCATTCATCTAAAAGATAGTAGGTCAATAATTATATAATAAAAATGGAGGATCTTTCAAAGCGCTTCACAAGATTTACTGGGCAAAAGATCACAGGAAAATTTGCAATAAAAAAATTAAAGTTGATGCTGATTTTATAATGCTGGTTGGCTTGTGCCTCCAACTGGCCAGTGATGAAATAGCAAGTTGATTTTTGTAATTTTGGGGGACAGCCGGGTGTCTGACTCATGCAGAAACCCATCACCGTTAAGAGTACCCAAACCAAACTGAGATTTTTATGCATCCCACCTACACAAGGAAATCCCAGAGATAGATTGTTAGAATGGAATGTACACTCTCTTCCTGAAGGGATGAATCCTGTTTACCTAATTCCAGAAAGAATTAGGCGCAGGTTGGCAAGAGGATCCCAGAGTGCGTTGGGGTACTGCTGGAGTTTAACCAGCTAAAGCTCCATAGATTGCCATTGATATTGCTGTCTGGCAAGCTTTCCCGCCAGAGGGGAAATCTATACAAAAGAGAAGTGATTTCTTAAAAAAAACTATGTAAACCATGTTCTCATTGGTTTCTTGTCTTCTTGCAATGTTTGTGTTTTTTTAGGGTATGTGTTTCTTTGGTGGATCCCCCAATTGGTGTTGACAGTTTGGAGATTGTGCCAAGTTCAAATCCTAACTCTCAGATTGACATAGATGATGTGAGTTCGTTTTTAAGGAGCAATGTTTTGCATAACATAAACGATGAGCAGGAGACCTTTGAGAAGGATGCTAAACCTGCAGACGTGAATTCACAAACAGGTACTGTGCTGATATTGGTCAGCGAAGAGGAATTGAATTATATCAAACCAATCAATGAGATATGAATACACTGTAGCTTCTGTAATGTCTATCTAACTTTATGGGACTTTGTTGTGTGTAATTCCTGTGAGCGATTTGAGATGTCTTCCCGATGTGAAAGGCGCTATATCAGAAAACAAGGATTTATAGTGAAGCTCTGATAACAATGCTACATAGCTCAATATCCTGACTATTTCCCATAAGAAGTGTTAATTATGATTCTCTGATAACTAGTTCCGGGCACCACACTTTAGGAAGGATGTCAAGGCATTGGAGAGGATGCAAAGGAGATTTACCAGGATGGTACCAGGAATGAGGGACTTCAGTTACCAGGAGAGGCTAGAGAAGATAAGATTATTCCCCTTGGAGCAGAGAAGGTTAAGAGGAGACTTAATAGAAGTTTTCAAAATTATGAAGAGATTTGATAGGGTGAACAAGGAGAAAATATTTCCACTGGCGGGTGGGTCAGTAACCAGAGGACACCGATTTAAAATAGTTGCTAAAAGAAACGGAGGGGAGGTGAGGAAAAATTTATTCACACAGCAAGTTGTTCGGATCTGGAATGCATTACCTAAAAGGATGGTGGAAGCCAATTCGATAACAGCTTTTAAGGGAGAAGTAGATAATTATTTGGGGAGGACAAGTTTGCGGAGTTATGGGGAGAGCGCGGGGAAGTGGGATTGAATTGGATAACTCTTTTCAAAGAGCCAACACAGACACAATGGGCCGAATGTATAATAATCTGATTCTATGATTCTAGTCACTCTGGATATCTCAGAACATCTCAGGATTTCTCATTTTTAATATAGTGTTTCATGTAAAATACCTTTGATAAATCATCGATGGACAAAGCAAACCCTCAGTTGCAACAAAGTATAAAGTGCCAGGACTACACTTATTGATTGGATGGTGGGTAGGTTTTGGACCATGGCATTTTCTTATCCAAAATGCATGGGCTCACTCCATTGCCACTTCAATGCACCTGCAGAAAGATGAAATGGCACCCGGTATCAGAGGAGCACAAATGTCTGACTTCCAGGTTATTAGGCGGTCGACAACATCATTTCTTGCGCATTGTGCATGTGGCTGCGACCTGGTGACCCGGAAGTCGGTTATTTTGATATTCTTTGTGCCGGCAATGTTTCCTGTTTGCGCATGGATGCGCAGCTAATGCAGAAGCATTGACCAGCCCATTATAGTGCTGATTGGGATTTTGTGTACCCCAACTAACATTGTTATAATGGGGGTCAACAGTAATTAATGGAATATGATTGGGAAAAGAATATTTGTCAAGGAAGCCAAATCTAATAGAATGGAATTGTGGATTGTTGAGTCAAGTTATTAATAATAATAACAAAAAAATCCTTATCTTTGGTAAAATACCATTTACTTTGGGAGGACGTCTCAAAACACTTCACACCTGTATACTGTAAAGTGGAGGGACTGTGAAAGCTGGTCTTGTCCAAGAGACGTACATTGCCTTCTCACGAAAGCGTGTGGATTGTGAGTGGAGAGGGCAAACAATAAGGTTGGTTCAGGGAGCTAAACTGTAGGTATAAATGATTATAACTTTTACAAACTTCAATGTCATCATATATAAGATTGATCCAAGAATATGTAGATGATTAAAAAGGTTGAATGGAAAGTAGCACATATTGATGTTTTTCCTTGGGTGCATAAAATGCTTGTGTTTGTTAAAGTGGATTTCCTATTTTTTTTCAAGATTTGTTTATGCAGAATGAAGTGGTATTTGTTGATTATCTGCCAGAGTTTTGCAAACAGTTACCAAGGTTGCACAACCTTTGTGGCAGATTGAAAATGCATGCTTTACAAGATCCTTTTGTAAATGCCGAAGGAGAGCTTTTGACTGAGGGGTTACTTTTCAGGTAAATAGAAAATAAAAATTGCTATGCTGTTTCTAATGTCTCCCCAAAAGCACATGCTGCTGCTCCTTCCTTTTCTTTCCCCAGCTCCCATTATCTATTTTAGAAGCTGAGAGCAATTTTTGAAAAAGTAATTTTTATTGGCTCAAAACTAAGTTTAAAATCTTGAGATTTCTTAGGAACACATTTATTAAGAAGGCCCTGTCAATCAGCAGAACTTCAAAACAAAGTTAGGAGTGGGGCCTGAATGCACCACAAATGTAAATCAATGATCAGGGCCTCCAACGAATGATGGCACCCACTGAAGTGGTGATGCCTTATCACTAGTCCAATGTACCTCCTTGTTAATAGTAAGGATTTTTAATTCAAATGACTACTGTATATCTTGTTTATAAAGAACCAAAAAACATTAAGCTAAAGTTTGCAGTATTACGACTGTTCTTCAATTGTAGGCTTTTGTTACTGAACCATGATATATGAACAGTAAACATATATTTATCTAAACATTTCTAAAGTATCTTGGTCTTATATAATTTTGTAGGTGATCTTAGCACTTAACTTACCAAATGTGGCTTTTGACTATTTGACGCATCTTTTAGGGATTGCTTGGTCTATCAGTCAGAGAAGGATATTGCTGCTGCAGAAAATACTGCAATAGATTTGGCTGAGGAAGATTTTAGTGCATTTTCACAGTTGGATGAAGAGGTACGTATATACCAGATCAGGATTTTGCTTTTGGTGGGCAATAAGGAAGGGGAAAATACTTTGGAAGCAAGGGGGGGAGCAAGGAGAAGGACCGGTGGGATGGAGTTCCAGAGGGTGGGGGCAGAGAGGCTGGAGGAGTGACCGCCGATGGTGGGGCGGACCAGGCGGGGGACGTGCAGCAGGCCTTCTGAGAGGAGGTAGTGGACAGTTCGATATGGCATTATCAGGTCACAGATGTAGGGAGGAGCAAGGTCTCAGAGGACTTTGAAAGCGAGGACGAGGATTTTTAACTCTATCTTCTGGGGGATGTAGAGCCGGGCGAGAGTGGGGGTGATAGGATCACAGAGCCTTGTGTGGGAGATGACACGAGCTGCAGAGCTCTGAATGATCTGCAGCTTGTGGAGGAAGAGTTGGGAAGGCTGACAAGCAGGAAGTTGGTGTGGTCGAGCCTAGATATAACTAATGCATGGATATGGGTTTTGGCGGCTTGAGGGAGAGGCAGTGGTGGAACTGGGCGGAGGTGGGGGAAGGCAGTGCGGGTCATGGCGCAAATGTGGGGTAGAAAGGATAGTTGAGGGTCAAACAAGACCCCAAGGTTGCAGACTGGCTCAGTGAGGTGGAGTGTGCAACCGTGGATGGTGATGCTGTCAGTGTATGAGGTGAGGAGGCGCTGACGGGAGCCAATCAGGAGAGCCTCGGTCTTGTTGAAGTTCAACTGGAAAAAGTTGGCTCTCATCCAGGACTTGATGTCTGACAGACATTCTGTCAGGACAGCAGTGGGCCTAGAGTTCGGGGGGGAGGAAGAGAGATAGAGTTGGGTGTCATCCGCATACATGTGGAAGTTGACCCCATGTCTGCGGGTGATGTCACCAAGAGGGAGTAAGTTCAGGTTGAAGAGGAGGGGACCAAGGACAGAGCCCCTTGCCACACGAGACGATGCGGGGGCTTAAGGAGAAGCCGTACTTGGAGACAAAGTGTAGATGGTGTCAGAGATAGGATATGAACCATTCGAAGACAGAACCATGAAGGTTGAGGTGAAAGGAGAGAGGATAGAGTGGTCAACAGCATAAAAGGCAGCAGAGAGTTCAGAGGACGACGAGATAGAGGGAACCTTGGACACAATGTGATTTGTCACTTTGACCAAAACTGTTTGTGTACTGTGGGTCTTGGAAAGGAAAGGGAGGTAAAGCCATAATAATTATGTTTCTCTAGTGTATAAAAGGGAGCAAAGAATCTCTGGTCCTTCCTTAAAATATCAGGAGAATGGTAAAAAGACACTGAAAATATATTTTGTGTGTGTGTATATATGCACAAGAGAGAGCTGATTCTTTGCACTAATTTACATTGTGTACAATTGTAGAGTCCTGTAGCTCAGTGGTCAGAACACTCGCCTCGCAAGCGAGAGACCTGGGTTCGATTCCCGGCAGGGTGAAACCTTGGGCAAGTTTCCTTACTCCACACACCTGATAATAATCCCTCAAGAAAAAAAATAATAAATTGGTCATTTCAATCTATGACTGTTTGTGGGACATTGCTGTGTGCAATTGGCTGCCACATTTTGCCCACAAATATACAATCAACTCACTTTACAGTCTATTCTGCGAAGCGCTTTGAGACGTCTAGAAGATGTGATAAGGAGCTATATCAAATGCAAGGATTATTATTATATCACCTGGGTCAATAGAAAAGTACAGACGCACTTTTCGCCAGAATTTGTCAAACGCTTTCCTCCACTACAAACCTGCTATAACTATAGTTTCAAGCCCATGGGCCTCCTGGCCGTTTACCTGACGTCACTCTGGGAGAGCGGCTCCGGACGTCATGCACGGTGTAGCGCAAGGAGCAAATGGGCTTCACTCAGAGGACCCGCTGTTGTGATTGTCTGTGTGTTTGTGTGAGAGAGTATGTGAGTGTGTAGGATTGTGTATGTGAGAGTGTGAGTGTGTAGGATTGTGTGTGAGCATGTGAAGGTGTGTGAGTATGTAGGATTGTCTGTTTGTGTGAGAGTGTGTGAGTATGTAGGATTGCCTGTGTGTACGTCTCTCTATAAGCATTTGTGAGTGTGTGTATTTGTCTTTCCCGCGCTGTTTGTGAGTGTCTGTGAGTATGTCTGTGTCTCCCTCTCCTCTGTGTGTTTGTGGCTGTGACTGTGTTTCTCTCTATGTGTTTATGAGTGTCTCTATGTGAGTGTGCATCTTTCTCTGAGAATGTGTGTCTCTCTGTGAGTGTGTGTGTCTTTCTCTGTGTTTCTGAGTGTGTGTGTGTCTCTTGTCTGTGAGTGTGTGCGTCTCTCTCTGCGTCTGTGAGTGCGTGTGTCTGTCTATGAGTGTGTGCGTCTTTCTCTGTCTGTGAGTGTGCGTCTCTCTCTGTCTGTGAGTGTGCACCTCTCTCTGTGTCTGTGAGTGTGTGATTCTGTCTGTGAGTGTATGCGTCTCTCTCTGCATCTGTGAGTGTGTGTGTCTCTCTCTGTGTCTGTGAGTGTGCGTCTCTCTTCGTCTGTGAGTGTGTACATCTTTCTCTGCGTCTGTGAGTGTGTGCGTCTCTCTTCTGTGTCTGTGAGTGTGTCTCTCTGTGTCTGTGTATGATAGGGTTAGGGTTAGGGAGTCCTGCAGCTCAGTGGTTAGAGCACTCGCTTTGCAAGCGAGAGACCTGAGTTCAATTCCCAGGCAGAGGGCGAAACCTTGGGCAAGTTTCCTTACTCCACACAGAGCCTAATAATAATCCCTCCAAAACCCAAAACAATAATAAATTGGTCATTTTCAATCTACGACTGTTTGTGGGACATTGCTGTGCGCAATTGGCTGCTGCGTTCGCCCACAAATATACAGTCAATTCACTTTACAGTGTGTTCTGTGAAGCGCTTTGGGACGTCCTCCCGACATGAAAAGCGCTATATCAAATGCAAGGATTATTATTATTATGATAGGTTTGATAGACATAGATATCATAGCTTCTATGCTTTAGATAACTTTTTTATTTCTGCTTGCTGTATTAATGCAATTTAAGTTTAAAGCATGAGATCGGAACATTTTAAAAAGGTATTTTGTTGCAATGAAACATTACATATTTGTGTACAATAAATTGTCTTTTAAGTTTTAGGTGTTTAATTCTGAATTATGACGAGTGATATTTCATAGCAGTGGATAGCATGGGGATAAATAATGGGGATTGTGAATGATTAGCAGGTGGTGTGCATGGACTTGGGGAGTCTAAATAATAAAAATGGGACAAGCATCAATAAATAAAAAATAGTAATAAGATATCTTTTCTTTGACAGTCCTGGATGCTGCCTGTTGAACTGGATATTTGCAACACAATGGAGTTTAAATGGATCACACATGGATCCCCACATGGTTCAGAACTTAAAGAACTTTTACATCTGATGGCAGAAGATGTGTCAGGAATTCAATCACCAGAAGTGATTATAAATAATGGTGAGATATTTGGAGATGAGGGTGAATAATCACTGGATGCCCTCCAACCACATTTACCCACAAAGTTGAGCTACCAAAACTGGACTCAATATTACACATGATGTCTCCAGCAGCACTGTCTGCTATGCTCCTAAATGTATGGGATTGTGTAATATCCCCTATATATACAAAAATATTCACTTGCATTTATATGATGTCCTTCCCATGAGGTATCATTTTGGAGTGCTTAGAGGCACTTTTGATGCAAATATCATGTAATCTGTTATTATCTGACCTAGGTAGGCATGTCCATTTTACGCAATTGATAAAAAACAACAAAATTTCATTTATAGAGCGCCTCTCACGTCGGGAGGATGTCTCAAAGTGCTGAACAGTCAGGTGTCGGGGCCTGAGCATGGCAGAGGGGTGGTGTAGGGGTAAGGGAAGCCAGAGAGGTGGGAGGGCGACCAAAGGCACGATTGGAGAGATTTGAAAACAGATTTAAAAATAACTACCCTGCTCTGAATGTGTTCATACAAAACTCTGCCGCCCGCGTTCTCACCTGCACGAAACTCCACTCCCCGATCACCCCAGCCTTGCCAGACTGCACTGGCTGCCTGTCCCAGAGAGGATCGATTTCAAGATCCTCACCCTTGTATTCAAGTCCCTGCATTCCTTCGCACCCCCCTACCTCTCTGACCTCCTCTCTCCTCAAAACAGTACCCATTGCCTTCGTTCCTCTGGGTCTGGCCTCCTCCTCGACCCCCGAGACCTCTGCTCCACCCTCGGCGGCCGTGCCTTCAGCCACTATGCCCCGAGGCTCTGGAACTGCCTTCTTCACTCCTTTCGTCTCACTCCCTCCCTTCCCATTTTCAGGTCTCTGCTGAAGTCCTTTTCGACCGCGCCTTTGGTCACCTTCCCACCCCCTCCCCCTGGCTTGGTCCTAGGATCCGTTACTATAAAGGGCTCTGAGACGCCGTCCGGCGTGGAGGGCGCTATATAAATTCAAGTTGTTGTTGTTCTTGGTCTGACCATTTGGCAGAAACCCATTTCTCAGGAAGGAAGCAAGACCTGACAGAATATGACTGAACCATTCATGCCCTCCAAACATCAGTTCATGATAACGATCAGGGAACACCCATAACATTTTTTCTTACTGACTGAAGAAAATGTATGGCATGGGAATGCAACCATGTGATTCATTGTTGTGGTGGCTGTAAACATTAGTAAGTCAATCAGTCACACCAGTTGGTGTAAGATTTATTACCTGCAACTTTAAACCAAACAGTAAAAGAATGCTCCTGAGGTTAGCACGTTATAAAAATCTACCCTGAATTACACAGTTCCACAATTTAGCAATTAGAGAAATAGACTGACTTATGTAAGACTGACCAAATGTTCTTTCTTAAAGATTTCAAAACTAAGCTTATGATGGATCTGGAAATCTCTGAATTTTGTGACAGTACAAATTATTCATTGAAAGATAATGAAGCAGTTATTAAAGCCACACAGGATATTATTGATCCAGGTAGGTAATATTTTATTCAGTGCCTGCCTTATGTTATCCTGTTGTAGTAATCCTCATATTTGATATAGTGCCTTATCAAGTTGTTGAAACATCTCAAGGTGCTTTAGTTTACAGGACTTTCCTGTGAAGTATGTTAAATATAGTGACTACAGTACTTGTAAGTGAACGTAACAGCCAATTTGCGCACAGGAATTTTCCACAAACAGCCACAACTAAATGTATCTGTGGGATTGTTGGCGAGGACAGGAGAAGAAACTCCCTCCTCTTTTTGAGTAGTGCTATGGGAACTTTAACATCTACCTAAACAGACGAGCAGGGCCTTGGTTCAACCAATGGATGGCTCCTCCAACAATGCAGCACTCACCCACTATTGCATGGAGTGTCAGCCTAGATTTGAGGTCAAAATCCTGATCTGGTGCTTGAGCCCTTCTGACAACCTTCTGAATCAGAGGTGCGAATGCTACCACTGAGCCAGGCTGATAAAAATACGATTGACTGTTTTAATTAACAACAGCAACAACTTGCATTTATATAGCGTCCTCCATGCTGGGCGGCATCTCAGAGCGCTTACCAATGGCCGAGGCCGAGCCTGGGGAAGGGGGAAGGTGATGGTAGAATCAGTCAAAAAGGAAGGTCTTCAGAAACGACCTGAAGATGGGGAAGGAGGGGACGAGGCGAAGGGGTTGAGGGAGGGAGTTCCAAAGTTTTGGGGCGTAATGGCTGAAGGCACAGCCGCTGATGGTGGAGCAGAGGATTCGGGGAATGCAGAGCAAGCCGGACGCAGTAAAGCGGAGCCAGCGGGTACTGCTGTGGGGAGAGAGGAGGTTAGAGAGATAGGGGAGTGCCAAAGAATGGAGGGATTTAAACACTAGACTGAGGATCTTGAAGTTGATCGGTTCTGTGACAGGGAGACAGTGGAGATTGGCAAGGACTGGAGTAATCGGGGTACGAAGTTTGGTGCGGTTGAGAATGCCGGATGGCGGTGAGGAGGGCGTTAGAGTAATCCAGCCGAGAGGTGACAAAGGCATGGACAAGGGTTTCAGCAGCTTTTGGGGTGAGGTAATATCGGAGGTGGTCAATGTGGCGGAGGTGGAAGAAAGTTGTGCTGGTCAGGGACCGGATGTGGGGGAGGAAGGATAACTGGGGAAATGGGTGAATTAAAATCGGTGAATTCCAATATTGTCATGAATTGTGTTTTCAGTTTGCTGTAAAACGATTAGCAACTTGGAAGTAGAAACTCCATTGACTCCTCCATGTTCAACCGATCATATGGAAGTGACTTTCTCAACCAAAGCACTACAAGAGGAGGAACTCTCTCCAGTAAAAATTGAGTAGGCATAATGTATTTATTGAAGGATAATTTCTGTGCATATTTTGAACAAACCTGATTCATGTTTTTCTATGATTTAAAGACTTTCTTGTAGAAGCTTTTATAACTCCTTTGCAGAAATGACAGTTGATGTCACCAGCTTCCCATTCACTATGTTTTCAGGAAATCGGTGATGTTGGTTTCTTTGTATTACAGCTTAAATCATTTGTCATTCATTTAGCTTACATATACAAAGATGATATTCCCAATATCCCATGAGGCAATACTTTCTTTTCGACAGTCCTAACCTGATAACCTTGTTCCTCCTAACTATATAAGTATAGCTCTGTTTTGAGCTTCATTTTAGTTATTTTTACCTTCCTTTGGAAATATTGTACAATTCGGTTCCCAATTTATTTTCTACATTATTTTAAATTTTTGAAGGATGCATATTTCGTTCGATATTACAGAGACAAATTTTTGAAGGATGCGCATTTCGTTCGATATTACAGAAACAAAATATCCTGTTGTTTTTTGCTTTTTTAGTAGCTTTTTATCCAGCACAGAAAACTATTTACTGGAGGTTCAAATCAGGCAATCGGAAAATGTCCTCAGATCTTTTGAAGCTCTGATGTTGGGAGGTAAAGTTCCTAAAATTATATTGCTAGTAAATAAAAGGGGAAAAAATCACTTAAACACTAAATCGGATATACACACTGTATTTGTCAAGATTACAAACTGTCAAAACAGAATGTTTAATCAAAAATAATCGTTACCCACGTCAGAATTACAAATTACTATTTTATTTTTGAAAGAAAATAAATACATCCAACCACTGGCCTCCTTTTGTTTCTTTATCTAATCATTTAAATGTGTTTCCCGTAAGCAACAATCTTGAACCTTGAAAAACATACGTTTTCCACATGTTTATGGAGTAATTAACCTTTTTAAAATTCAGAGCAATTACTTAACTTAACATTTTCCATTATGTAAAGCATAAATATGTCACATTTGCCTTCATCCATGAAAATAATAAGGAAAGGAAGGGTATGAATTTGAGTAAGAATACTTACAGTATAACAAGAACACAAAGAGAAAAAAAACTTTTGTGAAAACAATCGAAGGAAACAATAAGGTTCAATGGAAACAAAGATTTCAACAGTGGATAATGGACAGAAACAAATTCCAAATAAACCAGTCTTTGAATCATTTCAACATTAGCCTTTAAAAGAAAACACGCAGCAACCAAGTAAATAAATAACCTTGTTTCACTCAAAACCATTAAGCCGAATCTATTCAAGAGATTATTTTCATTCAGAAATCTTAAGTCAAAAGTCAAGGCACATTACCAAGGTTGAGATTAGTAAGAGGAAATTTAAAAGATGCCTTATTTTTACAGAATATTATTTAGTTTATTCCAATACTCCAAAAGCAGGAACAAGTACACCAATGCAATAAGGTGATTTAAAAATAATTTGGTCACTCAATCCATGACTGTTTGTCAGACACTGATGTGCGCAATTGGCTGCCGCGTTTTGCCCACAACATATACAGTCAAATTACAGTATATTCTGTGAAGCGATTTCTGGCATCTTGAAAATATGATAAGGTGTTATATTACATTTAAGTATTATTATTAAAGTACATGTGTTGAGCTATGCAGAAATGAATGAAAAGGTGATGAAAAAGTGAACCTTTGCTATAATATATTGCTGCTTACAAATTTGCAGAAGGAGTCATAAATTCAGTTCTATGGTTAAATCCTTGATAGCGTTATGTTGCTTATGTTTGCAGTAATAGTAACAATTTAGAGGAGCAAGTTAAATTTCACCAGTTTAAATTTGAAAAAGTCTGACCTATAAAATATTTTGCAATTGATTTGTTTGTGATTCTTAAAATGTATTGTATTTTACTTTTTATAGAGCCTCAAATAAAGCAACCTCCTTTTCACCACACACCAGTCTGTGTGACCTTTGAACTGCTAAATGCCCAGCCAGAGGAGGTGACAAAGTCTTCAGTAAAAGCATTGTGGGAGGAATATATAAAATCAAATAGAGTGCAAGAGGACAAAATCGAGGAGCTGCATGCAGATCAGTGCGAAATAAGAGATTTACAAATTGTGAAGATGGAAGAATTTTCATTGGTTACCATGGATCAATTTGAGAGTAAGTGCACCATGCTTAAAAAATATAGGTACTTGTATGATACTGTGTGTCTCATTCTTGAATTAACCATTTTTTTCTCAATCTTAATACTTAATTTGTCTGAATCTTCCCCCAATGCATTAAATATTCTTTTGTAGGTAGGTGCTTAAATTATAGAATAGATTATAAATGCCTCAAATGTGCCTGACCCACAGAGGGTTGGCTCGATTCCGACATTCTGTTGCCAAGCATGTCACATTAATAATAATAATAATAATCCTTGCATTTGAGATAGTGCTTTTCACGTATTCTAGACGTCTCAAAGCACTTCACAGAATATACTGTAAAGTGAATTGACTGCATTTTTGTGGGCAAAACGCGGCAGTCAATTCGCACAGCAGTGTCCCACAAACAGTCGTGGATTGAAATGACCAACTTATTATTGTTTTTTTTGAGGGATTATTATCAGGTGTGTGGAGTAAGGAAACTTGCCCAAGGTTTCTCCCTGCCGGGAATCGAACCCAGGTCTCTTGCTTGTGAGGCGAGTGCTCTAACCACTGAGCTACAGGACTCCATGTTAGAGCCAGCTCAACTCTTGAGGAGATGTGGTTACCTTCCCCCCCATGAGAGCATAGTCATCAATTACTGTGGTGATAAAAAGTTATTTCCTTCTTGTTTTCCAGAATGTTCTGATAACTCTGCTTTAGTTGCTGAGAGTAACACCACTGCCATTCAAGCATACCATGAAAATGAAGCAATGCATTCCTGTGAACAGCAGGACAGTGGTGTTAAAATGTTACCCTTACAGTCAGAGAACATGTTGGCTGTTCCCTATAACTTATGGTTTCATGATACTGTGAAACCATCTCCGATAATATCTTGTCAGGATGACTGTGATCCTCTCAACAGCTTCATAATGCTAAGGTCAAAGCAGATTCCAACTCTCTGTCAGACAAAAGGTGATACTGAAAATCAGATAGACAACTGTGAGTACATAATTCTTTCTCCCATTTCAGTTGAGGAAATTTTGAGTTAATCAATTAAGAATGGATAGTATTATGTTAACTTATATTACTGGGTAACTAGGAATGATAACAGTTATCATTCCTCATTTAATATTAACAGTACTTTGAGTATAATTGTTGGTTATTATTTTCCACAATTAATTAACCACAGCATTACTATACACTGACTAAAATATCAATTGTTTTAGCAATAGAATGCACAACTTCATCACTGTCTCACTGGTTAAAATAAGCTTTGAATCTGTTGATTTTAATCAGTTGCTATACTTTTCTACAATACGCATTTTACATTAAAAACCTGTGAAGTAAGGAGAATCCCCAAAGTCAATCCTTGAGAATTTCATGTATTGAGATACATGAATTTAATTTTTTTGTGCTTTTCACAAAAGAATGTTTTTGACCTATTTATTGAAAAATTGTTTATTTTCTGTTTAACGTTTTGAATTGCCTTTGTTTTATATTTTAGTTTCAAAAGCAGATGAAAATGCTTGCAACATTGCAGTGAGCAGTGAATTGGTAACAGCTTCACCAAAGAAACCTGATCAGTTGGATTTAAGTAGTAACTTGATAGAAGTTCAAGCATCAGGTATTCAGATCAAAAGCTCTGGTTGCTGCCATGTTAAATTCTCTTAGGAAGGAACATTTTCAAGCTCTGAAAACTGACTTTTAGTGTGCTATTTCCAAACACATTTTAATGACATGCCTGATATGGATAAAATGCATGTAGGAATACCACAATTTTGACATTGTTATTCATTTTATGTTTGGAATGTTATTTTTAGTCTGATCCTTGCTCCTTGCATTATATCGGATCAAAACAACAAATAGAACAGTATATAAGAGAGTGGACCAATGTACCTTTGGCATTTTTGTTGTAGATTCAGAGCTGAGTTTGCCCTATTAACTTCATGTCAGCAAGAATTTTAATTTAACTTGTTTGTTGGCATCAGGTGTAGAGCTGCAATGGTAAATTCGGAAGCAGCTTATTCAAATGCTAGTTTATCAAACTAGCTGAACTTCTTATTATCCCTGTATATAATGATTTAAATATTCATCACTCAATGGAAGTGATGTTTGTCTGAGCTGTGAGCAGGAAGATGGTGACAATGCTGTCATTGCTGAGCTGATACTGAGCTATTTTGCTCACTAGGAAGCTCGCAGGGAGTTCCTGGTACCTGCCATCCTCCTACTGAGGGTTCAATTCTGCACTTGTTGGATATGAAATGACCAACTAGTAACTGTCCTCCACTGGATTGTTGGAGTCTCTTATAATTTTGGCCTGGTCTCTGTAGATAGCTCTCCCTGGACACACAGCTCACTCGTTCGATACTCTTTCAGATACATTGCTCATTTTACTTCACTCCTGAAATGTGCATAGTGAGTATACTCTGATTTTTCTGCAGCTTTTAAAATGGTTGCCAAATGACTGGTTAATTTGATTAGGCAAAACTTCTAGTTAGGTCTGCTATCTAGTACAAGGCCTGTGATTGATCTATTAATTAACATAAACAAAGGAATATGCACTGCAGATGATAACATTTAACTGCTTGAGATTAAACAAAGCTTTTTGAAAGACATCTGGTTAAGTCTACTTTCCTTGGAATGTGTGTTTGCCATTGATTATGTTCAATGAATGAATGAAAACATTGGAACTTCTTATATAGCCATATGGTTTAGACTAGAGTATCTTGCAGTCTTTGGAAACACAGAACACGGTGTCCAAGAGAATGTTTCATCTGAAAGACCTTGTTTATGAACTGAGACAACATAAAAACAGCCAAGAACTGATAGGCTTGTATAACTTAGTACATACTTCACAGCTTGTTATGAGGTACAGTAGGAGCACAAATTGTACATCTGATAATGTTTTTGAACAGGTTTTGTTCACACATCATAACACTACCCTCAATACAATGCAATTTTAGCATTGGAGTTCTGTAGCTTAGTGGTTGGAGCACTCGCCTCACAAGTGAGAGGACCTGGGTTCAATTCCTGAGAAGAGTGAAACGTTGGGCAAGTTTCGCTTACTACATGTGCTGCCATTCACCTAGCAGTAAGTAGGAACCCGGTTGTTAGTCGATTGGCGGATTGCTTTTCCAGGGGTAATAATCCCTTCAAAAAATAAACAATATAATAATAATTTGGTCACTCATTCTACTACTGTTTGTATGCCAATGTTGTGTGCAAATAGCAGCCATGTTTCGCCTGTAAAATATAGTCAATTCACTTTACAGTATATTCTGTGAAGCGCTTTGAGACACCTCAAAGACGTGATAAGGTGCTATATCAAAAACAAGGATTACTATATTTTCTTTTGACTTCAAAGAAGTCAAACAAGAGAGTTGTAATTAAAAAAAAGTTGCTGTTGTACTTTAAATAGAAATTAGTGGTATTAAATAGAAAAAAGATATGAAACTAAATAATTTTGTAATGGTGTTCCTCTTAAAATTATCCCTAATGGTGAGACTATTAAAGGACGATGCTGCACTGCAAGTGTCAACTAGACCATATTTCTGGAAGGGCTTCAGGTTTCCGAGACTTTTTATATACTGTCATTTGCAGACCCTAAGTAAAGAATGATTGAACGTTTGTTGTGCCAAGATTTTAAACAGTGACAGTGGCAGTGACTTGTTTGAAATTGCCAAACATAATATTACTATCGGTGAGGAAACTTTGCAGTAATCATATTTAGAGCATATGGAGAGCAGAAGCTTGGTACCTTTCCTTATGGAAGGAGGGAAAATTGGGTGTTACTCCAACTTGCTCTTGGAGTACAGGACTCCACTTGTGTGGAGTCCTGTAGCTCAGTGGTTAGAGCAGTCGCCACGCAAGCAAGAGACCTGGATTTGATTCCCGGCAGGGTGAAACCCTGGGCAAGTTTTCTTACTCCACATGCCTGATAATAATCCCTCAAGAAAAAAACAATAATAAATTGGTCATTTCAATCCACAATTGTTTGCGGGACACTGCTGTGCGCAATTGGCTGCCGCATTTCGCCCACAAATATGCACTTTACAGTATATTCTGTGAAGCATTTTGAGACGTCTAGAAGACGTGAAAAGCGCTATATCAAATGCAAGGATTATTATTGTTGTAGGCTGCATCTACCAACTCAGGAAAAATATTGATAGATGTCTTCAAGCGGGTCAGCCTCTTCTCCTTTGGGAAATGTTGTGTAATAGGGAAGACATAAAGAGGGTAAAACAAGCTCAAAAACAAGCATTAGGATAAAACAGAGCACTGTCACTACTTCAGTCTAAAAATGTTTCAAACTCAGATCCAGTGGATGAAAAGTGTTCAGTACCATTCAATGTTTCTCGGTATAATCAGATGAAATTCACAAATGAGGTCTATTTTTATAATGAAACACTAAAAATATGTTTTTTTCTTTCCTTCTTACAGCCAGCCAGTGCCAAGCATATTATCTGTTGGAGGCTACTGCAATCCCTGTGCTCAAAAATTTAAAGAGTTGTGTTGCTCCCATGGTGGTAGCAAGGACCTTTACTGAACTCAGTTTTGACCACAGTAGGTTTTTCATGAAACAGCAGGAAAAGGTAGTCAGTGACAGCGTTGAACAAGGTTAGTCTCAAAATGTTTTCCATACTAGTTGAAGTTTGCCTGGGCAAGTCATACATTTTAAACACAAATAAAATGTAGAACAGGCACTAAGACAATGAATGGAAAAGAAATATGATTTTTGATTTAGTTGACCAAAAAAAAGCATCCTGACTTAACCTAAATGTTTATTTTCATATATTGTTGTTCTCTGTATGGCATAAAATAGCTTTAAAGTAAACACCTGCTCTATCTTTGGATCGAACTGAAAAAAATCTACTTTGTGACAAACTATTATAATAATTCACAATCAGTGCCTCACCCTATCTCTGTAACCTCATAATTCCCTCTGGTCAGCGGGCACTGGCCTGCTTCACATTTCCCTCCCCGCCGTTGTCAGTGGGCTTCCATCAGAATCCCTTTGACGTGCTCCTTCTCTCAACTCCGAGGTCCACCTCAAGACCTTCCTCTTTGACTTTCAGTCATCTTCATCCCCCGCCACCCTCCCCCTTGGTCCCAACCCCATAGCCCCCACCCCCAGTTTCAGTCCAAACCTTAGGATGCCTTGAAATATCCTCATGATATGAAAGGAGCTATACAAATTTTCATTTGTATTTTATCCTCAACTATTTATGAGAAAATACCCTGTTGGTGGCTTTATCTGACATTTTCACATGTATATTTCCATAAAATGATGCAGTTTGGTAGTCAGGAACAAGAGCCCTGACAGATTGTCCCTTCTGTAACTCAAGGGCATGGAAGCAAATTCAAACACTGAGTACTACTCCAATTGAAATGAGTTAATAGCACAGACTGGGGATCAAATGTGGGATATTACTGATCCGTATGATTCGAACTGAGAGTGGGGGCTGAGGGAGTGGGAGGTGAAGGAGTGAGAACAAGGAGTGGTGGGGGAAAACATGGACGAAAACATAGTCAAAGGGAAAGGTCTTGAGGTGGACCTGAAGAAGGGGCAAGTCAAAGGGGCCTTGGATGGAAGACCAACTGTTAATGGTGAGATGGGGAACGTGAAGCAGGCCAGTATGTGTGGTTTTGAGGAGGTCACGTGAGTTATTACAGCACAGACTGGGGATCAAATGTGGCATCTTCCTGATCCGTGTGGCTGAGCATTGGATAAATACACTGAGCCATTGACACAGCCTTAATATAAGTTATTCTGATGTGTAAACACCACTTATATATTTTCTGTTCTAGGGAGGAGTGATCAAAAAGAAGTTCAATTGTATAAACATGCAGCACTTCTGCATCTTTTGGTGACAGTCCGTGATCTTCTAATGATGTGTGACCTGGACACAGCTATAGGTATAGACAAGAGGATAGGAGCCAGTGGGTTCACATAACTGACTCGAGTTAAACTGGAATTAAGACACAAGACTAAATACTGATAGAATTATGTTTCCTTTTTTAGAGCTTGTTTTTAAAAAAAGTTTTCATTTTTATTAAACAGATATAAGTTTAGGCCTGGTTAAATCTGTGCACCTTTTTGCATCCCACAATCATCTCTTCGTGTACCTCATCATGTAAGTTCTGGCTATTGTTTTGGCTCTTTTTAGAACTTCCACCATCAGTTAAGATGATGCAACTGCCTTTGATATGGTACTGCAATCTCACTGGTTTTCAATCATGTCTTTGCCTGTTACATTTAAAAGAACAATAGAAAATATATTAACTTGTCAATATTTCTGTTTCCGCAAATATATTTTGTAATAAATATACAGACATTTAGAAAATAGAATTTTATAATAATAATAATAATCCTTACATTTGATATAGCGCTTTTCACGTTGGGAGGACGTCCCAAAGTGCTTCACAGAATACACTGTAAAGTGAATTGACTGTATATTTGTGGGTGAACGCGGCAGCCAATTGCGCACAGCAATGTCCCACAAACAGTCGTAGATTGAAAATGACCAATTTATTATTTTTTTTGGTTTTGGAGGGATTATTATTAGGCTCTGTGTGGAGTAAGGAAACTTGCCCAAGGTTTCGCGCTGCCTGGAATTGAACCCAGGTCTCTCACTTGCAAAGCGAGTGCTCTAACCACTGAGCTACAGGACTCCACAGGACTCCATTTTGCATGCATAAATATCAGAAATTATTTATCAAAATCTCTTCCATAAGAAATAGGCCATTGATATGATTATTTGCAAAGATAACAGTACATTGTTAGCTAATTACAACAACAACAACTTGGATTTATATAGCGCCCAGCACGCCGGACGGCGTCTCAGAGCACTTTACAGTAACGGATCCCGGGGCCGAGCCAGGGGGAGGGGGAGGAAGGTGACCAAAGGCGCGGTCGAAAAGAAAGGTTTTCAGCAGAGACTAGAAAATGGGAAGGGAGGGAGCGAGATGAAGGGAGTGAGGAAGGCAGTTCCAGAGCCTCGGTGCATAGTGGCTGAAGGCACGGGGCTGCCAAGGGTGGAGCGGAGAACTTGGACGAGGAGGAGAGCAGACTCGGAGGAACAAAGGCAACGGGCACTGTTTTGAGGAGAGAGGAGGTCAGAGGTAGGGGGGTGCAGAGGAGTGCAGGGACTTGAAATCAAAGGTGAGGATTTTGAAATCGATCCTCTCTGGGATAGGCAGCCAGTGCAGTCTGGCAAGGACTGGGGTGATCGGGGAGCGGAGTTTCGTGCGGGTGAGAATGCGGGCGGCAGAGTTTTGAATGATTTGGATTTTATGGATGGGAGACCGGCGAGGAGGGTGTTAGAGTAGTCCAACCGAGAGGTGACAGGCTTGGACCAGGGTGTCAGCGGCTTTTGGGGAGAGGTATTGGCAGAGACGGGCGATGCATCTTAATTAAAATTAATTAAAAGTAAAAAGTAAATTATGCAGTTCATACTGTATAAAAAAAACTGATAAGAAGAGCTACAGACCGTCCAAGAGTCAGCTATTTATGACTAAAAGCAGGAGTAATGAAATGGCTTGTTTTTAATCATGATGTATCAGTTACTTTCTCATTTACAGAGTATTTATTCAGAGCCAAAGAAATGTATGTCAGCACTTTGGGTTCCTGTTTAGAAGATATTTGGAAGAAACTACGAATTGTTCAATACATCAGTCAGAGAAAACAAGAAAGAAACCCTAAAGTAACCGAACTTCAGAAGCAGATTTCTACATGGATACAAATGGATCATACAAATGAACACAAGGTATTAACAATTTTAGAAGGCAGACATGCTTTTGGGAAATGTTATCCTCCTTTCCCTGGTGATTTTCTCCCTTCATCTTCTGAAGATAGTGTAGTTCCACAGGCTCCAACAGCCCTTCACTGTAGCACTCAAGTGATTCCTTTTCTTGTGTGAACCTAGAAAATGAATATTGGTAATTAAACATCATTCCCATACAAACTATGTTGCTTTTACCTGCTACAATTTTGCCTTTTGTTATGATTACATTACATTGAGGGTACTTCGAGGGCTATTTGTGATTGTAGTCTCTGGTCACTGATTTGACAGAAATAACTTTGTATTTTCATTTGTGGTATTTTTTGAATTTATTTGAAATACATAACCNTTTTTTTAACAGGTATTAATCATTATCAGAATGGATTCAGACTGTGTCAGAGCTACACTTACTAATAACCTCATCAAGGTGAATGGTAAGATATAAGGCTTGAAGCATCAAATCATGTGTGGAATATGTGTTCAAATATTGATTTGAGTGGGCCCAGTGAAATTGTGTAGATTGAATTCCACTTAGAATCCATTAATGTATTTGTTTCTAATAAGCTTATCATATTTCATAGCAAATGGGATTTGCAGCTAATAGGATTCAGCTGAATAAATCATCTGGCACAATGTTGGCACAATGAAAGAAGACTTAATTCAGTTCTGCTTAGTTCTGACATTTAGTTTCTTTAGAATTTTTTTTAGAATAACATACCATTTGACAGTTAAGATGTGGGTCTACTATACATAAAGGCATATTCATCGCCTGTCCAGCAGGCACAGTGAGCTCTTTTCTAAAACAAATAATTGGAAAATGCATAAATAAAAGACCTACTCTCCTTTGTTGCTGGTACAAAGTGAAAGCAACATGAGACAACCTTGTGTGCTTTGATACTGATGAGGCTAATCCAGAATTTTCACTCTTATATTGTATCTCTGTGCCTCCATCTTTGACTCCAGCACCTCTGCTGTCCTGCGGATTGTCTATCAGACATCAAGTTTGGATGAGAGCCAACTTTCTCCAAGTCGGAGGCCCTTATCCTTAGCTCCCATCAGCGCCTCCTCACCTCAGGTGCTAACAGCATCACTATTCATGGATGTACTCTCCATCTTACCGAGCCAGTATGGAACTTTGGTGTCTTGTTCGACCCTCAACTGTCCCTCTAAACCCCACATCCGTACCATGACATGCTCTGTCTTCCCCCACCTCTGCAACATTTCCTGCCTCCAACACTGCCTTTCCCCTCAGGCCTCCGAGACCTTCATCCATATATTCGTCATGTAAAGACTCATATATGCTAATTCCCTGTCTCCCTGGCGCTCACAACTCTTCCCTCCACTAGCTGCAGATTATTCAGAACTCCTGCACCAGGGTCCGTGAGCTGATCATCCCCTTCCTCGCACGGCTTCACCAGCTCCCCTTCCCACAGTGGATCAAGTTTAAGATCCACGTCCTTACTTTCAAAGTCCTCCACAGTCTTGCTCATCCCTATCTCTGGGACCTATAACACCTTACTAACATTCCCGCCTACTCACTGGTCTGCTCCATGTCCCCCGCACTGCCCACCCCACTATCGGCAGTCTGGACTCCGGCCCTTCTGCCCCACCCTCTGGAATTCGATCCCAGAATCCCTTGGCCTTACCTTCTCTCTTGCCTTCTTCAACGCCCATCTCAAGACCTTCCTGTTTGACTGTGCCTTTGGTCATCCTCCCACCCCCGCCCCTTTGTTTTTCACCCCTCTTGATTCCAACAGCCAGGTCGGGTGGAAACCCTTGACTCTCCATTGCTTTTGAAAGTCATCCTGACATGAATTGTGCTATATAAATGCAATTTGTTGTTGTAGTGCTTTTGAGGATCAGCATAATGAAAACACTGGTGCAATGTCATCTGTAAAAGAGGATTACAGCAACAACCATAAGCAAACCCATTTTACTTAATCTTATAGACTCAGTTTGACCTGTCATGAGGAGTGTGCAAGTCACAATGCAAGTTTTTGCTCCATTGCTGCATAAAATAGGTGAAATATAGCAAAGGTGAGATGTAATATGGGTAAGAACCTCTGTGGTCTAATTTGCAGTATTTTATAACAACAACAAATTCCATTTGTAAAGTGCCTTTCACATCAGGACGAAGTCCCAAGGTGCTGGACAGTCAGAGATTTGGACCTGAGCAGGGGTTTGGGATCAGGAGGGGTGCAGGGTAGGGGTAGGAGGGTGACTGAAGGTATGGTCGAAGAGGAGGGTCTTGAGACGTGCCTTGAAGGAGGCAACCGAGGGAACAAGGCAAAGGGACTGTAGGTTGGAGTTCCAGGGTGGGGGCAGAGAGGCTGAAAGTCCAACTGCCGATGGTAGGGTGGAAGGGAGATGTGGAGCAGATCAGAGCCTGCTGAGTGGAGGGAGCGGATAGGTTGATATGGGGTAGCAGATCACAGAGGTAGGAAGGAACAAGGCCTAGAGTAATAAATGCATGGCTGAGGGTTTTGGTGGCCTGAGGGGAGAGGCAGTGGCGCAGACGGGCGATGTTGCGGAGGTGGGGGAAAGCAAAGCGGGTCATGGCATGGATGTGGGGTAGAAAGGATAGTTGTTGGACAAGACCCCAAGATTCCGGACTGGCTCAGTGAGGTGGAGTGTGCAACCATGGATAGTGATGCTGTCAGCGCCTGAGGTGAGGAGGCACTGACAGGAGCCAATCAGGAGAGCCTCGGTCTTGTTGACGTTCAACTAAAGAAAGTTAGCTCTCATCTAGGACTTGATGTCTGACAGGCAGTCTGTCAGGACAGCAGTGTCCTGGAGTTGTGGGTGGAGGCAGAAAGATAGAGTTGGGTGTCATCCGCGTACATGTGGAAGTTGACCCCATGTCTGCGGATGATGTCACCAAGTACATGCTGAGGAGGAAGGGGACCCAGGACAGAGCCCGGAGGAACCCAGCGTTCCTGTGGGCCAGCATGACTTACTTCCAGTTAGTTAGTTGATTACCTCTGAATGTGTCACTTCCTTTTTGTAGGTTTAAAACCAGCTGCAGTGCTTCCGGAGGAAAGTGGTGTTCTGGGATGCCAGGAAATTTTAAACTGGTCAGTAAAATTCTGTTTTTAATCATCACTTTTCAATAGCTATGGAAAGGTGCAGAAGAAATACAACAATAATAACAAGATTACATTTGTATAGCGCCTTTCACATCAGGAGGACGTCCCCAAGTGCTGGACCGTCAGAGTTTTGAACCCGAGCTGGGGGTCAGGATTGGGGAGGTTGGAGGGCAGGGGGGGAAGCAGGGTGATCAAAAGAGCAGTCAAAGAGGAGAGTCTTGAGATGGGTCTTGATGGAGGCAAGGGAGGGCCGAGGTGGAGGGACTGGGGAATGGAGTTCCAGAGGCAGAGTAGCAGAAGCCTGCCCGCCAGTGGTGGGGATGGCGAGGTGGGGAACGTGAAGCAGGCCAGAGCCCGCTGAGTGGAGGGAGTGTGCAGAATAATAGGGGGTTAGGAGGTCGCAGAGGGAGCAAGACCATGGAGGGCTTTGGAGATGAGGAGCAGGATCTTGAACTGTACCCTCTGTGTGATGGGAAGTCAGTGGAGTCGGGCGAGGATGATGGTGATAGGGTCACAGAGACTGGTGCGGGAGAGGACACGGGCTGCAGAGTTCTGGATTATCTGCAATAACAACAACAAGATTACTTTTGTACAGCGCCTTTCACGTTGGGAGAACGTCCCAAGGCGCTGGACAGTGTACAGCATTTCTGACCCGTATCAGGGAGGAGAAGGGAAGGGAGGGGAAGGGGGGTGGCCGATTGTATGGTCGAAGAGGAGGGTCTTGAGGCGGGACTTGAAGGAGGCTAAGGAGGGGATGAGGTGGAATGATTGGGGTATGGAATTCCAGAGATTGGGGGCAGAGTGGCTGAAGGCTCTCCCGCCAATGGTGTGGCGGGTGGGTCGGGGGACGTGGAGCAGGCCAGAGCCGGCTGAGTGGAGAAAGCGGGCGGGTTGGTAGGGCGTTAGGAGGTCACAGAGGTAGGGTGGGGCGAGGCCATGGAGGGTTTTGTAGGTGAGGACCAGGATCTTGAACTGGATCCGCTGAAGGATATGGAGTCGGGCGAGAGTGGGGGAGATGGGGTCACGGAGTTTGGTGTGGGAGAGGACACGGGCTGCAGAGTTCTGGATTATCAGCAGCCTGTGGAGGGAGGAGTTGGGGAGGCCGATAAGCAGGGCGTTTGCATAGTCGAGCCTCGATGTAATGAATGTGTGTATGAGGGTTTTGGCGGCCTGTGGTGTGAGACAGTGGCAGAGCCGGGCGATATTGCAGAGGTGGTGGAAGGCACGGATGTGGGGTAGAAATAGGTAGAAATTTTCATGTATAAGCCCATTGCAAGTACGTAGCATCAAAGTCACTTAGCAGCAACAGGAATTTCATTGATTTTTAGAGACTGACTGTGAAACATCTGTAAAAGTAAATGAAAGAAAACTTGTGGATTTTCTGCTCTGCTTTGATTTTATGTCACAGTTAAAATATAGAAGCTTTTTTTGTTTGAGGTCAAACAGTCGGTATGTCACAAGGACTGAGTCGAATAGTCGTCCTTTATTCCATCTGACTAGTTCTTGGGTGGAATATGTTCCAAAGGTTCTAATGAGGAAGCTCACCGAATAGAGGACTTTACAAAGACAAGGCCAAGGCCCTTCACTGGGACTCAGTTTGAATTGCCTCACTAACTCAGAGTATTTTCTGCTGGCCATTCATACAGATTTGACAGTAGCTTTGGAGACTTTTGTAATGATCCTCAGTGGAAGGAGTTGTATGACTAATGGCAGGCATTTTTGGGAAGGCATCTGAATTTAAAATAGGGGAGGAAATACTTTAAAAATTAAAGAATTTATACATTAGATTGGTTCAGAAAATATGCAGCTTAAACTACTGTATGACTAGAATGGATATTTATCTTGTTGACTTTTACAAATTCCTCTTAAAAACACACTTTCTAACATTTTATAAATGAGCCTCATATATGTTGTTTGCCAGATGTGCAATACTGTGGAGAGACCTGCTCTTATTTACAAAAAAAATTAGCTAAAAGAATCTATAGCTTCATAGGGTCTAATTGTTAAGATGCAAATGATTGGATTCAAATGTGATGAGATTCAAATGAATCCTTTTTAAATGCTGGTTTACTGCAAAAATTTACTGAAAATTGAGGTAAATGAGAGATGTTCCATGCACAAGTCCTGTGAGAATCTATCAGGTGCCATGATGTGCACATCTATACACATTTCCTCACTCATACATTGCTACCTCAGTACAGTCCTTCCTCACCCAGGACAGCGGCAATATCTTGGACAAAATAGAATTTACCAAGGGGGAATTTTAAAAAAAATCTAGGGATGATAGTTGACCCATCAATCACCATGTTCAAATTGTGTGAGGCAGCAATAAGCAAGACAAGCAGAGTGCTGGGTTACATTGAATAATCTGTTAAATTCAGAATCCCAGAAATCAGGCTCATCAGTTGTTTGGTTAGGCTGCACCCGGAGTAATTGCTAAGAGTTCTAATCACTGCAGCAAAGGCATTGCAGAGGAGAACGATGAGAACGATTCTCGTGTGAAAAGGATGGGATATGAGGAACAACTAGATAAACTAGTTCTGTTCAGCCTAGGTATCTGAACGGGGAATCTTCTGGAAATACTGGGGATTTATAACGCACTTTGCTGAAGCAGTAGCTCACTTATAGTGCTGAAACCGTCATCCATGCATTTATTACCTCCAGGTTCGAGAAAGCCAACTCTCTGCTTGTTGGCCTTCCTAACTCTTCCCTCCAAAGCTGAGAATCATCCAGAACTCTGCAGCTCATGTCCTCTCCCACACCTGGCTCCGTGACTGTATCACCCTCGCCCGGCTCCACCGGCTCCCCATCCCCAGAGGATAGAGTTTAAAATCCTTGTCCGCGCCTTCAAAGCTTTCCACAGCCTTGCTCTTTCCTCCCTACCGCTGTGACCTGCTACCATATCGATCTGTCGGCTCCCTCCGCTCAGCAGGCTCCGATCTGCTCCATGTCCCCTGCCCGGCCTACCCCACAATCGGCGGACTGGCCTTCAGCCTCTCTGCCCCCACCCTTTGAATCTCCATCCCACATTCCTTTCACCTTGCTCCTTCTCTTGACTCCTTCAAGTCACATCTCAAAACCCTCCTCTTTGATCTTACATTTGGTCACCCTCCTACCCCGACCTTCTCTGCCCTCCACCCCTCCTGATCCCAAACTCCTGCTCGGGTCGAAATCCCTGACAGGCCAACACCTTGGGACCACCTCCCAATGTGAAAGGCACTATACAAATGTAATTTTCTGTTGTTGATATTGTCATGAAATAATGATAGGCTGGGAAATAATATTAATCCATGCATTTGATACATAACCTTATCACCGCATTGAAATGTCTCAAAGGACCTCACAGGGAAAAATGTAAAGTGGAGTGACTATTTTGTGGGCGAATTTTGTAGGTATTCCAAAAGGGTGAGAAAAAATGGCCAAAGAGCCTTCTGTATCCGAACCTATTCTGTGATCTTATGTTAGATTTCTCTGACTCTTCTATCAAATCTGTCCTGTGCCCAGCTGGCAGGTTAAATCTCCTTGTAATGTGACATGACTTATGTCACTTAACTCCTCTTCCCAAGTTAAAGTATTGAGTGGGGGCTTGGTCAAGATTGAATGATATTCAGAAATGTTTGATGAATGGATTAGGATTAGAGTAGTGTATCTCCATTATGTGGTACTCAAATGCAAAATAAAACAGAAGGTAACTGAGCCACCATATGGCCATTTTATAGTGTGGCAGGCCAACTCGTCAACACTGGAAGCTGGCTGTGCTTGATCATTGTGCCAGAGCTGCAGAGGGCAGGAGATGGATAATAAAAAAAAAATTAATATAACCAAATTGAAATAAAGCAGTTTATTGTATCTAAGTGGACTTTTTAATATTATGTAAAATATAGGTTCATATTCTTTGAGCAAATGAGATCCATTGATCAGATTCATTTATTGTATCATTTTATTAACTAGTTTTTTTCTATCTCATTCCCATTGTTTAGTACACAATCTTTTGGGTGTTGAACTCAGGTTGCACTGTATGCACGTACAGCTCATTAATTTGCAAAGTAACATGTGATTTGATATTTCCAACATGGTGCCAGGAACTGCTTTGCCATTAATTCATTCTGAAACTTAATCTGGTGCTAGGTAACATGTCTAACATAACCTAAGTAAAATTCTCAAAAGTAACTGCATTATCAAATTTCTTCTTCAATTAGACCTCTTAGGCTTATTAGGAAATATTAGTGGGGCTTGATTTCTACTGTAGCATATTCATACTCGACGAGATGCTTTTGCTATGGGTATTTAATTTTTTCACACATCACAAAACCACATTATACACAGCTTTCACTGATTCATTATTTAGTTGAAGCAATATCAAACAACACTTGTGCGAACTACAACAGTGTTCATGAAGCGGTTACCCAGCATTTGTCAGTGCATTTAGGAGAGCATTAGTGTAATTCGGAAGGGGTGGAGATAGAAATGGAGTCCTGTAGCTCAGTGGTTAGAGCATTTGCCTTGCAAGCGAGACACCGGGGTTCAATTCCAAGCAGGGCGAAACCTTGGGCAAGTTTCCTTACTCCACGCGCCCAATAATAAATCCCCCAAAACAAAAACAATAATTAAATTGGTCATTTTCAATCTACGACTGTTTGTGGGACATTGCTGTGCGCAATTGGCTGCCGCGTTCGCCCACAAATATACGTCAATTCACTTTACAGTGTGTTCTGTGAAGCGCTTTGGGACGTCCTCCCGACGTGAAAAGCGCTATATCAAATGCAAGGATTATTATTATTATTATGACTGTTTGTTGGACACTGCTGTGCGCAATTGGCTGCTGCATTTCGCCCACAAATATACAGTCAATTCACTTTACAGTCTATTCTTTGAAGTGCTTTGAGATGTCAAGAAGACGTGAAAAGCACTATATCAAATGCAAGGATTATTATTATTATATGCTGTGCAATATGCTTCAGATATTTCCACTCATGTTTTCCAAAGATATCCTATTTGTTTATGATGCTGTTGTTTATTATTTTGTAGTTTTTTTAACTCTAAACTCATCACTGTGAAGAAAACTGTATGTTGTCCCAAATGATAATACGTAACAGTCAATTTAAGTTTTTAGTTATGATAAGTATGTTTGCCACATATATTAATAGATTTTAACTATTAATGTGACTGGAAATATTTACACCACATCATTAAGCAGCTCTGTTGTTGAAATTGTTGTGGTAATTTGATGAAGATAATTATTTGCAAAACAGTACTGTTTATTCTTTTAAATGATGCTGTGATTTCCTGTGTGTTCTGTTCTATTTCTCAGTTTGCAAATGCATTCCTGTTTGGTGGCATACAACTATCACATTGGAGCTGATTTTCCCTGGGGCCATTTCAATCTGGTGGTGGAATATGATTATGTGGAGAATTCATGTTGGACAAAGCTTTGCAAGCAGCAGAATATAAATCATATGACATTTAAAACCATACTTCCTAAGGCTCCAGAAACAGGTCCGAACGAGTTTTATTAATTTATTGTGTATAAAATGGAATTAATTTGGATGGATTTCTTTGAAGTTTTATTTTAATTAATTCATTTGGTGATCCCCAAATGCAGTGTTACAGGCCACTATATTATCTACTATCCATCTTATGAAGGCTCAGACCTGTGCTTGCCAGATATCTGATAACCAATTAGTGACTATCCGGCAGAAAGGGGTGTAAGCATGGGCTGCTTGTGGTTGAACTGGCTTAAAAGGGTGATGTATACAGCAATAGAATATCAATATGTGGAGTCCTGTAGCTCAATGGTTAGACCACTCACCTCACAAGCGAGATACCTGGATTCGATTCCCAGCAGGGCGAAACCTTGTGCAAGTTTCCTTACTCCACATGCCTGATAATAATCCCTCAAGAAAAAAAAATAATAATTTGGACACTTAATCAAAGACTGTCTGTGGGACACTGTTGTGCGCAATTGGCTGCCGCGTTTCGCCCACGAAATATAGTCAATTCACTTTACAGTATATTCTGTGAAGCGCTTTGAGACGTCTAGAATACGTGAAAAGCGCTATATCAAACGCAAGGATTATTATTATTATCATTATTGAGTCTGTGGGAGCTGGATCTTCAGCACTCCAAGGCACTTTTGCTGACTGATTAGCCTGGTTCATTGGTGGCACTTGGAAAGGCACGTCAGTCAGTGTGAGTATGGATTCTTCCCAGTCTGCTCCTGTTAACATTACAAGCCAAAGATCTAACAAGTAGATGGGCTCTTAGCTGGATGAGCAGCAGGAAGTTTGCCAGGCAGTGCTCACAATGGCAAGCTTTGTGCTTTTAGCTGGTTAAACTCTAGCTGTACCCTAAAGCCACTCTAGGATCTTCAAAACGCAAAGTGCTTTACAGCTGTCTGGGCACCCAACCTGGGAGCATATTTTCATGCTAAAAAGTATTCTTGTATTTTGTTTTACAAGAATAAACTATTCAGCCTCAGAAAAATAGGGTTGTCTTTTCATTTTCAATTTGGGCTCCGTGTTCTGCCCTTTGCCAACATCAGTGTATGGAGGAAATAGATCACGATTCCTAGGAAGTGTTTGCTGTGGCAATAAACATGAATAATTTTGAATAACATCTGATTGAGCTTCAACTTAACTGCCAACAGTAAATTACGCTGCTTTATATCTAACATTGTATGTAGTGTTCACAGCTGGCAGTCTGTGAATTCACTTGGTACCAAACAAAGCCTTAACTCTTAACAGTATGAAAATAGTTTCTTAAAGAAGTTGGTTACCTTAGTGATTCAAAAATGTTCAATTAGCTTGTCTGCTAAATCCTCCCAAAGGCGTGTGAACTTGTAATTAAGAGGTCGAAGGTACATCAGGACATCTCAGTCAGCGCTTCTGAAATGATACAAATGAGCATTAAAGTCATCAAAACTGTTATCAACCTCATTCCTCTCAGGTCACTACATGGATTAATAATAAACATCATAATAATAATAAGCCTTGCATTAGATATAGCACTTTTCACGTCTTCTAGACGTCTCAAAGTGCTTCACAGAAGACTGTAAAGTGAATTGACTGTATATTTGTGGGCGAAATGCGGCAGCCAATTCCGCACAGCTTTACATTAATAATGTAATAATAATGTAACAGGATTACATTAGTTTTAAGAGGGAACTGTCACCATGGACTCCTCTCTGATGTTGAATAGCAACAGCCAGCACATCCTCACATCTCGGACTTTGTCACCATTGGAATTACTTTTTTCCGTGTTCTAGAAAGGTTTTTAGTAAGTCAGAATACACCCGGGATATACTATAAAATGTAGTGACTCTTCATTTTGTCTTGCTTACCTCTCTGTATGCCAGTCCAGATAGGCATCAAATTACTCTTTAAGTTGACCTTTTACACTCATCAGGATGAGCCTTGCCAGTTTTAGACAATGAAATGCATCATCCACTTTTGTCACCTCTATTCTCAGCATCAAGTAGTCTTTCACCATATATAGCACAGGTAGATGAAGAATAAGGAACTATTCACTCTGCCCCCAAATGGATCTTAACCCCAATCTAAACAGAGCACCTTACATCAGATATCCTTGACTTTTATAAAAATTTTTGTCTAAAAATGTGTAAACAGATATATGAATAACAGTCCTTTTAATTCTAGAAGACTCACTATTGATGAAATCTGAGTCATTGTTGTTAGAACTGCAGATTCCATACACTTTCTTGATGTCTGAAAGTTTATTGAACACTCCAGCCATGCTCCAACTTCTGGAATCAAGGTATTTGATATGTTTTATTAAAAGATAATTTGGCCATTGATTGCCAAGTCCCTGTGATGTCTCCTTGTTCTCGCTTAGTGAAGATAGTGGGAGTAGTTTATAGACTCCCGAACAGCAGTCACAGTATCTCTCAAGGTATAAATCAGGAAATTAGCAGAGCATGTAGTAAGGGAAAAACATTAATTGTGGGTGATTTTAATCTGCACATAGATTGGGACAACCAAATTGGGAAAAATATGATAGAGGAAGAGTTTATAGAATGTATTAGGGACAATTATCTAGATCAGTATGCCGAGGAGCCAACCATTTTGTGCAATGAAGCAGGGCTGATCAGCAAACTGGAAATTAAGGCTCCTCTAGGGCAAAGTGATCATAATATGATGGAATTTAGCATTAAGTTAGAGAGAGAAGTAGTTAAGTCCGAAGCAAAGGTTTTAAATTTAAGTAGAGCCAATTTTGCTGGTATGAGAGAGGATTTAGCCAAAATAAATTGGGAAATTAGATTTAAGGACAGTAAACCAGCAATGGCAGACATTTAAGGTTATAGTGCAAAATTCCCAGCGAGCACATATTCCTTTGAGGAATAAGAATGCCACGGGATAGGTGGCCCAACCGTGGCTAACTAGAGCAGTTAGGGAAAGTATAAAGTTAAAGGAAGAAGCCTATAAAACAACTAAGATGAGTAGTAAACCCAAGGATTGGGAGAACTTTAGGGATCAACAAAAGAGAACCAAAAAAGTGATTAAGAGGGAGAAAATGGAATATGAGGGCAAACTAGCGAGGAACATAAAGACAGACTGCAAGAGTTTTTATAAATATATAAAGAGGAAGAGGCTGTCAAAGGTAAATGTGGGTCCGCTACAGACAGAGACGGGGGGAAATTATAGTAGGGGACAAAGACATGGCAGAGTCATTAAACAAGTACTTTGCTACTGTCTTCACCTTAGAAGACACTGAAAACTTACCAAGAATAGAAGGGAACCAAGAAGAAAATATTAGCGAGCAACTTGGGGGAATTAATATTAGTAAAGAAATGGTTTTAGGTAAATTATCAGGTCTTAAAACTGATAAATCTCCTGGACCTGATGGCCTACATCCTAGGGTTTTAAAGGAGGTGGCTACTGAGATAGTGGATGGCTTGTCTTTGATCTTCCAAAATTCTCTGGATTCTGGAATGGTTCCCATTGATTGGAAGATTGCAAACGTAACACCACTATTTAAGAAGGGTGGGAGAGAAAAGATGGGGAACTATAGACCAGTTAGTCTGACATCAGTGGTAGGGAAAATTCTTGAGTCCTTAATTAAAGATGTCGTTATGGAATTCCTGGAAAACCATAACAAGATTAGGCAGAGTCAACATGGCTTTACAAAAGGGACGTCATGCTTAACTAATCTTTTAGAGTTTTTTGAAGATGTATCTAGTAGGTTAGATAGGGGGGAACCTGGAGATGTAGTATATTTAGATTTTAAAAAGGCATTTGACAAAGTGCCACACAAAAGGCTATTGCACAAGGTTAAGGCCCACGGGATTAATGGGAACATATTAGCATGGATTGAAGAGTGGCTAACAGGTAGAAAACAGAGAGTAGGGATAAACGGGTCATTCTCGAATTGGCAGGATGTGACTAGTGGAGTGCCACAAGGATCAGTGCTTGGGCCTCAGCTATTTACAATTTACATCAATGATCTAGACGAGGACATTGAATGTAACGTATCTAAATTTGCGGATGACACTAAACTAGGTGGGAGAGTAAGCTCTGAGGATGATGCAAAAAGATTGCAACGGGATATAGATAGGCTAGGGGAGTGGGCGAGTAGGTGGCAGATGGAATTTAATGTGGGGAAGTGTGAAGTTATTCACCTCGGTAGAAAAAATAGAAAAACAGATTATTTTCTAGAGGGGAGAGATTAGATAGTGTTAGTGTTCAGAGGGATTTGGGTGTCCTTGTACACCAGTCTCAAAAAGTTAGTTTGCAGGTGCAGCAAGCAACTAAGAAGGCGAACGGCATGTTAGTGTTCATTGCAAAAGGTTTAGAGTACAAGAGTAGGGAAGTCTTGCTGCAACTGTATAGGGCCTTGGTGAGACCGCACCTAGAGTATTGGTCTCCTTATTTAAAAAAGGACATACTTGCCCTAGAGGGGGTGCAGCGTAGATTCACTTGGTTAGTTCCTGGGATGAGGGGACTGATCTATGAGGATAGGCTGAATAAACTAGGGCTGTATTCTCTAGAGTACAGAAGAATTAGGAGAGATCTTATTGAAACATAACATTCTTAAAGGGCTGGATAAAGTAGACACTGAGGGTCTATTTCCCCTGGTAGGAGAATCTATAACCAGGGGTCACAGTCTTAAAATTAAGGGTCAGCCTTTTAGAACAGAGTTGAGGAAACATTTCTACACTCAGAGAGTAGTGAATTTATGGAATTCGCTACCCCGGAAGGCTGTAGATGCTCAGTCCTTGAACATCTTCAAGGCTGAAACTGATAGATTTTTTAAAAATAGAGGGATTAGGGGATATGGGGATATGGGGATAGGGCAGGTAATTAGAGTTAGGTCTGAAGATCAGCCATGATCTTATCAAATGGCGGGGCAGGCTTGAGGGGCCGAATGGCCTACTCCTGCTCCTAATTCTTATGTTCTTATGTTCTTTTACTGATGTGGTGTTGTCGCATGACTACATTTGTAGCATAACAGGTTTCCATATTCTGTGGTAACCGTTTCTATACCTAATTTCTTTAGAAATCTAAATATTTGAAGTTGTAATGGATGTTACACTCCTCATCCTATAATGTGTAACCAACTAGTGACTGTCTTCCTTGGGAGGGACCCGGGGTCTCCTTGGTTCTGGACTGGCTCCAGGATGACATGCTTGGAAATGTTACACATTAAAAGTATTGCTAGCCAGACTAATGTGAGGGATATCTAATCTGACGCATTGGAATTTCCGACTACGTGTACTACAATACTGGCATTATAGTCGCCTGTGCAGAACATAGCGAATAAGGCTGCTTGTGCTTCTGATGCTCTGGTTTCTGATGCTCTTTCATATGGAAACTGGATAAAATGGACATAACATAACATGTAGGAGCAGGAGTAGGCCATTCGGCCCTTCGAGCCTGCCCTGCCATTCAATCATGGCTGATCTTCTAATCTAACTCCAGCTAATAACATAACCCTCTCTTATCCCCACATCCCTTTTGCAATAAGAAATCAGTCAATCAGTCAGTCAGTCTGTCTGTCTGTCACTAGTAAACAAAATTGTGGAGAGTATTGAATTGAGAATCCTGACCAATACTAATTTACTGTTAGCAAGGATTCATCATGTTAGAGGCAATAATATACCAAGGCAGCGGGGCTAGAGGATCTAAATTCAAGTTGTGTATAAACCATACTTTCCTGCTTGGCTGTAATGTAGCTGCTCGTGAATCTTAAACATTTAAGACTATCAGGAAAAAGAAAAAGGAATGATGACATTTCTTCAAGATTCTTTAACAGGTAGATGTTTTCAAGTGTTGAGCATCTGTTGGCTGAATTTTAGCTTTCTTCTCCACCCCCTTACAATAGAAAACTTCAAGCCTAAGTTATCATACTGATTTTATATTGTGGTTCTGAAGTCCCAGAATTCACTTTTATATGGATTCTGGACTTCTGGCCATTTTTATAGTTAATGAATTCTATGCATGCACTGACATCTTGACATAATTGCAAAAGTTTTGTGATTCTGTGTCAACTTATTCCAATTCCACAAATCGTCACCACACAGTGAAGCTCCTGTACGTAGAGACAATATTTGTAGTTCATATGGAGTAATCTCATATTACTGGGAATCAAACTACTTCTGTCATGGAATCATAGAATTATACAGAAGAGGAGGCCATTCGGCCCATTGTATTTATGCTGGCTCTTTGAAAAGAGCTATCCAAAACAAATCCCACTCCCTCATTCAATCACTCTGCTCCAAGGAGAATAATCTTAGCTTCTCTAGTCTCTCCAGATAACTGAAGTTCCTCATTCCTGATAGCATCCTGGTAAATCTCCTTTGCACCCTCCCCAATGCCTTGACATCCTTCTGGTGCCCAGAACTGAACACCGTACTTTAGCTGAGGCCTAACCAGTGTTTTATAAAAGTTCATCATAACTTCCTGACTTTTGTATTCTAGTCCCTATTTATAAAGCTTAGTATCCTGTATGCTTTTTAACAGTTTTATCTACCTGTCCTGCCACCTTCAAAGATTTACTTATATGAACCCCCAGGTTTCTCTGTTCCTTCACCCCCTTTAAGATTGTACCATCAGCTTATATTGCTCATTCTTCCTCCCAAATTACATCACTTCGCATTTCTCCACATTAAACTTCATCTGCCATATGTCTGCCCATTTTACCAGTCTGTCTATGTCTGTCCCCTTGTAGTCTGCTACTATACTCCTCACTGTCTCCCAACAATATTCGCCCAGCTTAACAGCACCATTTAAAAGCACGTGCTTGCCAATCAGAATCTTTATTGCCTAGAAATACAATCGCTGCACTTTACATTAAATCCCGTGAAGAACTTTCAAGGATTCTGACCGCACAATTAGGCACTATATCATATGCAAGAATTTTATGTTTAGAGCACAGAATATTGTCCCATTGATTTTTCCACAATCACAAGCATGGTTGGTACCACTCTGCTCTGCAATCAATGACTATCTTCTGCTGGGAGAGTTAATTAACCCGCACTGGATGAGACTTTAAAACGAGGACCCGTTTGCCTGTTTAGGTGGGTGTTAAAGATCCCATGACACTATTCGAAAAGAGAAGGGAGATTCTCTTTCCCGGTTTCCTGACCAACAATCCCCCAAATAAAATTGTTCATTTACTCCATGACTGTTTGTGGGACATTGCTGTGCGCAAATGGCTGCCGTGTTTAGCCCACAAAATACACAGTAAATTCACTTTACAGTATATTCTGTGAAGTGCTTTGATATGTCTTAATGAAGTGATACGACACTATATCAAATGCGAGGCTTAATATTAGCCTAACACTGCATCTAGCAGCTCATATAAGCAACGGAGACTAGCTTGTTTAATTGACCAGCAGTCCAGAAAGTGAAAGTCACAACTTGATGGTTCAGAATCAAGTACTAAATAAGAGGAACAACCAGAACAAGAAAGATGTTTCTTCTCTTACAAATAAACAGTCCAGTAAAACTTTTATTAAGAAACAAGCAATTTTTTTTTACTAGTTAGTAGTGTAGTGCACTGATTCATTGTGGGAATTTGAATCCATTTTGGTTTAGTCCAGATGCCCACTATTGTTAATACATCTGGGTTCCTGAAAATTCCCCATTAATGCGTATCAGTTTACATTCCAGATATAATATTACCCTTTTGGAGAGAAATAGTAATCCGACACTACACTTGTTTGGAGGAACAGATCACTATGCTATTATTACAGTGGATGAATGCACAGCTATAATCATGCAGGTATGGGGGACGGGGAAATTATATCAGTGATTAAATTAGTACGCTTGCTGTGCGCAATTGGCTGCCTTGTTTTGCCCACCAAATTTACAGTCAGTTCACTTTACAGTAATATTCTGTGAAGCGCTTTGAGACGTCTCAACAACGCAATTATTATTTATGTTTCAAAGAAGAAACGTCTGAACACTATTTTTACTTTAACGGAAGAATAATACAGTGTTTGCACTATGTCCTATATAAAAACTCAAAAAAACAGTATGCTGCTCATACTGGTAATAATCTATTCAAAATAAATGTGGTCGCTCAATCCACGATTGTTGTGGGACACTGCTGTGTATAATTGACTGTTGCATTTCATCCACAAATACAGTCAATCCACTTTACACTATATTCTGTGAAGTGCTTTGAGATGTCTCACCGACATATATGGTGCATGGATTATTATTATTATAACAATTGTTTTTAGGATATTGAGGAACTGGCTACTACTGAGAGAGCCTCAGACGCTATTATCTTGAGACTAACAACTCTAGCATTGCAATATAGCTGTGTCTGGCTCATTTTCTACCCAAAGCAAGACCTCAACTCACAGTAAGTGGACCATCACATTTCCAAATCATTCTGTTCTCCCTTGAAGTCTTTGAATGTGTGTTCTGTAATGAGCTAACATCTCCACAGTCCAAGCTCTCAGCAAACCCAATCCTCATCGCACTAAGTCCACTTCCAAAGTAGTTTCATACTGAACCCTCCCCACCCCATCAAAACAAAATCCTACAAGGTCTGGGAGGCTTGATTGATAAGTGTTGCATAGTCGTTGTTTCCAGGATTTACCAGAAAGTTCTGAGATATAAATGTTTCACTTGCATCTAAGTCCTTATAAAATAGGCTATATTCCAAAATACAGTTCCATAATAGTCTTGAGACGACATTAGTAAAGTAGCTAATGGTAAAAGAGCTAAATCAGAATTGGGGTTGTGCCATCTCCTGACTATATTAAGAGTCTGACATTACCATGAAGAGGTACAAGAGTTTCAGCAGTGAGGGATTAGTACACTACAAAGTTATTCATGGAATTCTTGATTGGTTCAGTCATTTAAGCATTTCAAATAGGACCACAATGTCCTGGGTTTGACTCCTGGTGAGCCCTGGATTCCTGGTACACAACAACAATAGACATATCAAATAGTCACACTGTAGTGGACTATCACAGTTATAGTTCTGCTATCAAATACTAGTGGGTTTTAGGCTAAGTGTCCTTGTGCCAATACTTCTCTCCGAAAGCCACTGAAACCCTGGTCCATGCCTTTGTCACCTCTTGGCTGGACTATTCAAACGCCCTCCTCACCGGCCTCCCCTCCACTACTATCCATGAAATCCAGATTATTCAAAACTCTGCCGCCCGCATTCCCACCCGCACCAAACTCCACTCCCCGATTACCCCAATCCTTGCCAGACTGGCCTGGCTCCCTGTCCCAGAGAGGATCGACTTCAAGATCCTCACCTTTGTATTCAAATCCTTCCACTCCTCCGCACCCCTCTATCTCTCTGATCTCTTTCCTCAAAATAGTGCCCGTTGCCTTCGTTCCTCTGGGTCTGGCCTCCTCCTTGTCCCCCGAGTCCTCCGCTCCACCCTCGGTGGCCGTGCTTTCAGCCACTATGCCCTGAGGCTCTGGAATTCCCTTCCTCACTCCCTTTGCCTCGCCCCCTCTCTTCCTATTTTCAGGTCTCTGCTGAAGACCTTTCTTTTCGACCGCGCCTTTGGTCACCTTCCTCCCCCTCCCCCTGGCTCGGCCCCGGGATTCATTGCTCTGAAGCGCTCTGAGACGCCGTCCGGCGTGGAGGGCGCCATATAAATACGTTGTTGTTATTTGCTTTCAACTCTTGTTTATTCCACTTAATTAAGTTTATTCCACTTAATTAAGTTTATTCCACTTAATATTTCAGTGGAATAGGTCGCTTGTATATATTTAATAAAATGTTATCAAATTAAGTTATTTCATTATTTTTCAAATGATCTTTCTTATGATATCGTCACCTCTCAGGTACTGCTTTAATGGAAAAGTGTTTCACAATCTTGCCCTGATCTATGCAGCCTTGGTGCCATTTGTGCTGAAATCAGAAGAAACTGAAGTGAAGGTACAAAGTGATTAATCTGTTAAAGGAATTAAGTTTCCCTTGGTAATAATCACTCCCTCCCAAAAAAATGCTAACTTAATCCATGACTGTTTGTGGGGCACTGCTGTGTGCCTGCTGGCTACTGCTTCACCCACAAAATCCACTTTACAGTATATTCTGTGAAGCTCTTTGAGACGTCTCAACATGATAAGGTACTATATCAAATACAAGGATTATTATTATTAACATATTAGAGCACCTGGATTTGAAGGATTCTTAAATAACGCTCATAAATTTGAAGCGAGATTTTTGGTAAGTTATTTTAAGAACTACGTATCATTGTGAAATGATACAACCTTACCCAAATGAGGGAGGATCTGTGAGAAAGCATTCCTGTTGGCCCTATGTACACAAGCTGAGAAACCTGAGAATTTTACTTGTAAAACAATTTAATCCTTGTTATTGTTATGATAAAGCAGCTTGACATTGTAACCCTAGTGCACAACAAGATGTTAGGACATGGATTTTCACACATGATAATAGTAACTTAGCTGAGGTGGCGTATGAAAGAGTTCAAAGAAAGAAGAAAAACAAGAAATGCCATTCACATAAAAATGTCTTCACGTTTCCCACGTTGATGTTATTTGTTCTCACAAAGGTGAAAACAACAACAAAATTACATTTGCAAAGCACCTTTCATGTCGGGAGAAAATGACAGACTCTGCTGCACACATCTTATCAGCACTACTACACAATCTTCTTTTGAGACATCAACTTCTGTCCAGTTTTGTGAATCACACAAAGCATTAATTACAATTGAAGAAACGTACCAAATGAAGGTAAACAGTTTGATGGAGACTCAAAACTGTAGTGATGAGAAATATTAATAAAGTCATGGAATTATACATTTTACCAATAACCAAAGGATTGATTTAACTTTCTGGCACAGGAACCACAACCAAACTGGTCAACAATTAATTGGACCAGCATCAGCATTCAGTGCAACTGAAGCTATTGTACGTTGTGACATAGACCTTAGCCAAAAGTTGCTTTTTGCGATCTCGCCATCTTATTTTCTCTAGCAAGGACCAACTTCAATCCACACTGGCTCCCATCAGTACCATTTGTAAAATCATGTAAAATCAAGCCAGCGAGCATAAACAACAACAACAAATTACATTATTATTGCAGAACCTTGCACATTGGGAGGATGTCCCAGGTGCAGGACAGTCAAGGATTTGGACCCGAGCTGGGGGTTGGGATGAGGAGGGAGGGGAGGGTAGGAGGGTGACCAAAGGTGTGGTCAAAGAGGAGGGTCTTGAGACGGGCCTTGAAGGAGGCAAGGGAGGGAGCGAGACAAAGGGAATGTGGGATAGAGTTCCAAAGGGTAGGGGCAGAGAGGCTGAAGGCCCGACCGCCGATGGTGGGGTGGGCCGGGCAGAGGACGTGGAGTTAATGTCACATTAACATTTTAAAAAGGCTGTTTTAATGATATCCAATCCTAACGTTCCTGAATGTAGTAGTGAAGCTCAGTTCTTACTTTATAAAAAAATGTCTGTAAAGGACTGTAGAGCATTTAGTAGTATTTACTGAGTTAAACTGCAAATCCAGTTAGTTTGTGCTTTGCTTTTAGGTTGTAATCTTACCAGGAATTGCACAGACAGCCAAGGTGATTCGTCAAATAGCAGACTTAACTTTGATTTCATCTGATCGGGATCCATTCATCTGGCTTGACAGGTCTTGGCTTACCACTCTTCCAACAGAGGTCTGTTCCATGTTATAGTTTAAGAATATTACCTGTGTTTTTGTAGCCATCTAAAGACCCTATATTCCAAACAAAAGGCCTTGCCTTGCTAATATAAGCCTGGATTTGCAGCAAGGTTCCTGGTTGTCAGGCAGTTTGACCCACCTCTTTAAATATTAAAATCTACAGCAAGTGGGAAGTAGAAATTTTACCCCAGAAATGATGGTTCCTACTGGGAGTGGAAGCTAAGGTGGAAAGTTGAATTGAGGTTGAATATTTCTCAAATAAATAAATTTCTATCTCCACATAAACAGCGCATAAATGTTGGGAATCCTGCCTCAATGATAACTGATAGCCAGAGCTGTTTGAATTGTTGGTCCTTGACCATGTTTACATTGCTTTTGAGCACTAATTGAGAAATGATGTGCAGTTGGTTTCCAGGAAGCTGTGTGGCCATTACATAATCTGTTTACTGAGATGTAATCATAACTACAATTGCAGCAGTGAGTAACCTACACAGATCACATTTTTTGCACACTGGATGGATACTTTCATAGGATGTAATTATATGTTTAGTTGATCTTATTGTAAAAATTGCCTCTTTTGAATTGGTGGATCCCTGATTGTTTTAATGGAAATCGTTTACTGGTTCAGGCAGACTTACTGCTATTGTTTTCATAGAGCATTTGAGAAAAAATATTTTGTCAAAACAGGGCAGAAGTGCTTTCTGTAGAAACTATTTCCAAATTTATTTTACATATTAAAAAATTCTCCTACCTGCTAGCAGATGCCTATCTTTTTGGAATTCTGCTTTTGGGTTTTGTTTGCTGCGTGCCTGAGCTAATCAGGTGATTTAGGTTACAGGCCAGCTTGCCTGTGGAGTAATTTGTCAAGCCTCGTGGCCCTATATTAACACAGTACACCCATTCTACAACACACACAACATGCACTATCACGTATGTTACATGAGAGGAATAGAGAGCTAAAGTGGCTAGTTTTCATTAAATCTAAAATGATACAAGATAAGGTTACATGCTTAGAGAGGAAATATTGGAATGCACAAGACTGGAAAAGACAATTAATTATAGTTTGTCTATCAAGTCTCAAAAAAGCTATTGTGCTAATTTTTTAAAAATGAGAAGAGGTGGAAGGAAGTCCATTGTAAAGATATTAGAGATAATGTGATTGAATGGATTTTTTTTGTTTCAGGAAGAGAAGCAGCTAGTTGCTTTCCCTAGTTTAAACTCCTTGGTAGCACAGTTGATGTTGAACAAAGCTCCATCACTGTTGTGGATGTTGTCAGCAACTGTAAATGAACTACAGGAAATCCTTCGAGAGGTACCAGGAAAGGTTCTAAAGGTCTGACATTTATTTATATTTGAATGGTTTGAATTCTATACTGACGTCAAAGGCAGCTGAAGTACATGCACAATCCACTGTTTTAATAACATTGTAGGTCGCAAAAGTAAACCTTGAGCTGTTATTGTCATCATCAGAATCACAAGATTGTAAAATAGCCCAAAACTCACTCCAATCCACCTAAAGATACTTTTGTCTGTCATAAGGATCTTCTAAAGACCTATTTTGTATCATGTGACAGATGATGGGGGGGGGGGAAGTATAGTAAGTTTTTTTTACATTTATTTAATTAAACAATGTTTGATGTAAAAGAATCAGACTTTCTTGAGTTCATAGATTTTAAAATATACAGAACAGGAAGTAATCTGTGCTAGCTTCCTGAAAAGACTACACCAATTGTCCATAGTGTGTAGAGCATATAGTGTACAGTATTCGGAATTCATGGTGTTACTTGTGAAAACAATTAAACCACTAATTTTATTTAAAATTTAAAATTAAGTTCGGATTATAAAATGTTCAAAAGTGACTAGTGCAGTGCTTTGTGAGAGATGATAAGATTGTGATGCTCTTGCACCAATCCTGTGATCACCATTTAGACTTGCTTATGTTAAAACACGTCACATGTCTGGTACCTTACAAAAACTGCAAAGCACTATGAAAATGGTTTCCATTCATGTTACTGAATAGCATGTACTTATTTTTAATTTTTTTAAAAAAATTGTGCAAATTTGAAAGAAGTCACTAGGATTGAAAAGATTCTTCTCGGGTAAGCATGCAGGTTACAGGTCCCTTGGCTGCTTGATAAAAGTATTTTGCAAGATAATAAATAATAATCCTTACTTTAGATATAGTGCCGTTCATGGTGGAAAGATTTTTCAAAGCGCTTCACAGGATTTACTGTAAAGTGCAGTGGCTATGTATTTTTAGACAAACATAAACAGTGTCTTATGCAGGGAACCCCCTGTATGTCATACTGATATTTCACGACTGAGGTGTTATGACGTTTATGGGATTCCTTGCAGAAAACCCAGTTTGTGTCGTAAAGACTTCTGGCAAAAAGTTAGAACGCACCTGCAAAACTCTTTTTCAATCCCACAAGTTTGCAAAGTAACAAATAGCAACAACAAATTAAACACAATTGCATAAACGTTATGATTCGACAAACCACTTAATAATAATAATAATCCTTGCATTTGATATAGCGCTTTTCACGTCTTCTAGACATCCCAAAGCACTTCACAGAATATATTGTAAAGTGAATTGACTGTATATTTGTGGGCGAACGTGGCAGCCAATTGCGCACAGCAATGTCTCACAAACAGTCGTAGATTGAAAATGACCAATTTATTATTGTTTTTTTGTTTTGGAGGGATTATTATTAGGCGTGTGGAGTAAGGAAACTTGCCCAAGGTTTTGCCCTGCCTGGAATTGGCCTGTGGTAGTTTATAGCCTGTCTTTGGGTGTACAGTAAAACTCGCATAAGTCTGATCTGTAGAAATCAGCGTAAGTCGTAAATCTGCTCAAGATCCATTGAATTTCCTATAACTTATCCAAGTTTCACATAACTCATACTTTGCATAAGTCATTTTAAATGTATGGTCCAACTGATATGACTTTTGTGAGGTTTACTGTATAATGATTGTTGCACTGAATGCCTCATCCCAATGATTGTTTTAGCTTTTCAGTCAGATCACTGCATTGCACAAACTTAGCAATTCGGAGGGGCCGAGAAACGCACAGCATGAAAGGTCAACCTTTGCACCTCCCCTGTCTGAGCCTGCTGAGAGTGAGCTCTACCCAGAGATTGCAGAAAATGGTCACTGTGCTAGAGGTGAACTTAAAGAGCAGAAAAGTCTGGAAATGACTCATGTCCAGGAGGGAGAGGCTTCGTGGGAACCTGTGAAAGATGTGTCAGCTGTACAATTTCAGGAGGTAAAACCAGGTTTTGAAACCAGAGGTGAAACCTGCTCGGTGTATTCCACACAAACAGAAATGAGACAAAAGATAGAAACGGCGTTAAATGAGAGAAAAGATCCGCCACATTTTCTTGAAAGCTCTGATTATAATGCTGAAGCACAGCATCAGAGCATCGCACGTTCTCAAAACATTGTTCCCGTTGTGAATACTCAGCAAACCGCACCGCTGAGCAACAGCTTATTTGATCATCTTGATCAATTACTAATGAAGAATCACTCAGATCCCCTCGAGACTGACCTTTATCCTGAAAATGGTAAATTGTCATCATTGGAACAGCTTTGTAGTCGTGAGCACATATATACCACAAAGAACAAGTATCAAAGAGCGAATGAGATAAAGGGTATGAAAACTAGCAGTGACACAGAGCTTAGCTTCTTTCTTCAGCAAGAGGTAGATGTCAGCTATGGGCTGAGAAAAAAGGAAGATATGCTTTTGACAATGCAGAGGTTGGCCAAGACACAGCATCCAATACTACAGCATCAAGCTTTCCCGGACTCATCTGAGAAACATTTGGAAAATTTATTTCATCCGTTAATTGACCCTCTCTGTCATCAGGGCAATCGAGACATAGAAAACAATCCTAAGAAAATGCCATACATTAAACCTAAATTTACTGGTGATGACTCAGTTAGTCGTCAATATACATATGTTGACAAGCCTCACATCTCTGGTGGTTCTTACTTTCCCCTTAAAGGAACTGACTTTTGCAACAAAATCACAGATCAGACTTTTCATTCTGAGGCAGTTAAAAGAGGAATGGGAAAGAAAAGACTGTGCTCAGGAACACGGATGAACGAATGGATAGGGTCACCTTCAGCAGTTCCAGACGAAAGTTTAACTGACACAGCATCATTTTATATGTACACACCAACTTCATCAGGTAAATAGTCTATAAATTGTCAAGTTATTTATTGATTTTAATGCATACAGCATTGCACATTGCAACATGTTGTATATAATTCTTGTAATATGCATTCCATTCCCACCTATAATTGTTAAAGAAATATAATTTCAAATACTGAGTGCATATGAATCCTGTAGCCTTAATTTACTGGCTTGGAAAAGATTTAATGTGAGTTTTGAAATGAGTCATTTTACCTCATCTCAACAGGAAAGAGATTTCTTTAGGTCTCACCTTAAACTTCTTCCTAAATTTATTTCACAATTTTATGTGATTTTTTTCTGTACTTCTATGTGGATTTACATCCCTCTGAAGTGGACTATAGATGCCATTGTTTGATTCAAACAGTGCTTTCATATTATGAGGGCACAACCAGGGATAAATAATAATCCTTGTATTTATAACAATATTGCAATGCACAAACTGGCTACTGTGTTTTGCCCACAAAATACATAGCCAATCCACTCGACAATGTGATAAGGCGCTATATAAAATGCAAAGATTATTATTAATACAACCATGGATAATTCCAAATTAAGACATATATTTACCTCCCAAGGATACAGAATGTTGACTTTTTCAAATATCTTCCACTTTTAATTGGATTTGGTAATGGAATAACATTTTATAAGAATTAATAACAATAATAATCATTGTATTTGATAGTGCCTAATCACATCCTTGGAAACATCTCAAAGTGTTTCACAGGATTTACTGTAAAATATAGTGACTGTGTATTTGTATCTCTGGTGAGCGGTTGACCTCACCAAACTGTAGCCCACAAAGGCAGGATGTCTTCATAACCAGAGCAAGTGTTCCCTTTCATCAGCTGAAAGGACACTTATTTCTGCCAGATGGGATTGCTCCTATCGGGTTTCTTTCTCCGTCAAGATGGGCTAAATTACCATGAACACTTGAAATTATGTTATTGTTAAATTGTAATGGGAAACACTGGACTAAAGGCCTAACTGAGGGATAGCAAAATATCCCTGAAGATCAGAATTTCAGTGAAATTTGAGACTAGGAATCAAGTCTTGATGAAAGCCGCCAGGCTTCCTAGCACTTTTATTTGTCTGAGATATGCAAAAACATATTTACAGGTAAAACATTGGAATTGTAGTAGCACAATTATGAAAATGATGTTTCCACAAAGGGTTTGATTCCCAGGCAGGGCAAAACATCTTATGTTCTTATTTGCCTAAATTTCCTTACTCCACACACCTCTGTTTACCTAGCAGTAAGTAGGAACCCGGTTGCTAGTTGATTGGCGGATCGCTTTTCCAAGGGGAATAATCCCTCCCCCCCAAAAAATAATAATTTGGTCACTCAATCCAGGACTGTTTGTGGGATACTGGCATTTACTGGCATTTTTGGTGCCGGTATCAGCAGTGTAATTGTAATTGCAAGCAAGAGGTAGCGAATAAGATGTCTTCTGTTCAAGGGATTCAAACTGAGTCAAAGTTGATATCCATATCTGGCCACTGAAGGCCAGCGAGTATGGTGGGAGCGTTCTCGGAGAGTGGGCTGGCAGTTTAGTCAGTCCGAAATGTGGGATTAGCTGCAACAGAATAATCCTTGCATTTGATATGTTTAATGTTGAGAGGCTGTCACAAGGCGCTTTGAAGGATATACTATAAAGTGTAGTGACTGTTTTATTTTGTGGGTGAATGGAGCAGCGAATTTGCCTATACTACTGTCCCACAAACAGCCATTAAAATTTTATTTGGGTGATTTGTTAGCCAGGACATCAGGAGAAATTCCATTATCTTTTCAAATATTGCCGTGGGATCATTAATGTCCACCTGAACAGCCAGATTGGATCTTGGTTAAACATCTCATCTGAAGGGCGGCATCTCCGACAATACAGCTCTCCAGCACTGTTTGGGGTGTCAGCCTAAACTTGTGAGTTCAGGGTCCCGAAATGGGGCTTCAACCCACAGTCTTCTGATTTAGAGGCAAGAGTTCTACCAACTGAGCCAGGCTGATAACTTCAAAAATTCTGGTATGAGTTAATAATACCATTCTATGTGATAATATAATTCTGATCTTTTTAGTTTGGGAGTGGGGGAAAGGAACCCACCCTCAATCTCTCTTACTACCAACCAATTTCTAACTTGCCTTTCTTTGCTAAAGTTCTGTAACGCGCTGTTACAAGATGTTGAGGATACATTACAACAGCAACTTGCATTTATATAGCGCCCTCCACGCCAGGCGACGTCCCTAAGTGCTTAACAATGATGGAGCCCAAGGCCAAGCCAGGGGGAGGGGGAAGGTGACCCTAGGAACGATCAAAGAACAAGGTCTTTAGGCTCGTCCTGAAAATGTGGAAAGAGGGGACAAAGCGAAGGGATTGAGGGAGGGAGTTCCATAGCTTCAGGGCGTAATGGCTGAAGGCATGGCCGCCAATGGTGGAGCGGAGGATTCGAGGGACATGGAGGAGGCCAGAGCCAGTATAGCGGAGGCAGCGGGTACTGCTGTGGGGAGAGAGGAGGTTAGAGAGATAGGGGGGTGCTAAGGTGTGGATGGATTTAAACACTAGAGTGAGGATCTGGAGGTCGATCTGCTCTGTGACAGGGAGCCAGTGGAGTTTGACAAGGACTGGAGTAATCGGGGTACGGAGTTTGATGCGGGTGAGAATGCAGGCGGCGGAGTTTTGGATGAGTTGAATTTTGTGAATAGTGGAGGAGGAGAGACCGGTGAGGAGGGCGTTAGAGTATTCCAGCTGAGAGGTGACAAAGGCGAGGACAAGCATTTTGGCAGCTTGTGGAGCAAGGTATTGTCGGAGACGGACACTGTGGTGGAGGTGGAGGAATGCGGTCCTGGTCAGGGACCAGATGTGGGGGAGGAAGGATAACTGGGGATTGAACTTCAATTAGCTACATGATGTAATGAAAAACTGGCCGAAAATCCCACTATCACAATTGATCGTGACATGCTCCTTGAGAAGGCCAAGCCTTTTGCCGATCAGCTAGGCATGGAAAATTTCATCGTCAGTAATGGGTGGTTTAGTCACTTCAAGGCTTTGTGTACAAATTTTTTTCTAAGTCTGCTGACATATCCTGCTTCAAGGAAGTTATTATTCAAAAGGAGCAAGTGTTGCATATAAGTAGTGTACTCTTAAATAGCGCAGCAATTCTAATTGCAGCATTTTATACGAATTAATTGTGAATAAATGCTTCTAATTACAACATACAAATATGAAATGTATGTAGAGCTTCTAATGTATCTTCCAACATTTCCAGGCTACTTTCCATTTCATTCTAGTGAATAAACACTTTAACTACAATGAATGTGCGTACTCAAGTGGACAAAATCCGCTGGGTCCCTGCAATGTGGAAATAAACAGATAGGAGAGTATATTTAGCCATTGAGTAGCATTTCCTGATTAAATTTCTCTTTTTTACGATTAGAACTGAGGTACCAATTTTTACCAGAACTGAAGAAAAGGCGACTGACCTATGAAAAGGTTCCTGGAAGAATTGATGGACAGACTCGTCTCAAATTTTTTTAGAGCAGTTAGTCATAACTATTAATGGAGTTTTCCTTCAATAATCTGGTTTAATTTATTAAGCGTTGTACTCTGTGTAGTTAAATGTTTAAGATTTCAATTCACATTGTTGTAATTCAGGAAACACTATTGTGTATTAAAGTTACATATTAGGTTATCTTTGACACATTACATTAATTCCTTGTGTTGAATTGTGGTTCAGTTTATTTTTTAATCTAAAGCCAATATTGAAGTTGTGTAAAGGGAATGTGGGAAATAGAATAAATGTCACACAAAATTCTAATCTTGTATGAATGCTGGATATTACCTGGGGTTTAGCAACCTTGGACACTGTGGCACAGTTTTCCCTTGAGACGAAAGATATCAACAATTCCCCCATACTGAAATTTATTGATTTCACTTTTTTTAAAATCATTGATGCCAAGTGTATCCTTCCTATTGCTACCTCATCATAAATTATTTAACTCACCAGAAATCAGGGATGAAACCTGGAATCACTCTGATATCTATTTATCACATATTTTCAATTGTCTGGCTTCCCTCTAACAAATATCCTCAGTAATCACTACCAATTCTAGCCATACCTGGTTTTGATCCTTTGGGAGCCTATTCTACAGCTAGTATTCCATTGGCTGTTATGGACGTGCAAGCTTGAACTGAAAATAAGGATGGGAATTCATTCCTACCCCCCACCCATGAAAAAAAAGAGAAAACATTCACACAGGTGTTTTTTCTTGGCTAGGTTTCAATGTGTGCCTTTGGTATATTGCTTTCCTGTCACATGGAGACAATTGCTTGAAGGGAATATTTTTGTTGCTTTTGTTTAGGGACTTAGGTGGCATCAAACCCATTTGATATTAAAGCAGTCACATTCTACTGTTGGCCTCTGGCCTAAATTGCATAAAGAATTCAAGGTACTCAGCCACTCGCCATGTTTGGGTATATGTATTCTCAATACACATTCTCATAATATTAAAATAATAATCAAATACACTGTGCCTCTCACTTATTAACTGATACCTCCACATAGTACTTTACATGGCAATTGAAAGAAATGTGAAGCAAATAATTATTAGTGTGAATGTTTTAGATGTTCTAAGTAGAAGAACGTCAAGAGGAAACCTGGAGACAAACTTACTAAGGTCTTCAAGATCCTGCAAGAAATCAATATAAAGACGAACGGCAAGATATCCATCATTAATAACATGTTCCAGAACTAGAGGCCACATCTTCAGGTTGGAGAAAAGTCACTTCTGCAAGACATGAGGAAGCATGTCTTCACATAGAGAATGGTGGAGATCCAGAACAGAATTCCAAGTGATACTCTTTGTGCAAATGCTATTCACTCATTCAAAAGAGGTCTAGACAGATTTGCACGTTGCTTGCAAGATTTCTCAGAGATCGTTTCAGCAGCTACAGACAAGGAACCTAAACGTGCCACACTGCTTATGGCAATGTGTTGCGATAAAGGGTTGATTGGAAAGGCTTGTGTGTTGCTAGGGGCTTGGCTCTTCCCTGGACCTCAGTTGACTTCAGGGAGGGATTTTTCATTGTAACTTTTCTCCTGAATAGTCCTCTTTTTGTTTGGGTGGGGGTGGGTGGGTGGTTGTTGGGGTAGTGGCAGATAATAAGACAGAAGTGTAGTTAAGAAGTGTTGGGTGTGTTTTTTCCTGGGAGTGGGCTGATGGACATCTGATAGCCTGATCTTGGCTGGAATGCCTTAAGATATGCTAATATGAACAATAAATGTAACAATAATCCTTGGATTTGATATAGCACCTTATCACGTCGTGGAGACGACTCAAAGGATATTCTGCAAAGATTATGTATTTTGTTGGCAAATTTACATAGTAAATTTTTTAGTCATTAATTACCCTCTGGATAAAGAAATACTTCTTGGTGTCTGTCCTAAAATTGCTCTTTACAACCCTGATCCTGTCCTGCTAAAAGCTCCCATTTTCTACACCTTTCCTGCAAACTTCCCTTGAAAGGCAAAGTTCACAAAATCACCCAGGGTGCTAAATAGTGTGACTGGAATTGGAAATCTGGGACTAGGGTCACAATTATTTTCATAGATTTGTTGCTTCAGTAACTTCATTCCAAACACTCATCAAACAGATTGTTAACAAACTTTTGAAAGAACTTTTCGGGTGACTGAATCCTTTTTTTAAAATTGCACGTAATATAGTCTGGGCATTGAATAAATGTAATGCTTTAGCCGACATCACTATCAAGCACATTTGTTTTTAAGCCTATACCAATGGTAGGCAACTCATGGCCTACGGGCCAGAAGTGGTCCGTGAGGCCATCAAGCAATGGCCCATCGAACATGTGTACCATTCAGGGCGAGTCTGTTCCAAATCATTGTCTTGCGTACAGTAGCTACCGAATGGCGATGTCCAGGGTGCGACCATAACATGCTCAAATTAGAGCCCACAGAGGATGTGAAATTGTGCAGTGCTCCCAAGTATGAAGCAAATTTCAAAACAACGTTTGATGCAAAATTTGAATTTTATGGCTAGACTTTGCACCATTTTATCAACATTACAACAGACCTTTGTTTAAAAACATTTCAAACCCAATTTAATGATACCATTCAAATGTGCTGCATTACATATATGAAAGAGCTAATTGAATAACAAAAAAAGGAAAATGTTTTAAGTTATTGTGATAGGTGGAGTCCCAGCCATATCAACAGCAGTTTGAAAAGCTGTTGACAATTCTTTGGAATAATGTAATTAATAAAATTCATATATCAAAATATCCTGAACAACCCATTTTAGCAACAAATGCCTAATGTGTCAGCCAATACGAATGCAATTTTTGTTTTCATTGCTCCAAAAAGCACATGGACAAAGGTAAGCTGAGTAGTACTTTCCTGCACAATGCACCTATTGAGTGAATGTTCACACTTTTTAAGTATTACAGTCAATGGTGGAATCTGCTTATTATTTCATTTTGTAATAATTCTTTCACTCCTTATTTCAAAGAGTATGGTGGCACTTTTGTCAGCAGGCAAATCTCCAGAATATATCAGTTATTAATTTCCTGTACTTATCCCACTGTACACATGAGTTCAACTCATCTTTATTAAAATTTAATGCAGGCACGTTTTGTATTAAATTATAGCAAAGTTTGCAATAACTTTACATGTAAACAAATTTTGTTCTTAAAAATGGCAAACTTACTAGGAATTAAAAAGGTTTTTTTGTGTCAATAGGGTCAGTCAGTTAAAATATTCCAAATAGAAATTCTAATTTACAAAAAGGATTAGTAGGAAACTGTGATAAAGACACTAATAAATACAGAAAAAAATTGGCAAGTAAGAAAAGTAACGGTATAGGAATAGTTCTTCATAAAGAGGCAGCATTTATCCCAGTCAAGCTTCTTGCAAATGCTGAGAGTCCAATTTCCTGTAAGAACAGACAATAACAATTAAAGGTCAAGCTTTAAGGGGAGAACTGTGGCCAACTGACAAAAATGTGGTTCTGCGGCAGGATTCGAACTATAAGCAGCATTTGCATTTGTGCATAATATGAAGATCAAGCCCAATCAAATCAAGCCTTTGTTTGCATGATCCATTGGTAAGAACAGATCCAGAGCAATTTACAGAAACCTTGTACAGTTAAATCTGCAGAATACCTGGGAACTCAGCAATATGAATGATGAATCTCGGAAGTGATAGGGCAAAGCTCTACACACAAAGACTGCAAAAAGAAGCCTAAAAGTCTGTGTTTCTCGACTTTCCTGGATCATTGAGGTATGTAATGACTTTTCATCTGTCAAAAAATATTAATTTCACGAGTAAAGTACTGAATTTGGGCTCTTCCCACTACTCGCTCAGTTAGTCCTCAGCAGAATCTGTCCCTCTCTTTGTCAGTAGAATTTGTTGGTAGTTTCCAAATTCTCTTTCATATTATTGCCACAAGCAATTTTCACTCATTGGGGAATATATTTTGTTGAGCACTTTTTACTTCTAGCTTGTATGCGAGCATTGCCAACATCATCCTGCCCACAGTTCGAACACAAATCCCTACCCATTTAATGATAGTTCCACCACTTGGAAGTGAGTATCTTGTGCAGCACCTACTTACCTCTGCATATCAACGAAGCCCTGCTTATAGAAGTGTGTGTTCGTGAATCTGAAATACGAGTAATGGCTTTCAGCAGCTGTTATCCCAAGCCTTAGAGTTTCTTCTTCAGCGATTCCCTGGACATCTGACTTCAGGGTGGTGGAAGGACCTACACAGCACAGCTTGTGATGTGCCAGACACCTCAATGCCCTAGGCCAATGCTTACTCGACATTAACTGCTTCACCCACGTCCTCAAATGAGGATCTTTGACAAACAGACATATCCACCTTGAAGCCACTACTGGAGCCCTCACTCCCTCCAGCCACTTCCCCTTTTTACCACCAATCTCCCTCATTGCTTGGCCCTGGAATTTGGATAATCGCCAAAGGAAATCCCTCCCCTGCATGCCCAGGAGCTCAGAACTCTAAGGTTGAACTGTTTGTACACACATATTATATACCACAAGCTTAACCTGTATTGGGGCTTTGTTTTTATTGAAGAGACAAGAATAACCAGAATGCCCCTCACCCCTTCTTAGCACAGTCCCAAAAGACCGTGCCTAAGCACTGAAGGAATGCGTGTTGCAGGCTTGATAGCTGAATGAAGTTACCCACTTATGTTCCTACTGCCTGCCTGTTCAGGAGGATGTTAAAACTCTCACTGCATTATTCGATAAGAGGCATTTCTCCGGGTGTCACAGCCAACAAATAAAATTGATCATTTTCTGGCTGTTTGTGGTACGTTACTGTGCATAAATTGGCAGCCACCCATTTGTCTGCAAACACAGTCACTACATTTTACCAAAAAATCTTGTGAAGTGTGGGACACTGTGATAACTTGATAAGGTGCTATATCAACTGCAAGAATTATTATTATTACCCGATTTAAAAGAGAGAGCAGGACCTAGGTTCCCTGAAGGGATTGCTTCCTGCAGGTAATCCAACCAACAGGGCATCTTTGCAGGCGTTCTGGACACAATACTGCTGAAGTTCCATTGCTGCTTGCGAAACCTGCAAAGTGAAGACAAAGACTTTCCAGATCAGAAGTTGCATCTCAAACAGAAAAGAACACATAATAAATAGGTTTGTCTGGCTTTCAAAAACTACTTAACATTTTCTTTGTCTCATTTTTTCATTGTTTATTTTTAATTTCTTGGCTCAGACTTTAAATTCTTTTTACTCCACTAAAAATATATATCTGAGTCTATTCTGGTTTCCCCTTTCATTATGAGTTTCATCCTTCCTCTAGTTTATAGCACAAATTCAGTTCTTCCTCTGCAAAGCTGTGTTGAGTTGCTGTGTTGAACACTGCAGCATCCCACGCTGCTTCAACAAGTTTATGACAAAGAATTCCATATTCCAACCACCCTATGCAAAGCAATGCTTTCTATACTCACCTTTAATTCTTTTGTGAAGAAGGAAAGTTATCATGTAGGGTCCCAGTCTTGCTCAAAGGCATCTTAACAAGATGGGGAAAGTCTAAAATATATGTTATGTGCTGACAGGATGGATAGTTGGGAGAAGACACAAAAGCTTGCATTTATATAACAGCCTTCACATAGGGTAATGTCACAGTGTCCTTTACAGTGATGGGATCAGATGCTGAGTATAGAAGGTGACTATAGACAGTCAAAAAGGGAGGTGGTGAGGCAGGATTTGAAGACATACAAAGAAGGGGCAAGACAAAGAAGGGAAGAGGAGTATAATAATAATCCTTGTGCCTTATCACACCATTCAGACGTCTCAAAGCGTTTCACAGAATATATTGTGAATGACTGTAATTGTGGGCGACATTAGTTGTGTGGAGGGGGCAAGCAGAGGAGTGGGATAGGAGAAGATTAGAAAGTTCTAGGGTGTGAAGGGCTTTGTAGGTGACATGAGGACCTTGAAATTGATCTACTAGCACAGTGTTGTCCAATAGAAATCGGTGACCAGCCAAAGGGGTGGCCACAGCGACACATTTTAGCCACATGCACTAATTTTAATAGTAATAATCCTTGCATTTGATATAACGCCCTATCACGCCTTCAAGGCGTCTCAAAGCCATTCAAGGAAGATAGTGTAAAGTGAATTGATTTTATATTTTGTCGGTGAAATGCGGTAGCCAATTCCTCACAGCAGCGTCCTACAAACAGTCGTGGATTGAGGTGACCAATTTATTATTTTTATTGAAGGATTATTACCCCCGGAAAAGCAATCCGCCAATTGACTAACAACTGGGTTCCTACTTACTACTAGGTAAACAGGCGTGTGGAGTAAAGAAACGTGATCAACATTTCGCCCTGCCGGGAATCGAAACCAGGTCTCTCGCTTAGTAGAAATGCCTCACATACACTCAGGCAAAGGTACTTCACATGTAGATTTTCATATATATTTACTTAACAAACTTCTGCTTATCAAGCCTCTATCTCCATTCAGTCTAAAACTTTGCAGTCTTTTTCTTTTCCTTTCGTGAGATGTGCCAGACTGAGGTGACCAATTTATTATTTTTATTGAAGGAATTATTACCTGCTTTGTATTACCCTGCTATTATTACCCTGCTCTCCATCCAGGACGTGTTTGGATACTGCTTGCTCTTTGCCATGACGTGCCCTGTAGGAGCTGTTTGTTATTGGCTGGGCTATTCCCATTGACAGCTCCCCTCTCCATACAATATTGCTGGTATTTCCAATGGTGCTAAAACCTGGCATTTTCACCCATTTTAACACACTATTTTTGCAGATAACCAATAACAACAAAACAACAACAAAATTACATTTATAGAGCGCCCTACACGTCGGGAGGACGTCCCAAAGCTAAATAAGCAGTCACCAAGGAATTAAAGCACAAAGAACAATCAAAAAATACTCACACACGCTGCTTTTCATCTTACCATTTTACCAACAAACACATAATAATAATAATAATAATCCTTGCATTTGATATAGCGCTTTTCACGTCGGGAGGACGTCCCAAAGCACTTCACAGAATATACTGTAAGTGAATTGACTGTATATTTGTGGGCGAACGCAACAGCCAATTGCGCACAGCAATGTCCCACAAACAGTCTTAGATTAAAAATGACCAATTTATTATTGTTTTTGGTTTTGGAGGGATTATTATTAGGCTCTCTGTGGAGTAAGGAAACTTGCCCAAGGTTTCACCCTCTGCCTGGAATTGAACTCAGGTCTCTTGCTTGCAAAGCGAGTGCTCTAACCACTGAGCTACAGGACTCCAAAAGGCTCAAAGTACACATGCATATGCTATGGAAGTCTGAGTATTGAGATCACATTCCCAACGATGGTATCTAACATTAATGTTTTATTTACTAATCAAAAATGCAGTATCTGGATTCCCAATTTGCCACATGTGGCTAGTGTCTAAAGTAATGGACAACCCTGTGCTAGCAGACAGTGGAGCCTGGCGAGGACTAGGGTAATGGGCATGTGCAGTATGATGTGGGTGAAGATATTGGTGGTGGATTGTCTACAGAAGTACACAGTTTCAGTTTATCCACTTCATGTGTGACATCTAAAAAAATTCTCATTTCCCTAAATTTGGTGGCAATGCCTTTAGCCGCTAAGCCCTGAATCTCTAGAACCCCTTGCCTCAATCCCTCCTCCTTTCCCCTTCTTTATTGGTCTTCAAAGTCGCAACAGAAGATTTTCCTCTTTTATGTGCCTAGTCATATTCCTTTCTCACCGGCTTGGTGTCAAACTCCACTATTGTTAAGCACTATGAGACCCGACCCCATGTGAATGGTGCTGCATAAATGCAAGTTGTTGTTGAATACTGTCTTGCTAAGTTAACAAATTACGACATAGTATCAGGTATTAACATCCACTGCGTAGCTCGCCAACATTCCTACACCATTTTAGCCACTGAACTATCAGTATTTGCATTTCCACCTGCAGCAGGTCTACTGTACTTGAAAAGCTCAATGTTGTCTTTTTCACTCTGAGTAGTAAGTACACACTCTCAATCAAAGTTACTTTCTCTCTCCCGCCCCCTCCCCTTTTTATAGGCTATACAGTTCCTCTGGATTAATAAATTGCTCCATAAGGAATCAATCTCAAACTCACAACCCGCTGCTCGCTGAACAGTTGGAACAACCCATCATCAAAAAACTATTTGGTGACTTAATCCACGACTGTTTGTGAGACACTGCTGTGGGCAATTGGATGCTGAGTTTTGTCCACAAAATACACATTCAATCCACTTTACAATATATTCTGCGAAGTCCTCTGAGATGTCTCAATGACGTGATAAGGCGCTATATCAAACATAAGGATTGTTATTATTATCCCCACTATTGCAGACTTTTTTTGAGGTGGGAGTGTGTTACAATTTATTGTACATTAGGATTGTGGAAAGAATTGTGTATGTATATGTGTGTGGGGGTAGGAAGAGCTCCTTCAAAATTGCCGCCCACGATTTTTAATGATTAAAATCAGCCTCTAAAGTTCAAAGCTGCACTTTGTTGAAAGGAGCGTTCCGGGAGTGGCTGGATGGGAAGGAGAGGGAGAGAGGGAAGGAGGATGTGAGCAGGCAATAGTGAGTCACACCTCACTCCCCGCAAAAGCCAGGAATAAACAAAACAGCAGCTCTGACAGAGGCCAGACACAGGGCCAATTATTTCCTCTCCTTTAGAGAGAAAGAGTACACAGATAACTGGCAGACAGACAGGCCCCAGATGACGCCAAAGAATGAGATCAAAGCTCCAATAGTTTATAATTTCTTCAAACCCTGATATTATGTTAAGGGCCGCTGGCCTCTGACCCCCACCGTCAATCTTTCTCTTGGGGTGCATTCTGTGCACTTAATCTGAACATTGTTCCTGGCTGAACAAGAAATACATTTTGTTTTCTCATTGGTATGTTTAGAAAAACTTCTTAGATCACATCCCCAGCGTGGTGTGTGCATGTATGTGTTTGTATGCGTGTATGTGTGTACGTATACGCGCGTGTATGTGGAAATGGGGGGGGGGGGGAGTAGGAGCCTTTGATATTTCTTCAAAGTCTCCTCCCCACCCACCCCCCACAATACAGGAAGGTATTAACAAATTGAAGGAGGGGGATCTACTCGTATGAAACCCCAAAAGAATTGTTTCAGCAAAACGTAAACATACCACTTTCAAGAGCTTCACCATCATCTAGAATTAAATCCCTCACGCCACAGCATCAGGTATCTCAATTAACTTACACTTCTCACCCCTTTGCTTAGCAAACCTCGGCTTGCTGCACATCCCCCACCACCTCCACGTCAGTGGCCGAATCTTGAGAAACTAAGCTCCCACCCTTTAGTACTCCCTCCCCCTATCCCTCCATCTCACTCCTTCACAAACTGTCTTTAAATCGTTTTGCCCACAAAATACACAGACGATTCACTTTCCAGTATATTCTGTGAAGCGCTTGAGACATCTCAACAATGTGATAAGGCGCTCTATCAAATGCAAGGATTATTATTAAAAATTGTGAAGTCCCATAGCATAGCGGACAGCGCATGCAATTTGCAAGTGAGAGGACTTGGGTTTGATTCATGGCCAAGTTTCTTTACTCCACATGCCTCTGTTTACGTAGCAGTAAGTAGGAACCCAGTTGTTAGTCGATTAGCAGATCACTTTCTGGGTAACAATACCTCAAAACATTTTTTTAATAACTTGGTCACTTAATCCACGACTATTTGTGGGATACTGCTGGGAGTAATTGGCTATTGCGTTTCGCCCACAAAATATACAGTCAATTCACTTTCCAGTATATTCTGTGAAGTGCTTTGAGACATCTCAATGACATGATAAGGCTATGCTGTGGTCACCCCCCTCTCCGCTTCCTTGGTCTCCAACATCATTGGTGTGAAGTAGAATGCTATATAAGTTGTTCTTGTTGTACACAGTAATAAAACTCCTATAAAACCTGTTTGGGTGGATGATAAAGAACGCATGATGCTATTCAAAAAGAGAAAGGAGTTTCTCCCTTTGCCTTGAGTTGAAGAGTGCTGAAGACAAACTGATCATTAATTTTAGGGCTGCTGAGTGCAAACTAGCTGCTGCTTCTGTCTATAGATACAATAACCATTTTCAGGGTACAAAAATTACACTTTAACGTTATTATTATTTTTAAATTACTGCAGTACACATTTGTGCTGTTTTTTTTCCTATGGATTTTGGCTTCACTTGTGGGTGAAGGCTTGTAAGAAGCCATCAATTTATAGAAGTCACATGACAATGTGAAAAACAGATTTTTGGTCACTGGGTGTCTGACACATGTGGAAACCTATCACCAAGCTTAAGAATATCTAAACCAGAATGAGAGTTCCATGCATCCCACCTCCATGTAGAAATTCCCGTGTCTCGAATGAAATATGCACTTTCATCCTCGAGGTACACATCCTGCTTTACCTAATTCTGGAGAGTATTAATCTCAGGCTGGTAAGAACTAAGGCTTGTGGACCCCATAGTGTGCATTAGGGCACTGCTAGAGTCTAACCAGCTAAAACCGCATAGCTTGTTATTGAAAGAATTGTCTGGCAAGCTTTCCCGCTGCTTGTCCAGCTACAACCATCCTACCTGCTAGGGCTTTGATTTGTAGGGTTAACAATAGTTGAGTGGGAGGATTCCCTGCCCCAGTGGCTGGTCTGCACTTCCACTGGGGCAGGGATGAGCCAGGATAATATGTGAAAAATTAATACTTAGAAAGGTTTATGAACCTGGAGAGAGGTCTGTAAGTAGGAAACCATTCTGTCTGCAGAACACTTCCAGGCATTACGTAACCTGAAAGGTGCAGTATAAGTGCAAGTTGGTATGCACCCACAAAATACACTGTCAATCCACTTTACAATATATTCTGTGAAGTGCTTTGAGAAATCTCAATGACGTAATAAGGCACTACATCAAATGCAACGATTATTATTATTTGCAGATTGCTTCATTTTTGCACAAATTTATATATGCTTAAATACTTTTGAATGCTTTCATATTAAAGTATCCGCACTTTAATCCTTCTTGTGGATAGATTTACATGATTTGGGACCTGCCTTCCTCTGTTGCTCATCAAGCACCTTAAAGTGTAGAGAGATGTCTGTTCTCTCTTCCCCGCCCCACTCAGCAGTCTCCTCACTTCTTTGTTCTCCCTTTGCACTACATCTACCCACGGGCCATTTCCCATTGCTCAAATACTCTTTTTATCTCCATGTTAACACAACCTGTCCATTAATGGTTGTTGAAGTGACCAGATTCCGGTGTAAAGTTAGCCTTCAGTCTTCGTAGCACTGATCAGGGTTAGTTCTGCTGTAGAACATTTGTAGACATGAAATAAAACATTGATATCCAGAAATGGCAGCAGCCTTCTTAAAATGAGTTAAGAGGCAAATTACTGTATTTTAAAGCCATTTGAAAATACTCAAGGAAACGTTTCCAGATTTTAAGAATAACAGGATGCTTCTGAAACACTGACTGGTGCCTAAGCCTATACATCTAACGTTAGGAATATGTAGCTAAAGGCTACACAAAGCAGATACTGTAGCAATGCCCTGTATTCCTGATGAGTGAGTGAGTGCACTGAACGGGGCGGCAGAATACTGGGCATCAATTACATGGTGTATCTTCACAAACTCCCCGAATCCCAACCAAACACATAAGATATAAAACCCTAACCCTAACCTTCAAGATTCAGTAATAAATCACCGCAACCCACCCCCCACCCTGCCCCCAGCCCCAGCCTCACCCCCAACCCTGCCCCCAGCCCCAGCCTCACCCCCAACCCTGCCCCCAGCCCCAGCCTCACCCCCAACCCTGCCCCCAGCCCCAGCCTCACCCCCAACCCTGCCCCCAGCCCCAGCCTCACCTCCAACCCTGCCCCCAGCCCCAGCCTGGCTGCCCCCAGCCCAGCCCCAGTCTGGCTACTCCCAGCCCAGCCCCAGTCTGGCTGCCCCCAGCCCCAGTCTGGCTACTCCCAGCCCAGCCCCAGTCTGGCTGCCCCCAGCCCAGCCCCAGCCTGGCTGCCCCCAGCCCAGCCCCAGTCTGGCTGCCCCCAGCCCAGCCCAGCCCAGCCTGGCTGCTCCCAGCCCAGCCCAGCCCAGCCTGCCTGCGCCCAGCCCAGCCTGGCTGCTCCCAGCCCAGCCTGGCTGCTCCCAGCCCAGCCCAGCCTGGCTGCTCCCAGCCCAGCCCAGCCCAGCCTGGCTGCTCCCAGCCCAGCCCAGCCTGGCTGCTCCCAGCCTCACACAGCACGGCTCAGGCTGCTCCTTTGTAACATTTCACTCACCTTCATCCTCTCAATTGCCGCCTCAAACTTCAGCTGCTCCACTAACCGCTGCATGGTGGACAGGCTGGAGTTGGAGGACATGCTTATTCCTTTCCCTTTTCCCTTCTTTTCCACCAAGTTTCACTGGAGCCACCTCTGGCCTTGGCTGCTTTTTCTGGATGAAATGCGCTTCTCAGCAACGCTCCTGCTGGCTCCCACTCTCGGAACTGATGTCACCCGGATCCAGCAAAACCAAGCACAACAGTCCCACTGACTGCAAACATTAGCAATGTGTGAACACAAGATGGGGCCCGGCAACAGGCACTCACATTGCCACCTACAGACTAACAGCAAGGCTGCAGCAAAGCACTGTGCCCCGGGGAGGGGGAGAGAGCGAGAGGGACATCTGAATGCTGTGAGAGATAGGTTCACTTTTTTTTGGACAGCGGCGTGTCTGACACTTACTGAAACCCATCACTATATTTAAGAGTATCCAAACCAAGCTGAGATTTCCATGCATCCTATCCACACGTGGAAATCCCAGAGGGAGATTGTTGGAATGGAATGGACACTCTCTCTCTGCAGGAACCCATCCTGCTTACATAATTCCGGAAAGTATTAGGCGCAGGTTGGCAAGAGCCAAGGCTTGGGGACCCCGGAGTGTGTGTTGGGTACTGCTGGAGTCTAACCAGCTAAAACTGCATAGCTTGCCATTGATATCGCTGTCCAGCAAGCTTTCCCGCTGCTGGTCCAGCTGGGACCACCCTACCAGTTAGGGCTTTGGCCTGCAGGGTTAATGAGAGCTGAGTGGGATGATTCCCTGTCCCCAGTGACTGGTCTGCCCTTCCAGGGCCTGCCAATGAGCCAGACTGGCTGTGCTGTCATCAGCAGTGCTTTGGTAAAACTCTTTCTTGAAGGGTGGTTTTGTTCAAATCTAATCCTTTGAAAACACGTTTGCACTTATCGTGCGAGTAAGACTATCCGCCAATATCAGCCAGCTGACAGCTCAAGTAAATGTGGAACAATGCTTTCAGATATGCCGAGATAGCAGGACAAGTGGGAATGGGTATAGACCCTGAAAGAGAATTTTAGAACAATCACCAGGAAGTATTTCTTTACCCACAGATAATCAATAGCTGGAACATATTACCAGAAGACCGATAGAGGCCAAAACCCTGGGCTCATTGAAGAAATATGAAATTTCTTGTAAGTTCACCTCAGTGTGATACAAACCATTTAGTGAAATTAATATCCGCATGATTGTAACACTGCATGAAGTGTTAAGGCTTCCATCTGTGATAGCTTGTAACTTAGTTACATTCTGTTATCTGAGGACTGCCTGTTGTGAATTTAGTTCAACTGGTGCCTGGGGCACTTAAGAGATTCTGTTATGTAAATTGCTTTCTGGACTATTATAATAATCCATTTGATATAGTGCCTTATCACATCTTCGATGTCTCAAAGCGCTTCACAGAATATACTGCAAGGTGAATTGACTGTAAATTTTGTGGGCAAAACCCCTTCCTTGAAGGATAGTTCATTATTGAGTTCATCTTCAAAATTTAAATACTAACTTTAAGGGATTATTTTACTAGTTTCTGCTTTTTACTGTGTCCTGATTTACATTTTGCAAATTCGCTGGTATTTTCTGGTTGTTGTCAAGAGAAATGTACAGCATCAGATGAACTATTTGATTTGGACTGCAGGGTGTTGCTATAGTGCCAGAAACTTGAGAGTACTGCAATCAATACAGTTTGTAGTTGCTGGAAGGATGATAATGATAACTGGAGTTCAAATTAGGCAGGAATCTCACAAAAGTGACAAATTCATTATTGATCTACCACTGATAAATATTCAATATATAGGCACAATTTCAATGACATATACAGAAATATTCCTTTATTTTTCAAAGACAAATAGTAGACACGATAAAACATTGTACCAAACAGAATGAATAAAAGCAAATCATACTTTACAATTAGCAAATAGATGTTACAATCCAGTGTCATTAACAAGTATCATAGAATCATATAGCACAGGAGGAGGGCATTCAGCCCATCGTGTCTTTTAAATAGTTCAGAAAGGCTATTGTGTGATACGTGCAGAATATTTCACACGACTTTCATTTTTTAAAATGTAACTGGTCCGAAAACACTAATTTCCACAAACTATATTTTCACTTGTAGAGACTTTCATACTATTGTCCATTTCAAAATACTGCATTAAAAAGTGGAATATCAAAGTTAGCTCGCCAGGAATTTCAGATCAGTTTCATACCAGTTCCTGTTTGGAACATTGAAAAATATTACTACAATCCCTTTTGCCTTAAGATATATACATGGAATTTGCATCATCACGCCATAGAAGTTCTGTGCAACACATACAGGCCTTTAATCTCATGCACTCCAAAAATGTATTTGTCAATTGTGTACCAATTCTGAACAGGTGTATGAAGATATGTTGGAATATTGATAAAATGTTCTAAAAAGTTATGAAGCTGAAAAATAGAAATATTGTTAGGTCATCCGAATAATGTATATTTTAGTATTCTATCTGCAGTGTCAATTATAATTTGCAAATTAAAAGCACTTTTATTTTAAAAAAATCTAAATATTTTCAAATGCGTTAACAGATAAAAGGAAAGCACAGCACAGAACCCGCCCTGGTCAAGGTCACAAATGACATCCTGACCATCTGTGACCAGGGCTCCCTCTGCCTCCTCGTCCTCCTCGACCTATCGGCAGCATTCGATACGGTCGACCACTCTATCCTCCTCCACCGCTTGTCCTCCCACCTAAACCTTCAAGGCCCTGTCCTTGAGTGGTTTAGGTCGTACCTCTCCCACCGTCTTCACTTTGTCTCCACAAATGGTTTTTCCTCCACCCCCCGCACTGTCTCGTGTGGTGTCCCTCAGGGCTCTGTCCTCGGTCCCCTCCTCTTCACCCTCTATATGCTCCCCCTTGGTGACATCATCCGCAGACATGGGGTTAACTTCCACATGTATGCGGATGACACCCAACTCTACCTTTCCTCCTCTACCCTCAACTCCACGACCACCGATGTCCTGACAGCTGCCTGTCCGACATCGAGTCCTGGACGAGAGACAACTTTCTTCAGCTCAACGTGCGAAAAACTGAGGCCCTCCTGATTGGCTCACGTCAGCGCCTCCGCACCTCAGGCGCTGACACCATCAGCATCCAAGGCTGCACTCTCCACCTCTCAAAGCCGTCAGGAACCTCGGGTTCTGTTCGACCCTGAGCTGTCCTTTCTCCCTCATATCCGCACCACAACTGGCACCGCCTTCCATCACCTCCGGAACATCGCCAGACTACGGCACTACCTCACCCCTCACGCTGCTGAAACTCTGGTCCACGCCTTTATCACCTCAAGGCTGGACTATGGGAACTCTCTCCTCGCCGGCCTTCCCGGCACCTCCCTCCACAAGCTGCAGGTCATTCAGAACTCTGCAGCTCGTGTACTGTCCCGCACCAGGCTTCGGGACCACATCACTCCCACCCTCGCTCGCCTCCACTGGCTCCCCATCCCCCAGAGGATTGATTTCAAGATCCTCATCCTCACCTACAAGGCCATTCACGGCCTCGCTCCCTCCTACCTCTCCGACCTACTATCCCCCTACTTACCCGCCCGTACCCTCCGTTCCTCTGGCTCCGGTCTGCTCCACATCCCCCGCCCCAACCGCCCTACCATCGGTGGCCGGGCCTTCAGCCTCTCAGCCCCGAGGCTCTGGAACTCTATCCCCCAGTGCCTTCGCCGCCTCCTCCCTTTCCTCCTTCAAGGCCGGTCTCAAGACCTTTCTCTTTGACCGTGCCTTCAGCTCCCCTCTCGACTCTCTACCCCCTCCTCGCTCCCTCCCTTCCCTCCCCTCCCCCTGACCATTTCCCCCCTGCTCGGGTCCTGACCCAACTGTACAGCGCCTTGGGACGTCCTCCTGACGTGAAAGGCGCTCAATAAATGGAATCTTGTTGTTGTTGTTGTTGAAATACTCTGAAGAAGTTAATAACCAATTCAAATATTGGTGCAAAATAATAATAAACCAGAATAATTAATAGCAAATCGATTCAGAAATGGTTAGATGCAAAAGAATTGCAAACAATAGGTAGCTACTTACACCTTATACAAAAGATCTTCAATCTTCTTATAGAGACTTTGAATATTATTTACTCCATTATTAACAAAGGATACTCACTGAAGCAAGAATTATCAATGCGATAATGGCACCAAAAATACAAAAGTAATCACAGTCTTCATCTGTCAATGCACAGAATTTACTTTAAATGTACAAAACAGAGCAGTTTTCACGTCATAAGATTACAGCATAGATTTCCCATCCCCTCTCAGACTTTTGTCTTTAGTTGTATCCAATATAGAATTATACTTTTCAGATACAGAATTATACTTTTGTATATCAAAATGCTTCTGACCAAAAGATCTGTAGACAGGCAATTAGTAAGACTGGTGAGATCAAGCACTATGGAATCTAACTTTATCAGTTGACATGAAGGTGAAACAAAATGATATCAAACTTTTTATCGATTCGCATACCTGCTAACTGAAGAGTAGTCCTTGAGGAAGGAAACCAGTATTAAGACAATAATGGAATAGAGTGTGCCAATAAAGTTAGCACAAATATAGCCATTAAAAGTAGAGCATTGCATCTCAGCATTACTGCAAGTTGCTATTACTGTAATGCTATTGGAAATAGGTACTGTACTTTGAGGTAATGGATCTGAATGTCACCGCAGTCAGGTATGGATGCAAACCTAGTAAACTAATTAGTGCTAATAAGAAGGGATTAGCTTGTTCTTTATAGTTTCTGGCCCCAGAAAGTTTGAAGAGTGGATTCTTGCGCTAAAATTTTATTCAATTCCTCAATGTCCCCGCAATGGCATTGCACACCATGGACAGTTTACTCAGACTGTTTGCCTCATTGCTTTGGTTCTGCCAGCAGTTCATCTGATATGCACCTTATTATATTTACTTTTTATGTTTTCAATTTTGGAGTTGTATCAAAACTGTGGTTCTGCAATATTTTTTGTATTTTCCAAGTTTGTCCATATAAGTTAAATTGATTTAACCATTATTTACTCAATTTAAGAGGTTTGCACATGGACACACTGCACTAATGGATCTTTTCTAAATAAAATGTGGAAATATGCACAATCGGCAGAATTGTCAACACTTTTAATCTACTGACTAAGAAATTAACAAATAGGATTGTCCTAATACTTTCTATTCAAAAAGGTAGAAAAAGAATAGTCTGACATTACACTCCAAAAGTTACAGGTGAAAATAGTGATATTTATCCCTTTTCCTAGGAAGATTGCATGTTTATCACAAAACTCTGCAGAGTCATTTAAAAAAGGGATAAAAATCAACTATCATTAAAAGAAATAGTGATCAGGCTGTATTTGGGTTGCAGTTAATATTCCACTTGAGTTGAACACCATTTTTGAAGCTTTCAGAGGCCTCCTGTACCAAAGAATACGAAAACACTGTCAAATAGAGCAACATATGGTCTCAGAGACAGTAAGGGGTGTTATATCTTTGAAAGCTTTTTAAAAACATTCATCCAAAATAGCTTTGATAGTTATGTAAAAAATACAATATTTTGTACATAGATTGGGAAGTTTACAAGATAAAAACATCAACGCTCCGGATCATAATTATGTATTTAGAAGCATTACATTAAAAACTGCTGCTCATCAAGTGTAATTTAAAACCTCTGCATAACAGAAGTTTCTATTCGACTAATTAAAAGCGCAACAGGATGCAGAAATTGTTGTTCCAAAAACACATTTTTTAAAAAAATCATGTTAGATAAGTTAAATGTCATGAATTAGCAGTAAGAGTCCAAACCATGTTTCAATAAGAAATTGAATGAATATTGATCATAAGAGTGTAAACAGTGCAACATTGTTTGTTTCTTTTGTTATTTTTCTGTGAAAGAGCCCAACTTCATGTGAGGTAAAGCACCATTTTGATATTCTTTATAGATCATCCCAGAGCAGCAAAGGTATTTTAAAATCAAAATGGCTCAAAAGCTTGAGACAGGACTACAGATAATAATTCAGGCTCCAGTATTAGTTATCTAACCAGACACTCAATCTTCACAATTTAGGACATATGAAGCCTTTTGTAACTGCTTCCAATATACTCCACCCTCCCAGTGTTCTGCATTATCAATTTGAATTACTGGATTAAGGGATTGTGGAACTTTATTTCTACTCAAATAAAATTACCCAATATTGGTAAATTCAGTAACCTGGACAACCAGTTCAGATTGAACAATTGTGGTACTTTGCTTCTGACTATTTTCTGTTTGTTCCTGTTTAAAGGCTGAACACGGCAATGTTTTCCAAGTCAAAATCTGGAACGAATTCTCTGACAGCATGTTTTACTGGTATAAAGCAAAATGTTTATTGTTTCTCTCAGTTTGCCAGTCAAGCACAACCACACATTGTAATGTAAAATACAATTGATGCCCATAGAAACAATCACTACAAAACCAATTCTGCAAGGTCAGTATTGAACACATCCATCATTTTCTGAAATCAGTGCACATGAAGAGCAGACATTTTGAAATTACCCATTTAAAAGGGTTCTGAGAGACCTACCAGAAAAGATTAACCTCACGAATAGATCAGCAGTGCAAAAAATTCTCTATGACCAGTTTTACACAAAAATTAATCAATTACATGCTGTCAAACCAATTGTGTTTAATATCTGCTTCTGTGTTTTTATGTAAACATTGCTACTCAAAAAGAGTACAAAATACAATTGTTTAAAAAAGCAAAATACACTTTTTAGTTCAATTTGTATTTCTTCCTCAAATTAAGAGGTTCGTTCTTCAAAGATTCTGCAGCTAAAAATTGTTTCACAAAATGGGAATGTGCTCCCTGAACTTCTCAGGTCAAATTTGGTGGCTTGAACCATAGGATGGATGCACACACTGTGGCAAAATTACATGCATTGGGCATAACATTGTTTATTAACTAAACAAGTTCCATCTAGCACTGATACACTAGTCTGAACGTATATTACCTGACCAAAATAAGCTGTTCAATACACAGTAACATCTCATCTATAATATTATGTAAAAAATACTGTTCCAACCATAACATTTCTTACAAGCCATTTATGCATTGACCAGGAGTCAGCTATGCTAATTGCTCCATATCTATCACCGCGGAGGAGAGAACATCAACGTAAGCTTTGCACAAACTCCAGGATGTTAAGTTGCACAAGAACATATCTGATGCCTGCAGAATGGGATCCCAAATGTCATAATACAGGTCGGTGTTTGTTAACATGTAGCTATTATTAAAAACAAATTGTTACTTTTAATGAACAATGAACAAGAATGGACAATATCAAAGACAAAAAATCTACTTAGCAGTGGGAAATTATATTAACATTATTGTTTTGAATGCTATCAAATCTTTGACACCAACACTGTAAACATGAATAGAGCATTAATGAACAGCTGATGTCCAGATGTGCGGAGGTTTACTGTAGAATTACAGGCATTCTCTTCCAGTTTCCTATTTTAAAATGCCCTTATGAGACAAAGCAAAAGGATGGCACCCAGAATCACTGTATCAGGACCTAGCACCTTCACCTACCAAATGAAAAATGTACACTGGTGAAATCAATGGTGACCAAATTGAAGTTGAGGGCTCTAAAAATATAATTATTGCACCCAAACGGACGCCGTGTATTAAGGGGATGCAAGCAATAAATAAGATTAATGCAAACAATAACTTAGATTCACAAATCAGTTGTGTGCTTGTGAAAAGCTAAACATAACATATAAAATCAGCTTTAACCTAAGGAGCAGGTACCCATGAGATTCTACCATCCGGGCTGTGATATTCTGTTTTACATCCAGTCTAAAAATCCGAAAAGCCAACAATGGCTGAATGTTGCACATTTTGATTCCTTCTAAGCATATTAAGTTAAATTACAAGCACTACAGTGAACAAGCATCAGTGCACAAATCAATCCTGCACAAAGCAATGTTGGCGTTTCATATCTTCTCTCTCTATATATTAATATTTATATATAAAGTGAATAAGCAACCAATGATTTTTCATCAATTTGACATGTTCTTTCACAATTCAAAAATATAATTCAGATAATAGCAATAATATAGTCTGAGGTTATCACTAATATTTGGCAATACACCCTTTTTTGGATGAAACTAAATGTTGGTAAGGTTGTAAATCTGTTTTATATCAACTGAATCCTGAGCTATCGATCAACTTACATCCATATTCGATTACGAAAATATTTTTTTTATATAAAAAAACATAGTAAACATCGAAGTATAAGGCAGAGTATCTAATCATCAATGAAGGTTAGCCTTCCAGGGCCTTCAGTTTTCATCCACCGTCGATACCGTTTCCACCGAGGATCTAAAGCCACTTTCTTTTTAAGTTCTTCCTCTTGTTCCTGTTTATACACCTAAAATAAATAAAAATACAATCCTCATGTACAGGATACATTTTTTAGATTTGTTAAACTTGAAATTATTCTTTTGATACAAAGTGTTCAAACAAATATCAATAATTATCATAAAATCATAGAATTGTACAGTACAAAAAGAGGCCATTCAGCCCCTCGAGTCTGTGCCGGCTCTTTGAAAAGAGCAATGTAACATCAATCCCCCTCCCCAGCCCTTTCCCCATTACCCTGCAGAGCCGTTCTCCTCAAATACCCGTTCACCGCGTTTTTAAAAGTTGTTATCAAATCAGCCGCCACCACCCTTTCAGGCAATGCGTTCCAGCATCTTGCATTTATATAGAATCCTTCATGGGAACTATGGATTTAACAATTTGGGATAAATAAATTTATTTTTATCGTAAAATAAATGTAGGACAAGTTTTAATAAACTTTTATTAAATCTTTTGTATTACTGGGGAAGGACTGAAGTAAAGCTTTAGAAAAAATGACTTTGTCCAAACAAAATGTTGATTATTTCTTCAATTTTTTATATAAAGTGTAATTTTCTCTCTTTAGGTTCACTGAGTGTAACCAAGTTTACTAGCATCTTCATTAAAATAATGCCACGTAGCAAAGGCATTTAAAGGACATCTTTTAGTGCTAATTTACAAACAAATCACACTATAACCCTTGGAAATGAGAACATACCTCAAAGTTTTCTTTCAACCACAGTTTCCTTTCGAGAAAAGTCTCTTTCTGTTGATCTTCTAGACTGTCAAACTGGCCTCTAGACATAGACATATTTTTTCGGATAATGTACAATTTTTCTTCTTCCCCATATTCTTCCCCTTTAATACTAAAGCGATAGATCCAAGTACAGTACCAGATTACATAACTACACAAGTAATAAGGAGCCAATACAATCTGGAAAATTAATATGTCAAATAGCCTCGGTTTTTGATAGCCCCCTTTAATATCTATGTTATTTTTGATAATATCTCGAATAATTTCTTCCTCCTCCTCTTTGATTTCATCTTTCGATCGTCTGTTTTTTCCTTTCTCTTTAGCTCTGTTAAGTAGACCTTGCTGTTTGGCGATTTCTGTGGCCTGGATCCTGTACTTTGGCACAGTGGTGAGATAGTGAATGGCCTCATTGTAACTGCTCCACCAGCTGTAATACTGAAACATAAAGAATAATCCTTCAAAATAAAGTGGATAAAGAAAATGAAAAATTACCACCTAAAGCCATAAGTTATTGTTGTTTTAGAAAGAAGTCAAGACAATCAGTTACAATTAACTGAACCACTTAGCGTAAAAATACTGCATGTTTAAAAGATTATAAAAAAATTGGATATCAGTTTACTTTGTTTCAATTCCCTTTCCTGATCATTGTTTCAAAATTCTTTTCATTCTCAATCCATTCTGCATTCAGCCAAAAGTTACTGTCCGTAATGTTTAACCAACAATGTTTACATTAGGGTAATGTTTACCTTAACCCTTGCCCATTATCAAACTGGTCCATTAGCCTGATGCACCCGAGTGAGTTCCAAACATATAAACCAATATTAAGGCTAACAAAATTTAAGCACTCAACCATGAGAAAGAGATAAAAGAACTGTTCTCATGTGACGCTTCACCCAACGCTGCAACTGAAAAGATCACTTTAATTTCAGCTTCACACCCAGATTTCACAGAATTTTTCAATTCTTACCCAACAGTCATCACAGTGATGTTACATAATCCAAAATGAAAAAAAGTGATGAACAGTATCACGAGTTCCATCTACAACATACAATGGCAATTCAAGAATTTAATTGCAATCTTCTTCACAAATTAAGGTGTAAAAGGCAAACTATAAGATATACAAAAGTCACAAAAAATTTAATTAGACATTAATTGTTAAATGACAAAAATGGTTCTATTAATTTTCATACATTAATTAAATGGATTTCTTATTGGTTTCAATTGTTCACTGAAGTTAGAATTACATTTCTTTTTTATCATTCTCTTTGAAGAAAATATTTATATTTTATCAAGTTATTTGAAGAACCAAACCCTCTGTGCCTGTGAAAGATGGACACAAGGGATGCCAGGCAAGCATATGCCAACTATAGCTTTATGTACTGATTTGGGAAAAAAAAACTGATACAATTCATCATTAAACTCTTCCTTATTAATGAAGACACCCCCTCCACACACACACACCCTTCAGAGCATTATTTGGGGAAAGGTGATCAACCTTACATGTAATAGATTGGGAGAGAAATCTTACTTTTGTGACGATTAGGAAGTTCAGAATAGATGATGTGCAATGTATCTTAGGGATCAAATATCTGACATCATATTGTATCTAAAGGTAAGAATCAAGGGCTCAGTTCTCCATTTAATTTATGGCCAGTATGCATTCGGTCAGTCAATTATCAACCTGATCCAGTCAAGTAGAAACAAGATATATATGTAAGATGTGTAGCAGTCAACAGAAACTGGTCTAAATTTGATATTTACTAAAAGTCTTCTTTAAACTCCAAGGCTCAGTTTGTTTACCTCAACAACAAAACAGTTTAAATATTGCACTCACCTTTAACTATAATACCACAGAAATAACTATCATCACTGTTTACTGCTCCTACTTTACCTGGAAGAGTGATATAGCAGAGACAGTGACCAATATAACAATTCGAACATCTACTTTTGGTGCCAGCCTCCTCTTGTAGTAATGGTAATAATGTCTGTAGAATTCCTCAGGGTGGTCAAGCATGTAATCATAATCTTTCCTGGTTTCATCATCCTTTAAAGAAACAATTTTCTTTATAAAAAGGCACCATTGTATAAACTGACATAAAGCTGGTCAAATTACAGACTACCTCTTAAGAGCAGTGCCAAGGTTCGAGCAAGATCAGTTGTGAAAGATTTGTGACATGCCAGTTAAATACTATATAAAATGTGCTCTATTAAAATATCACAAGTAGAGCAAACATATAACTAGGGCTTCCATTTACTGCCTGAAATCTGATATTTACTGCATTTACTCCCATTTATTGCACTTCTTCAGACAGTACTTCTGTATTACTACATTACTAAAGTCTTCTTTAAAGAATGGACCTAGAGCAAGTTTTCTACTCTTCGAACAAAGTTTGAAACTGTGTGTAGTTATGGATCAGAAATTAACTACCTTACAAAGTTGTTGACACCCACAGAATACAAGACATGTGTTTGATAAAGGTCATAAGAGTTCCAGGGGATGTCCGTGTGCAGGAGTGTCACAGGAAGGAGAAGCTGGATGTGAAGCTTCATCGGAACAGGAGACCAGGAAAGGCCATTTGGCCCATCGAGCCTGTCCCACCACTTTCCAAGACGGTGATGGGTTTCTGCATGTATCGCACACTTGGATGACCAAAATAAAGTGTGGAATTCATGGCCGATCCGCAACTCAATTCCACCTCCACACCCCCTCTCCAGACCCCTTTTAATTTCTTCAATTGACTGTATCTCTATTTTCTTCTGGGGGAGTCAATTACATACTTCCACCAACTGTTACATGAAAAAATGTTTCCTCATTTCACCGGTTTAGCTGCAAGTTTAAGACTATGGCCTCTATTCCGCAATTCACATGAAACAACTGCTCACTATTCAGCCTGTCAAAACCCTTCATAATTTTATACACCTCGATCAGATCGCCTCGCAAACTACTGAACTCAATACAATCCAAGTCTTTCTACCCTTTCATTATAATTTAGGCCCTTCGCTACATACGCCTTTAGAAGAGATGTTTTTTTCTCTGAAACCTGTTGCATTTTTTCACATCTTATCACCTTTATACAATTATCTTGAAAAACCTGTCATCACATTGTGGTTATGCAACACCACTCTTGCATAAGTTGTTTCAAGATGCTGTGTTTGGGTCAGCCAGGTGGGCGACACATGCAGGAACTCACCACCACGCTTAAGATTCTGACGTATAGGTCAAAGTCAGATTTTGTTTCCCTCCCTGTGAGGAAGCATCTCATGTCTGCTCAATGTAATCAATGTACACATACATATATTCAATGAATGTACACATATATACATACTCAGCTATACAGTACATGTATATAGAGAGAGCAAGGATTTTTTATATATATATATACAACCATACATATAAATCATACATATACACACATATAATGTGTAAAATACACACACCTTCAAATATATATAGATACGCACACTAGTCCACATACATATACATGGGTACGCATACATATATCTTACAGGTACACACACATACATGAGTATACACACATACACAGGTACGTACATACCTATACTATATATGGGTGTACATTTATCACACTGGTACACATATATACACACACATACACTGGTACACCCATAAACACACACACATATATATATATATATATAGATGTGTATATACACACATATACAGGTTGACCAAAAAGACGTGATAGCATTACAATGTCTAATCAGTCTTAAAGAAATTATGATTTTTGGGGATAACAGGGCAGCTTCAAGGCTTTTTGTTCACCCTGTGTGTAGATATAGATACACACACACACACACACAGGGTAACAGCAGGAATATACATGCAGTTTAGTGTATATACATATATATGTGGGTGACCACATACATATATCACACAGGTACATACATGTACGCACACACGGACAGATATTTAAAGCAATGAGTGGGTTATGGGTGTTTTGGGGGTGAGTTGGTCTCTGCGCACACACTCACACTCACACACACAGGGAGTGAGGGGAGCTGCCGGCCCCCGGCCCCCAGCCCCCAGCCCGGCCCCCCAGCCCCCAGCCCGGCCCCCCAGCCCCCCGGCCCCCCAGCCCCCCAGCCCCCCGGCCCCCCAGCCCCCAGCCCCAGCCCCCCGGCCCCCCAGCCGGTCCCCCCAGCCCCCCGTCCCCCGGCCGGTCCCCCCTCCCCGGCTGCCTGACCTTCAGCGTCTCGTAGGCGGTAGCGATCAGCAGGAACTTCTCCTCGGGCTTCTCCTGGGCCTCGGTGTCGGGAGGTTTGTAGCGGTCGGGGTGGTAGCGCCTCGCCAGCTGCCGGTAAGCGCGGGCGATGTCGCTCTTGCTGGTCTCCCTGCTCACCCCCAGCACGTCATAGCAGGAGAGCTGTCCGCAGTACAGCCCCTCCACCAGCCCGTGCGCCCGGCCGACCAGGCACACAGCCTGCAGCAGGAGGCCCAGGCCACACAGCCACAGCGCCGGCAGCCGCCTCTCCTCCACCGGCCTCGCACGGCCAGCGCCAGCCGCCGCCATAGCGCTCAGTGGGTGAGCGGCAGCCCGACACGTCAGCACTCCTCCGCACACCACGCGCTCGCGCCCCCGCCCGCCAGCCCGCCCGTTTGAATTTCAAACCGCCCCCCACCCCGGAGCACGTGAGCAACCGCCCCCGTGCCAACCCCCAACTGCCACCCGCCCGCCACGTGCCAACCCCCAACTGCCACCCGCCCGCCACGTGCCAACCCCCAACTGCCACCCGCCCGCCGCGTGCCAACCCCCAACTGCCACCCGCCCGCCACATGCCAACCCCCAACTGCCACCCGCCCGCCGCGTGCCAACCCCCAACTGCCACCCGCCCGCCGCGTGCCAACTGCCTGCGCTGTGCCAACTGCCCGCACCGTGCCAACCCCCATCTGCCTGCGCTGTGCCAACTGCCCGCACCGTGCCAACCCCCATCTGCCTGCGCTGTGATAAATCCCGAATTCCCCTCCTCTTCAACATCTATATGCTCCCTCTTGGTGATATCATCCACAGACATGGGGTCAACTTCCACATGTATACACATGACACTCAACTCTACCTCTCTGCCTCCGCCCTCGACTCCAGGACCACTGCTGTCCTGGATGAGAGCTAACTTTCTTCGGTTGAACGTCAACAAGACCGAGGCTCTCCTTATTGGCTCCCGTCAGCACCTCCTCACCTCAGGCGCTGACAGCATCACCATCCATGGTTGCACACTCCACCTTACTGAGCCAGTCCGCAACCTTGGGGTCTTGTTCGACCCTCAACTATCCTTTCTACCCCACATCTGCGCCATGACCCGCTCTGTCTTCCCCACCTCCACAACATCGCCCGCTCCGCCACCGCCTCAAACCACAGGCCTCTGAAACCCTCACACACGCTTTCATTACTTCAAGGCAAACTCACTGCTTGTCGGCCTCCCCAACTCCTCCCTCCATAGGCTGCAGATCATCCAGAACTCTGCAGCCCGTGTCCTCTCCCGCACCAGGCTCCGTGACCCTATCACTCCCATCCTCGCCCGACTCCACTGGCTTCCCATCACACAGAGGATACAGTTCAAGATCCTGGTCCTCACCTTCAAAGCCCTCCATGGCCTTGCTCCCTCCTACCTCTGCAACCTCTTCACCTCCTAACAATCTGTTCGCTCCCTCCGCTCAGCGGGCTCCAGCCTGCCTCACGTCCCCCGCCTCGCTCACCCCACTATTGGTGGGTGGGCCTTCCGCCACTCTGCCCCCACCCTCTGGAACTCCCTCCGCCTCGCCCCCTCCCTTGCCTCCTTCAAGAGTGGAGTCCTGTAGCTCAGTGGTTAGAGCACTCGCTTTGCAAGTGAGAGACCTGAGTTCAATTCCAGGCAGAGGGCGAAACCTTGGGCAAGTTTCCTTACTCCACACACCTAATAATAATCCCTCCAAAACCAAAAACAATAATAAATTGGTCATTTTCAATCTACGACTGTTTGTGGGACGTTGCTGTGCGCAATTGGCTGCCGCGTTTGCCCACAAATATACAGTCAATTCACTTTACAGTGTGTTCTGTGAAGCGCTTTGGGACGTCCTCCCGACGTGAAAAGCGCTATATCAAATGCAAGGATTATTATTATTATTATTAAGACCCATCTCAATACCCTCCTCTTCGACCGTGCTTTCGATCAGCCTCCTTTCCCTCCCGCCCTCCACCCTCCTCGACTCCGACCCCCAGCTCAGGTGCGTAACTCTGTCTGGCCAGCGCCTTGGGACATCCAATGTGAATGGTGCCAAACAAATGAAATTTTGTTGTTGTTGTTGTGTAATCACAAGCCACTAAAGTTGGTAACTATTTATCAGCAGAACATAGGTTCATTCCCTGCAAGCAAGGGATGAAAAGTAGACTCGCCCCTCCTCACATACTCTTATGGCTTATTCAAAATAGCCCTGTTCTCCACTTAGAGCAACATTTTCAGAAATTTATGATCATATTTTAAATTCACTATTAGTAAGGCAATTTTTTTTCAGGGTGCCTCTAAATGCCCCCAAAAGATGAGGGAAATTAAGGAAAAGAGGGAGGTATTGTTCGATTTTAGATTGTTTAAAACAGCTTATGTTGGTGGACATATCTAACATGTACATTCTGAATGAAGTAAACTGGGGTTATTTTAGGAAGTATCATGATCGTCCACTAACGGTATGTCAGAGCACATGACATGAAGCAACATGGCAAATCTTTCAATTAAATATAGGTTCTGAGGTCAAATACTGTAAAATTGAAGTGCAGGTCGAAGTGTAAAGTCAGCTGGCTGGCTTCCATCTCACCTAAAACAGATAGAAACAGGTACCATGGACTTTGTTGTTAAGGTGATGAAACTAAATAAGAGATTGGTTCAAGGACATTAAATAATGCAACGCATTACCAAACATCCATTTTCAGGTCATTGTAAACTCAGCCTCCTGAAATGTCTTTTTTTATAGCACAACAGATTGGGTTTCCTGAAGTCCTATCAGAACGAGGGCTAGCTGATTTTGAATGAATGATAACCATACAGAATCCAGTGTGCTTTTGTTCCTCTCAAACCTGTGTTTGTAAAACTTGAAAAGCAAAATATAAATGCAAGTTGTGTCGTAAGACAACCGGTTGAAATACCTCTGTGACCTCCTAGCCCCCTACCAATCTGCCCACTCTCTCTGCTCAGCCGGCTCCGGTCTGCTCCACGTCCCCCGACCCACCATTGGCCGGAGAGTCTTCAGCTACTTTGCCCCCAACCTCTGGAATTCCATCCCCAAGTCACTCTGCCTCGCCCCCTCCTTGAGGGGACTCCATCCTGGAGCCTCACCGACTCACCACCTCCCTCACCTCCTTCAAGGTCAGCTCAAGATCTTCCTCTTTGAGTGTGCCTTTGATCATCCTCCCACCTTGTCCTCCACCTCGCTTGCCTCTAACCTCTCAGCTCGGTTGGAAACTCTTCACTGTCCAGTGCCTTGGAATGTCCTCCCGACATGTAATACGCTATATAAATGCAATTTGTTGTTGTTCTTGCAAATGATTTTTGCTCTTCATAACCTTGAACATGTGACTTCTTGTTCTGATGCTTTGGTGTATCTGCCTCTCAAATATCTCAAATCCTATATCACAAAGCAAATCCCTGAAATACTTTGAGATATCCTCCTGAAGTGAAAGGCCCTATATCAAATGCATGGATTATTATTATTAAGGTTGCCAACCGTCTGGTTTTAAGGGAATCTGTAATGGTGTCTGGTCAGAAGCACTGACTGGATACCAAAAGTGTGGTTATTCTTCTTATGATAAGATAAACTTACCTGTGAGCACGGGAAATGGCTAGGCTGTGTGCACGGATGTGTCAGCCTCGAGAGAATGGTTTGAATTGTTCTTGCGAGGCTACCACACAGCCTAGATGCTTGCCGTGCTAAGAAGGATTCTTTTTATCGTGGCCTGCTTTAGAAATGAGTCAGGACCTGCTCCCCACCTATGAATGGCACTGTAGCCGGAGGAAAGTGGCGGAGAGGCAATGTGGGGAAGAGGAGAAGCAGAAGTGGGCTGCCATTGGGGAGGAATACAACCTGGAGCAGGAGAAGGCGAGGCAGCCATAGTTTAGGGGAAGAAACCGAGTGGCGGAAGTAAAACTCTCAGCATCCCCATGGTCTGTGCAAAGCATGCACATAAAAACATGGTAAGGTAGTGGACCCTAGTGTCTGACTTTGAGAAACTGGAAAGTTAGCAACCCTAATTATTATTATTGTTATTAATATTATTAGCTTGAATTCTTCTGGGTTCACTTTCTCTATGCCACTTAGCATCTTATGCACTACTTGAAGGTCCCCTCTTGGATGTCTCTTTTCAAGACTGAGGAGCTTGTATAATCGTTGCTCACAGCTCATCCCTTTAGCACTAGGGATCATCCTTGTGGCCCTCCTCTGTACTGCCTTGGCGGGCCCCTGTACCACAGCGATCTGAACTGTACCCAGAAATGCAGGTACAGAGCACAATATCTTGAATGTGACCTGAAAGGTTTTAATAATAATAATAATAATCCTTGATTATAGAGCCTAATCACATCGTTGAATCGTCTCAAAGCGTTTCACAGGATATACAAATGTAATCTTGTTGTTGTATACTGTAAAGTCTGTATATTTTGTAGCCGAAATGCAGCAGCCAATTGCACGCAGCAGTGTCCCATAAACAGCCGTGGATTTAATTGGGACACAAAGAACAGTGGATTGAAACCAGTGTAATGAACAGCGATGGCCTAACCTCCCAGATGTCATTTACCCCCAGTCACCATCACCCACCGTTTTCCTTTAATAAATGATAGGGTGGCGGTCCCTTTAAGAGCAGCTGTCAATCTCCACCTCTCGCCCCGCCCCTCCCTGTGACGTTTCTTATTTTGAACTTGAGGCCCCCCCACCGCCGAGGACGAGGCAGGCGTGGACGGCGCCTGAAAAGAAAGAAAGAGTGGAAAAAAAAGCGGGTTTTGCAGCATAATAAATACTTACCAGTGCGCTGCGCTTCATTCATCGCCTTTTGCATCAGACCAAATAAAACAAGCAGTTGCCGTAAAATCGGTCGCCTGGGAGTGGAAATTTAGAGCAAAATTTAAAAAAAGAAAGAAAAGGGAGGCGGGCGCCGGGCGCCTCAGGGCAGGGTCCTGAGGAGGGGGGGGGTTTGGCGCCAGATTTGAAGACGGAGGAGGGCGGCGGCGGCGCTCGCGCGTCAGTCTGTGTGACGGTCTGTGTGACGGTCTGTGGGTCACATCATGTACATTAGATCCATCATCCTCGAAGGCTTCAAGTCTTACGCGCAGAGGACGGAGATCAATGGCTTCGACCCGTTCTTCAACGCCATCACCGGCCTGAACGGCAGCGGCAAGTCCAACATCCTGGACTCCATCTGCTTCCTGCTCGGCATCAGCAACTTGTCCCAGGTACACCGCCCCGGGAATGGGAATCCCCCCCCACACCGCACCGCCCCGGGAATGGGAACCCCCCCCACACACCGCCCCGGGAATGGGAATCCCCCCACACCGCACCGCACCGGGAATGGGAACCCCCCCACACACCGCACCGCCCCGGGAATGGGAATCCCCCCCACACCGCACCGGGAATGGGAATCCCCCCCACACCGCACCGCACCGGGAATGGGAATCCCCCACCGCACCGGGAATGGGAATCCCCCCCACACCGCACCGGGAATGGGAATCCCCCCCACACCGCCCGGGAATGGGAATCCCCCCACACCGCCCCGGGAATGGGAATCCCCCACACCGCCCCGGGAATGGGAATCCCCCCCACACCGCACCGGGAATGGGAATCCCTCCCCCACACCGCCCCGGGAATGGGAATCCCCCCCACACCGCACCGCACCGGGAATGGGAATCCCTCCCCCACACCGCACCGGGAATGGGAATCCCCCCCCACACCGCACCGGGAATGGGAATCCCCCCCCCACACCGCACCGCACCGGGAATGGGAATCCCACACCGCACCGCACCGGGAATGGGAATCCCCCCCACACCGCACCGCACCGGGAATGGGAATCCCCCCCCCACACCGCACCGGGAATGGGAATCCCCCCACACCGCCCCGGGAATGGGAACCCCCCCCACACCGCACCGCACCGGGAATGGGAATCCCCCCACACCGCACCGCACCGCCCCGGGAATGGGAATCCCCCCACACCGCACCGCACCGGGAATGGGAACCCCCCCACACCGCACCGGGAATGGGAATCCCCCCACACCGCACCGCACCGGGAATGGGAATCCCCCCCCACACCGCACCGGGAATGGGAATCCCCCCCACACCGCACCGCCCCGGGAATGGGAACCCCCCACACCGCACCGGGAATGGGAATCCCCCCCACACCGCACCGGGAATGGGAATCCCCCCCACACCGCACCGCACCGGGAATGGGAATCCCCCCCACACCGCCCCGGGAATGGGAATCCCCCCACACCGCACCGCACCGGGAATGGGAATCCCCCCCCCACACCGCACCGGGAATGGAATCCCCCCACACCGCCCCGGGAATGGGAACCCCCCCACACCGCACCGCACCGGGAATGGGAATCCCCCCCCACACCGCCCCGGGAATGGGAATCCCACACCGCACCGGGAATGGGAATCCCCCCACCGCACCGGGAATGGGAATCCCCCCCCACACCGCACCGGGAATGGGAACCCCCCCCACACCGCACCGCACCGGGAATGGGAATCCCCCCACACCGCACCGCACCGCCCGGGAATGGGAATCCCCCCACACCGCACCGCACCGGGAATGGGAACCCCCCCACACCGCACCGGGAATGGGAATCCCCCCACACCGCACCGCACCGGGAATGGGAATCCCCCCCCACACCGCACCGGGAATGGGAACCCCCCCCACACCGCACCGCACCGGGAATGGGAATCCCCCCCCACACCGCACCGGGAATGGGAATCCCCCCCACACCGCACCGCACCGGGAATGGGAATCCCCCCCCACACCGCACCGGGAATGGGAATCCCCCCCACACCGCACCGCACCGGGAATGGGAATCCCCCCCCACACCGCACCGGGAATGGGAACCCCCCCCACACCGCCCCGGGAATGGGAACCCCCCCCACACCGCACCGCCCCGGGAATGGGAATCCCCCCCACACACCGCACCGGGAATGGGAATCCCCCCCACACCGCACCGCCCCGGGAATGGGAATCCCCCCCACACCGCACCGCCCCGGGAATGGGAATCCCCCCCCACCGCACCGCCCCGGGAATGGGAATCCCACACCGCACCGCACCGGGAATGGGAATCCCCCCCACACACCGCACCGGGAATGGGAATCCCCCCCCACACCGCACCGCACCGGGAATGGGAATCCCCCCCCACACCGGGAATGGGAATCCCCCCCCCACCGCACCGGGAATGGGAATCCCCCCCACACCGCACCGGGAATGGGAATCCCCCCCCACACCGCACCGGGAATGGGAATCCCACACCGCACCGGGAATGGGAATACAGTACTTTGTGGGACACCGCTGTGAGCAATTAACTTCCGCGTTTTGCCCACAAAATATAGGGTTAATTCACTTTACAATGTATTCTGTGAAGCGCTTTGACAAGTCTCAATAACGTGATAATGCTCTCCTCTTAAATACCTATACGCTCCCCCTCCCTCTTGTTGACTTCAGCCGCAGTCATGGGGTCAACTCCCACATGTATGTGGATGACACCCAACTCTACCTCTCTGCCTTCAGCCTCGACTCCAGGACCACTGCTGTCCTGACAGAATGTCTGTCCGACATCAAGTCCTGGATGAGAGATAACTTTCTTAGTTGAATGTCAACAAGACCGAGGCTCTCCTGATTGGCTTCCGTCAGGAGGACCTGTGGAGTCTCAGAGGGATGGAGTTCCAGAGGAAGCCACAGTCTCTCCTCCTCCCTTGCCTCCTTCGAGAACCATCTCAACACTCTCCTCTTCAACTGTGCCTTCGATCACACTCCTTCTCCCCCTGCCCTCCACCCTCCCTTGATCCCGAGCTCCAGCTCGGGTCCGAAACACTGATTGTCCAGCGCCTTGGGACTTCTTCCCGACATGAAAGGCGTTATACAAATGTAATTTTGTTGCTGTTGTCAGCGCCTCCACACCTCAGGTACCGATAGCATCACCGTCCAGGGATGCAGACTCCGCTTCACTGAGCCAGTCTGGAACCTTGGTGTCTTGTTTGGCTCTCAATTGGCCTTTCTACCCAAATCCGTGCCATGACCGCTCTGCCTTCCCCTATCTCTGCAACATCGCCCAGCTCCGCCACTGTCTCACCCTTCAGGCCGCCGAGACTCTCATTCGTGCATTCATCACATCTAGGCTTGACTACGGCAACTCCCTGCTTGTCGGCCTTCCCAACTCTTCCCTCCACAAGCTGCAGATCATCCAGAGCTCTGCAGCTCGTGTCCTCTTCCGCACAAGGCTCCGTGACTCCATCACCTCCACCCTTGCACAGCTCCACTGGCTTTCTGTTTCCCATCCCCCAGAGGATAGAGTTTGAAATCCTCGTCCTCGCCTTCAAGGCCCTCCGCGGCCTCGCCCCTCCCTACCTCTGTGACCTGCTGACCCCAGGCTCTGGCCTGCTCCATGTCCCCAGCCCACTCCACCATCGGCAGCCAGGCCTTCAGCCTCTCTGCCCCCATCCTATGGAACTCCATCCCACATTCCCTTCCCCCCACTCCCTCCCTTGCCTCCTTCGAAGCGTGTCTCAAAACACTCCTCTTTGACCAAGGCTTCGGCCATGCTCCTACCCTCCCTGCCCTCCATCCTCCCCGAACCCAGCTCGGGTCCAAATCCCTGACTGTCCAGTGGCTTGGGACGTCCTCCCGGCGTGAAAGGTCCTATACAAATGTAATTTGTAATGTATTATTATTACTCCTCACACAACACTGCACAGTGAATGGGAATGCTTCTCAGAACGCACCACACTATGCGCTTTCATTTCCTGGCAGCTGTCTAGCAGATTCTAATAATAATAATAAATAATCCTTGCATTTGATATAGTGCATATCACTTCTTTGAGATGTCTCAAAGCGCTTCACTAAATGTACTGTATCTTTTGTGGGCGAAACGCGGCAGCCAATTGTGCACAGCAGTGTCCCACAAACAGTCATGGATCGAGGGATCAATTTATTATTATTTCTTTTTGCCCACTATCGTGTTATGGATTAATGATGATGACAGTCATTTGTTACAAGTTTGAGTATTGATCGATACTTTCTTTGCTAAGGTACAATGTGGTTTACATATGTTTTTTGACGGAAAGTTGCCAAAATGTATTTGGATTTTTATTTTGTGGATATCTATTCTTGCATTTGAGGCAATTGAAAGCAGCTTGAACTTTGCTGTTTATTTTGATTTGAAAACCTTCAGTAGATTACTTAGTGATACATTCTTGATGCTGATTCCCTGTGCCCCAATTAAAAACCAACTAAAATATAACATTCCTTGTAGTTGATATTACACATTATTATGCGCTTCAGAGTTTTCTATAAAATGTAAGTACAATCTTTGCACAGCAAAGTCTATATGCAACCAGGAGGTGAATAACCAATTTATCTAAAAGATAATTTGCCAGGCCAGCAGGAGAAATTCCCCTCTCTTTTCAAATATTGTTTTTGGTTTTTCAATGTTCACCTAAACAGGCAGACAGAACCTCAGTTTACTGTCTCATCTGATATACAGCACCTCCAGCAATTCAACACTTCCACAGCACTGCACTGGAGTGTCAGGCTAGAAACTTACCTCTTTGACCTATATTGACCTATGTCTATATTGTGCAGACTAGCATTATTTTGTTACTATCTAATTTTCTACATCTTTCTTTCCAAGCCTTATTTAAACTCCCGCTCGATAAAAGCTGAAAAGAGAAAGTAAAAATTACCTTCAAGAATTAAGTACTTTTTTTAAAAAAAAAACAAAAGCCTGTGTGGTACGTATTATTTCATTGAAATATTCTGTTTTCTGTTGTAAGGTCCGAGCTTCAAATCTTCAGGACTTAGTCTACAAAAATGGACAAGCAGGGATTACCAAAGCCACTGTTTCGATTACCTTTGACAACTCAGATAAAAAACAAAGTCCCTTGGGCTTTGAGACACATGACGAAATTACAGTCTCCAGACAGGTATGTTTTCAATTATTTTATTATATACCTTGACATTCCAAATCACTGAATAGGTCTATTCTTAAGGGAACTATGTCATACTATCTATTGGAGTATCAATGCATCTCGGCACACAAACAAGCCCTGTAACTTGATTCTCTTTCTCTCCAGAGTTGGCAGTTTCACTGTATGGCAAAGCAAGAGCTCCCAAATATTCGATTAGTTTTAGCCTTAACATTTAACTTCGCGCAGCATTTTGGGAAATTCTTACATTGAGTCTGAATTCGGAAGATGATTCTTTTAAGAACTGAAGAAAACGAGCTTCCAAATGAAGAACGAGTTTAAGAATATTCCACAATTCTGTACCACTTTAAATTTTACGACAAAATAATCTTATAGTTTAAGACTAGGATGAATTTTGGGCCTTTGTGGATGGACTTTTAAGATATGGGTACCTGGGGTTGTAGGGTTGTAAGCTAATCTTTGGGTTATGAAATTGTCTTCTGAATCTCTACCTTCTATAACCTACTAATTGTCCTTTGGTATCTGTTATTCTCCAAATGAAATCTTTGACAAAACCTAATGCAGCTTCTCTAGCCCACCACCGTCTCGTGAGGTGTTCCTCAGGGCTCTCCTCTTCAACATATATATGCTCCCTCTTGGTGACATCATCCGCAGACTTGGAGTCAACTTCCATATGTATGCAGATGACACCCAACTTTATCTCTGCCTCCACCCTCGACTCCAGGACCACTGCTGTCCTGACAGAATCTCTGTCGGACATCAAGTCGTGGATGAGAGCTAAGTTTCTCCAGTTGAACGTCAACACGACCGAGGCTCTCCTGATTAAGCAGCATCACCATCCATGGTTGCACACTCCACCTCACCGAACCAGTCCGGAATCCTGGAGTATTGTTTAACCCTCAACTATCCTTTCTACCCCACATCCGTGCCATGACCCGCTCTGCTTTCCCCCACCTCCACAACATCGCCCGGCTCTGCCACTGCTTCTCCTCTCAGGCCAATGAAACCCTCATCTACCCATTTATCACATGAAGGCTCGACTACGCCAACTCCCTACTTGTCGGCCTCCCCAACTCTTCCCTCCACAAGCTGCAGATCATCCAGAATTCTGCAGCTCGTGTCCACTCCCGCACCAGGTTCCGTGACCCCATCGCTCCCACCCTCGCCCGGCTCCACTGGCTCCCCATTCCCCAGAGGATAGAATTTAAAATCCTTGTCCTCGCCTTTAAGGCCCTCCACGGCCTTGCTCCTTCCTACCTCTGTGACCTGCTAACCCCATATCAACCTCTTCTCACCTCTAACCCATGGAGTCCTGTAGCTCAGTGGTTAGAGCACTCGCTTTGCAAGTGAGAGACCTGAGTTCAATTCCAGGCAGAGGGCGAAACCTTGGGCAAGTTTCCTTACTCCACACAGAGCCTAATAATAATCCCTCCAAAACCAAAACAATAATAAATTGGTCATTTTCAATCTACGACTGTTTGTGGGACATTGCTGTGCGCAATTGGCTGCCACGTTCGCCCACAAATATACAGTCAATTCACTTTACAGTATATTCTGTGAAGCGCTTTGGGATGTCTAGAAGACGTGAAAAGCGCTATATCAAATGCAAGGATTATTATTATAACCTGTCCACTTCCTCTGCTCAGCAGGCTCTCCTGCTCCACATTTCCCGTCTGGCCACCCCACCATCTTCGGTCGGCCCTTTAGCCTCTCTGCCCCCACCCTTTGAAGCTCCATCCCACAGTCTCTTGGCCTTGCTCTCTTCCTTGCCTCCTTCAAGGCACGTCCCAAGACCCTCCTCTTGAACCGCACCTTCGGCCAACTCCTGCTCGGGTCCAAATTCTTGACTGTCCAGCGCTTTGGCACGTCCTCCCGACATACAACAACAACTTGCACTTATATAGCGCCCTACACACAAGGTAGCATCTCCGAGCGCTTAACTGTGGCGGAGCCTGACTCCGAGCCGGGGGTAGTGGTGTGGCCATAAGCACGGCGCTATACAAGTGTAATTTGTTGTTGTCGACCTGCAAATCTATCTTTAATACTGAAGATGGAGAAAATTCTAAAATCCATTTGTTCAGTAATTTTGATGGTACCAGTGGCTGAAAATTTGAGCTTCCCTTATTTGAACTGTGAATAAAGTCTTGTACAGATAGTCTTGGTAACAAGTTATACTTATATAATTTCTCATGTCGAAAGAACGTCTCAAAGTGCTTCACACAGTCGGCTGAGCGTCAGGGGTAGGTGGAGAGATAGCCGAAAGTGCCAGCAAAATTCACCAACTTGGATTTGAACAGCTTATTACTCCAATCCATTTATCAAAAAGCGAATTGAGTTATATGGGCAGATACCTCTTCATTGTGGCAGGTTAAGTATTGACATAATATTTTATAGCTCTCTTCTCACCACAAATCCCACAGAAAGAAAACATTGGGATGTTTACTGAGTAATTTATTTTTAAATTACTGAGACAGCCAGTGTTTGGAGAATTCAGTTCTCTGATGCTGTTGCAGCTATAATTTATTCAATACAGTACTGTGGAGTTCTGTAGCTCAGTGGTTAGAGCACTCGCCTCGCAAGCGAAGGACCTGGGATTGATTTCCACCAGGGCAAAATGTTGGACAAGTTTCCTTACTCCACATGCCTCTGTTTACCTAGAAATAAGTAGGAACCCGGTTGTCAGTTGATTGGTGGATTGCTTTTCCGGGGTAATAATTCCTTCAACGAATAAATTGATCACTTCAATCCACGACTGCCGCATTTCGCCCACAAAAATATACAGTCAATTCACTTTACAGTATATTCTGTGAAGAGCTTTGAGATTTCTTGAAGACGTGTTAGGACGCTATGTTAAATGCAAGGATAATTATTATTACAAGACTTATTATTAATCAGAGTATCTGAGACCTCAGTAAAATTAAAAACTTTGCTTGTTTTACTTATTCGTTACCTTATAATTGTGATAATTACAAAAGGTTTCAAATTAAATATTTGTTTCCTCCAGGTGGTTATTGGTGGGAGAAATAAGTACCTGATCAATGGTGTGAATGCCAACAACACCAGGGTATACGATCTGTTCTGCTCAGTCGGCCTGAATGTTAACAACCCACACTTCCTTATCATGCAGGTTTGTAACTGTCAATCACAAAGCACAGCAAGCATTATCCCATTGGGATCAACGTACTTTCCTCGCATGTGGTAGTGTGTAAATGTTACGAGATCCTATTGAATATAAATTCTGTACAATATTGAATCTCCTTATTCGAATTTGATTTAGTTTCAGTTAGAGTTTTTCAGACGTGTTCCAGCTTGCTGAACTTTCAACATGGAAGCAGCCTTGAGGCCAAAATACAGTCCTTAAGAGTACAATTTTGTATTGGTTAATATGAGTAGATTTAGCCATTGATAATTCGATGATTTAAGATACAGATTGTGTAAGGAAGCTCCCACGATTTATGGTGACTCAATTGACTGAGACGTCAAAGCTAGTGATGACTGGCTGGATGTTTGTAGTTAGCGAAAATTTAGGAATGCTTTTCCACAGAAGTTGAAATATAAGAATTGAATATAAGGATAACATTGCTACAGAATGGATTTACACGAGAGACTTGGATGAACAAAGATGTTTGAGCGATTTAATCTTTCCAAAATATCCATTTGATTTTCTTCCCATTGCAGCATCAAGCTGTCCTGGTCTTAAGCACTCTTCTTGATAACACGTCAAAGCTGTTAATTACTCTCACTATAAAGATGGAATCCATCCTAAGTTTACAATTCACAACCCTGAACCTATGCCCACTTGTCTAGGTGTGTTTGAAAATATTATTCTGGATTTCCTTGATCCCATTTAGTATCTTTTACAACGGAGATTTAATAGAATTTTATTCCATTTTTAAATAATTCAATTTATTTTTGATTCTAGGGGCGGATCACTAAAGTCTTGAACATGAAGCCTCCAGAGGTGAGTGAGCACTGAGGTTTCACAGTTTTTATATACAGTACGATGCTGTGAATTTATCTGGGCAAAAGTGTGAACAATTATTCAAAGAATGACAACTTTTACAGGCAAAGTTCTGAAATATAAAAAGGTTATCATTCAAATGTTCTGATTTATTCTCTGAAGGTATTGCTTTAGTATTTCCCTGATTTCTTTGTTGCTCGCAGATTGTTTTAGGCCTTTGCTTGAAGCATAACCATTCTCAATCCTGGGTTATGCTAAGACTTGCTTTGTAAGTGCAAGCCTGGAGTAGTCCTTTTTCAAACAACTGAATGTGAAAGTTGTCCGGTTTTAGGATATTGTGTTAACTTTGATTCTCGTTGCTTAGATCTTATCCATGATCGAGGAAGCAGCAGGAACCAGAATGTATGAGTGTAAGAAGTTAGCAGCCCAGAAAACCATTGAGAAAAAGGAGAGCAAGCTGAAAGAAATCTGCACGGTAAATGGATTGTAGTCCCCTCTGTCTCTATGTTAAGTAGTTTACAGTGTGTTCTGTGAAGCGCTTTGGGACGTCCTCCCGACGTGAAAAGCCCTATATCAAATGCAAGGATTATTATTATTATGTTAAGTAGTGTTTCTGATCAATGCTTTCCATTCATACAAAAGGTTATGATGGTCACATATCCACTGGCTTTATTTGTTTGGTGCTGAAAGCACCATAAATCGAGAGAAGTACAGAACACACAAGTGAAATAAAACCAGATAGTGTTTACTTACATGTTTAATTATTTGTCTTCTGAACAAACAATGCTAGTTTCTTCAATGAGCTGTTTGTGAATGTGTTCTGAGCTTTTAAATATGTGGAGAGAGTCAAGCCCTGCAAATTGTGTAAATCCCTTTAAGAATATATATATGTGTAAGAATTGGGAATGGACATGGAATAAAAACTGAGCAATTTGAGGCCATGGTTGTATGATCAAGATCAGGAACTTTTGATTGAGGGTCTGGAGGAGTGATTGGGTATGTTGTTATATGGTGCACTTCAAATTGAGGCCATTTGCTCCTGAAACCAAAATGGAGGATATTGGCAGTTCAGGTGGAAAGTACGCAGTTAATAGGTAATCATTGAATTTTCACTCCCCGATAAATGTATGTTAATGCTGAACCATTTGTTGAATATTTGAATTGTCCTGTTTCTCTTCGGAGTATTCAGCAGTTTGCTGTGCAGTCAGTGTGCTATTTAAACAGTGTATACAATGATTGTGTGGCAAATGTCAAGAGTGTTTTTGGTGAGTGTGAGGGAATATACTGTTCCAAAATTCTTTCTGTTGTCACTAATTGTTCTTTCAATATCAGAGGATGTAGTAATGCATTATTAGGCCCCAACAGATTGGGAAATTTAGTGGGCAGGAACGTAAAGGAGGTCAGACTTGGCAGAGCGGTTGGAATAGCTGTTGAGAGTGTACTTGTGTGATGTTTTCACAAGTTGTGCTGTGGCGCCAGTGAGGGGTTTGTTCCCATTCCAGAAGACTGAGAAACGGTCTCAGAAGAAACCACTGGGTTTCAGTTACAAACAGCACTTACTAACAGCACCAATTAAAACACAGCTATTTGATTTTAAACAGTTGGTGACTTTGGGTGGTGTTGGGGATAATTCTGTTCAGATTGTTCTTGGTTCTGTAGAATAATGAATACAACTAATATTCTGTAAATTATAATAATCCCTTCAAAAAGTTTTGGTCAATCCACGACTGTTTGTAGGACACTGCTGTGTGCAATTGGGCGTTTCGCCCACAAAATACAGTCAATTCACGTTACAGTATATTCTGTGAAGTGCTTTGAGCTGTTTCAACAACTTGATAAGGCGCTATATCAAATGCAAAGGATTATTATTATTATTAACTATAAAACTATTCACGAGAAGTATTAAAGTAAGAAATGTTGTTACTAGAATTAAGTTTTGAAAACAGCAAGTTGAACAGTTAAAGGAGCAAACTGAACATTGGATCAATAAATGAAATTCAAATTTGATGTTGGGTAATTATTTAGCGATCAGTGATCGCTTTTATTTGCTGGTTTTGGTCGATGTGACAATTATCTACAAGGATATTATCACATGCTGCAATTTTAAGTAGAAGGACATACATGTTTATATTCTTTGTTATCACACTTCAGAAGTTGTTTTTAGTATTTTGATTTAATAAATGAATTTATGACTTGTTCTATCTACCTTTCTGTGACATATTTCTGGTGGTTTTGTTTTCTTGATGTTTGTTCTTTCATTCTAGATTCTGGAAGAAGAAATTACTCCAACTGTTCAGAAACTGAAGGAGGTATGCATTTAGCAGTTTCCTTCACTTTAGATATCTCCACACGATAGGTTTTACTTTGCTGAAAATGCTGCTTCACCATTTACCATTACACACTTTATTTTCCTCATAAGATATTGTGCTGATCGTGAACAGTAAGGATAATTTTATGATGAAGTTTATGAGAGTTGTAGTGAGACTGAGAAAACAACTTGCTTGTTTAACTGCTCACCTTTACTACACCAAAAGAGATGTACAGCTCAATATGAGCTGCCAGAAATACTACATTTAGTTAACCCAATAAATTTGCAAATAAAATAACACGAGAATGTTGGGTAACAAGTTCCATCACTTCCCTTATATCAGTGAGATCCTGATCACAGTGATGCAATGGGAGAAATGCAAGTTAAACCACCAATCTTTGCAGATTTAACCGCTGCTTCTTGTGATATTTCGCCCACAAATATACGGTCAATTCACTTTACAGTCTATTCTGTGAAGTGCTTTGAGACCTCGAGAAGACGTGACAAGGCACTATATCAAATGCAAGGATTATTATAAAAGAACAATGATTGAAAATTACAGTCCATTGCCACAAATTCAAACAGTCCTGATTTCCCCTTCCGACAGTATGCATTTCACATATTTGATGTATTTCTTCTCCTTTAAGAGTGATGCGCACCAGGCTGCAGGGAGTGAGTATTGTGCAGTCAACTTCAAGTCTGGCCCTCCTATTATGAGATCTCTAATGCAAACAAATCAGTAATTTGGATGGTGTTTGGCCCCAACCTTCTTGCATTTTCTGTGGACTGTACGTAAACTACAACTTAAACAGGGGTTCACAATTGTCATTTTAACAGCAACAACAAGATTACATTTGTATAGCGCCTTTCACATCGGGAGGACGTCCCAAGGTGCTGGACAGTGTACAGCATTTCAGACCCGAGCTGGGGTCAGGGGTGAGAAGGGAGGAGAGGGGAAGGAGGGTGACCAATGGTATGGTCGAAGAGGAGGATTTTGAGGCGGGACTTGAAGGAGGCTAAGGAGGCGGCGAGGTAGAGTGATTGGGGCATGGAGTTCCAGAGGTTGGGAGCAGAGTGGCTGAAGGTTTTTCCGCCAGTGGTGGGTGGGTTGGGGGATGTGGAGCAGGCCGGAACCGGCTGAGTGGAGGGAGCGGGCGGGTTGGTAGGGGGCTAGGCGGTCACAGAGATAGGGTGGGGCGAGACCATTGAGGGCTTTGTAGGTGAGGACCAGGATTTTGAACTGGATCCTCTAAGGGATAGGGAGCCAATGGAGTCAGGCGAGAATGGGGGGATGGGGTCACGGAGTTTGGTGCGGGAGAGAACATATTTTGAATACATTAAACAAATTCAAAATAAAATGCTTTGTGAATGCATTTAATGTCTGGAGGATATTTTAGCGTGATTCCAGATCCCTGATAAACATCGTTTTAGATTGGTTTATTTGGTTGCATTCTTGCCTCTGGTCAGAGATTGTAGATTCAAGCCCTATATTGGAGACTGAGCAGTCTAGGATGACTCTCCAGTGCAGTGTTGGGGGAGCAAAGTGCCTTACTTTACATGAGATAGTAAATCAAGGTTCTTTCTGTGGACGTGGACATTAAGGAAGCTATAACATGATTTGAAATGGGAATTTTTCTCAGTGTTCTGGCCAATCCTCCAGATCAATTGGTCATTCCATTTCCTGACAGTTTATGGGACATTCTGTGGCCAAATTGGCTTCCGCGTTTGCCTGCAAATACACAAACATTATATTTAACAGTAAGAAATATGAAGCTCTTTGAGACATTCCACTGTTAGAGAAGCTATATCAAAAAGGGAGGATTATTAAGGGAGTGGGGTCCTGTAGCTCAGTGGTTAGAGCACTCGCTTTGCAAGTGAGAGACCTGAGTTCAATTCCAGGCAGAGGGCGAAACCTTGGGCAAGTTTCCTTACTCCACACAGAGCCTAATAATGATCCCTCCAAAACCAAAAACAATAATAAATTGGTAATTTTCAATCCACGACTGTTTGTGGGACATTGCTGTGCGCAATTGGCTGCCGCGTTCGCCCACAAATATACAGTCAATTCACTTTACAGTCTATTCTGTGAAGCGCTTTGGGACGTCCTCCCGACGTGAAAAGCGCTATATCAAATGCAAGGATTATTATTATATTATTATCAACACCCAATATTTTCTCACTTTCTAAACAGACTGTATGTACTCTGAAGGTTCCAGTGCTGATTGTGTGTGTTGTGATTGTAGGAAAGATCTTCATATCTGGAATACCAGAAAGTGATGCGAGAGATTGAACATCTCAGTCGTCTGTATGTGGCGTATCAATTTGTTTGTGCAGAAGAGACCAAGCTACGCTCCGCAGAAGATCTAAAAGAAATGCAAGAGAGCATTATCCAGCTTCAACAGATCATTACAGATGGTGAGAAGAAGGTGAAGGAAATCAGCAAAGAAGTATCTGAGCTGGAGAAAATCCGAGACAAGGTACCACATACACTATTCACAGATGATCAAATTCTGTTTGTGTTAGAAAATAACACTGATGATTCTTGACAGGTTGTTGGAAATATTGCACAATATCTTATTAAACTTTCCAGACTAAACGGTTTAAACTGTAAACACAGTGTGTTGGGTAACTGTTTCCACCATATAACTTGAGGCTTGTGGAGGGAAGAGTTGGGAATTCTTACCTTCACAAGATGCAGATTATTCAGGACTTGCAGCATGTGTCCTCTCCCGCTTTGTGAGCTGATCACCCCAATCCTCGCCTGGCTTCACTGGCTCTCCATCTGCCAGAAGATCGAGTTCAAGATCCTTGACCTCATCTTTAAAGCCCTCCATAATCTTGCTTCACCGTACCTCAGCCACCTATTAAAATGTCACCAACCTGCCCGCTCCCTCTGCTCTGCAGGTACTGGCCTGTTCCATGTCCCCCGTCCTGTCTGCTCCACAATTGGCGGTTGGACCTTCAGCCTTTTTGCCCCACCCACCGGAATTTCATCCCTAAGCCCCTCCACCTCACCCCCTCCCTTACCTCCTTCAAGGCCCATCATTTTCGACTATGTCTTTGGTCATCTTCTATAGCTCAGTGATTAGAGCACTCGCCTCACAAGCGAGAGACCTGGGTTTGATTCCCAGCAGGGCGAAATCTTGGGCAAGTTTCCTTACGCCACACACCTAATAATAATCCCTCAAGAAAAAAAACCAATAATAATTTGGTCACTTCAATCCATGACTGTTTGTGGGACACTGCTCTGCGCAATTGGTTGCCGCATTTCGCCCACAAAAAATGCAGTCAATTCCCTTTACAGTATATTCTGTGAAAGCGCTTTGAGACGTCTAGAAGAAGTGAAAAGCGCTTTATCAAATTCAACGATTATTATCAAATTCAAGGATTATTTTTATCTTCCCCCGTCCACTTTCTCTGTCCTCCACTCCTGTCTGTTTCCAACCTGCAGCTCGGGGGTAAACCCCTCATTGTCCAGTGCCTTGGATGAAAGACATTATGTAAATGCAATTTGTTGTTGTTGTAAATGTACATTTGCCTAATTGGCTAATTCCTATTGAAAATATTGGAAATGAAAGGGTTGTCTTGAATTGATGCAAAACCTGGGAGTTGAACATAACGTTGTTTGTTCTTCCCCAGCCTTAGAGCTGTAAACAAAATGGCCAGAATCAATTTGCTGCAGCTAAATAGCTTTGTACTGAGTCTCCAATTAGTTTGGGTAGCCGTTTCATTTGCTGTTTGTTGCGTCGCAGGAGGTTGGTGGAGTACTTCAGTCACTAGAAGAGGCAGTGAACGAAGCCCACCGTAAGGATGTTAAAGTGCAGAGCTCACTCGATCACAAGAAGGACAGCCTTAAAGCAGAAGAGAAGAAACGTAATGTGATTGTCAAAACTATGGAGGAGGTGAGAGATGCTTATCAGTGCAACTTACACTGGAGGAAGGCTTTAAAAACATTCATATTTTACTTAGAATTCTTATGTTCTTGCCCCTCCAGCTGCTTTTCTTTTAAACCTCGTGCTTCAATGCATATTCTTTCAGTTTTTGAAGCACCATTTACAGTAAAGACCTGAAATAACGGTAGTTTTGGTGCATAAAATCCCAACCAAAGTAGTAATGAGACGCAATCATCGTTAAGCTTTTCTACATTCACTGTACGTGGGCTCGGAGAGGCAGCCGACTGCTGGCTGGGGTCAGTGGCTTGCAGCGGACATCACTTTCTGTGCTGCACTGCGCTTGCGCAATGAGCAGGAAGTGATGTCTGCAGTCGGCCATTATTTAGCTCAAAAAGCTGCTGTTGTGTGAGCGGACAGACCTTATGAGTATGTTTTGACTTGTTTTTTGGTAAATAAATCCCAGGGTCCGCACCACAATCACTCTAAAAGTGAACTCGCATTAAATTGAATTCCATTTGCTTTGCTAGAATGGTTACTTGGCCATCGAGAGCTGAGGAGTTTGAATTGAGTGAGATTTCACCCGTTGGGTTAAAATACAAAATTACATTAGTATAGTGCCTTTCATGTGGGGAACGTGAAAGGCACTATACTATACAATGCTTAAGGCACTGGACAGTCAGGGACCTCCGAGCTGGGGGTTGGGATCAGGAAGGGTAGGAGGGTGTCCGAAGACTCGGTCAAAGAGGAGGGTTTTGAGACCCGCCTTGAAGGAGGGAAGGAAGGGAATTGTGATGCAGTTCATTGAATTCCAGGATGCCACTAAGGTTTCATCTGACTGTCTGGTTTCAAATACCTAAGACTTAGCAATGCAACATAAATCTTTCAAAGCCTTGTTCTTTATGCAAAAACAAAACTAGATAAAGTAACTGCAGACTGGGTTTCTTGGCAGGATGCTACGGCTCTTTCAACAAATGAGAAGGAAGTGAAGAAGATTTCGGATGAATTAAAGTCTCTGCAGGAAACAAGTTGCCAAGATGGGGAGGCACTGGCAGCTGCTCAGAAGCACTTCAATGCTGTTTCTGCTGGTCTTTCCAGTAATGAGGATGGCGAGGCAGAGACTATCGCTGGCCAGATGATGACCTGCAAGAATGATTTAAGCAAAGCGGAAACCGAGGCCAAGCAGGTAAACTGCCATATTCTGAGGGTGATTTTCATCTGCAGTTTAAAAAATACATATGTTTTATGTTCAAGTAACAGCTTGATTATTCAGACACTTTGAAACTGGAAAAGTGTTTGAACTATCAATATGAAAAGTTTCTTATTTGTAAATCTGTATCGAGATCCAGTAAATACAATACAAAATTACATTTGTATAGCGCCTTTCACATCGAGAGGATGATTCAAAACGCTGATATGTGCATACAAGCTTGTCAAATTAATCTTGTTCACTGTGGCAAGCACTGAGGTACTGTCTATTAGTCTGATAGTGGCCATTGCAATGTGTCTCTAACTCTTGAGCTTGTGACTAAAATTGTTTAAAAATATATTTTCAATGTGATCCTGGTGTCTTTTGTGCACATTTTCAATATGAAGTTATTGTCTTTGACCCTCACCTCTGAAAATCCCTGTAACTCGCCCCATTTTTAATCTTTAAATGCTATATTAAGACTTGCCTCTGACTGTGCCTGTCATCACCTCCCCCTTCTCCCTTGCTCAGTGTTCAAATCTACCATTGTGCAGCCCTCAAGATGCTATCATGGTGAAGAGCAAAATGTGTACATATATATATAATACCATAAACTCCTGATAATGAGACACTGCCTTAAAAAGCCACAGGGCTTAAGTCATCTTATTGTCAATATCCTGGCCACTTCCCATGCAAAATGTGAATAAGGCAATCCGGTTTATTCATCATTCCACTTAAAAAATAAGCAATTGCATTCCAGAAACTCCCATAATTGAAATAGATTGGATAAATTAAAGGGACCTGAAGTGAACTTGCCTGTACCATGAGAAAATGTCAGCAAGCCGCCTGGCCAGCCAGGACCCAAAGTAAACTCCCGATGAGTGGCCTTCACTGTGGGAATATGTCACTGAACAGCAGTAGTATTACTGTAATTGTATTGCTAGATTGACAGAGTGGCAAGATGGTTAAACTCACCCAGTGAACCTGTGCTCTTATGTGAAATAGAGTACCTTGCAAGTTGGGAAGGGAAAGTGCATTTATAGGACAGGAGTGATATCTGACTGTGCCATATTTTATCATTTTGAAAATGATCAAGAAGACAGTTCAGTGTATTTTGTGTTGTGCAAACAGTTTATTACAAATAATGTTTAATTTTCACATATCACCTGGAAGTACAGTATCTTCTTTAATACACTACAGTACATCTCCCGAGACGTGCACAATTTCCAATAGAGTCACAGAAATAAGTCATAGAAAACAGAAAAGAAGTGCAATTATAGACCTATGTGCCTATATCTAAACATATACATAACTTAAATGAGTTTTAACAAATAAACTGTCAGTTGCGGGGAGGGGGGCACTTTGTCACACTGACAGCTGCTCACCTTGCTTGGGTGTAGTGTGTGTCAGTGTAGGCCCTACTGGCCACAGCGCCTCCAGTGACTCCGGGGACTTTTGCTTAAATTCCCACTCCCTTAGAGTGACAATTTATCCGGATGTTATTGTATCTGTGTGTATATATAATATACATGTATATTGTAATGCAATCATATAAATACTAGTTGTTGTTGTCCTGTTAGTTTTACCGTAAGTGTGTAAATATTCAAATATTAAAATCCCTTTCTAAATTCTAAACTGGATCACTATTCTTCAGGCTCACATGAAGTTGCAACATGCTCAAAAGGAACTGAAGACCAAACAAGCAGAGGTGAAGAAGATGGACAGTGGTTACAAGAAAGATCAAGATGCTTTTGAAGCTGTTAAAAAAAACAAAGAAAAACTCGAAGCTGAAATGAAGAAACTGAATTATGAAGGTTTGTCGAGTTTCTGAAATATGGACTGTGCTAATTCTGCTGTGACTATAAACAAACATCTCAAGCTCAGTCAGGGTATGTGTCTCCTGGCTCAGTTGGTACTGATCAAATTGCTGTAGATTTGGGGCTATTATATTTTGTTGTGGAAGTTAAAGAATTAGAATATTACTATTATTTGGTACTGGAATTTTTTTCTCTCACATGTTTTCTTTTTTAGATGGGAGAGAAGAGAAGCTTTTAGACCTGCGCCGAGACCTGTCACGAGCTGTAAATAAGCTCAAAGAATCCTATGAAACCTTGGTGGCAAAATTCCCTAATTTAAGATTTGATTACAAGTAAGATTGCTATTCTCTAGTCTTGATATTGTATAAGCACGCAGCGAAAAGCTGGACTCTTAATACTTAATACTATGTACCTTTATAAAGGTTAAATGTTTAAATATTTTGGCAAGTTATAAAGCAAGTGGATGCATGCATTGCCACACTGTGTTCTGACATTTTGAAGAACGTTTTGGCTGGTTTGACACATTAATGCAGTACAGCAGGGACTTATCAAAGCCTGTTTCTAAGCTAAACTCAAACATTTGTGTCTTGTGCACTGTATATTAAAAATAAATTTTGAATGAACTATTATTGTGTCTGGTGGGTGGGAGTATGCTTTGAAAAGAATACCATTAAAAAAGAATACCAGCACATTGAACGAATTTCTGTATGTCTTGGGTAATGATCCCTGTGCAAGTCTTTTTATCATACTTTGGATTATTGCTCTTGTGGACTCGAGAAATGTTTAGTACCTTCACTGTTGCAAATGGTGTTTTACTTTTAGTAAGATAATATTGAAAGCAGCTTTTTTGAACACTTATCTTCTATTTAGGGATCCTGAAAAGAACTGGAACTCAGATAGAGTCAAAGGTCTTGTTGCCACACTTATCTCTGTGAAAGACATCTCGGCGGCAACAGCCCTAGAAGTGGTTGCTGGAGGCCGTCTGTATAACGTGGTGGTGGACACAGAGGTAGGTGACAATTCATAACAGTAGCCATACATTGAGAAAAGTGACTGAGCCCAGATATTATAAGTAATGCTCTGAGCATAGTTTCTGGAGTTTATTTAAGTCAAGAGCCACAATTCTTAAATTGTGTTGCAATATTTGTTATCTTGGTGACTGAAGTTTTGAATTGAAGGTACAAAATTGTTTTCACCCCCAAAGTTAGGAGAATGAGGACTTTGCTCAATATTTTCCTCTCTTGTTTAGGAAACCGGCAAAAAGCTCCTAGAGAAAGGAGACCTCAAGCGGAGATACACCATCATACCGCTCAACAAAATTTCTGCTCGGTGCATTAATGATCAAACAGTGAAGGCTGCCAAAGATTTGGTAAGAACTACAGAGCTACAAGGGAATTGAAGCACAAAATCATTGCTTCGGATTTATGGTGTGCTGTGCATTCAGTCCAGTTTTACGGATTCAAGTCCTTTAGCTTGATTTGTATCAGCTGTAGGAGTTCAAAAAATTACAGTGATTTTAATGTATTTAAAGTAATCGTGACTTTTTAAATGCATTTCATGTCCCAAATATGGTAACACAGTCTGTGTGTTATAGGTGGGTGCAGACAATGTGCATACAGCCCTATCACTGGTTGGATACAATTCAGAGCTGCAGAAAGCAATGCAGCATGTTTTTGGGTCTGCATTGGTGTGCGACACTTTGGAAAATGCCAAGAGAGTAACCTTTGACAAGAGGATCATGACAAAAACAGTCACACTTGGTGGCGATACGTTTGACCCACAGGGAACGTTAAGTGGAGGTCAGTTTGTGCTGTTGGTGTGAATACATCATTAAACCTATTTGTGTCCTTTACGCTTAACATATGAAGGGAAGTAACTCTTCAATCTAACACATGTAAGAAAAAATTGAAGACAAAAATCTCCATTTACTTGTGGCAATTTAACAGCAAGTGGAGAATAACCCTTGGTTGGTAACCAAAAGAAACTAACTTGAACAACAATCAAAATAAATAGATTTGGGCTGGAGTAGGATTATGTTTAGCTGTTAACTTACGTACGGTCAACAGAGCAAATGTTAACACAATTTTAAGACTTAAAACTGAAGTCATTTTACACCGAAATATATCGCCTTGAATAGAACTTCTAGCTGTTTTCACCTTTTTAAATGTTTGGTTGGTTTGTTCAGATTCGTTGGCCTATGGGAACCATTAAGTATTACTGTATAAGGAACAGCTAATACAAAACATTAATGGGGTTCATATTGCGGTGTTTCTTAATAGGATTTCTTTAACTCCTTGATGCTGATTAGCAGGAATGCCCCTCCAAGTTGTCCTGTTTCAGTGTGGGGTTCCCTTGAGTCAGGGTGACCAATTTCTGGTTACCTGAAGGAGTCCCTGCATTAAGAAACACCACAAAATTGACCCAATTGTTGCTAAGCATATGCTATTGTCCTCCTGACGTGAAAGGCACTATACGAGTGTAATTTTGTTGTTGTATACTAGAAAATGGAAATCGTATTTGGATTGACGTGCTGCCACTTATTTTAGAATACATGTGCAGAGCTGGGCCAGGATAGGAATTTGTCCATTGAATATAGTGTGCGGTTTGTTTTTTTACCTGTTGCTAACTTGGCTGTGTGTTTATTTTGTAAATTAGGTGCCCGAGCACAGTCTGCCTCTGTTCTGAGCAAGCTTCAGGAGCTGAAAGATGTTCAAGATGAACTTCGATCGAAACAGACTGAGTTGCAGCAAGTAGATAAGGAGCTGGGGAGTCTCAAAAGCACAGTGGAGAAGTATGTCTGTGTAGGGTTATCAAATAAATGTTTTAGCATTATGTCTGCCATTTACCTTAGATAATATAAGATTAATAGAGTACCAACTAGCAGTTTATTCTCCAATGAGGGACTCCAGTTAAATGATGCCTCTCCTCTCCCCGCCACATTAAAATTAACATTCACCTCCAAAATACACAGTTACAACACTTTACAGTATGTCCTCTTGACAGGAAAGGCACTACGTCAAATGAAAGAATTATTGTAGCATTCAAAAAGTGGTTTATATGTGAGGTTCAGAACACAGATGAAAGGAGAAATGTGAACATGCACCGCAATAGATTTCCTTATGAAAATCTAAAAGGAAAAATCCCTCCAATAATTTTAAGAAACCCACATAATTATATTAATAATAATCCTTGCGTTTGATATAGCGCCTTATCACATTTGCCGACATCTTAAAGTGTTTCACAGGATATACTGTGTACGGACTTTTTTGTGGGCAAAATTTGGCAGCCAGTTTGCAGTGTCCCACAGACAACTGTGGGGTGATCAATTTTAATTTGGGGGGATTTATTAATTTTCATATTGTCCAAATGTTTGCCATTAAGTTAAACCTCAGTGATCCTCTATGGAAGACTCCGGTGGAGAAGCTGGGACCAACGCAGAAATGGAAGGCTGTATGGCTTCCTTCAGCACTGTAAATTTCTGTTAATAATAATAATCCTTGCATATGATATAGTACCTTATCACGTCTTTGAGACGTCTCAAAGTGCTTCACAGAATATACTGTAAAATGGATTGATTGTTTATTGTGAGTGAAAGACGGCAGCCAATTCTGTTCTGTTCAGTATGTTGCCGTCAGTACTGTAACATGTTCCTAATCCATTTTGCTCTTCATGTAAAACTAGTTGTAATTAACTAAGTTGCATTCTTTTCAGGTACCGTGAGCTGAAACTGCAGTGGGAGTTGAAATCGCAAGAGCAGGAAATACTACTGGTGAAACTTCAGCAGAGTTCCTACCATAGGCAGCAGCAGGAGCTTGAAACCCTGCAGAAAACTATCGGTAATGAATTCAAAGGGTGAACAGGACAAATAGTGAAATCGGTCCCAAATAAGCCAACTTTATTCATTTAGGAGTGAAAATAGCAATGTTGTTTTATTTAATACGGATAATGCTAAGTAACACATGAGTTCAATTTAACGATATATTTAAAGCATCGAATGGTCCCTTGATGTTCTTTTTTAATAGTTGCACCCAGAAGCCCACCTCATTGCGTTAGACTTCCTGCTCGGGGGCTGTGACATTACATTGCTGATTAGTGAAATATCAGCTTTTGATATTTTATTTTGTTTGTTTAAACAAAGTGCAGGAAATCGCATTTGAGGTGCTGCTCACGCACCAAATAGAAAGTTATGTCTAGTGACCAATTTTAAGAACTGTTTAAAAAATTAATGGTGGGAATCCATTTTCCTTAATTTGAAAAAAATGGAAATCCCAACAAATACAGGTGTACCAAATCATGAGGGGCTTTGTTAGGATAAAGATAAGTTATTCCCACTGCTGGGGGAGACAATAACTAGGGGACATAGGTATAGTATAAGGTGGCCACTATAAGGAATGAAAGGGGACTTAGGAGGAATTTTTTCACCCAGAGAATGGTTGGGATGTGAAATGTCTGCTGAGGTGGGTGGTGGAGGCAGATTCTATTGTAGCTTTCAAATGGGAAGTTGATTGGCATTTGAAAGAAAGGGGCTTGAAGGGGTATAGGGATAACAACAACAACAAGATTTCATTTATAGAGCGCCTTTCACGTCGGGAGGACGTCCCAAGGTGCTGGACAGTTGGGTCAGGACCCGAGCAGAGGGGAAATGGTCAGGGTGAGGGGAGGGAAGGGAGGGAGCGAGGAGGGGGTAGAGAGTCGAGAGGGGAGCTGAAGGCACAGTCGAAGAGAAAGGTCTTGAGACCGGCCTTGAAGGAGGAAAGGGAGGAGGCGACGAAGGCACTAGGGGATGGAATTCCAGAGCCTCGGGGCTGAGAGGCTGAAGGCCCGGCCACCGATGGTAGGGCAGTTGGGGCGGGGGATGTGGAGCAGACCGGAGCCAGAGGAATGGAGGGTACGGGCAGGTAAGTAGAGGGATAGTAAGTCGGAGAGGTAGGAGGGAGCAAGGCCGTGAATGGCCTTGTAGGTGAGGATGAGGATCTTGAATTCGATGGGATGGTGGGATTGAAGCGATATCCTTGCTCTGTGAGCTGACCCAGGCTTGAATGGCCTCTTGCACTGTAGATTTCTATTTTTCTTTTCTATGTTTCTGCTGATTTTTGCCATTTTTAAAATGGGGAGTTATGTAGTACAATTGTAGAAAACTTATTTTACATAGTTTTTTTTATGCTCGTTTTTTCTCCCTCCCCACTTTTCACCCCCCAAAAAAAGGTTTTGATTAGTAAGCTTGGGTGAGCTGAGTATTTCTGTCAGAAAGCAGTGCTGAGGATTCACAACCTTGCATCAAGTAATATATTGCAGTAAAAGTGGTGTGAACTTAAAAGTTACACTGACGTTATGTTCTGTCTTAAACTAGATGAATGTGAAGAGACGCTGAAGAAAACTAAGGAGGTACAAAAGAAAGCTGAAGAAAAGTACAAAGTTCTGGAGAACAAAATGAAAAACGCTGACGCAGAGAGGGAAAAGGAGCTAAAGGAAGCGCAAAAGAGGCTTGATGATGCTAAAAAAAAGGCAGATTCCTCCAGTAAGAAGACCAAAGAGAAGCAACAGGTGTGAGACATTGTAATGTGACCCAGCAGTCAGGGAACACAGTTGATTACAGTTGTAATGTTCAAAAGTACATAAGATTGTAGGAATATTCAGGGTGTTTCCAAAAGTCCTGGTACCCCCATGTGTTTTTTTACACAGTGCACTGATCAACAACTGAAACGTGGAAGAATGATGATAATTGTATTTAGAAATACTTAATTGTAATCAGTACAAGTGTTTAACCTTTATTTAGATGTCAAGAGGATCAGTGTGTGTGAGCTCCATCATTTTCATGGCAGAAAATGATCCATCGCCATGTTTGATGTGACATCTTTCATAACATGGATGGAGTGACAAGACGAAATACATCTCTGACAACTTGTTTCAACTCCTCCGTGATCTCGTGTCACTGTTTTATAGCAGGACTTTGTGGACACCCTGTACAGACCTGGAAAAAATCCCATCCCATCCGGCCAGTGTCAAAATTTAACTCTTAATAATCATTGCCTTCTGACGAAGGGTCGTGGACCTAAAACATTGACTCACTTTCCTTTCTCCATAGATGCTGCCTGATCTGCTGTGTTTTCCCAGCTCTCTCTGTTTTTGTTTCAGATTCCAGCATCTGCAGTATTTTGTGTTTTGATAATAATCATTGCATTTGACATAGCGCCTTATCACGTCTTCGAGAAGTCTCAAAGCGCTTCGCAGAATATATTGTAAAGTGAATTGACTGTATATTTTGTGGGCGAAATGCGGTAGCCAATTGCACGCAGCAGTGTCCCACAAACAGTTTTGGACTGGTGACCAATTTTTTTTTTTTGATGGAATTATTACCCCCAGAAAAGCGATCTGCCAATTGATTAACAACCGGGTTCCTATTTAAAGCTAGGTAAACAGAGGCTTGTGAAGTAAGGAAACTCGACCAACATTTCGCTCTGCTGGGAATCAAACCCAGGTCTCTCGCTTGCGAGGCGGGTGCTTTAACCACTGAGCTTCAGGACTCCACGATAATAGGGAAGGAATGTGATATTGGTAATAATTAGCACATCAAGCAAAAATGTGATTAAAGTAGTCAATAGTTATTCCTAACCTTGGGGTGCTTCACTACTCTCTAAAAATGTATTGTGTCCACTAATTTTCCATCGTTTCCCCTCTACTCCTGGTCTGGTCTGCTCTTCTGGAGTGCAATTCCACAGCCCCCGGTTGCCCCACCTCCCAAGTGGCCATTGTTGCTGCCTTTCTTGTGCGATTGTTCAGCCGTGGGAACTTGTACTGGGGATGAGTCTGTGGGATGTATATTCTTAAGATCTGAAAAGAGCACGTTACCTTGGTAATGACGGAATGTGTTGCAAAAAAAAGACCGGATATGCCTTTTAGTTTGTTTTTGGCTCCGTCCAGGTGGAGATTCGATCATTTCATTTGCAGAGTCTGTAACTTGATTAAATTCAAGCCCTTTTGCAGTGCATTAAATGACACCTGCAGGAAGTGCATGTCTCAGGTTTCTAACTGATTCGCCAAGGCATGATGACTGACTAACTTGGCTTCTGTTTAGAGTTTAATTGTGGTGACATGTTATTTACATTTAAAAAGAAATCCCAGTGCATCTTTATTCAGCTGTTATATGGTTGATTGATGGCAGGAGCCCGCTGCTGTGTGATCAGATGGAGAATTTTAATTTGACTGGTATACAACTTTGAAATCCCAAATCATACATATATGTCAAATTTTCATGGAACAAAGATTATTGCTGCTTTGCTACTAAACCACATATAAAACTCTCTGCTTAATGTTCTTAGACAAACTTTAGTTAACGTTTAAAATTGGGAAAGGCAGCAAAGTGGAATCTTGCAGGGTATTGGTTAGAGCACTTGCCTCGCAAGCGAGAGGACCGAGAGAATTCTCGGGCGGAAAGTTTCCTTACTCTGCACGCCTCGGTTTACCTAGCAGTAAGTAGGGACCAGGTGGTTAGTCGATTGGAGGATTGCTTTATGAATCCCTTTAAAAAAATATATAGTCAATTCACTTTACAGTATATTCTGTGAAGCGTTTTTAGACATCTTAAAGACGTGATAAGGTGCTATATCATTGGAAAGATTATGATTATTAAAGCCTGTCGGTTTGCCTTCGATGAGATTGGTAGCTTATAGAGATGTTTTTGGTGTAACTTGTAGGCAGTGGATGCTGTGCTCCTGGAAAAGGAAGAGTTGAAGCGTGAACAGATGGGGTCCAAACAGCAAATTGAGGCCATCGATGAAGTCATCAAGTCCTACAAGGAACAGATTGAGAACATGACTGAAGAAATGGGGAAGAATAAGGTATTGACACAGAAGAATATAAATGTATTGCTTGGAGGTGACATTTTGTTCAGTACAACAATGCTGTTCCTGGTATTTGCAGGAGATTGTGAAGAAAGCTCAGGATGATCTGGCGAAACAGAAGGAAGCCATAAAGGCTCAAAATAGTGAAATACAGGTCAAAACCACCACCATATCACAGCTGGTGAAACTGAAGAACGAAGCTCAGCTGAAGATTCAGGAGCGGGAACACAACATTGACAAGCATAAACGGGACAGCGCTGATGCTGCAGCTAAAGTAGGTGCACAAACCCAAAGCTTCAGTCTCAAATTAGACCACATAAATGATTCAGAGATTCGGCAAGTTAACCAGGAAAAATACAGTTTGAAATCTCATTTGTAAGATTTGCAGAGTGATTTGTATATAGTGGACCGTGCAGATTGCCATATGTACCTCAGGCTGAATCCCATCCTCAAAAAACCTTCCCTGGACTCATCCCTACTCTCCATCTATCACCCCATTTCCAACCTCCCTTTCCTCTCCAAGGCCCTGGAATGAGTCGTCACATCCCAACTTCGCTCTTTCCTCTTCCACCATTCCCTCTATCAACCCCTCCAATCGGGTTTCCATGCTGCCCACAGCAAAAACCTCCTCTTCGACCGTGCCTTTTGTTAATAATAATAATAATAATCCTTGCATTTGATATAGTGCTTTTCACGTCGGGAGGACGTCCCAAAGCGCTTCACAGAACACACTGTAAAGTGAATTAACTGTATGTTTGTTGGCGAATGCGGCAGCCAATTGCGCACAGCAATGTCCCACAAACAGTCGTAGATTGAAAATGATCAATTTAATTATTGTTTTTGGAGGGGTTACCCTCTTTCCCGGACCCTTCCCGCCTCCACCCCTCCTATAAGTTGCTTCTCTTTGGATCCCTGCCACACATCACTCCACATTTCTCAGAGATGGAGACCAGATAAGCTGTGTAGAGGCAGCTTGGAAGATTCACCATTACCAATGGAAGTGAAGATGTGTTTCTGGTGAGCTACAGCTATAACTGGAACTCCCTCCCTCAATCCCTCTTCCATTCCCCCTCCTTCCCTCTTTTGGATCATGACTGAAGACTTTCTTTTTCGATCTTCCTTACGGTCACCTCCTCCCGCCACTGTTAAGCGCTCCGAGACCCTGGCCCGAGTGAAGAGTGCTCTATATATGCAAGTTGTTCTCAGACTCTTCTGATTGAATTGAACTGCAGCATTTCTGAGCTGAGCATTTCTTACTTTGGTGAAAAAATGTCTGAACGTTCTGTGTGAAGAGGTTTTCTTTTCCCGTGTGGTCTTTTACCTTCGAAACATATGGAAGAGTTCAGTTATTCAAACACATGGGCATAAAGATTTAGGAGAAAATGCATGTTAAAATCTTTTCAGAGTTCATGTGTTCAGACAGCCTTTTTTTGTGTCTGCGCTGAACATGTAATTTTTCAGGGATTCTATTGAATGCTGGTTGATGTGTAATATGATCCCGGCTGTTTTTATTAGAATTGCTGACTTTTTTAATCCTCTTGTATAGGTGTCCAGAATGCTGAAAGAGCACAACTGGATTGCTTCTGAAAAACACCTCTTTGGCCAACCCAACACAGTCTATGATTTTAAAACTAAGCACCCTAAAGAGGCAGGCCAGCGGCTGCAGCAGCTCCAGGAGAAGAAGGATAAATTGGGCAAGAATGTGAACATGAGGGCAATGAACATGCTGAGCCAGGCTGAAGAACGGGTATAAATTGTTCATGAATTCATTTTGGGAGAAACTGGATTGACTTTCTCAGGTGTACAGAAATATAGGGGTGAAAATTGGGACATGCAGATTGGTTCACATTCCACAATCCCTCCCTACCTATCCCACTGTCGGAAGTTGGGCTTTCAGCCCATCAGCTTCCACTCTCTGGATCTCCATCCCGGAGTCCCTTCGCCTCTCCCCTTCCGTCAATTCGGTGTGAACTTTAATAACTCAATTAAAAAAAGTAAGGACTTTATCTGATCTCTTGGCCAACAATCCTCAAATGAATCAATCATTTATTTAACAATAGCTACCTAGTTTATGTACAAATATAGTCACTGCACTTGACAACCAGTATTGGTGAAGCATTTTGGGATATTTCAGCGCTATATTAAAATCCAATATTATTGAAACCTTTTGTAACATTGGTTTGGGATAGTGGTTGTCTTGACACTTTCGTGGACTTGTTTACCTAGATTTCTATTGTCAGTGTAAAGGGGCCCTTTGCTTCCTTTTGAAATTGTAATTGAAGATTTTCCCAGGAGTCACCTTTACCCATGTGAATAGAGTACAGATGTTGAGAGATTCCTAAACAGCAAATATATTCCACAATATTTAGCTACAGTTCTGTGTTTGTTTGCCTTTCCTCATAGAGCATTTGTTACAAGGTAATGCTCTCGTGGGGAAGGAGGAGAGCCTGGTAGAGCATTGATTGGACACCCCACAATTGTGGAGTACACCTGGTAGAGCGTGCCTCAGGTGACACAGACACAGGTGTTCTCCACACTGTGGGGTGGGTGCTGTGCGAAGTTCCCTTGTTCTATGATATTCCAGCACGTCTGCTCCATTAACTGGCTCCCCTGAGAACACAATGATTTATACTGTTTTTTAATAAAACAAAAAAGCAAAATTACAGCTGTTAAAGTGCTTTAGGTCAATAGCTGTAACAAGGACCTTATTTGTCCAATTCACCCTTAACGCTCCCTTTAAGTGATGACCGCAGTCGTCAATCATTTGAATATTACTAAACTATGTGCATTAGAGGTTAATGCACGGCAATAGTGATTTGACTGTAAACTGCACTAAGCTGGAGTCTCAGAGCAATTCACTGCTGAGAATGCAGTTGTATTAATGGAAGCGCCTCATTTCTTAGTTGTGTGAAGCATGAAACAAACTGAGTGAGCTCCATTCTTGGTTTTTCACAGTACAATGATCTGATGAAGAAGAAAAGAATTGTTGAAACCGACAAAGCAAAAATTCTCTCAACTATTGAAGAATTGGATCAAAAGAAGAATGATGCCTTAAATGTTGCATGGAAACAGGTAAACATTAACAACACTTTGAACTACAACCTTCCGACTCAGACTTCCTTTCTGAGTTCTTAAAAAACAACAACAAAATTACATTTGTATAGCGCCTTTCACACCGTGAGGACATTAAATTGATACAACAACAACAACTTGGATTTTTATAGCGCCCTCCAAGCCGGAAGGCGTCTCAGAGCGCTTCACAGTAACGAATCCCAGGGCCGAGCCAGGGGGAGGGGGAGGAAGGTGACCAAAGGCATGGTCGAAAAGAAAGGTCTTCAGAAGGGACATGAAAGTAGGAAGAGGGGTGAGGCGAAGGGAGTGAGGAAGGAAATTTCCAGAGCCTTGGGGCATAGTGGCTGAAGACACGGCCGCTGAGGGTGGAGCGGAGGACTCGGGGACGAGGAGGAGGCCAGACCCGGAGGATTGAAGGCAACGGGTACTGTTTTGAGGCGAGAGAAGGTCAGAGAGGTAGGGGGGTGCAGAGGAGTGTAGGGATTTGATTACAAGGGTGAGGATCTTGAAATGGGATAGGCAAGGACTGGGGTAATCGGGGAATGTAGTTTGTTGCGGGTGAGAATGCGGGCGAATGACAGTTCTAGAAAGTAAATGGAGATTTTTAACAAAATATAAAATAAATAGATAATGGGAAGGAAGGAGAAACCAATGTTGATTGTTGTATGTTGATTGCTTCATGAATCATAGAATCAGAGTCCAACAGCTTAAAAGGAGGCCATTCGTCCCACTGTGTCTCTGCTGGATCTTTGAAAGAGCTAACCAAGTAGTCCCAGTCCTCAGCTCTTTTTCCATAGCCTGTAATTATTTTCTTTCCAAGTAGATATACTATTTTCCCATTTGAAAGTTATTATTGAATCTGCTTTCACTGCCATTTCAGGCAGTGCATTTCAACTCGCTGCTTTAAAAAATATCTCCTCTCTGGTTCTTTTTGCCAATTTCCCATGAAACTTCTTATACTTTTGAAGTGAACACATCTTTATCCCTCTACTACTCCCTCTATGTAGGTGAACAAAGATTTTGGCTCAATTTTTTGTACACTGCTTCCTGGAGCAAATGCCACGTTGGCTCCCCCTGAAGGCAAGACTCTCCTGGATGGACTTGAGTTTAAAGTGGCCCTTGGCATTGATTGGAAGGAGAACCTCACTGAACTCAGTGGAGGTCAAAGGTGCGTCTTTTCCTTTCATTTTAAAATGTCTTGGTAATAAATATCTGCTTAATGTGAAGTTTTTGCTTCCTTTTTTTAAAATTTTGCTAGTTTTAGATTTGCATTTTGTGAGTCTTTCAATTTGATATTTGCAAATAGAAATTGCAATAAAATAAATCGCAAATTTGATTTACCAGAGACTAAGCTTTCAGTTGGAACACTGTACAGGAACATTTTCAAGGCTGGTGTATTCACCTTGATCAATCTTGGCTGCATTTAAGAATATGTTTGAAGATTCACACATGTACACTGCTTGTGAGTGGCTGCAAACTGCTCACTTTTGCTTTATAGGAACCTTGCATTTATCCTGTATGATGGATAAATTATTTAAATGATTATTTTAGTTCAAGGTTATGCTCCAGTAAGTAACTAACATTCTAGATGTGTATTATTTAGGTCATTGGTGGCTCTGTCTCTGATCCTGGCCATGCTGCTCTTCAAACCTGCTCCAATATACATCCTGGATGAGGTTGATGCAGCTCTGGACCTGTCTCATACCCAAAACATTGGACAGATGCTTCGCACACATTTCCGACACTCCCAGGTTTGTTGCTTTTCATTGGATAGGCGTATTTTGGGAGGGAGAAATTGGTGAGGTGTTTTTTGGGCTTGCCATTGATATCACTGTCTAGCAAGCTTTCTGGCTACTTATCCAGCTAGGACCACCTTATCTGTTAGGGTTTTGGCTTGCAGTATTAACAGGAGTGGAGTGGGATGATTCCCTGCCTCCAGTGACTGTTTGATTGGTGAGGTGTTGAACATCAAATCACACACATTGACTACAATTGTCATTCTGCATTTTAATTCCATAATGAAATTGAAGATTGGATATTAAGTATTGCATCATTGTGGTTTTTGATTGTCTTTTGGGGTATACAGTGGAACCATGTTATAACTTGCTTTGTTATTGCACAGATTTTCTTATAGTGCAAATAGCATATGGACTCCATTCCCTATGCATGCTCCGTGTGCATGCTCACTATCCAGTGAGCCTTGTTCAGTGACTACGTTATCCCTGTAAACGTTTCAAGACCTTTTCCTACATGAAAGGGGCTAAATAAGTCGAGCTGTTGTTGGAGGAGAAGAAGTTGAATGGAAATAAAATGATTTTCAAGAGGCTTTAATGAAAGGCAACCTCATTTTGTTTTGATAACTTTGTTCTTTTAAATCACTCGCAGTTCATCGTGGTGTCATTGAAAGATGGAATGTTCAACAATGCTAATGTCCTGTTCAAAACCAAGTTTGTGGATGGTGTATCCACTGTGGGAAGATTTACTCAGAACCAGATCACCCCCAATCACCCACCTGGCCAACGAGAGAAGACGAAAGTAAAAGACAAGAGGAACAGACTGAAAATGTAGGATTAAAAACCCCAATAGCTGTATAAACTGTGTACACTGCCGTATATATTGTATGTAATATTGTGCAGTAAAGCTCCTGTCACTTTTCATCTTCCTGTTCTTTAAATTGACTGACTTTAAAGTTGTATATTTCTATTAAATCTCTTTGAATGCAACTTTTTCTGTATCTTTTAAATAAACTTTCCTGTCTCAGTAAAAAATATATAGTTTCCCCGAGAATCATTGTCTAGGATGCTTACAGTTAATCATTACAGTGGAAGAGGTGAAAAATAAATGACTTGCAATTTCACAAATCTTGTGATGAAACAAAGAAATAATATAGAATATTACAGCATAGAGGAGGGTAGTTACTAGTTGGTCATTTGATATCTAGGAAATGTGGATTGAGCCCTCACTAGGTGAATGGCAGGCACCAGAACTCATGGCTCGGCATGAAAATCAAGTGCATTGTCACCATCTTCCTGCCCACAGCTCAGACACACATGCCTTCCCATTGAGTGATGGTTCCACCAGTTCGAAGTGTGGAGCTTGAGCAGCAGCTGCTGACCTCTGCAAACCAATCAGGATTAACGTCAAGCCCTGGGTATATGAACTGCATTCACAAACCTAAACTCCCAGCAGCTGTAATCCCAAAATGGTGACATTTCCTCACCAGCTATTTGACAGACATCTACTTAAACCAGATTCTCTGATGAGGGGCTTTGGTGTAAATCAGTGTGATTACCATGAAGCTGTCTCTGCCTCCAGGGTGCGCAGCAACGTCAGTGTAAACCAGAGCCCGCCCTTCCTTGCAACCGTTTCTCCTTTATATAACAAGTACACCTCAATCCTTGGTCCTGGATTTCACAAATAGGGCAAAGAAACATCTGCTGCATGCCCCCCATCTGCTGCATGCCCAGGAGCCTGGAGAACTATTTGGACGTGTCTTATATACATGTCTTCTAAACAAAGAAATAATATTAACCTGCTTTGGAGTCTTACTGTAATGAGGTGAGGATGACGTGATGAGATTAAAATGGGATGTGGAGTCCTGTAGCTCAGTGGTTAGAGCACTTGCCTCGCAAGCGAGAGAACTGGGTTTGATTCCTGGCCGGGCGAAATGTTGGTTACGTTTCCTTACTCTACATGCCTCTATTTACCTAGCAGTATGTAGAAACCTGGCTGTTAGTCGATTGGCGGATTGTTTTACCGGGGATAATAATCCCTCAAATATAAAAAGATTTTGTCACTCAATCAACGACTTTTTGTGGGACACTGCTGTATGCAATTGGCTGCCATGTTTCGCCCACAAATATGCAGTCAATTCATTTTACAATATATTCTGCGAAGGGCTTTAATACGTTGAGACTATGTGAGAAGTGCTATATCAAGGATTATTGTTATAATGACAAGCTTGCCCTTTCAGTGCGATCCAAAAGGGTGGTGTCTAAGCAAAGATTGGTGTTCACCACAAATCACACAATACAAATCAACAACTGGTGTATTGTATTCCAGCTGTAATGTCAATCGTATTGCTCTAGAGTGCAATTCAAGCTACAGAGTGCAATTTAAATGTAACCTGTTTAATGCATGCTACAGGTGTTGGAGAGAGTGGGGCCTAAAATGTGACAATCACAAAATGTGAATCTTGCAGGTACCTTGGGGTGTCTTAGACCAAAGCCACTGGATCTGCTCAGAAGCAGATCTCTTGTTTTAAGTTCTGTAAAGCTGGCAAAGTTTACTTCCTGACAGTTTGGATCACAGCTGATCAGAAACAATCCTGTGTCCCTTCAGGATTATTTACAAATTAATTTGCAAAAATCCCTAGGGGTTTTCAATTTACCATAATTTGCTTTGCGCATTGAGCTCCCGCTGATTGGGAGATACCCTGTGACTGACCAAACTCAGTTCATGTGGAGCCTTCATGGCAGATGGTGGAAACGATTTCCATCCAGTCTGTCAGGTCCAACGAGGTATCAGAGATTCACTTTAACCCACTCGGCCAGCGCCACCGAAATGTTTAGTTTTTTCATATAACGTATAAAAGGAAAAAGGATATGGTCAGAGGTTGCTTGACTGTCTGGTAATAAGCAAAACATTTGGAATAAGTTTTTCCATCCGAAATTGCCTTGCATTTTTTTTGTTTTCTCTTTTTCTCTGGAATTGTGATCAAGGAGACTTGCAGTTGAATATTATGTAGAAGGTGGAGTGGAATATTGTGAGGAAAGTTTGCAAAAAAATACATAGAATGTACAGCATTGAAACAGGCCATTCAGCCCAACCAGTTTAAGCCAGTACCCCACATGAATTTCTACTCACTCCTTACTCTTGGCTATATCCTTCCATTTGCTTCTCCCTCACGTGAAAGCCAAAGTGGAGTGGATTATCATTGTGTGGGAGCTGCAATGGTGGGAGTTCTCCCGGGAGCAGATTTGATGGGATCTCTGCGCCTTTGTTTTCTTCTTTCTTGTCCTGTTTACATATCTAAGTTCAATGTTTCAATAATAAATGATGGAAAGACTTTTAATTGATGTGCCAGCTTCCATTTCCTGGTTGCACTATTTAACAATACTGTTAAATACTACTACTTTTCAAAGTAAAACCCGTGCCACGTATATGTATATGGACTGAGCAGCTCCTTTTTGCAATGTAATTTTCGGAGGATTTTACATTCTGGGAACAATATGCAACGTTTTAGCCTCTTCCTGTGGCACTGAGCTCTGACAGGTGCAGACAAATGAACAGACTGGCTGAGATTCAGAGCTGAACTCAGGAGAGTCAGTTTTGTCACCTTTCTTGAATATGGCAACAACATCTGCTTGCTTCCAGACAACTGGAACCTCCTAAGTCCCGACTGACTCCCTTGTGATGTCTGTCAGTGCTACAAAAATCTTCTGCTTTGTCTCCCTAAATACCCCGGGGTACGGTTCATCCATCCTAGGGGAGTTGTTGGTTGTCAGCAAATAGAGCCTATCCAGAATCTCCGTCTCACGTGTTGAACTCCTGCAGCTCAATGTTTGCTTGATGATTTGCAGCACCATTGGAAGCCAGTTAACCCATTGTGTCTATGCCGGTGCGAACTTCCCCCACTGCAGCTATCTAATCCAATTTCCCTGTGCCCCTCATTATCTCACCTCAGGCAATTAGCCAAATCCTTTTAAACGGTGTTACAGACTCAGCAACAACTGCCATCTACTCTGAAGCATTTTGAGATATATCGACGATATGATAAGGTGCTGTATCAAATGCAAGGGTTGTGACTTGTGGTGAGGCATTCCACGTTCTAATCGATCTTCTGTTGGCTCCATCCTGATTGTCGGTGCTCAGCAACTGATGGGAGTGCAAACTGAGGTAGCAGTGTTTAAAGGTCAACTCGGAGCCATTAAATACTTTATTAATTCTCAAATGGATCATTAAAGAACAAAAAAGATAATGATTTTAAATGAACCGTATTACAGTTCAAGTTACAGAGGCTTGCTTGATTTAAATGACCACAGATAAAGGCACTCTCTCACAACATTTCTCATATAAACCTGAAACACTTTCTCTGCAACGGTAACATAACTCAAAAGCTTATTTCTACCATAATATTTTAAAACTGTAGATACCACTTGTTTGTGGACTTCAGTGTAAGACTGAGTCGGATGAAAGCCATGGAAACAAATGTGGGTGTGTTTTAGGCTGGATAGGCAGAGCTCTATTCCTTGATATTTTTGTCCTCTTCAGAGAAATGAGGAACTGATTTCTTGGCAACAACATTGTCCAGCCGTTGTCCTCGCAGGTATGGATTCGCACTCTGAAAAACAAAAGGATTCCTTCAGTCCACTACATTCCAATAGTATTCCTCACAGTATCCAATCAATACTTTTTTCAAATATTAAAACCAGTGGCATATTTTGTTTATTTTGAAGGTATTGATTGTTTCTCTTCTTCAATTCTCCTATAATAAGAAGAACATAAGAATATAAGAATTAGGAGCAGGAGTAGGCCATTCGGCCCCTCGAGCCTGCCCCGCCATTTGATAAGATCATGGCTGATCTTCAGACCTAACTCTAGTTACCTGCCCTATCCCCATATCCCCATGTCCCTTAATCCCTCTATTTTTTAAAAATCTATCAGTCTCAGCCTTGAAAATGTTCAAGGACTGAGCATCCACAGCCTTCTGGGGTAGTGAATTCCATAAATTCACTACTCTCTGAGTGTAGAAATGTTTCCTCAACTCTGTTGAGGAAGTTATCCCTTGTATTTGATATAGCACTTATCATGTGATCGAGATGCCTCAAAGCGCTTCACAGTTCTGTAAAGTGGCTTTGACTGTACTTTGTGGGTGAAATGTGGCAGTCAGTTTGCGTACAGCAATGTCCCACAAATAGCCATGAAATGAGTGACCAATTTTTTATTTTGGGGATTTGTTGGCCAGGAAACTGGGAGAAACTCCCTTCTCTTTTTGAATAGTGCCATGAGCTCTTTAACATGCACCTGAACAGGGAACCTCGGTTTAACATCTCATCCAAAGGACGACACCTTTGACAATGAAACACGCCCCCAGCACAGCATTGGAGTGTCAGTTTAGACTGTGATTCCAAGTCCTGACGTGAGGCTGAACCCACAACTTTCAGACTCAGAGGCGAGTGTGCTACCACTGAGCCAAGCTGAAGTGCACCATTCCTGGTTTAAAAGAGGCCCCATGGAAGCTGCTGCCAAAGTCTTAACAGGTAGAGCATTTCTGCTTAAACGGGATGTGTACCAATGCTTTGTGTTGATAAGGGCCTGATTACATAGCTTATTTCAAGCCAAAGTAAATATTTTGTATCATAGTTGCAGCAGATATGCTGTAAAGGTGATCAGTGTTTTATTTCCTCCTTACTCAGTTTAGATATTCCTGATCCACTCGTTCGTCTTTAGCTGACAGGCTAAATTGGCCAGGATATTCAGTCACTCCATTCCCCATTCCCCCATTTTATTCTATGTTCAATAGATGATCTTCAAACTAATTTTAAAAATATCTATTTTGGAGTAATTTGAGGAATCATAGCGTGATTCGTCATAGAAACAGGTCATTTGGCCAAGGTAACAGGTAATTAGAAACAGGTAATTAGATCTGTGCCGGTGTTTATATTCCACATGTGCCCACCCCTTGTATTCCCATCAGCTATAACCCTCTATATTTGAGTGAATGAATAGAATATGTATTCATATAAATAAATTATACATATGTCACTCATAGAAAACTAAATTTACCCTTCGCTTTCTTGGGCCGCCCTTTATGTTTCCATAAATCACATTCTTGTTCTGTATAGGAATAAAGATACAATTTTAGCACATCTTTTTAGCACATGATACAACAACAACACATTTAATTTGTATAGTGCAGATAGGAGATATGTGCAGATACATAACCTCTCCCAGAATCCTGTTCTGTGTTACTTCAACAATAGAGGTCATTCTTTGCGACATTTGTAAAGCAGATTCAATGGAGCAATTGTTTGTGAATTCTGTTTGTCAATATTGACAGCCATGTAGTTTGTGATATTCACACAATATCAATAGTAAGCGTAGGGTTCAGTGATGATAGTTGAAGCTAAAGAGAATACATGTGAGGTCATAAGCACTTGAATTATGTCTGAGAGCAAAACTCTCATGGGAGTTCAGCACTTAGTGCTGTAAAAGAGCAATCAGAACTGAGTTAATGCTATAGGTTAGCCCATCACTGCTCTCAGTGTCAGTCTCAAGCGGAGTCCTGTAACTCAGAGCACTCGTCTCAAGCGAGAGACCTGGGTTTGATTCCTGGCAGAGCAAAATGTTGGGCAAGATTCCTTACTCCACGCGCCTCTGTTTACCTAGCAGTAAGTTGGAACCCGGTTGTTAGTCGATTGGCGGATCGCATTTCTGGAGGTAATAATTCCTTCAAAAAAAAACAAAATAGATTGGTCACTTCGATTCACTTTGTTTGTGGGATACTGCTGTGCGCAATTGGCTGCTGCGTTTCGCCCACAAAGCACAGTATATTCTGTGAAGCGCTTTGAAACATCTCGAAGACGTGATAATGCACTATATCACATGCAAGGATTGTTTGTTTGTTTGTTTGTTTGTTTGTTTGTTTGTTTGTTTGAGTTAGTTAGTGAGTGAGTGAGTGAGTGAGTGAGTGAGTGAGTGAGTGAGTCAGTCAGTCAGTCAGTCAGTCAGTCAGTCAGTCAGTCAGTCAGTCAGTCAGTCAGTCAGTCAGTCAGTCACACAACGGCTATTTGAGATTTCTGAAGGTCGGGAAAGTGCATGTCAGAGCTGCAGATCCATTTCTCTTTTAAATATCCCTATTGTTTCAGTGTGTACAGCTTTGTTAGGTGGAGTATTCCACATCTTCACAAACTCGTGGTAAAATAGATAAAAGAGCTCAACTACTAAGGTAACACAAGGAAGACAATACAATATGTTCTATAAACAGCACTGTCTCTAAACCAGGTTATTTATTTATGCAGCAGATGTTCAAGTGTTAACGGTTGCTGAGGAACCAATGCTTATAGCACCTCATTGTATGGTAACTTGATGGATTATTAGAGAGAAACTGAATAGAAAGACACAGAAATAAAAGGTTTCTGGAAATAGTTAAAACATAGAATGTGAATCTATTCATTAAAACGTTGGATAATAATACTAATACTATTCCTTGCATTTGATATTATAATAATAATAATATAGTGCCTTAACACACCCTAAGTGCTTCGCAGGATATACTGTAAAGTGGATTAAATGTATTTTATTGGCGAAACATGGCAACCAGTTTGCGCACAGCAATGTCCCACAAACAGCCATGGAGTGAGTGACCAATTTTATTTTGGGGGATTGTTGGCCAAGACACCAGGAGAAACTCCGTTCTCTTCGAACATTGCCACAGGATCTTTAACTTCCACCTGAACAGGCAGATAAAAGCAAGGTGAGTGATTATTAATAATAATCTTACAATCAATTTCTGGTCAGTGAGTGTATCTGGCATTCTCATAGAATTTAGAGCAGTGTATTAGCCCATTCCTTGTCTACCTTATAATACTAATAATAATCCTTGCATTTCATATAGCGCTTTTCACGTCTTCTAGACGTCCCAAAGCACTTCACAGAATATACTATAAAGTGAATTGACTGTATATTTGTGGGCGAACGCGGCAGCCAATTGCGCACAGCAGTGTCCCACAGACAGTCGTGGATTGGAAATGACCAATTTATTATTCTTTTTTGTTTTGGAGGGATTATTATTAGGTGTATGGAGTAAGGAAACTTGCCCAAGGTTTCGTCCGGCCTGGAATTGAACTCAGGTCTCTCGCTTGCAAAGCGAGTGCTCTAACCACTGAGCTACAAGACTCCACCACCTTGACTTGCAATGAAAGCCTTCCTGAGCTGGAAATGCTTTGGGCTGCTGTCGCTCTTGATGTCTTATCAAGTGGGTGGATTGTTAGACTAACATTCGTTACGCAACCCATGTTGGCAGTAAGTGCAGGGTAATTTGAACTGGAACAAGAACATCTGTTCAGTTAGCGAGAATAAACAGCATAAGTACTGAGGTAACCATAGGGAAGGCAGTTAGCTGATGACTAACAGTAAGTAGCTTCGGATTTCAATTTTTTATTGGTTTATTATAAATAAAAGTGGAATCTGCTGTACAGATTTACATAGAATTAGTAGACCCAACAGTCACATTATTGTAATTAAATGTCTGAACCAGATCTACTGGACAAGTCTTTCTTATGCTTGTTAGGGTCTAAAATGCGTGTTGGACTAATAGTAACTTTAGTAACTTTGATTCTATAATTTAGTAATTATATAATAGCAATTTAATATATAGTAATATTTTAATATATAGTAATAATAGATCATTATTAATAATTATTAATATAATACTAAGAGTTACTTTAATATTATTTACTATTTAACTAGTAGTAAATAATAACTTTATAGTGTAAAGTGGATTGATTGTGTATTTTGTGGGCATTAGGTCTTCCTCTTGACACGAAAGGCGCTATACAAATGTCATTTTGTTGTTGTTGTTGAAATGCGGCAGCCAGTTGCGCACAGCAGTGTCCCACAAACAGTTACGGAGTGAGTGACCCCTTTTTTTTCTTATCCCAGGAAAGTGATCCGCCAATCAACTAACAACCAATTGCAAACAGACGCCCTGTAGATGACTCGGCATTGCCACTGTAATCCTTTTCACTCATGGTAACAACCTGCACTTCGGAGCCCAATAATGTGAGAATTAGGAAGCAGAAAGAATCAATGTCAGCACTTACCCATTTCCCCATGGCTGGATAGTCGTGTTCTGGGTCAAAGAGATGCTGATGAAGCTGATATTCTCGGCTGAATTCTGCTGTGTCAGGAGTAAGCTCCAGGCATCCATCAATGGCTGAAAGCAATCACACAACCACCTTCTGAGAGCTTGTAAATATGAACCCAACCCACTTAGTCTACCACATATTGAGGGCTTGCTAGAAGTGATAATTCTATGACATTCATGATAATAATCCTTATATTTGATACAGCACCTTATCACGTTGTTGAAACGTCTCAAAGCCCTTCACAGAATATACTGTAAATTGAATTGTTTGTATATTTTGTGGGGGAAATGTAGCAGCCAATTTCATACAGCAGTGTCCCACAGACAGTCGTGGACTGAAGTGACCAATTTATTTAATTTATTTAAATGTTTAATATTTATTTACTGGAGGGTATGTTTTGAGTGGCTCATTCATTCCACGCGAAAAGTGCTGCATAAGTGCAACTTTGTTGTTCTTGTACATTGTAAGTGGTCTGAGCATTTTGGAATATTTATTTCCCTCCTGGTGAAAGACTGGGAAGTTCAGCTCAGTGGCTCAGAGCAAGCTTGGAAAAAGGAATAAAAGGTTTTCCAAATTCTTTGTCTGCTGCTTGGACAGACAGAAACTCCACACCAACTACTGGGAGAGCATGGATCTGTTTCACTCTTGTACCTAGAGGGGACAAGTTTTTTAAAGTTATTTTGGGATGGAGAGAATTAATGCTTAGACTGCTATTAGATCCAGGGAAACGACTGTATCCCGGAGCAAGCTGGTTTTGCAGCTTTTCAGTTTGTGCACTGCAACCTGAAAACCCACTTATAACAATATAATAATATTCCTTGCATTTATCACGTTGTCATGGTGTCTCAAAGTGTCTCAAAGTGTCTCAAAGTGCTTCACAAAATTTACCTGTGCTTTCTAGGTTCAACACGGCAGCCAATTTACACACAGCATAATAATAATAATAATGATAATGATCCTTGCATTTGATATAGCGCCTTATCATATCATTGAGATGTCTCACAGCGCTTCATGGAATATACTGTAAAGTGTAGTGACTGTGAACCTTTGTGGGCGAAACACAGCAGCCAATTGCGCACAACTCTGTCCCACAAACAGCCATGAAGTGGCACGAGTGCAGTCACTCCACTCTACTTTGAGACATTTTGATAACATGGTAAGACATCCAATGCAAGGATTATTATTATTAATAGCAGAATCTACAAATAAAGTGGAAGGAAGCCTCAATGCTGCTGTGTTGTTACAGACGAGTGAGTCTATTAATATTGACTTAACGTGAACTTTGAGGTAAAGCCTATGAGACTGGAGAAGCAATCCTGGAGCAGAAGCACAACTTGATATCTTACACAAATGGGATATAGACATTATTCAAAAGGGTACAAACAGTTCTCCATCTTCAATGTATGACTACTAAATCACAAATATCAACCAACAGGTAGGGAATTTAATTTAATCCAAAAGCAAATTCTCTCATGGCAGTAACTATTTACAATGTTTGCAATGTTTGATGAGCAATAAGCAGCAATGAAATATTAAGTTCCAAACAGCATTGGATGAGCTCTGAGAACTGTTAAAAAAAATTGTTAACACATTTTGAAAGAGCTTCTCCTGAACTGCATGAATTACCTTTTCGCCCCAAAGGGCAGGGGTTGGGTGGGTCTGGATATCCTTGATCTTCTTTGAAATGTTTTGGTATGTTATCCCCGGTCAGTTCGGCCACAATGTTGGGGATGTTACCATAGGGGCCCAAGTGCTGCAATCCTTCATGAGCACCCCCTGGTCATCACACAGAGAAAACAACACAGATTTTACTCTCTGACATCTTCCGCTCACTGAAACCGGAGTACTGCACAAGTTAAACTCTCGAGTAAGCACTATTAAACACAGCACTAATTCTCACGATGGTCTAACCTTTATGGTCACCCAACAAAATTAATTTTCTTGAATGATTATGTCATAAATCAAGAAATATTTGATCTAGAGAAAACTGAAAACACACCGATTGAACTTGTGCGAATGTTCGGGAGAGGGGAAGAGCTTCTTGAGGTGCTGTGGGCCACTTCTGACCCCCGAGCCACAGGTTGGCCACCAATGGCCTAGCTGATAAAGGCATGAGGCAGCACTAGACCAAGCTGACCGTAGGTGACAGGTTTGAGTCACTTGCGTTAGCCAATCTCAGCACTTAATTTAGCAATCGTCACTTAATTTCTAATCATTTATATTTTGTAAAGTGCTTTGAGGCCTTACTTGATGTGAAAGATGCGATATAAATGCAATACAAATGCAAATTATTATTTTAATTACTAAGTTCAGGCTCGGACTCAAATGACCCATTTGAAATAATTTACCTGGATGCCTATGAGTAAACATTTCTCCAATAACATTTCTCACCACCTCGAAAAGATGTGGATGACAATCACCAAAAGATAATGAATTTGTTATTTTCCAATGGGCACAGGACAAAAAGTACTTAAAGGTTTAACCGTTTAAATTCCAAGGCTAGGGGCCCCAGAGTGTGCTTTGGATACCATTGGAGTTTAACCAGATTAAACTGTATAATTTGCCATTAATTACTATCTGGCAAGCTTCCCATGGCTTGTCCAGCCAAGACCATCCTACTCATTGGAGATTTGGTTAGCAGGGCTAACAGAAACTGAGTGGGACGAGTCCCTGCGCCTCTTCCCCCTCCAATTCCTGCTGATGAGCCTGGCTGGCAGGGTTGTCATCAACGGTGCCAGGAATTCCCTGCAAGCTTCTTGGTGAGCAGCAATAGCTCAATGTGAAATGTATGAGAGCATTGCTACCACCTTCATGCCCACAGCTCAGACACACATCCTTTACCATTGAGCAATGATTCCACCATTTAGAGGTGCAGACCTTGAGCAGCAGTTGCTTATCTCTCTTTATGCCAATCAACGTGTATTGCAGTGTGGCTCTCATCTCCCAGTCCCCGCTCAGTCCTATCCTCTTACTCCTCCGTAACGTTCCCCTCCTTTGAGCACCTTACCCTTTACCACCCCTCCAAACTTTCCCTCAAAATTCTCCTTATCGATCGCCCCCCCTGCCCCTCCCATACATTCCTCCCCGACATCTCCATCCTCCTATCTTCCCTCTCCCTCTGCTCCAAATGCCTCCTTATCCAAGGTGACTTCAACCTTCAGTTCACCCCTCCTGCTCTACTTCTGCTGACTTCTCCTCCCACCTCTCCTCCCTCAACCTCTCCCTCCACATCTACGCGGTCACTCTTTCGACTTGGTGATCACTTGGGGCCTCACTGTCACTGACTTTACCATCGCAGATAAAGCCATGTCAGACCACCATTTAATCTTTCTTAACTCCTCAATCTCTTTCCCCACCACCATGCAACCTACCTCCATTTCCTATCACCCCAGGAAACAATCTACCTCCCCTCTCTCTCTGCTGCCTTGGAGTCATCTGAACTCCTTACCCTCTGGGCTTCCTCCCCCAGTGGCCTATTCTCCTAGGTCACTCTTCTCCACAACTCCCTCTCCACCACTATCGATTCCCTTGCTCCTTTCACTTCCTGAACCGTCTCCAACTCATGAAAGTCACCCTGGTACACCAGCCACCTCCGCTCCCTTAAGGCACGTGTGCACGCCACTGAATGCACCTGGCTCAAATCCAACTTAACGGTCCATTGGCAGATCTGGCTGGACCTTAGTAAATCTTATTGCTCCGTCCTCGCCTCCGCTAAATCGTCGTTCTACTCCAAGACAATCTTGGAGGCCAAGGACAAGCCCAGGCTCCTCTTCTCCATCACCAACCGGCTCCTCCACCCACCCTCTAACATCTCGCCCGTCCTCTCCTCCCACGCCAACTACGAGGCGATGTTGCGCTTCCTCGAAACCAAAGTCAAGGGGATCTGCTCAACTGCCTCTGTGCTTCCATCTATTACCCACTCCTCAACCTTCATGGTTCTGTCTTTGAATGGTTCAGATCCTATCTCTGACACCATCTACACTTTGTCTCCAAAGAAGCTTCTCCTCAAGCCCCCGCATCGTCTCGTGTGGCATTCCTCAGGGCTCTGTCCTAGGTCCCCTCCTCTTCAACCTGTACTTACTCCCTCTTGGTGACATCACCCGCAGACATTGGGTCAACTTCCACATGTATGCGGATGACACCCAACTCTATCTCTCTTCCTCCCCCCCGACTCTAGGCCCACTGCTGTCCTGACAGAATGTCTGTCAGACATCAAGTCCTGGATGAGAGCTAACTTTTTCCAGTTGAACATCAACAAGACCGAGGCTCTCCTTATTGGCTCCTGTCAGCACCTCCACACCTCTCCGCTTCCTTCGATACTGTTGACCACTCTATCCTCCTCCACTGCCTCTCTTCTCACCTCAACCTTCATGGTTCTGTCCTTGAACGGTTCAGATCTTACCTTTCACACTGTCTCCACTTCATCTCCACAAACGGCTTCTCTTCTAGCCCCCACACCATTTTATGCGGCATTCCTCAGGACTCTGTCCTTGGTCCCCTCCTCTTCAATATCTATATGTTCCCGCTTGGTGACATCATCCACAGACATGGGGTCAACTTCCACATGTATGCGGATGACACCCAACTCTACCTCTCTACCTCCATCCTTGACTCCAGGACCACTGCTGTCCTGACAGAATGTCTGTTAGTCATCAAGTCCTGGATGAGAGCTAACTTTCTTCAGTTGAATATGAACAAGACCGAGGCTCTCCTGATTGGTTCCTGTCAGCGCCTCTTCACCTCAGGCACTGACAGCATCGCCATCCATGGTTGCACACTCCACCTCACTGAGCCAGTCTGGAACCTTGGCGATTTGTTTGACCCTAAACTATCCTTTCTACCCCACATCCATGCCATGACACGCTCTGCCTTCCCCCACTTCCGCAACATCGCTCGGCTCCAACACTGTCTCACACCGCAGCCTGTCGAAACCCTCATACACGCATTCATTACATCGAGGCTCGACTGTGCAAACTCACTGCTTGTCGGCCTCCCCAACTCCTCCCTCCACAGGCTGCAGATCATCCAGAACTCTGCAGCCCGTGTCCTCTCCCGCATTGGGCTCTGCGACCCTATCACCCCCATCCTCACCTGAATCCATTGGCTTCCCATCACACAGAGGATACAGTACAAGATCCTGGTGCTCACCTTCAAAGCCCTCTATTGTCTTGCTCTCCTACCTCTGTGACCCCCTAACCCCCTACCATCCTGCCCGCTCCCTCCGCTCAGCAGGCTCCGGCCTGCTTTATGCCCCCCATCTCGCCTGCCCCTCCATTGGCGGGTGGGCCTTCAGCTACTCTGCCCCCACCCTCTGGAACTCCATTATGCAGTCCCTCCAACTCGCCCCCTCCCTTGCCTCCTTCAAGACCCATTTCAAGTCCCTCCTCTTCGACTGTGCCTTTGATCACCATCCTTCACCCCCTGACCTCCACCCTCCCCAATCCCAATCCACAGCTCGGATCCGAAACACTGACTGTTCAGCACCTTGGGACATCCTCCCAATGTGAAAGGCGCTATACAAGTTTAATTTTGTTGTTGCTTTTGTTGTTGTTGTAGTTCATAGGATCAAAAGAGGGGTTTGAATAAAGTTTACTTGAATTATTAAATTTCAGAATACCCATCATAATGTCCTCCAATTAGAATAGCAAATTGTTTCTTAAAGGAGTGCAATGTCCTGGCTTTATGGTGGTTGAGCATAAAATAAGGAATACATTCAATCCAACAAAGTGGTAGAAATAATTCAGAAACAAATGCCTTACTAATTATTACAAATCAATGACACGGACTTGTTCAAAAGTGGAGATCTTTCCATCTTCATGCAATAATCCATTGCAATGCTCAGATTAAAAGCCTTTTATCAACACTTTGCAATCTAAACCCTTTGATCCTTTAATTTATAATGAATTAAATATTTTAAATATACTTTGCGGCATTATTATCAATGAATATAATTCAATTAATATATAATCCAGATACAATATGTAAACATTTAAAAAAATTATTTACTGTTATAATTATTTATTGCTTTCAGAATCTTTTCTGGGTTTACATTTTTTATTCAAATATTTAAAAAGAAACATTTTTATTTTTTTTAAAATAAAAAGATTTTATTTATTTCATTTTTTATTCCTTAAATGAATGCAACCATGTTCAATAATCACAACAACCTCCTCAACAGTGATAAGATCTAGTACCTTCAATGCTCTGCGGCCCGACCAGGTTCATTGCCTGGTGGGCTGGGTACTCAACTCTGGGCCGAGCGATACCTAACTGCTCCATGACTCCGTGCAGCAGCCGCTGGATCTCGGCTTCAGAAACCTTCTCTGGATCCAGGGGGCTGCGAGCTGAAGCCAGAGCCAGCCCGAATACTGCCAGAGCGGCCGCTTGAAAGATCATCGCTAACGCCATCTCAAAGCTGCAGGCACACAGAATATATAGCAAGGCAGATAACGGCAGTAAACAAAAGCGTTCCTTTAACTCGTTCCCCATAACATTCAATACAGTCATCTGTGATTAAATGCCATGAATATCCACAATGCAGCAGTGGAGAAACAGCACTGTTATGGTGACTGAAGTGCAAAATATAAGATTGAATCGACAGATTAAAATCGCTGCAGTGGCAACTTAATGAATGTTTGGTAAAGATGACTTTTGCTGAAATGAAGCGCTTCGTAGTGTTTTTATTTTTCACAGTCGTGCATATTTTAAGCATCATTTGCGTTTCCAACTCCTGGTTTACAGATGTCCTTACTAAACATACAGCGGCTCTTATTATACATAAACACTAAAAGATGTCTGCTGGATACACTATATTTTTTAGATGTTAACAGATAAACTGATCTTACCGTAGACAAGATACAATACCTCAGCCAGAGTGTTGTTAGAGATAACAGATGTGCTTCTTTTTTCCCTAAGATTTTGCAGGAGCCTTTTATCTTCTGTGAATAATTCATTTGCTGTTGCCTAGGCAGCAGGTCAATGACATCACTTGTCTGGACCAGCTGGCGTAGCGAGTTTCCATTTCACCAAAGAGGTCAGCTGAACGCGCGAATGCTACAAATTTTCTTGTGATGGCTCGTCTAAAAACATTTACTTGGTGTCATTTGTGAAACACTCTGCCAATATATATTTGGTTAAATATGGCTTTGTAACTAACAAGTATAAATAATATAAATCTCCTCCAGCGGCTTGGGACATCCTCACAACGTGAAAGGCGCTATACAAATGTAATTTTGTACTGCATTGTCTAATTCATTTGTAGATGAAAGAAATCACCAAGGTTTAGTTTGCATGAGGGTTGTATAGGCTGTTAATAATAATAATAATCCTTATATTTGATATAGTGCCTATCATGTCTTTGAGATGTGTCAAAGTACTTCACAAAATATAATGTAAACTGAATTGACTGTATATTTTGTGGGTGAAACTGTTAATTTTACATAAAATTGTATTAAGGTTAATTTTACACAAGACTGCATTTCAATTACTGTACACTGCTCTGGTTACTATACAAAAAAACTATAAGAAGGATATTGTAGCAACAGAGAGACTGCAGGTAGATTTACCTGGATGCTTCCTGTAATGAGAAGATACAACTGTCAAGAAAGATTGGGCATATTAGAGTTTTTCTCTCTGTAGATGAGATATTTGAGAGGGCATCTGATAGAGATCTTTAAAATCATGAAAAGGGTTTGATAAGGTGGATATAAATAAGCTGTTTCCACCGGTTAGTGAGTTCATAACAAGGACATGGTGTTTGTTCACAAAATACGTACACACTGCTTAACAGTATATCTTGCAAAATGCTTTGAGATGTTTCGATGATTTGATAAGGTGCTATAGCAAATGCATGGATTATTAAATTCAAATGGGCACAGACATACTACAGAGTATCTTCACTCAAGATTATCTGTGCACACTCTGATTTTCACTGCCAGTGTACAATTTCACTGATTTTCACTGTTAGTGATCCCAAATTTCCTGTCATTATCATTCTTTCTCTGATTCTGCATTTGGTCTATAGCTTTAAATTCAACTTCCTCTTCTCCCTGTTTGGTGCTCCTAATTGCCTCTGTAAAGTGCTTTGAGATACTCACCCCAACTGATAAGAGTGCTGTAGACTTGCAGGTGGTGTTGGATATGTAAGAGGCAGTGAGCTCTTGTAGGTACTGTAAGGTGACATTAATGCGAAATGGCAGTGGCCACCATTGGTAAAACAGCGGACAAATGTATTGGGCCTCTTCAAATTCCAGCGTGGCTGGTGGAAGTGGACCAAACAGGTGAGTGATATTACCTGTTCTGTAATGTAGATTTTGGGGTCCACCAATGTTGTCTCTTGCCAACATGTGCCTAATATTCTCTGGAATTTAAATAAGCAGGGTGTGTTTCTCAAGGAGATTGTGAGTATTGCTGCGATCCCACTTCATAACTGAAATTGTGAATATATGTTAACCCATGCAGTCAAAATAATTATTTTAATCAGTGGTTAGAAATGCCTGTGTTGAATAGACACCAGTTTGATTAATGGTTAAAAATGATGTAGCTAGGAAAATGTAAAGCTGACTTGTTTATTGTAACTGTAGGTTGTTGAAGATGTTTTCCCATAACAAATTCATGTTTGTGTTACAGATGTTTTCTATAACAATTCAAGTTTATGATTTTATGTTCTTGTATAACAATAACAATTCTGAGGTGGTGTAATAACAATTCTGCAGATTATATTTTATTATTATTTTATGTGAGATGATTGCTTCATGGCATGAGAATGGAAAGATTTTACATTCTCATCCTCACTTTGGAGAAAATTATTACAAAAGATGTACGGTTGAACTACAATTTGCTCAGCCTTGGACACAGCATATCGGGTGCAGTCCACCCAAGAGCCATCTTTCATGTGATGATATGAAGTGGTGAAGCAAACGTATTGTCTTCGGGGTTAATATCCATCAGACTTAAACTGTTCAATCAACTTTCGTTGACTCCAGCAATTTCAGGAAGGAAAACTGCAGAAATTCTAGAAGGTCTGAAATTGTTTGAAAAGTAACAGGTGAAGAATAACAACATTTAACAACTGTTGAGTAAAATACACAGCTCAGCTATACACCATTGAAGATTCATCATTGACGAACCCCGAGCAAGAGGTTTCTGGACTGAAGCAAGAGACTTTCTCTCTGATGCAAGACTTTTACCTGCTGTTTGTGAATTCACCAACTGATTCTACCAAAGAAGCAAAGATTCAAATGATTTACGGACTGACCAACTTCTGATTCTGTTACTTTGATACTGACATTTGTCTATGCTATTAACCTGTCTGTTGTATTTGTGATAATTGCAATAACAAACTTTATTTTGTCTCAAGACCTTACTCTTTGACCGTGCCTTCAGCTCCCCTCTCGACTCTCTACCCCCTCGTCGCTCCCTTCCCTCCCCTCACCCTGACCATTTCCCCCTGCTCGGGTCCTGACCCAACTGTCCAGCGCCTTGGGACATCCTCCCGACGTGAAAGGCGCTCAATAAATGGAATGTTGTTGTTGTTTACATTTCTTATTAAGTATTTTTAAAGCATGAGTTGCTGAGTGTCTTTGGTTCCTCTGTTCTCAGGTCTTTAATTAAAGGAAGGCTATGAAGAATAAGCTGGTCTTATTCTGTTCATTGCCCAGAACCCAACAGTATTCCATTCCAGACATGGAAATATCCAAGTTTAGGTGCCATACATATGTGGAACTCTATGTGGTCTGGATAATCTTAAGCATGGTGAGGGGTTTGGCAAGTCACAGTCCAAATAAAAAGGTCTCCACAATCCTCCCCCATTAAAAAGTTTTTAATTTCCTCAGTATTTTTAAAATCAATTTTATTGTGAATTTCGTATACATATTAGTACACTCAGATAAATATATCATATGAAATACAACATCCACATTTTTGGATTCTTCCCATTAGATTTTTTTCAACCATACGTTATTCCTCACAATCTTGGTCATTCCTCAACTGGAGCACATTTCCTTAATGCTTCCTTCACTGGTTTCAGGAACCGGATAATGTATTCTTCCGCATGTTTCTGGTGAAAAGTCATTGTTCTTAGCATATTTAAAGCATCACAAATTTCAACAATACATTTTTCTTAAAGGGCAATTTCCCCACAGTGGAGGATAAGTATCAATCCTATTGCATTTGGAGACTCAACAGACAAATTATTTGCATTCAGGATCATCTCCTCATTCGTTGAATGCAATATTGTATCAGATTTAAATACAAATGAATAGACATTATCATAATGGTGAACCTACATGTGTTAGTTTGGTGGAATTTATTTTTGAGTCATAAAGTTGTGGGTTCAAGCCTCTTGACAGAATTTGAACTCCCAGTTACCATGCAGTGCTCGGAGGGAGAAACTACATTGTCAGAAGTACCATAGCTCGGTTAATGAATTATATCTGCATCATATCTGTCTGTGGGTGTTAAAAAGTTCCTATGATACTATTTGGGAAGAGAATGGAGTTTCTCCAGGTATCCTGGCCAACAATCCTCCAGATTAGTTAGTCATACCATGGCTCGTTGGTGAACCATATTAATGCTATCCCAAGTCTACAAAATATAAGCCTACCCCATTATAACGTCCTTGGCATAACATGGATAACTTATAGCACAGTCTCACCATGGTACATTTTCAGGCACTGGCTTTTACTGACTGTCTTTGTTTTGTGCACAGATCCTGCCACTGTGATTGCTGGTTTCATGCACTGCCACAATAATATCACTGGTGACCCAGAAGTGCTGATTAGCAGCTATTTCTGTAGTACCTGTTAGATCACAGGGTTCTAACTTATGATCATAACCACCACGTTACAATGGGGGTGTCTGGACAGTGACTACACTGTCAGCAATTTCCTGTATTTAAGACATTTCAATATGATCGTGGTATAAAGATGTTCTTTCTTCTCTAAGCTCTGTGCTGCAGCTTCCCGAAGCCCTGTGAACACGTTTTCTACATTTTTGCCCTGTTGCCCTCTTCTGGTAAACCCAACATAGTAAAAATTATTGTTATGAATTGTGTGTTAACGATCATAACACAACATTTAGCCCACCATCTCTTATGAAATGCGAATTGGTATAATGAGGTAGTGATGAAGGCTAGAGAAAGCAACCAACTGTGTGTGAATCATTGGTAATGAAGCAGGCAACGAACCAAGGTGATTTCACCCACAGAATACACTTTACAATATATTCTGTGAAACGTGATAAGGCGCTATTTCAAATGCAAGCATCATTATTATTATTATTACTATGACCCCATCTACGATCTTGTCTGGCACATATATGGCCCACATAACGGCAAAATGTTTTGACAACATTCCAAACATGGGTTTTGCAACCTCCCACAGGCAAGTTTGGAAATCAAGAAACTTTTTGGACATAAGTAATAACACAAGTAATTGCGCGTTATCGTGTTGTTAAGACATTTCAGTGCTTCATAGGATTGTACTGCGAACTCTTGAGGAGAAAATAGGTCTTCTGGCAACAGTATAAAGCAACAAAAAAATTTAATTTATATAGTGATTGTATGATGATTCTATTTTCTCCTCTTCGTAAATTCCACCAGCAGACATCATCTATTGACTTCAAAATGTTCTATTCTCTTGTTTACCAGTAACTTTAAATTTAAAACATCTGTGAAGGGCAGGAACGAAAAAAAAGGATCCAAATAACTATTTTTCAGAAAAACATGCTATAATAATAATACTTGCATTTGATATAGCGCTTTTCACGTCAGGACGTCCCAAAGCGTTTCACAGAACACACTGTAAAGTGAATTGACTGTATATTTGTGGGCGAACGCGGCAGCCAATTGCGCACAGCAATGTCCCATAAACAGTGGTAGATTGAAAATGACCAATTTTATTATTGTTTTTAGTTTTGGAGGGATTATTATTAGGCGTGTGGAGTAAGGAAACTTGCCCAAGGTTTCGCCCTGCCTGTAACTATAACTAATCTACTTCAATAATTATTCATAAATAGCCAATGGGGTGAATGATTAATGTGTTTTTATGGTGAATTTGGATGGATTCAAATGCTTAATCTGCTGTCACTGTGATAGAACTGAACCCAATAGGCTTGGTGAGCAGTAATTATTAGTTGAATCCGAGCATAAATCTTTTTGTCCAAGATTTTTCTCTGCATACGTCACTGAGCATTTGAAACGAGTGAAGTAAAGGGGGCTTTCTCTGGGACTAGGGTGCATCCTCTGGCTGAACCAATGAAAAGGATTTCCATATATCCAAATTTGCTTTCAGTGTTGTGTAAAGGTGGTATGAAACTAGAATATATAGAGGGGAGGCAATGGAAGTACTGACAAAAGGATCAAAATGCAAAAAAAACCCAAACCACATATTCTGAAACCAAACGTGGTCACTGAGAACTGTGAACAGAGAAAATATATTAAATGCAGAGTTAAATGAGCTATTAACAACAGCAATCACAATAATAACTAAATATAATTGGCAACAAACATTCCTGGTGTGTAGTAACAGAATGAATCGCTGATGGTTTCATGAATAAAATGGAGATGATAGATTATAATTGTGCAGGGAAAACCACATGCTGAAAAAGACCAAATACAGAAAAAACAAATTCCACTGCTTTTCCTCTATTTATGTAAGTCTTTAGCTATGAAAGGTCAACAACTAGTTCTATTTTTCCATTTTGGCCTTGGGACACTGAATCCAAAATTAAGTTGTTTGTCATTTTCTGAAACTGCTGGCATGATTTAAAGTAAATAGTAACATTAAAACTGTGGCAAATAATTGGTATGATCAGTATTGGACTAGATGCTTCCTGTGTCAACACATTGTGATGTGGTGATAAACAATACAAACAGATTTCAAATTACCAATAGTTCTGCTAAAACTGCACTCCAGCTCTATATAGCACCTTTCACATTGGGATGATGTCCCAAGATGCTGTGAAATTAAAAAAGTTATACAGCTGAATAGTCTATCACTATTCCTAAAAATTCTTTTGTCTTTAAAAATCATAGGAACAGGATTCCCCCACCAGAGGAAATAGCTTCTCTGTATTAACTAAAATCATTTCAGCAAGTATCAGAGACCAATTTACCCAACATTCAAACCAAAAAAGGTCACATTGAATTGGTCTTATTCTAGTTAAGTGTCCTCAGGTGTGATTATCTGAAAATTGACGTCTCTTACATCGTCTCTGCTTGGAGACTACTCTGAGCCACAAAAGAATGTTCTTGAGGTTTGCCATGAACTCTTGCTATTGTTGCTATACATTTTGATTTTGTGCGTGGCTCCCTCTAAGAACACAACTTCAACCACAAAATATGCAGTCAGTTCACTCTACAGTAAATTCTACGAAGCGTTTTGAGACGTCTCAAAGACATAATGCCAAATGTAAGGATTATTATTATTACATTGCATCATACACTGCACTCTTAATATAACCTCTTGTTGCATAGTGGCATTGAGCTATCATTTTTATTTTCACTGCAGTTGATTACCACAAGTTTCATCAGTGACAATACCATTAAAGTGTAATGCACATTCATGAATATAAAAAACCTCAAAATTCCAATGCAATAATAAGTAGTACAACAGCACAAAAGCATTTATTGGTTTTGGCGATGTTAAAGTGTCTGTATTCACCACCCCGCAGCAATGTCTCACAGAAGACCCAAGCATAATTTTTTTTAATACATCATGCAAGCACAATTCAAATGGACATTTCTTTAAGGGGCCCACACTTATTCTCAAATAACCCTCATCTCCAGATCTGAACGGATCACCCTGGTTACACCAAGACACTGAATTAGATATATCTAGTGTATTATCACTCCTTTCGGCCAGAAAATGCTGTGGATTGTATTAAGATTACGCTAAAATGCAATGCCACCAAGTTTGAACAGCACAGGAATCAGTCTACTTCCACCAGTTCCTTTCATATCCATTTGCTTCAGAGTTGGCTTTAAACTGATATTGGATGGGGATTTTACTCTGATCTGTAAATCCATTTGCATCATCTCCACAATGCGTTTCAGATCACATTGGAAAGATTTGAAGCACTGGATGGTAACCCAAATCTACGCAGTTTAAGGGGATTTTGATTCAGGCATCTTTTCGAGTTATTAAAAGTTTGATTACAATTCTGCGCAAAACAATTATGTCAAGAACATGTGCGGCCATCCATTGTCAAATCAAAAACAAAACAGCAGGTTTCTTCTTCAGTACAAAGCTTCACTAGCAAATGGCAGCAGCAAGAATCGCCCACACTGGGCAAAAGATACAGTGTTCAAGTTATTAAAATAGTGCAATCATTCTTCATAGAAAACTTGAGGAAGGCCACATCTACCTGGCTGTGGCTGGTGCCTCACATTGACACTGTGCGCTTGTGTGTGTGTGTGTGTGTGTGTGTGTGTGTGTGTGTGTGTGTGTGTGTGTGCGTGTGTGTGTGTGCGTGACACCACCACTGTCTGTGGAGCAATAAAGTGAGACAACTGTTTTTCACATTTCTTTCAAAACCATCAAGAATTCTAAAAAGCAAAGCATCCTTAAATGACATTTCAGTCAAGAAAATAAACACATTGCCATTTACTGTACAATAGTAAAGTCAGTTTGGTATCAGTTATAAATCTATACTCAATACAGGTACGCAAAAGAACTGCACTGAAAAAAAAAGATAATTTAACCGAAAGACAAAAACAATGTCCAGACCATCTGCCATCAGACACCCACCAGGAGGGGAGGCAGTCAGGCTGCAATTCTCCACACTGTACAGAACAGCAATGGTGATCATCATCTGATGTACGAGCACAATTCAAGGAGCACAAGTCGAGTCATTAGTTTCCATTCTCTTGGGAACCTTTCATTTCTGTCTGATGTCCCAGCTAAAATCTTCTTTGTGACCCAACTACAACAATCCAACTGAGGCGGGTGGATTTGAACCACAAACAGTGCTGGAGCCAAACGTTCTACTACTTCACTTAAGAATTACAAGGACTATTAATTTGACGGGAAACGTTTCGGAAGGAAATTTCCAGCTATGTTTCAATATCATTCCTTCTGGAATTTAAAAAACATTTGCAAAGTGTACCTATAGACTAAGCCAGGTTTTAAAATTATATTAAAAAAATCTATTTATCATTGTGGAGATGCTTTTCTGATTAATCCCGAATCGGTAGCACATTCAAATTATCGAAGAATAGGTATCACCATTCTAAACTACTGCACTGACGTTCGAAAATGAGCTGGTAAAGAAACAATGCAGAATTCCTTCTATAGCTGTGCATGTTATCAGAATCTGTCCGTGTTCTAGTTTAAAAAAACAACTACTCTCAAGACTGGTATTTATTGTCTTAGTTGGCTTTGAAAAATTAATTTGCAGCATTTTAAGAATTCTTTTAAAGTAGGTCGCTAAAACATGAGGTGTGATTTATTTGGTTAAGAATACAGTATAATCTGAATAAAACCATTAAAATACAATTGAATATGAGATGCCCTAAAGTATTTATTGGCAAATTTGAGACATGTATGGAAAGAAGAGTGCATTAAGGATATGTGCAAAAATTTTGATAATTTGCTCGTGGTTCTTTAAACAATCATTGCATTTTCAAACACCTCCAACAAAATCTTTACTTATTAGACAAGTGTGAAAACTGTTAGCTCTTCAGTTCCCTGAAACTCAAAACAAGTCTACAAAGTGTATGTCAGGATGCAGAACTACTTAAAATAACTATTGGGTGATACCACTTCCACTTTATAAACAAGCAACATAATGAAGAAAGCCAGCACGGCAAAAAGGGTTATATAATGAAGAACAATGGATTTCTTGTTTCTACAGAACTCGACAATATTATGAAGAAATTCAACTCAATAAAAAGTTAAAAAGAAGAAAAAATATGGGTATGGAATAGATGTTGCCAATTCTTATTCTGCTGAATAGACAAGAAGTCCATATGGTTAACACATCAGACTCTGCATCTACCCCTATGAGAGTTAATAGATGAACTGCTTTCTGGTGCACTTTACATGCACACCTCAGACAGGATAAACTTTGACTCTTACTCCTTTAAGTACATTAAAAATGCAGGAACCAGTACAAGTTATAATGTCTGATATACATCATGCCATTTGAATGGCAGTGCAGAATGACCTATTAAAATGTAGGCACAATGTACCTTGCACAGTGGGATGCCAGATCTTATAAACCTGAACACAATCTACACGTCTTCAAACTGCAACATAACAGGCTAAAGTTTAACTTTAATATTCTGCTTTGTGTCAACTAAACTGAAGTGAACTGAACTATTTCAGTTGAATTGATTACTTCAGTACAGCTGGGTGCACCACCCCTCCAATTCTGAACCATCTACTGTATTTGAACCATGCATCACAATAAACATTCCATGACCTTACCCTCAGATTTCTTAGCTCTTCATTTCACTGGAGGAAGACAAAACAAGATGCATAGATATAGTTCGCATCTGATGCAGATACAGGATAATCTGCGTAATGTGACTAAATTTAACACACAAACACCCACATTTGAATACGGAATTCACCATACTAGCACTTCTTCTAAGCAGAAGATTCAGCATTTTTGTCATACTCTAGAACAGGTCTACCTGACAACGCAAACAAGATCTTAGGTGTCCAAACTGGACCCACATTTTGGTCACAGATCTTCAGCTGAAGTTACCCTGTTGAAGAATACAAACAGTTGCAAGCTTATGGGAGGTTTTTAAGCTGTTTCTTGAGCTGTGCGGCCTTGTCTTTCAGTTCTGGTCGATTGTCTGAATCCATGGTCTCCAGGGATCTGAGAAGCAAGTTCCTCTTTTCAGATGTCAATGTTGCCCACTGAGCGGACGCTAAAAAATGTTAAATTAATTTAAGTTAACATGAGAAAACATGCATTCTTGTAGCATCTCTTCATGTCTCAAAGCATTTTTCAGTAAATATTGCCAAGTGTAGTGACTATTTTATCGGTTAACATGATAGTTTATGTATTTTATGCACTGCACGGCTCCAATACGTGGCTGACGGAATCAATGACCAATTTTATCTGGATGACTTGATGGCCAGGACACAAGTCAACATAAAAAAAATGAAAACATACGTCTTTCAGATGCAAATGAACCTCTTTAAATTTTAGTCTATTTAAACAACTTGGGACTTCTATCATGCCTTTCATGTTGGAAAATGTTTCAAATTACTCGAAGATGCAGTGAGTGCCTGAGCAGAGTGGAAGGTGGGGAGTAGGAGTAGATAACCAGAGGCATACAATTTTTATATATATCATATAATATATATATATATATATATCATATATATCATAATATATATATCATATAATATATATAATACCAAATCAGCCAAATCTGGTCAACCAAATTGATACTGAAAACAACAGGAATGTGTGTAAAATGAACCACGATAATAATCCTTGTATTTAAGGTTAAAACATTTCAAAGTGCTTCACAGGCAGAAAAGCTCTAAAAACAGATAAAAATAAGCAAGTTTAGATTTATTCAGATATTAAAGAACATGGAAAAAAAGGAGGGAAATGGGATGAAAAGATAAAGATGTGAGCTAATAAAATGATGGTAAGTGCTCAATAGGCAAACGGCTTACTCTTCTTCCTATAATGATGGAATTCAAAGGCGGGTATCCAAACCCCAGGATTATATTTATTTTTTTCCCGCTACACCTTCCCTATGCTCAAGTTTTATTTTACTTGTGTGGGTGCTTCTAAGAGAAGTTAAGAGTTGCAATGCAATAAAGCTGGATTTTAAATTCAATACAAGTGCAAGAAAGAAATACAGTGAAAAAGAACTGTACAAAGACTGTTAGTCCAGTGTTTGAAACACTTTAAACTGCTTACCTTCCAGTTTGGTAAATAGTAATTCAACTATCAATAAAGCCTCCGCCCTGACTGAAGAGTAGCTCTTATTTTCTTGAAAAAGAATGAAAAAATTTTTTTTTGTTAGTGTTTGTTCCTCTTTTTAAATAAAGTTTATAGCAAGCAAATCTGCTAATTGTTTAACTCACCCAATGGAAATGTGAGAGCTGAGCAGGTATCCTTAAGGATTTCGGTTAACTCACTTGTCTCTTTGTTTTCCTTGTTCAGGAGCAATAATCTGTAGGAATAATTATTTGTTAACGAACTCTTTATAACACTTGGTCTTAAAGTAGAAATTGCCTGTTTTGAAATTAACTGTGTGTATATAAAAACATTTTACCCTTGAAAGTAGGCATTCATGGCTTGGAGTACTCCCAGCTGAACTCTCCATGTGCTCAGCTTTAACCTTTCACACATTAAATGGCACAATTCTAAACGGTATTGAGCTGCAGAGAGAACAAGTACAGCATTTTGATGATCACATTAATATAACATCTTCTGTATGCAACATAGAAGGAGAAAGTTGTAGAGTTTAATGAAGAAATATTGTAAAGTGGACTGTAAAGCTACAAGATCTCACAGGATTTTATAAACAAAATGGCCATAAATTATATAATTCAGCCACGAGACAATGCTACCATTTTTACATTTTCCTTGGTTATTATACGAGCACACAGAATTTGGAAAGTGGAAATGGGCAAACTAGCTGTTCCATTGACAAGTACAGTAAAGTCAGTGATTGTGCTGAAGAACAGTATACAAAGTAATCACGAAACAGCTCCTGAAGTCTCTCACAAGCAATGACCAAATTACACATTTTCCAAAATAATTTACAACGTGCTCAGAAGTTATCATCTCTAATATCATTATGCATTGCATCCTCTATAGCAAGACCACATATTTTTAACCATTTGTAAATTTGTGTAAATAGCCCTGAAAAAGCAGAATTCATTGGGAATCTTTCTTTTGTGACAATTAACCTGACAGAGAGATTGGATCGCATTCATGTTTGGGCCTTGCGCTAGTCAGAAGGAATAGCTGGCTTATTACCTGCATTATTAACATTTTTAAAGATTAATTTTGCAGTCTAACCTTGTATTGTTGGAGTTGCGGGCCATGCTTTGCCAAGAGTTTCAAAAGCACAAAGCAGATATTCCATTTGTAGCTCCTTCTCCTTATGATCTTCGTCCTCACTTTCTTCCATTGGTGTTCCTGCAGCGGGAGAACTCTAAAAACAAAAATGTTTCCATTCAACAATGGTCCTCAATTTTTTTCAATTCAATTTTACTTCTCTAATTAGTAACCGCTACTTTGATCAACCTTCCCCTCCACCCCCAGCTCTGAACCCCTGCCAGGACTGTCAAGTATCTTGAGATGGCCTCAATGCGAATGGTGTTATATAATGTGTATTGTATTTAGTATTGTATTGTTATAAGCCTAAGCACATTCAAATCCACCACTTTTTAAAGAAAGCTTTGGGACTCAAGAATGTAATCTAAAAGTAGTGTTAATGTGTTTGATGATTGGATGCTAGTTTTTTCAATGACACCTACATTTAGCATGCAGAGACCGTTTTGATAGATAAGGGCGAGTGCTGTACCTCTTTTAGTTAGGACACCAGTAAAATCTTTTAACCCTTTGTGATCATCAAGATACCACCTCAATAGGAGTTTGCTGTTCTGCTACTTTATCTAAGGCCTTGAATAAAAGAATACCTTTTTTATTACTGGAAACAGAATATCTGCCATTTCTTGAAAGTGATCCTCTTTTGTAGCCTGCAATATATTGGCAACCGACTTTAAAGCCACTATCTTGTACTGGAGATTTTCTTTACGACACTCTTTCAATATAACCTGAATGACGGTGTCTATGCTGGGTTGGTCAGGCACACTTTTCTGCAGCTCTGCACTAGAAACAAAATTCAAGACAAAATGAGGCCAGTACACAACACAAATTACCTAATGCACATAGAAACTCTTAATTCTTCAGAACTAATAATGCGATCTTGCATGATATTTATGCAGTGTATTAATTGTTGAATTCTTGCATCAAATAAAATTGCAAACTTGAAATTAAATGATAGTAATATCATGCTTCTTTGATATTTACCTGCATGCAGTCACCACACTGGCAACAGCTTTCAATAGCTCCTCCTGAAAGAACAAACATGGCTGTGGTTACAGTAATTTTGGCTCATCTGAAATGTTTATTTGAATAATGCTGGGTCTCTTCTAGTAACCCTAGTCTTCTTAATTGGAGGATGTGAATCTGTGTAAATCTGTATATTTTTTCTGACAACTATCACCTACATTGCAAAATCAATAAGTTTAATGCTTTATTAAGGTTGATTTGAGAGCTTTGAGATGTCCTCCTAATGTGAAAGCCACATTATATATATTTTGAATAACTGGGCTAGAGCGCCAAGCAGCCTGGTTGATCAACAGGACTTGGGAGGGTAGGCTGGTCACTGGGAGCAGGGATTCGTACCACTCAGCTCCAGTTAACCTTGTAAGCCCAAGCCCTAATGGTTGGGTGTTCCTAGCTGGACAAGCAGCAGGTAGTTTGCCAGACATCGCTCTCAATGGCACAGGCTATATGGGTTAGCTGGCTCTGCTCCAGCAGTAGCACAAAATATATTTAACAACAATAACTTGCATTTATATAGCGCCTTTCACACAGTGAAGTGTCCCGGAGTGGGATACCAGTATCTGGGATACCAGATTAAAGATCCCATGACACTATGAAAGAAAAGTTTTTTCCACATAAAAAAATGGTCATTCACTTAATGGCAGTTTGTGGGGCCCTGCTGTGTGCAAATTGGCTGCCGTGTTTGCCTACAAAGTAATTGTACTTTACAGTAAATCCTGTGCAGTGCTTTGAGAGGTTCTCAATGTGAAAAGTGCTAGATCAAAGGCAAAGCCTATTTATTTGTGCATTTACCTTTCCTGCCCATGTGCGACCCGACATTCCTTGCAAAAGTGCATTCAATATCATTCCTAAATGTGGCGGGACCAGTGAGCCAGTTTGCTGTTTGGCAATGGATGCCATTGCAGAAGCTCCCTGTGATTTCATCTTCCATGACTGAGACTGCAGTGCCTTCTGCGTAATACCTATTAATTCTGGCATGTATAGTCTGATTCCGCCAAAACTACCTGCAACAAAAATGTGGGCATTAAATTGTCAGTGCAAACAGAAAGTAAAATATTAGATCGCTTTAATCACTCACGTAAACACTATTAAACAATTATGCTGCTCAAACCAAAACTAGATGCTAATTTAAATGCTAGGAGGCAATTAAGCAAATCAACATGAAAAAGAAAGTCCACGGGATTAAATTAGAAAATGGAAAGTAAAAGAGTGAAAAAGAAGTGATTGAGTATCATAGAATCATACAGTACAGAAGGAGGCCATTCGGCCCATCGGGTCTGTGCTGGCTCTTTGAAAAGAGCTATCCAATTCAATCCCACTCCCCCGCACTCTTCCCATAGCCCTGCAAACTTGTCCTCCCCAAATAATTAGCTACTTCTCTCTTCAAATCTGTTATCGAATCGGCTTCCACTACCCTTTCAGGCAATGCATTCCAGATCCAAACAACTCATTATGTGAAAAAATTTCTCCTCACCTCCCATTTCTTTTAACAACTATTTTAAATCGGTGTCCTCGGGTTACTGACCCACCCGCCAGTGGAAATAGTTTCTCCTTATTCACCCTGTCAAAATTTTGAAAAGTTCTATTAAGTCTCCTCTTAACTTTCTCTCCAAGGAAGCCTCTCCTGATAACTGAATTTCCTCATTCCTGGTACAATCCTGGTAAATCTCCTTTGCACCCTCTCCAATGACTTGACATCCTTCCTAAAGTGTGGTGGCCAGAACTCTAGTTGAGGCCTAACCAGTGTTTTATAAAGGTTCATCATAACCTGTGTGAGATGAGATGTTTGTGTGTGGTTTTCCCCAAAGGTGTACAGCACACACAGATTTTAAGATGTAAATCTTCCATGAATAATGCTTAACTTACCAGGTACGTGGTCTTGCCACACTTCCGTCCACAACTCAGATTCAGAAGTTTCTACTTTCTCGTCATCAGCGATTTCATGCATTCCAAGAAATGCAAGAGGCAGAGCCACCACAGCATGGTTCTTAAGCACATCTGGGCTGTAGTGTCCAATAGCATGGACTGTTAGAGCACACCCTGATTTGTATACTTGCTCTATAAAAATACAAAGTGGCAAATTAAGACAATAGCAAATGTCTCAAATCAACTGATTGATAGTTACTTAACTTCTATTTGGTTGAATTTTTTAAAAAATCAATGAGACTCTACTTTGCTGTAATCAAGCATTAAGATAATTTATTCTCCCGGTTATTTCCCAATACAACAACAAAATTACATTTATAGAGTGCCTTTCACGCCGGGAAGACATCCCAAAGCGCTGAACAGTCAGCTGTCGGGATCCGAGCATGGGGAAGGGGTGGTGTAGGGGGTGAGGGAAGGAGACCAAAGGCACGGTCAAAGAGAAGGGCCTTGAGACCGGCCTTGACAGATGCGAGGGAGGAAGTGAGGCGAAGAGACCGTGGGATGGAGTTCCAGAGTGTGGGGGCAGAGAGGCTGAAAGCCCGGCCACCAATGATAGGTCGGGTCGGGCGGGAGACATGAAGCAGGCCGGAGTCCGCTGAATGGAGGGAGCGGGCAGGTTGGGAGGGAGTCAGCAGGTCAGAGAGGTAGGAGAGGGCAAGGCCATGGATGGCCTTAAAGGTGAGGACGAGGATCTTGAACTTGATCCTCTGGGGGACGGGGAGTCAGTGGAATCGGGCGAGGGTGGTAGTGATGTGGTTGTGGAGCCTGGTGCACGAGAGGACACGAGCTGCAGAGTTTTGGATGATCTGCAGTTTGTGAAGGGAAGCGTTCAGAAGGCTGATGAGGAGGGAGTTTCCGTAATCAAGCAATAGGTTTAGGTCTTGGGACACACACATCCACAGAACACCAGGGCTATATATACTGTGGGAGAGAAGGGTGTTACAACTCAACCACCTTGTAATGAGTGAAATTTTATGAGAGTATTTATATTTGTGGTACAAACTCTAGTAATTGGCTCAGGAAGGATGACACTAGTACAGTATGCATGCGATTTGCTCCCAGAAACCACTGGCAACCTTTTTGAGGAAACTCATTTCAAAAAGAAAGAAAAATCTGAAACTAAAGAAAGGTATTACTTAATCACATTCCTTATCAGCCTCATCAAAACAATCTGGTCTTAAACTTTTAACTGTAGCCTGAAGTGAAAAATGTTTCAGTCATCTTTACTTTACATTGGTGGAGCAACTAAATAGAGAAACTAAATCTATTATAAACAAAGAACACTAACAAAAAAACTATAGTGTAATGCCTATATAGTGCATTATATATTTTGTAACCATTAATCCATATTTTTCTTTTATATGAATTGCTCTTAAACCAACACAAACCATTGAACATGCACTTACCATCTTTTTCGAGATACCAGATGTTGAGTTTCTGGAATAACTTTTCAGTACTACTGTCACGTGCCGTCTGTAAAATTGACAGGAATGTTTGACATTTAACATGAAGATTAACACAATTTCAATAATTTAACTTGCAAGACATCAGATTTTGAAAATAGTCTTAATAACAAGTTCAGTATCAATTTAATTTATAGTTGTATTAAAACAGCCATAAATTGGAGGTTAAAAAATATTTTTAAAACCTATCAGAGGCAGGTTTTCTCTTGTTCCTCACACTTTTTGAGTTTTCAATAACGTATGTGGAGTTTACTTTTGTGTGGCAAGTGGACGTTATACTCCTTATACCACCAAAAATTCAATTGGGGTATGGCAATGAGAAACCATTTTCTGATCGTTCGTAAAACTGGCTGAATTTGTATAATACATAGTGAAGACATTCACACATAGGGTACTCTTTTGAAGACATTTTGCCCTGACGAGGATTGTCCAGGATTGCACATCGTTGTTACGTTTACTATTCCCTGTCTACTGAATAAACTACACAAATTAAATTAGAAAGAAACTGGCACTTCCACACACATGGATACAAATACTTAATTCCAAGAAAATACATTTTGTGAAAATACATAGGATAAAATGTTCCTCTGGAGACAAAGTGTCTCAACAATCATCTTCAGCATTGAATGAATCAAGGCTGCAAGAGCTATAGGCAGATATCTTACTCACACTTAAAATCACTATCCCTAGAGCAGAAGACCATTAAAATTTATACTTAGAAGCTGGATAGTTCATGAGAATAATCCCACAAACTTGGACAGTCTTAAATCAAGTCTACACGGAAGAGATCAAAGCCTCCTCTCTCAGATGGCTGAAGTGTTCCAAATTAAATTTACTTGTGAACTCTCAATCCAATGCTTAATGCATGCAAGTCCATTTCCCCAAACTTTCTTTTAAGGTTAGGTTGTGGAGTCCTGTACCTCAGTGGTTAGAGCACTCGCTTTGCAAGCGAGAGACCTGAGTTCAATTCCAGGCAGCGCGAAACCTTGGCCAAGTTTCCTTACTCAACACACCTAATAATAATCCCTCCAAAAACAATAATTAAATTGGTCATTTTCAATCTACGACTGTTTGTGGGACATTGCTATGCGCAATTGGCTGCCGCGTTCGCCCACAAATATACAGTCAATTCACTTTACAGTGTGTTCTGTGAAACGCTTTGGGGCGTCCTCCCGATGTGAAAAGCGCTATATCAAATGCAAGGATTATTATTATTATTATTTAGCAAAGCCATTTAGCTTCATCCCAAAATAATATTAATTGTTCAATAATCCATCATCTTAATGATAATGAACATCTGCATTTTGGCAAACATTAAAAAACCTTCAAAATTTATGTTGTTATTTAACACAAAGTCAAGTAACTCCTTAGTTGTGCAGAGACTTACCCCAACCAAATGACCAATTGCTACAGCAAATGCTTTTTGTATGACACTGCTACGATCAGTTAAACCATTCAGCAGGCAACTCATCAATTTACCTGTCAGAAACCAGAAATGACTCCATTACTAAGGCAGAATCAGATGGCAGTCTTCAACATATATTTTTATTAGCAGTGTGCAAGTCTTTTTAAAAATACAGGGTGACCAAAAAGTTGTGATACCATTACAATATCTAATAAGTTTTAAAGAAATGACGTGTATATGTATATATTTTAGATAATAGAGTAGTTTATTTATAGAGTAAACAACTTTTTGGTCATCCTGTAGATTGTCGGCCAGGAGAAACTCCCTTCTGTGTTTTGAATAGTTATGTAGAGTGATACGCACGGAAACGGGGCATTCGGCCCAGCTAGTACACACTGGTCTTTATACTGTGCATGAATCTCCATGCCTATTCCCTTCGCCTGCAGACCTCTACTCCCTTATCCCTCATGTATTCATCAAGTCTCCTCTTTAATACACTGATGTTGTTTACTTCAGTGACAGGATCTTTTAACACCCATCCTGAAAGCAAATGGGTCCTCGGTTAACATCTCATCCAAATGAAGACACCTCCAATGTAGTGCATGCCCTGCACTGCACTATGATCTCCAAGTCCTGACGTGGGACTTGAACTCACATTCACTGACTGAGTTAGACCGACATTGCCAGGCTGAATATTCATTCTTCATTTTTTAACTCAGTCAGTGCCACAGTATTAATGTACTCAGAACAATAGTAATGCCCAACAATTAAACCAATTCAGTTACTTGTGATGCTAATTTTATGTCATTTGATATCTGGAAAAAAAAGTCACAACCATACATAGTGTAAAATAATCACTAATTAATTGCTGTAGAACAGTAATGTGATTGTATAATTACCTGAATAGGGTTTCAAATCTTGTCGATATTGTGTTGTTAGAAACACAATTACATTGGCACAACCTCCCTGTAAATCAGGTCATCAAATTAATCTACATTTCAAAATGTTGGAATGTACAGTTAAGAGCACAATATACAGTTAAGGGATAATGTACAAGCTGAGAGATTTTAAAATGATACATTGCAATAGAACAGGTTAGGTTTTTATGAATCCTATTCACAATGTTAGAATGGGGCTCCACTGTACCAGCACAGGTAATGGAACAAGAAACTATAAAGACTTTCAAACCGAAATAGGCAAATTCCTGGAAATTAAAAGGATTCGGATTATTAAGCTGCAACACAGATGTGATGAATGAGCCTTTTTTGGCTTGATGAACTCGTTATTGCCTGCTGCTCTCTAATCCAGTTCAGTCAGTTTTCACTAAACATGAGAAATCCTAAATAAGGATAACAAAGTACTGAAGATTACCCACAAAAATGTTAATTTTTAGTCTCAAAATTCATTTTTGTTAACTAAGAAACAGGTGGTATGAATGGCATACTTATTTTTTCTATTTTCTTCTCCTGAAAAATGGACAGCTGCTGTGGTATTTTACTAAGGCTGGTATCTTTCCACAACCTTAACTGAGTGGTCATTCTTCACTGCAATTCTGAACAGATCATAGTATTGTCAGGCTGTTCAATTGTGGGGTGCATTTAAGTAAAATCTGTCACTATCTTCAGTAGATGCCACACATTAGACCATGGAAGTGGTCCTGGGAATATGCTGAATAGCCACTCATCAATATCTGAAGCCTAGTCATAGGAAATGTGTTCACTGGTTTTAAAAAACACAATAGGTTTCTACATTAAAAATACTGAGTGATGAGTATGCATGGAACAAATAACATCTCTGATCTGACATAACCCTCTTGCAGTTTTTTAAAATTTCATGTGGGTTGTTCACCTGTGAAGAAGTGGAATCTTTTAATACTCACTTTGGTTCCAAGACCTACTCCACTCTTTAGCAGTTCACAGAGTTTGGGAACAAGAGCTCCCAGGACAGACACATCCAAATGCTGGAGACACTATAAAATAAAGATACCAACCATGAATACTACTTATTACTACTTAAAAAAAAAGCTTAATTCCTCATAATTCACATTTGAAGAACATTTACACGACACAATTAAGTAATGGCATATAATACCTCTTCAAAGGGTTCCTTGAATACACATTTACCACGGAGAGAAAATGATTTGTTAAGATTTGTTAAAGGGGCAAAATTGATGTACAAAAACAGAAGTCACTGGGAACACTCAGCAGGTCAGGCAGTATCTATGGAGAAAGGAAAGTGAGTCACCGTTTTGAGTCCATGACCCATCGTCAGAACTCCAGCTTCTGCAGTATTTTGCGTTTTGGTGAATAATGTTAGCTAGGATTTCATGAAATTTATCAGAAGATTAGCCTAGAAAGGAAAATATTAACTCACTCCACAGTCAAGGTATTTTCATTTGTTTTTTTAAAATCTTAAATTGCTTTGTACCTACTTGGCTCTTTTCACACCTACCATGTTGATGGTTTCCATCATTGGAGAAGATTTAGCAGCGCTTAGTCTGGCACTGTCCATTGCAGTCTGGTACCAATTATAAAAAGAAAAAAGACGTTCACTTGATTAGATGATTCATTCAAAGTCACAATATTCTGTACAATGCAAACTTTGGATATTACACTTTACCTTCTCTTGTTCTGTGGCACGTAGGCTCAAGTAATTCAGGAATTGTGGCTCGAGAACGCTTAAAGACTCCAACAAAGCAGGAATAAGTCGTGGTGCATGTGGTTTTAACAGTGCACCTGCACTTTTGCTAATTTTCACAAGGGTGTTAATACTACAAACAGAAGGAAACAGAACCATTATTATAAACAAGAGTGTCAATTTTGTGATCCAACTTGGAAAATTACAGACACTCATCATTAGCACTGGTGAGCTTATAATAAGTGCACATACTGTCAAGTTACTTACTTGATTATTGAGGTTTTTAAAATGACTAAGTGCAATGATGCATAACTAATAATAGTGCCACCCTATTACTACTTTATAGTATTGATCTGTTTATAACACTATTGGGATGTGGATGTCAGTTACTGCATATATTTGGCTAACTTGTGCCAGCTGACTCTCACACTAAAATTGCTGACTTTCAGGTTATTAGGTTGCTGCATGCTGTACATGCAGAGCATATGAATGGTGGTGCCAGGGAGATGAGTGAAGTGTGTGTTGGAAAAGTCCAAGGAAGATGGGATAAAAGTGTAATTGAGTGGCATTGGGTGTCAAATATGGGTGCAGACTGGTATCCCAGAGGTGAAGGAAGGCGATCTTGTTGAGGGACCGGATGTGAGGGGAAAAGGAAAGCTGGGACTGGAACCAAGTGTCAAGGTTGCCACTGGTTCGGAAAGTTTGAGAGAGAACCAGGGAGGTTCAGGAGGTCAGAGCTGGAAGAGAGGAATGTTGGCAGGCGCCTAGATAAGTGGACAGAAAATCAATGGACCTGGAATCAAGACTGGAAATGTAAAAGCAGATTTAGGTATCGCCTGCATGATGCGGAAGTTAACCCTACATCTGTGAATGATACTGCCAAGAGGGAGCATGTTGATGAGGAAAAGGAGGGGGCCGAGAATGAGTGTGAGTAGGTAGGGGCACAAGCAGCTTGATGTCACTTTTTTCTTTAATAAAGAGTGTGAACTGGCCAGCCTGCAGGAAGGGAGCATGTGAGTGAAGAACAACTATCGCCTTGTTATGGTGGGAGGTGGGGGGTCTACAACAACAACAAGATTACATTGTATAGTGCCTTTCACGTTGGGAGGACGTTCCAAGGGTCTAGGATCTACAGATGCCAACAATCACCTTACAATGAGGTACTTCATTATTTATAGCACCTATTTAATCAAGAATGTCTGAAAGCAACCCAACGCATCATTTATTATTATGATCATTATTATTATTAATATACACAGAAGTTAAAAAAAAGTTTTTTTATAGTGCAAAACACAAGTGGAAAATGGAGGAGTTTTGCAAATACAGCAAAATGTCCACCTCCCTGTGTGTCAGGTACTTGGGACACACACAGTTAGTAACACATGCACACACCCACCACGTTTCCCCCCCCTCCCATCACTTCCTGCTGACCCAGAGGAAGGTATGGACTGAGTGGGAGGGTCCAAGGTCATTCCGAGGCTAGACACACACGTAAAACTGCCGTCGCCTCGGCCTAGCCTTCCTCATCATCTTGAGCACAGTCGGCTCCTAGTGACTCCGGCACAGGAGGGGGCATGGGGAGCAGCAACCTCCACACAGTGGCCTCCAGTCATAACATGTGTTCCCTGCCACTAGTAAGGGTGTGCTGCCACCTTGTGGCATGTGTGCCTGTGGTTGGCCACCACTGAATTAGAGGCTCTTTATAACTGGATACATACCTCTGAGATCGAACTTCAGCTACGTCACTCATAATACCTTTGTCGAGTAAGCAAGGCAAGAGAACAGCAATAGCTCGCTGACCAGCTGCACCATTGGATGGATCACACATGCGCACACACACCTACACAGAAAACAACTGTTAGGACATAAGCTAACATTAATTTTCTTTGGCTGCTCTTCGCTCCACCTCACAAAAACATGGCCACGTTGGTGTAATAATAAAAATAATAATAATCCTTGCATTTGATGTAGTACCATTGAGTGCTTCACAGAATATATTATAAACGAGGCGCAGAATATACTATAAACTAGGTACTACTACTAGGCGCTAACAGCATCAGCATCCAAGGCTGCACTCTCCACCTCTGAAAGCCGGTCAGGAACCTCGGGGTTCTGTTCGACCCTGAGCTGTCCTTTCTTCCTCATATCCGCATCACAACTGGCACCGCCTTCCATCACCTCCGGAACATCGCCAGACTACGGCATTACCTCACCCCTCACGTTGCTGAAACTCTGGTCCACGCCTTTATCACCTCAAGGCTGGACTATGGGAACTCTCTCCTCGCCTCTCCTCCCGGCACCTCCCTCCACAAGCTGCAGGTCATTCAGAACTCTGCAGCTCGTGTACTGTCCCGCACCAGGCTTCGGGACCACATCACTCCCACCCTCGCTCGCCTCCACTGGCTCCCCATCCCCCAGAGGATCGAATTCAAGATCCTCACCCTCACCTACAAGGCCATTCACGGCCTCGCTCCCTCCTACCTCTCTGACTTACTATCCCCCTACCTACCTGCCCGTACCCTCCGTTCCTCTGGCTCCGGTCTGCTCCACATCCCCCGCCCCAACCGCCCTACCATCGGTGGCCGGGCCTTCAGCCTCTCAGCCCCGAGGCTCTGCAACTCCATCCCCCAGTGCCTTCGCCGCCTCCTCCCTTTCCTCCTTCAAGGCCGGTCTCAAGACCTTTCTCTTTGACCGTGCCTTCAGCTCCCCTCTCGACTCTCTACCCCCTCCTCACCCCTCCCTTCCCTCCCCTCACCCTGACCATTTCCCCCCTCCTCGCTCCCTCCCTTCCCTCCCCTCACCCTGACCATTTCCCCCCTGCTCAGGTCCTGACCCAACTGTACAGCGCCTTGGGATGTCCTCCCGACGTGAAAGGCGCTCAATAAATGGAATCTTATTGTTGTTGTTGTACAAAGTGAATTGACTGTATTTTGTTTAAGGAATTATTACCCCTGGAAAAGCGATCCGCCAATCGACTAACAATTGGGTTCCTACTTACGGCTAGGTAAACAGAGGCGTAAACAGAGGCGTGTGGAATACGGAAACTTGCCCAACATTTCGAACTTGGATCCTAGGAATTGAACTTGGATCCTCTCGCTTGTGAGGCGAGTGCGCTATCCACTATGCTACGGGACTCCAAAATTAGATTCCAGCTTTTGATTAACATGGAAAAGTGTTTAATAAAAGTAAATTACATTCAATATATGCCAAATACTTACCTTACTCAGAGTTTTAAGTGCATGGTCTGCAGCTTTGCGGACCGACTCCTGTCAAAGAATTAATAAAAAGTTCCAAGTCAATATTAATTAAATTTACTACGTCTAACTTTTAAACATTTTTAAAAAAATGTTGCTTCTAATTTTAAACAGGGATGACTAAGGCAATCCCAAACCATACATTAAGTTAAAATGAATTTGTCCCTTCCAAACCCAGCTTACTGAAGAATATCTGAAGCTAACTTGTGTACCTTGATATCATCACGCACTCGGAAAAGTGTTTCCCATATTTCTGGAAGCTGGTCAATAATTTCATCCACTTGTCTCCCCCGGAGCAGGTCATTAATTGCTAAACAACTAAAAGTAATGAAAAACTATGTGAATAGTACAATTAATGGAATCACTCATTTTAGAAATAGGGGTAAAATTGGCAAAATTCCTTATTTAATATATGCAGAAACTGCATAGCTTGCGATTGAAAGCACTGTCTTGCAAGCTTTCTTACGGCTTGTTCAATGAGGACCATCAAACCAGTTACGGCTTTAGCTTGCAGGGTTAATAGGAGATGAGAGGGAAGAATCCTTTTTCCCAGTAACTTATTTGCCCTTTCAAGTCCTGCCAATGAGCCAGACTGGTTGGGCTGCCATCAGTAGTGCCCTAGAGTACACTGGCTAAGGGCACTACTGATGGCAGACCAGCCAGTCTGGCTTATCAATAGGATTTGGAGTGCCAGACCAGTCACTAGAGGCTGAGATACTTCCCACTGAATTCACTGCTAGGGCTAACGGCCTAGATAACTAAAGTTACCTTTCTTTGCTATACGTATGATCGATTGATAACACACTACCAATTTGTATTAACACTGCAATATCATTCAAACCAAAGTTTTACTCCACTTCACTATACTGTAAGAAAACATGTTTATGCAGTAACAATGATCCAAAACACATAAGCCATATGACAATTAGAATTTAACTCCTGTTTAAAGCTGATCTCCATGCCTTTGAATAAAAACAAATAAAACTAATAAACCAAATGTGTCTTGGGAACATTGCATTCACCTAGTATTTAACATACTAGTTACATTTTCTTTCCTTTTGTTGGAAAGCAGTTTAAAGTGAAAATAAATCTCATTAACAACTAGCAGTAGACCATAGGATTTTTTAAAAATAGCTATTTACCAAATATAATGGCTGAGATAAATAATGAATGCTAGTTACATAGGGGATGCTTGTCCAGCTAAGACCACTTAGACCAGTTAGAGCTTTGGCTTGCACCAGGCTCCGTGACCCATCACCCCCATCCTCGCCCGGCTACATTGGCTACCCATCCCCCAGTGGATAGATCAAAATCCTCAGCCTCGCCTTCAAAGCCCTCCACGGCTTTGCTCCTTCCGGCCTGTTACCTGCTAACACCATATCAACCTGTTTGCTCCTTCCACTCAGCAGGTTCAATCCTGCTCCATGTCACCTGCCCGGCCGCCCCACCATAAGTTGTCGAGCCTACAGTCTCTCTGCCCCACCCTTTGGAACTCCAACCCAGTCCTTTCGCCTTGCTCCCTCCTCTTCGACCGTGCATTTGGTCACCCTCTTACCACTATCCGCCCTATCCTTCACGACTCCTGATCCCAACCTCCAGCTCGGGTCCAAATCCCTGACCATCCAGAGCCTGGGATGTCTTCTTGATATGAAAAATGCTATGCAAATGTAATTTGTTGTTATTGGGATGAATTGTTTGGCATTTACGCTCCTGTGATTTGACTATTCCTTTACATAAGACAAGTCATCAGTTCAGTGACAGTTAACATTAAATACCTGGATTCACGAACCCTCCACAGATTGCTGGTCAGGTTGTTTATTAAATCCCGAAGAATCTCCTTCAAGTATTTGTCTGTCTGTTGAAAAGAAAGTATGATTAGCTACTGTGGAATACCCTTAATTGCTGTGAAATTGGTTCTCTCAATGTAGAGAGTTCTCCCACCAGCATTTAGTTGTACATACACAAGACTAGGCTTTTTTTAAGAAAATGTACAAGTCCAATTTACTTTTAAATGTTTCCAATAATAAAATGTTTGCTTGAAATTGGTCAGAGTAAAACCCAATTTGCATTGGAACATTGACTGATTTCCAAAAGATTGCACCGCCTATAAATACACAGTCACTACACTTTGCAGGAAAATCTTGCGATGTGCTTTGCGACACTGACATTGCGATAAGGCCTTATACAAAATTCAAAGATTATCATCATCACCTCGATGAAGTAGTTTTGCAGCACGGCTTAGAATAAAATGCTACCCATAAACCCCATTTATACTGCACCTTAATGTCAATTTTCTGCACTGAATCAACAGTTTAAAAGAGGGTACCAGAAAACTCAGTATGAATACTCTACACCTTGATCTGATATAATAGTTCCACACTTACAGCATTTTTATCCGTGACAAGCGCATTCCAGATACTGGTCATAGCTTGGCGGATTCCAGCATTTGGGTCAAACTGATATCGATAAAGACGAGGGATAAGTTGTGGTAAGTAAGGAGCCAGCTGCTCTCCAGCCTTGGTTGCTATAATGTTAAAACCAAAAGCAGCACCCTGGAAGGACAAAACATAGCAATGTAAGAATACCATCACTGCCACCTTCTACTGTTACATTAACACAGAGGACCCATAGGATCAGACTTTAAGGTGACATTTTTAAAAAAAATACATTTACACACATCACAAACACATTGTAAACAAGTAATTTACCTTTCGTGAATTCCACATGGCATGGTGATTAGCTAAGTTCATAAACTTATAAACAAGATCAGGTTGATTAAGATCACTGGCGAGCGCACAGAGCTCTTTGTAAGTGGACAATCCCTGTCTGGTGAAAGAGTTTTAAAAAGAAGAAAAATAGTCAATTACTGTCTTTGGTGTGAGGTACACAGATCTCCAACAACATGCATACGCTGGTGTCACTCAAAAGTGGATGGAAGAATGAACCCTGAACAACACTACCATATGCAAGTGACACGGGGCGGGGGCATGGAAAGGAAGAGATAACTTGGGATGTCTCAGAAAGTTTCAGTCCAAAATACAGTTAGACATTTTCTAAATGTTTTGAAAGACAACATTGGGATGATTGCTGCTCCTCTAGATGCAATTTCATTTGCACTTATTCATCCCCTATTTTCTACATATTCCACTGTTGTTTTAAGATTTTCCCTTCTGTTCCAATGGGAAACCCATTCCGAGATATCTCTGTTAAAATTACCAACTCAGTACATGTGGAAATGCTAGCAATGAACCTGCCATACCACAATTAAACAATACACAAACAGCTCCACTTCCTCTTTGCCATGTGATCCTACACACATTATTGCTCATACTGCTGGAAAGCACAATAAATGTTATTACTTTGAGGCTTGCGTTACTCCAAATGAAAATTACTGTATGTGTGGCTGTGGGCTGGGTGGGAGGGTCACTATTAGAATTTCTATCCAGCTCAGCAAAGTTGTATAACATTAAGGAGCAGCTCATCAAGATTTTGGAAAGTCGAGTTGTGCGCAGGAGGCTTGGAAGACAGAAGCTTGGAAGACAGAAGACACAGCTAATTATATAGCTGTAAGTGAGTTTCCAGTTTATCAACTATTATAAGAAATTAAAAATGATTATTTAATAGCCTGTTAAGATAAATGTGATTCCAATTTTACAGAAATTAATTTTCTGTAGGAAAACGTTCTAAATCTGATTTCACACTCAAAATAAAAAAATAATGTATCATTCAGTGCAAAGCTGAGTTCTACAATAGGGTTTTGTTAAAAACCATCTTGCTGCTCTGCTGAAAATATTCAATTGTATCAAAAAACAAATCATTCAAGCACAACTCAGGCACTGATCATCCCATCTGATACTTCCAAACCATGTAAAGCAGAATTTCTAATATTTCTTACCCATCAGGAGTCTTTCCCAGTGAAGTTCCTTGAAACACTTCAGTTTCTTCTGTAAGACGTTGCTTTGTCCTAAAACAGGAAATAATGTTTCAGTAAAAGCTCACATAAGGCATTCAGATGAAGAGGTCCCTTCAGTCCATCTGATCTCATCCTACTAGAATACTCGTCCTCTCATCACAGCATCAGGCTTTCCATGCCAATTACGCTTTGGGTAAAGGAAATACTTCCTGGTGTTTGTCCTGAAATTGCCTGTTTCAACCCTAAACCTGAAGGCATTAACCCAACCAATATCGCAACTTGCAATTAAATAGAAATGTGGCTTACATCTGAAACAAATGACAATTGAAATACAGCGAACAAGAGTTCAAAGAGGGCACAAGTCATTAAGTTCATAGAATCACACAGCACAGAAGGAAACCGTTTGGCCCATCGTGACATGCCAGCTCTTTGAAAGAGCTGTCCAAATGAATGTCCAAAAAGCTGTCCAAATTAATCCCACTCCCCCGTGCTCTCCCCATACCCCTATAAATTTATCATCCTCAAATATCTATCTACTGCTCTCTTGAAAGTTATTATCGAATCGTCTTCCACCACCCTTTCAGGCAATGCATTCCAAATCCGAACAACTCGCTGAGTGAAACAATTTCTCCTCACCTCCCCTCTGTTTCTTTTAACAACTATTTTAAATCGGTGTCCTTGGGTTACCGACCTACCTGCCAGTGAAAATAGTTTCTCCTTGTTCACCCTATCGAATTCCCTCATAATTTTGAACACCTCTATTAAATCACCTTCTCTGCTCCAAGGAGAATAATCCTAGCTTTTCTAGCCTCTCCTCATAACTGAAGTCCTTCATTCCTGGTACTATCCTGCTAAATCTCCAAGGCCTTGACATCCTTCCTAAAGTGTGTTGCCCAGAACTGAACACAGTCTCTAGCTGAGGCCAACCAAGGTTTCATAAAGGTTCATTATAACCTCCTGACTTTTGTATACTATGTCCCTATTTATAAAGCCGAGTATCTCATGGTATTTACCCGTTTGAACATTTAAATTTCAATGCAGAAATACCGCACACTTTGATGACCATATTCAAGGATTTCTTGTTGACTTTTTCTTTGGGTCAGCCGGGTGTCTTGACACATGTGGAAACCCATCACCATGCGTAAGAGTATCCGAACCGAACTGAGATTTCAATGCATCCCACCTACACATGGAAATCCCAGTTAACTCTTCAGAGTTAGAGTACTGGTACTTCTATGTTGTTTAAGCCTCATTCAAAATACGCAAATTGTGTGACTAACGCTTACCTTTTCCCAGTCATAAGTGTTTCCACAAGAATGGATACTAATTCCCGTTGATCCTGTTCACTGCCCAGTTCATATACCAATCCAAGACCTTTGGAAGCAACATCTTGGCTCAGCTCTGCAATGTTAGGCAGAAAAATAAATCAGTTTCAGTGAATCTGTTTAAGTGGCCGTGGCAGGAACATATTACAAACAAAATTAAATCTTTGGAAGTTGTGGAACAGCTATAAAGGGCACCGATGGATGCTCATATGATTTGTGAAACATTTGTTTAACTTTTTAGTTGATTAACCTTAAAAAAGTTTGTTCAAATTATTTCTAATGAACATCAATTTGGCATGACACTCTGAGAAGTTTGGATGAAGAAGGGTCCGTTGGCCCATTTATTTAATGTTAACTTTGAATACTTCCAATGGTAGCATGGTCAGATGTAAAGCTCCATCTTCAGCTCCCCAACAATATGCCTTGAGACAAACCTCAAATGTGAACATGAATTTTCCACACCAGCATCTCTGCTGCTATCCTGCTTTAGTATTCGATTTCAAGATCCTCATCCTTGTATTCAAGTCGCTACACTGGTCTGCATCCCCCTACCTCTACTGAACTTCTCTCTCCTCAAAACAGTACCCGTTGCCTTCGTTCCTCCGGGTCTGGCCTCCTCCTCGTCCCCCGAGTCCTCCGCTCCAACCTCGGCGGCCGTGCCTTCAGCCACTATGCCCCGAGGCTCTGGAACTGCCTTACTCACTCCCTTCGTCTCGCTCCCTCCCTTCCCATTTTCAGGTCTCTGCAGAAGACCTTTCTTTTTGACTGCACCTTTGGTCACCTTCCTCCCCCTCCCCCTGGCTCAGTCCCAGGATCCGTTACTGTAAAGCGCTCTGAGATGCCGTCCGGCGTGGAGGGCGCTATATAAATCCAAGTTGTTATTGTAATGGCAGTCTATGCAAGTATTCAACTGGATCCTCATCTACTGGTAATAGGACTGAAACTGCCCAAACTCTGTCCATTACTGTTGATGGTGAAATGATTATTATTTTTTATTATTATTATTCTTATTACAATATTGATTGAGGCCAGCACACTGGACTCCGTAGAATTTTTAATGTCCATCTAAAGAGGCAAACAGGACCTTAGTTTAACATCTCATTTTAAGAGCAGCGCATTCTACTATGCCGCACTTCCCAATACTATATTGGAGAGTCGGCCTAAACTGAGTTCAAAATCCGTATGGGGGGCTTACAACCTTCTGACTCGGACGTAAGAGTGTTTACCAACTGAGCCACCTATCTATCCAATATTTAACAGTGAGATTAAAGTTGTAACACAATCAATGAGTTCACTTGACCTTTATATTTCACTCAGCTGTGACCTTATGATAGGTTTAAACATGCAGCCCTCCAGAGGCACTTACCATCATTCTCAGACAGAACTGAAATGAATGCACTCTGAATTTCCTTCAGATGAGACTGTGAAGAAAAATGAACAGTCATGTTACACGTGTATGTTTCTTTAGATCAATCATGCCAATCTTTTTGGTCAGCCAACAAAATAAATGTCAAGAAAAACATGGAAACACACTGCCGATTGAACACAGCTTACCTAGACCAGTGTGAATGTTCAAGGGTGGGGGCTTTTTAAGACAGGCGCTACATTAGGTAGCTTCTGTAAAGTTGAGTTGACTGAACTGCAATACTATTTCAATGACCAAAATGTTTACACGAAATAACTACCTTGAGATTGTTTGCCACTTTAAAACTGAATGTAATGTTGATGAATTGAATCTTTCATCGAGAAGTCTAATTTCCATGGAATATCTACAACTAGTTTGAAAATGTCTACAGTATATATTAGACAAATGTACTGACCTTGATCTCCTTGTGCTGACTCAGTTTTTTCACCAGTGACAAAAGCCAGACACAGGAAGCCTGGCGGACATGGGAATTAGGACTAACAATGTATTTCTTCAGGATTATATCCAGAACCCATGGAACAACATCATTTACCTTTACATCTGAGAAGGAAAACAACATAAGCAAACCTTCCAGGAGAGAGCTTAACAACAACAACAAGATTGCATTTATAGCGCGCCTTTCACGTTGGGAGGACATCCCAAGGCGCTGGACAGTTGGGTCGGGACCCGAGCAGAGGGGAAATGGTCAGGGTGAGGGGAGGGAAGGGAGGGAGCGAGGAGGGGGTAGAGAGTCGAGAGGGGAGCTGAAGGCACGGTTGAAGAGAAAGGTCTTGAGACCGGCCTTGAAGGAGGAAAGGGAGGAGGCGGCGAAGGTCCTGGGGGATGGAGTTCCAGAGCCCAGGGGCTGAGAGGCTGAAGGCCCGGCCACCGATGGTAGGGCGGTTAGGGTGGGGGATGTGGAGCAGAGGAACGGAGGGTACGGGCAGGTAAGTAGGGGGATAGTAGGTTGGAGAGGTAGGAGGGAGCGAGGCCGTGAATGGCCTTGTAGGTGAGGATGAGGATCTTGAATTCGATCCTCTGGGGGATGGGGAGCCAGTGGAGGCGAGCGAGGGTGGGAGTGATGTGGTCCCGAAGCCTGGTGCGGGACAGTACACGAGCTGCAGAGTTCTGAATGACCTGCAGCTTGTGGAGGGAGGTGCCGGGAAGGCCGACGAGGAGAGAGTTAAGGTACCAAAGTTGGTGAGATGTATTCAACTTCAATTTCATACTTCAAAGTTCCGGAAAAAAAGATTATAATTGTCAAGTACTAGCTTTCAAGACTTCAATTTTTCATGAAAACATTTACCAAAACAACTGCTCGGAGGGAGTTTGTTTCTGTGCATGATCGGATTTTAGGAGTTACACTGAGCCAAATTCATACTAAAGTTTCAATTTTTTATGATTAAGTTACCAAAACAATTGCTCGGAAAGGTTTTTTTTGAGATTCAAAATTCAATCATTCCCCTACTTTTAACTGAATTAAAATTTGTATATATTATATATATATATATATATATATATACATACACACACTCAAATTAAGGAACAAGTTTCTATTCCCAAAAGATTTTGCACTTGGTGTTACAAACCACATGGCAGTTTACCAACCCATGAGGTTGTGCATTTTATGCTATTGAATAATTTAATGAAGTTGTTTTCTTTCCACCAGGATGTCCTGTTACAGTCTGTGACTAAGATTAATGTTATCATCTTAACGATGGGTTGTGGGATTCAGTAATTGGAAACTCAGATATTTTACAACAAAGAAGTTCAGGAAATGTATGAAGTATTTACTATTTGTGAGTGCTTATCAGAGGTGCGTCCATCGACTTTTGGGATTGAGAAAAGATCTCTTTTTTGTGCCTATTTTAGAATTCCTTAGAATATTTGTGGAGTCCTGAAGCTCAGTGGTTAGAGCATTCGCCTCTCAAGTGAGAGACCTGGGTTTGATTCCCAGCAGGGTAAAACCTTGGGCAAATTTCCTTACTTCACACGCCTAAATAATCCCTCAAGAAAAAAATAAATTGGTCACTTCAATCCACGACTGTTTGTGGGATACTGCTGTGCGCAATTGGCTACCGCATTTCACCCACAAATATACAGTCAATTCACTTAACAAGATATTCTGTGAAGCGTTTTGAGACATTTAGAAGATGTGAAAAGCGCTATATCAAATGCAAGGATTATTATTATTTATAAACAGTTTTAAAATATATCTGGTCTGATACATCTGATGGAGGAAAATAAATCTTTTGATCAGCTAAATTGAATTTATCAATGATTGACCAGTGTCTTGCAGGGAATAAACAGTTTATTCGAACTAGAATAATGCCGAAAACTTGTAGGTGAGGATTTACTTAACTTTTTTTTCTGACACACATGTTTGATAAATATCTAGCCTGGCAAAACTCTCAGAAGCTATTCAACTCATCGTGCCTGTTTTAAGCAATTTAAGTCAGAATAGCCAATCAAAGAAATCGCCTTGGAGTGAAACTCCTATCATGCCTTTATGCTAACTAGTCATTGGAAAATCAGTTGGAAGGAACTCATTGCACACAATTATTTTTTCGATCTTGGGATGTTAAATACACAACTTACCACTAGGAGGAGAATATTCATCCTCACTCACCATCCAGAGATCACGAGCTGCCACTGAACCGGTTCCTATAGCAGCATTGGTGATTGCTTCTCCAACTGTGAACTGTAATTCGATTTGCTTTGCCTAAAAAATGTTAAATTGTTGAAAATATTGGTCATGTACAGTAAATGGTATTTCTGAAAATAAGAGACTGTAGGCAAAACACGTTCCTGAGTTAAACCTAGTTAAACAATAACAACCTGCATTTATAAAGTGCCCTTCACATACAGTAATGTCTTAACTGTGCTTAAGGTCACCTCCCCTTTACAGGGATGGGGTTGGATGCTGACAAAGGAGGAAGCAGTGGTTGTAGCTGCATTTGCAGAAGTAGAAATTGAAGCAGGACATAAAAGACAGAAAGTCTTTGGATTAATAAACAATGTTCACCGTCTCAGAGATAACAATCAATTCACTTGCACCTGAAGACTTTTCTCTTCAACTGTGCTCAAGGTCACCTCCCCTTTCTCCCTGGCTTGCTGATAAACTGCTCTATTGCTCCTGACCTCACTTCTAACCTTCCTGGTTCTGCATTTAAGGTTATGCCCCACATAATGTCCCTTAAATGTAAACCCTTCTGGACCATCTAGCAAAGGAAAGAGTCGTCCACTCTAAAATAAAAGAAATTGGCAGGTTATAAACACCTCAATCAAATCATCACTCACCTCCTCTGTTCTAAGAAATATAGAAGCCTCTCCAGCCTAGCTACCATCATAGCTAGCCTAGGAGTTTCTAAAGTATGGTGGCCACATGGAGGGGAACAGCACCAGAGCATAGTTGGCCAACAGCACAATTTTTCTTTCCTGAAGTCAGGAATTTTTAAAACTTTGATGCCTGGAGAATTCACTGATTGAAAACAAATATGTCCTGCAATCAAACAGCAGGTATGACGGGGGATGGAAGAGAATGCTTAGACGAGAAAGAGAATAAGAGAGAGAGAGAGAGAACAGACCAATAAATTAGAACATGGCTGCAAAGAGAAAGAGAACAAAAGAAAAAATAAACCGGTCGCAATATATCACTGTCCTGGGAGGACTCCAGAGATGGATCTGGTTAGGATCTGGCTAAGTCTATGTGATGTTAAGTAATTGCAGAAAGTGAAAAAAATACATTTTCCTCTTTCTGCAGGTGGTTGTAAGGAACAGAACATACTCAACTTGCTGCTATTTTATTATTTGTATTGGGAGTGGAAAAATTCATATTTCAGTTTAGGATGCCAATTATGACATGCAGAAATCAGGAACTGTTGCTTAGAACAGAAGGTGCTTAAACAAGGGATCAATTATTACCTCTATAATCAAATGAACAATTGATCATAGAGGTAATCATCTAAACATTACCCCATCCGCCCAGCACTGAACTAATGCCTGCTTATGTTGTGGGAGCAGTAAAATGTGTGTACATTTTGTCTCCAAAAAACCACAACAGCTTTTTCTAGTACTTAACAAGTATTGTGACCAACTGTTGAAATCTACGGTTGGCCAAGTTTGCTTACTCCACACATCTCTGTTTACCAAGGAAGAAGTAGGAACCCGGTTGTGAGTTCACCCACAAAATATACAGTCAAATCACTTTACAGTATATTATGTGAAGCACTTTGAGACATCTCGAAGACGTGATAAGGTGCTATATCAAATCCAAGCATTATTTTAATAAGTCCAATTCTATTCCCTCTGGCTAAAGACATGAAAGAGACAAAGAAAAACATTCTTTTTGAAACAGAGAAAAAGAATTTGCAATTTTATACCATCTTGTCAAACTTCTCAAAGCTGAAATTATTTTTGTAGGCAAGCACAACAACCATTTTGTATACAGCAAAGTCTTGCAAAAAGCCACATGGAGAATGATTAATTTACCTGGAATATTGTTGACCAGGACCCTTGTATTTTCGAACAGTATCATGAATCTTTAATCTATTGAACAGGCAGACAGGGTCTTGGTTTTACTCACTGAACCAGTATGCAACCTTAGCTCTCCTTCTTTCCTTACATTCAGTCCCTGACCAACACTGCTTTTCTTCATTGTTGCCACATTACCCACCTCCGTCTCTATCTTACATAAAATGCTGCTGAAACCCTCAATCATACCTTTGTTATCTCCTGACTCTACTTCTCTAACACAATCCACACCAGTCTCCTCAATTCCACCATGAATGTGCTCCAGCTCATTCAAAACTCTGCTATCTGCATCCTCACATTCACCAAACTCCAATGCCAATCACCCCAGTCCTCGCCAGGCTCTACTATCTCAAGGTCAATTTTCAAGGTCAATTTCAAGGTCCTCACTTTTAACTTTCATGCCCTCACAACTCCTGATTTCTGCAAACTTCTACCCTACTCTTTTGTTTAACCCCTCCACTCAGGAAACACTGTCAAGCGACTGCGTATTTTGTGAGTGTGTATATAGATTTTTTTCACAAACAATTAGGAGATATTTTAGTTTGTTATAGAGGAAGGAGATATTTTAGGTTCTTTGTAAAGGAAGGAGATGGTAGAATTTATTCTGCTACTTTTAAGATATCTGCACTAAGCTGTGAAGAGGTCACATTTAAGAATGGTGAAGCAATATTGCCAGTAAAATAGTACAGAAGCTATTAGTGCTGAAAGAACTTTGAGCCCTTGCAAGTGACTGGTTCAGGGAACCCTACAGAAAATGTCCTGTACCCTTGACTCAGGAACACAAATTTCATTAGTAGGTCATGTCAAAGGACTCTTGCTAAGTTTATATGGCACCTTAATAAATATTCATTCAAAATGATATTGTGATTTTGATCGGATGTTGCCTGGTAGGTTCTGAGCATTAGATATTGGTTTTCTATGCATGCTTTAAGCACAAACTTTGGAGTACCTCAACTGAGTCCATCAATCCTTGCAGCAGTTTTTTTTGATGTGGAAAATCACCATCCCCAACTGGCAGATAACCAAGTGTTTGTACTATTCGTTCCTTCATCTACAGAAATGAAAAACAAAAGTACTGTACACGCTTCAACAACGGCAAAATCAACAATTTACATTTATTAGGGCCCTTCATGTGGATACAGTCTTGGAGCACTTTAGGATGGTGCTGGACACAGAGCAGCAACAAATTACATGTACATAGCACCTTTCATATCCGGAGGATGTCCCAAGGCTCTGGACCGTCAAAGATTTTGACCCGAGCTGGGGGTTGGGATCAGGAAGGGTGGAGGGCACGGAGAATAGGGGTAGGAGGATGGATGAAGGCATGGTCAAAACAGAGAGTCTTGAGACTGGTGTTATAGGAGGCAAGGATGTAAGCGAGGCAAAAGGACTGTGGGAGAGCAGGGAGGAATGAGGGAGGTGACCAAAGCAAGGTCAAAGAGGTAGGTCTTTAGGCAAGACAGAGAAGAAACAAGACAGAGGGGTTGAGGGAGGGAGTTACAGAGGAAAGGGTATAGTGGCTGATGGTTTGGCTGCAGATGGTTGGGTGGAGAAATGTGCAGAAAGTCCACATTCGTCGAGGGAGACGGTGACAGAGTTAGGGAGGAGGTTGGAAGTGATTTGTATGTGAGAATCTTGGAAGTCAATCTAGGGAGCCAGCAGAGTGTGGCGAGGACTGAAGTCAAAGGCATACAAAGTTTTGTGTGGGTAAGAATGCAGGCAATGAGGTTTGGGTGAGCTGAAATTTGTGGATGGTGCAGCTGGAGAGGCCAGTGGGGAGGACATTTGAGTTGAGTCTGGTGATGGCAAAGGCATGATCAAGGGTTTTGGTAGCACTGGGCATGAACAAGGGTTGGAAGCAGGCAATATCTTTAAGGTAGAGAAAAGCAGCTTTGGTCAGGGAGAGAGGGAAAAGAGCTGAGGATTGATGATAGGGCGGAAGACATACAGCAGGTCCGAGTTTGCTGAGGAGAGAATGCAAGAACAACAGCAACGCTGGAGAAGATCACAGAAGATTGCTGAGTGAATTAGAGAAAGAGGCTGTCAAGATTGAGGAAGAATAAGGAGGAACAAGGAGTCCTTGTCACAGAGGGAAAGTACATCATTATGAATTATTTTGACATTATGGCTATTTTGTTGGATGTGGACAGGAACTAGATTGTAGGGCCTGGAGCAGGATGTAAATGGAGAGATGGGAGCACACAAACAACTCATTGCTATCAATTTCTCAATCCTTAAAGATCTACTCTCATGTAGTATTAACTCTGGGTCATTCAGAAAAAAATGAAAGGAGATACCCGAACATGCTGCTCACTCACCTTGTTACTCTCCTTACTAGAGGGGATTTTTGTCAGCAAGGTTTCCACTACGTACAGTTTTGTAAACCCAGGACCTTCACTTGGCATAGGTAAAGCACCATTCCTCCCAATTTCACCTATTGCGGTACAAGCAGCCATGGCCAGAGAAGGGGATGCATCACCTAAAAATGAAGCTGAAAACACAAGACTTGTATTGTTGCATCTAGAAACACATTAATAAGACAATAATTATAAAAAATATTTTTGTAGCGCAGATAATTACCAATTGTTTCTGTAGTTGACTGGATTAGCTGGTCTTCATGTGGTGCTGCGGTATTCAACTGTTCCATATCTTCAATATCTAAACTTTCATTCATATTTCTAGCCAGGTAGCGACCTATTGTATATCCTAAAGCCAGCAAAGCTCCATGTTGGGTTTCTGGGCTCTGAGGAGGCAGAACATATGAAAATTGGTGAAGGAATTGTATTTTATTTGTTCCTGTCTTTAGACCTCCCATAATATGGATCACTACTTAGAGAGGCTAGGGGTAGACAAATGTTCACCAAACTCAATGTCAGTGCAATTCTACAACTGATCTCGGCAATATGGAGGTACGGCCTGTAAGGACAGGCCTTCCTTTTTCTCGGATGGTAAATGGTATGTGAATTGAGGAGATCCAAAAAGGAGAAAAACACATAATGAATTGGAATAAATGCTTACATGGTCTTTAGTGCTCCGTATTAGAGCCTGAACAGCCAATTGCAGTTCATTCCCAGACATTGTAGATAGCACCACTGCATAAAGCTGTGCTGCCAGTTCGCGCATCTCATCTTTGTTTGTATTCATCAGACCCTTTTCAAAATAAAAATACATTTTAAAACATTTCAGAAAAAAATCTATTACTGTCCATTCTTATTCAACAGAAAAAATAGAATTTTTTTTAAAATGAACATTTGAAAAAGACACTTTTTAATCTAAAGGTACTATAATCTGCCAAAGCACTAAAACAGTAATGTAACAACAAGATTCCATTTATAGAGCGCCTTTCACGTCGGGAGGACGTCCCAAGGCGCTGTACAGTTGGGTCAGGACCCGAGCAGGGGGGAAATGGTCAGGGTGAGGGGAGGGAAGGGAGGGAGCGAGGAGGGGGTAGAGAGTCGAGAGGGGAGCTGAAGGCACGGTCAAAGAGAAAGGTCTTGAGACCGGCCTTGAAGAAGGAAAGGGAGGAGGCAAAGCGAAGGCACTGGGGGATGGAGTTCCAGAGCCTGGGGGCTGAGAGGCTGAAGGCCCAGCCACCGATGGTAGGGCGGTTGGGGCGGGGGATGTGGAGCAGACCGGAGCCAGAGGAACGGAGGGTAAGGGCAGGTAAGTAGGGGGATAGTAGGTCAGAGAGGTAGGAGGGCACAAGGCCGTGAATGGCCTTGTAGGTGAGGATGAGGATCGTGAAATCGATCCTCTGGGGGATGGGTGCCAGTGGAGGCGAGCGAGGGTGGGTGTGATGTGGTCCCGAAGCCTGGTGCGGGATGCCTATGATCAGGAAATAATTGTATAAAATAAGACATTTTCTTTATTGATAACATATTATACTGGGGGAGCGGGAAGAGAGAAGGTCTTATTTCAATGTGTTCTGGTTTTACTACCGATGAAGTCTTGCATTAAACTCTACTTGAACAAAGTAAACAACAAGATTACATTTGTATAGCGCCTTTCACGTCGGGAAGATGTCCCAAGGCGCTGGACAGTGTACAGCATTTCAGACCCGGATCAGGGGAGGAGAAGGGAAGGGAGGGGAAGGGGGGTGGCCGATGGTATGGTCGAAGAGGAGGGTCTTGAGGCGGGACTTGAAGGAGGCTAAGGAGGGGATGAGGTGGAGTGACTGGGGTATGGAATTCCAGAGATTGGGGGCAGAGTGGCTGAAGGCTCTCCCGCCAATGGTGGGGCAGGTGGGTCGGGGGACTTGGAGCAAAGTTCTGGATTATCTGCAGCCTGTGGAGGGAGGAGTTGGGAAGGCCAACAAGCAGGGCGTTTGCATATGAAGGCATGAACAAGAGTTTCAGTGGCCTGAGGGGTGAGGTAGTGGCAGAGTCAGGTGATGGAAGGCAGAGTGGGTCATGGCTTGGATGTGGGGAAGAAGACAGTTGAGGGTCGAACAAGACACCGAGGTTCCTGACTGGTTTGGTGAGTTGTAGTGTGCAACCGTGGAGGTTGATGCTGCCAGAGCCTGAGGTGCAGAGGCGCTGACGTGAGCCAATCAGGAGGGCCTCAGTCTTGTTCACATTCAACTGTAGGAAATTTGCCCTCATCCAGGACTTGATGTCTGACAGACAGTCTGTCAGGACAGCAGTGGTCCTGGAGTTGAGGGTGGAGGCAGAAAGATAGAGTTGGGTGTCATCCGCATACAAATGGAAGTTGACCCCATGTCTGCGGATGATGTCACCAATGGGGAGCATATAGATATTAAAGAGGAGAGGGCCAAGGACAGAGCCCTGGGGGATGCCAGACGTGACAGTGCGGGGGATGGAGGAGAAACAGTTAGAGGCAACGAAGTGGAGACGATGAGAGAGATCAAACCAGGCAAGGGCAGGTCCGTGAAGATTGAGTAAAGCGGAGAGGCAGTGTATGAGGATGGAGTGGTTGACAGTGTCGAAGGCGGCAGAGAGGTTGAGGAGGACAAGGAGGCAGAGGGAGCCCTGATCACAGATGTTCAGAATGTCATTAGTGACTTTGACCAGGGCTGTTTCCTTGCTGTGGGCAGCACGGAAGCCGGATTGGAGGGGTTCAAAGAGGGAATGGCGAAAGAGAAAGGAGTGGATCTGGAATGCGACGACTTGTTCCAGGATCTTTGAGAAGACTGGGAGGTTAGAGGTGGGGTGGTAGCTGGAGAGGAGGGATGGAACCAGGGAAAGGTTTTTTCAGGATGGGGGTAATGACGGCTGTTTTTACGGGTGAAACTGAACCGGTGGACAAGGAGAGGTTGATGACGTTGGACAGGGGCCAGAAGGTGGAGCTGGGAGAAGAGAGACGGTTTGTAGTGAAGCCGGGGATTGTCCTTTGCCTCCAAGATAACCTGGAGTAGAAGGAGGATTTGGCGGAGGCAAGAGCACAGCGGTAGGTCTTGGTGTGGTGAAGCCAAATCTGCCGATGAACCGTTAGTTTGGATTTGGTCCAGGCGCGTTAGTTTGGATTTGGTCCAGGCGCGCTCGCACTTGCGCCTTGAGGGAACGGAGATGGCTGATGTACCAGGGGGATTTACGGGAATATGAGGCAGTTCGGGAGGTGAGGGTGGCAAAGGAGTCCAGAATGGAGGCGAGGGAGTTGTGGAGAAAAGAGAGTGAGGAGGGGAAATCGGTTAGTGAGGGCCAGAGGTGAAGGAGTTCAGATGACTCCAGGGCAGTGGAGAGGAATTTTTTTTTTCATGGACAGTATGCGATGGTGGAGGGTTGGGAAAGGGGAAGGGGTACGGAGGTGTTAAGGGAGATGAAGTGGTGGTCCGAGATGGCTTTATCGATGATGGTGATGTCCAAGAAGGTGAGGCCCCGAGTGATCACCAGGTCAAGGGGGTGGCCACGGTCGTGGGTGAGGGAGTGGATGAGGAGGGAGAAGTTGAGGGAAGAGAGGAGGGAGGAGAAGTCGGCAGAGGTAGAGCAGACGGGGGTGAAGTGAAGGTTGAAGTCGCCTAAGATTATGAGGCATTCAGAGCAGAGGGAGAGTGAAGCCAGGAGGGTGGAGATGTCCGAGAGGAAGGTGAGGGAAGGCTTGGGGAGACGGTAAACAAGGAGGATTTTGAGGGAAAGCCTGGAGGGGCAGTAGAGGGCGAGGTGTTCAAAGGAGGGGAAGGTTCCGGAGGAGTAAGGGGAAAGGCCGAGGGGTTCCGGGAGATGAGAGCCACACCACCGCCATGGCGATTAGGCCATGGGGTTTGGTGAAAGGTGTAACCTGGAGGTGTGGCCTCAACTAGTGGGAAGGTGTCGCCTGGGGTGACCCAGGTTTCGGTGAGGGCGAGGATGTCGATATGCCCACAAGTATACGGTCAATTCACTTTACAGCATACTCTGTGAAGCGCTTTGAGATGTCTATAGGACGTGAAAAGCGCTATATCAAATGCAAGGATAATTATTATTATTTTCCTCGATGGTGAGGTCATGGATAGTGAGGGACTTGTTGGTAACTCAATAATATAAGAACATTAACTATTAAAATGTTTGTTTGACACAAAAAGTAAAAATGTTGACCTTTAGATTGTTAGAACTGAGGAATATTCACTAATAACTAAGCATACTGTTCACATCTATTCCATTTAATTGTTTCGACATAACTAAAAATCTAATTTCTGCTCCCTAAAAGGGAGATTATCTACACAGAAGGACACCTGTCACCTTAAACATACCTTAATCCAGTCTATTTTATCTGTGAACTGTGCAGCCAATTTTTGTGGGTAGACAGAGACCATTTCCAAAAGACAATACATTACAGACAATCCTGAACAATGAAAAGGAAAAAGTTATTTTAAATACAAAATCACATCTCATTACCTGCAGTTACAAATTTCAGTTCAAAATAGCACATTTTTAGGCACATTTTTCTGATGGTGGATGAACATGCTGCATTATTGTACCTATGACTACCTGTGGAGTCCTGCAGCTCAGTGGTTAGAACACTCGCTTTGCAAGCGAGAGACCTGAGTTCAATTCCAGGCAGGACGAAACCTTGGGCAAGTTTCCTTACTCCACACAGAGCCTAATAATAATCCCTCCAAAACCAAAAACAATAATAAATCGGTCATTTTCAATCTACGACTGTTTGTGGGACATTGCTGTGCGCAATTGGCTGCCGCGTTCACCCACAAATATACAGTCAATTCACTTTACAGTGTGTTCTGTGAAGCGCTTTGGGACGTCCTCCCGACGTGAAAAGCACTATATCAAATGCAAGGATTATTATTATTATCTCATGAAGATCAAGAACCCAGATTTATGTGCGAGAAGGATATTCCTAGTTGTGACTAATTAAAATTAATTAAAAAAAACACTGAACTTGGGTAAACAAAAATAGACTATGCACTTCTGATGATCAATTGTTCAGACAATTTTTTTCGTCAGACAATTGTCTCTCTCTCTTTCTATATATATACATACACACACACACATATGGCCTCAACACAGTTACCCTCTTCCACTCTTGATTTGTTTAGCCTACCTCCTATGGTTGTCAGGTACTGCTGCAGGAGATCAATGTACACTTGCACTGGATTGGCTTCGCCATTCTTTGAGGATGATGATGAAGTAAAGCTATCAGTAGTTAGACTTCTAACATAACGGCCAATAGCTGGAGCCTGGTCGATGAAACTCTGAGAGGTAGGCAACAACCCTGCACTATGTGCCAGGCACATTCGCAGATGAAGGATAATCTGTAATCACCATAAACACTGTAAATGTCTAATTTTTAAATCATAAAAGCCTCACATTGCACAACCACCTTTTGTTCAACACACCAGTAAAATAACTCAGAAATAGCCGATCTCTTTAGAGTTTCACCAACTCATGACCCCGGATCACATTTTGGAATATTGAACTAAATGGGCAACATAATAATAATGCTTACACTTGGTATAACACCTTTGATGTTGGGAGTACAACTCAAAGCACTTCACTGGATTTACCTTAAAGTGCAGTGACTGTGTTTTGTGGGCGAATTTAGCAGCCAATTTGCACACAATGTCCCACAAACAGCGATGAAGAGAATGATGAATTTTATTTGGGGTATTGTCAGCCAGGACAGTGGGAGAAACTCCCTTCTTTTTTTCACATGCTGTATTGAAGTGTTGGCCTATTTTGTGAGCTCAAATTCCCTGAAGTAAGGTCCTACACTTTCAAGTTGNAAAAAAACATTTCAGCACATAGAAATGCAACTTGCAGATGCCTTTCACCTCCCCCCGCCTGACTCAAATTAAGGATGCACTGTACATGGATTTCAGAGGGTGCCCCAACGTCACAATAGTTCTGGAACTTGTACTAAACAGGCTGTAAGGTCTTACGTTTACATATCTGCGTTTGTGCTGAGTAAGATGACTGTCGGAAAGGCATTTTGGCAAATAGCAGCTTCAAAACGCGAAAGGTCTCTTCCTTAAAAATTAAACATCATTCATACTTTGAGTATTAGAACTTAAGTGGTTATTTGTATGTTCCATTAGTAAAAGCAAAGATTTCCACATCGTTTTCCACAGGAGGAGGAACAAGCCTCAGTTTAAAAGGACAGAAGGAATGCCCGCTGCGTCATCTTAGAAAATACAACAGATAACTCGGCCACATATAATTCTCTCAGTGCTCTAAAAAAAATCAGCCTGCTGTAAGATCCAATATCTTTGGAATATCATTATTACTGACAGTGAAGTTTCCTTTCTCAAAATGTCATAATCTGTGGAGAGTACTGTAAAATTAGGTGCAGTATAGCAATAGTAATTTACACTTATATAGCACCTTTCATGTCAGGAGGATGTCCCAAGCGTTGTCCTGACTTGGCACTGAGCTGAGAGTAGGCACCAAGGAGGGGTAGGAAGGGGAAAGAGTTTTGACTGTCCAACGCTTTGGGACGTCCACATAACGTGAAAGGCGCTATATAAATGCAATTTGTTGTGATTGAACACCTAATATTTTATTTTTTTGTGGACTGACAGATTGCTTTTCTGGGATAAACCCTTCAAAAAGAAAAAAAACATTTGGTTACTCAATCCACGACTGTTTGTGGGACACTGCTGTGCGCAATTGACTGCCGCGTTTCACCCACAAAATATTCAGTATACACTTTACAGTATATTCTGTGAAGCACCTTGAGATGTCTCGAAGACGTGATAAGGCACTATATCAAATGGAAGGATTATTATATTATTTCAGCTTTTTGTATTGAAGTTGCTGTACATTTTATTTTCCTCTCTTGCATGCTCAGAAGAGGGACTATTCGAAGCCTGCAAACAGAACCATAGAAATCTACAGTAAGACGACAGCCTTTTGGCTCATCGTGTCTGTGCTGCCTTGTTTAAAGAACAATTCTTTCAATCCCATTTACCCGCCTTTTCTCCATACTCCTACCTTTTAAGGTATTTAGCTGGATCCTTTTGAAAGCTAATAAGGATTCTGCCTCAGTTACCACTACTGGCAGGGCATTTCATATCGTAATAAGATGCCTGGAAAAAAAAATCTCCTAATCTCCCCGTTTGTTAGCTATATTAAATTGATGTCCTATACTGACTAATGCAAATAATTTTTCCTTATTGACTGCCATAACCTCTCATAATTTTAAAGAACTCCATCAGGTCACCCTCAAACCTTTTCTTTTGAAAGTTCTAGAAACCAATTTTACATTTCACTACATTACTGTATACAGGTAGAGCACACCATTCACATAATTAATACTTGCATTAGTATTGCCTACAAAATGCAGTCACTACACATTACTGAAAATTCAGTGAAGCACTTTGAGACAACCTCTGGGTGTACAATGCACTATATCAGATACAAGGATTATTATTATAATCTCCTTACCTCACTATAGGCAGCAGGGTTAAATGGCAGAATGTAAGTTCCCACAACATATTTTGCTGAAGTTTTTATCCTCTGAGAAGCCTGTTAAGGAGGGAAAAACAACTTGCATTTATATAGCATCCTTGACTCAGATTGTCGCTCCAAGAATTTAACAGCGGCGTGGCTTGATGCAGTAAATAGTCACAATACCTGCAACAACAGATGTAAGCAGGGCTACAAGGGTAACATTCTAAGTGTCCCTAAGTGTTTTTGAATGGGTAGTGCATGAAACTACTTTGTGAGAATTAATCTAGAGAATTACATTCATACTTCTTTATATAATTGTTATGGTCAATTATCAGGTCAAGCAACGCCACCCATTTTAAACAAAGATTATCAGCATAAACAAGACATGATAATTAGTTATATAATTGTACTATGTTTTGGAATAAAAAAACTCCTCTTTACCATTTTACTTCATCAATCTGGAAAACTAAATTAATGGGAGACATTCATTAAAAATGTTGTTTAAAAAAATTACCTTGTCCTGAATGTAATGGACCATTTCAGGAAAAGATGGCATAGGCTTTGGGGTGCTTTCCTTTTCGCTCGTTTGATTTGGCAGAGCCCTCAGTACACGTTTTGCTTCTCCTTGAACCTCTTCTTTTCTAATATTAAACTCTGAGTTAGATGATTTCATGTGGGACTAAAATAAACATTCAACAGTCTGTCTAATCTTGCTTTGTGCTTATTCATTGACAAAATATATTCTTCTTAACCAAATAATTTGGTTTCGAGACTGAGGCGAATAAAATTTGTTTTAAAATAAACACAGTACTCAATAATCAAAATTAAATAAATAACCTCCTCAGTGAACGTAATTCCTACAATATTCAGTTTCCATAAGAGGAGAAAATACTTACGGATCACCAGCAGCTAGTAATAGCATGTATCTGGATGGTATATGATCTGAGGCAAACACTGTGCTGGCAAACTTTACTGCCACTTGTCGGACCTGTGCTTCAGGCTGCAGAAAAAGAGAATATGTTTGAAATAGATGCTAGTTACACACACTGAGACCTGAATTACTTACGTTTTTGATAATTGAATGTTATACTCTTTGGATAAAAGTTCATATTTTCCAATCGAAATCAGTCATATTGGCTGCTTTTTACAGGATACTAATATTTATTACAAAGCTGTAGCAATATTATTTCAAAAAGTCCTTGTGCGGAGTGTTCAAATCAGTGTTCAAAACTGATTTATGGAATTTGTTTCACATTTTACAACTTTGACAGCTGTAACAGGATTTATATTGAAGTTTGAGTCTCACATGATACATTATTATAAAGATTAACCTTATTTAAGGAGTCCATTTTGCTCCTTCCTAAATAGCACTTTAAAAAACACTTGCATCTCTGTGTGAACCAATGATGAAAATCTGTCAATAAAAATAACACAACCACATCAGAGAGTAAATGGTCACAAAATGACAGGAGTCCATTACTTGTACTACAGCAGAATGTGATGAACCTATAAAGTTACCACAAGAGTTGTAGTAGCTTACCATAAAATAATATTCTACCCCCACCTCTGAAATATAATCACTTTCCTTTCATCCATTTTCTGTTGAACTCATCTGGGTTTCAAATTTACAATGGTCATGGAAGAGGAAGGAGAATTCTTCAGTGCAGAATGTGAATAGAGGTCTAGATTTTTTGACATTTAAAATGTTGACATACCTTTTCAAGGTAAGCAGCAACAAGTGCCTCCATTAGAGTAAGAGAAGCTCCTTGTAGTGAGCTGTAGGCTCCTACCATCATGGCCAAAGCTTCTTGAATAGAAAGCCTGATGTCAGAATTTTCCTAAAATATCAAAAAATAAAAAGACTTTAGGTTTAAATTTAAGTTTCAAAAAAAGGCATTGCAAAATAAAAATGTAGTTTTTCCACTCACCTTGCACATAGCTTCAAAAAACTGCTGCACAAGTGCTAAATCCTTAGTGAAGAGTTGTGGTAGACGGCTGTATTCATAAAATGGAAACAACTCAATTCATTGATAACAATGGTTTAACTTCAGAAGCTTGTTTCCTGGGTACAGATAACTGGCTTATTGAACTTAATCACAGTTTTGGTTTTGCAGTTCATAAATAAAGTTGATTAGATTATTTTTTTTCCTTGATATTTTGAATAGAAGTATATGCATGATGATTTTTTTTAAAAAATAGACTTTTCTCAATTTTAAACCTTTCTACTCTGTTTGAAAGACGTGCTATAATCACTCTCAATGGTTTAACTAACATTATTCTATAACTAGTTGTTTACAAGGTTTGAGCCCTTCAATTGTCCTCACTGTACTTAAGACAACGAGCAGTCCATGTGCTGAAGAAACCATCAAAAGGAAAGCTTTGATGTGGGACTACTTCAATGTAGACCCTTTTCAAAAATATATTCTGGTTCCCAAAATCTACTTTAACATTGCCTTATGGCTCCTTCGGAATTCCTTGGTGAGATAAAGGGTCTGCCTGCAAAATAAAGTTGCTCCTAGGCTGTCCTACTGATAGCATTTTTAAAAAAAATGGCGAAAATGTTGGATCTTTGAATAAGAGACACATCTGCAAATTCCTTTGACTGTGGATTGGGATAACTTGTTGGTGGGATAACTGCGATATATAACTACTTAGAAATACATTTTCCCTTAAATAAAAATGTTCAATTTAAAGTAATCTAATAGTTTTTGCAAAATTTGTATTCCAGCCTATTGAAGTGGTTCATAAAAATAGCATGCAACATTTAGTGTTGTGCAAATATACAACTGAAGAGTTAACTATTTTTATCATTCCATTTACTGTGTTCCTTTTGCTACGTGACACACTTATTCTCGTCTTTGTTTAAGATCATATTTAACAAAGGAAGTGAATTTTCAATGTTCTATGAATATGAGCCTTTTTATTCATGCGATGTGTGCTGATTATTTATATACCATGGATAATGGCTCACCTATTAAGATCAAAGTGTCATTTTCAATTTATTTAGATTTCTGGAAACACTGATGTGAAACAGTCGTCCAAATATCTTCAAAAACAAAGAGTTTGATAATATTTTTTATAGTTATTGAATTGTTTTATAAAACGCAGAGAGCGTAATAGAAAACACCTTCCTGTGCGGGGAGATTTTTATACAATATGAAAAATAGAAAAATTCACCTGGATAACTTCCCAACCGCTGAATATGCCATAGAAAGGGCTTTTGGATCCTTGAGTGAGAAAAAAAGGAAAAAAAATGTAAGAAATTATGGGTGTACAATCTGCTGAAAATGTTAAAACTTAATTGACAGGCGGGAATAACAGAACACATTCGGGAATAAGAGAACACATTCAAGAAATGCATCAAAATTAACCTGCCAGTGCTATTCAGCTAATTAAGTTTTGTTTTGAGGCGCAAATGGTTAACTAGAAGTCTGTGCTGTGTGAGGTGTCTGAGACAATGCCGCAGAGGGATGTTAATATAATTTCAACAATGCTCTATTAGGGAAAACGTGAAGAGATAAAAATTATATTCAGCAACTTCTCCAGAAGATGGGCATTTGTGAATGTTATGAGGACTGGATCGGGCTCAGCTGCAATGCTCACCGTACAACATGGTCAAAATCAAACATGGTCAGCTTGGTAATGGCTGGCATATGATAAACAAAATTCTCAAGTCTATATCTAAGTAGGCCTACTCCTACAGTATGTGCAGGATGCAAGAATGAAGACGAATGGTCACTTAGTGAGGTGCTGGGAGGCTAATGACATTCTTAGAGCTTTACTTCTAAATTAAAAAAATTTAGAATAAAAAAAATGCGGTCATTCACTCCACGACTGTTTGTGGTACACTGCAGTGCGGAATTGACTGCTGCATTTCGCCACAAAATCTGTAGTCAATCCACTTCACAATATATTCTGTGAAGCACTTTGAGATGTCTCAACGACGTGATAAATGCAAGGATTATTATTATAATTATTATCTCAACACAAGTCAGCATCTTCATTTGAGGAAGCAAGAAAGATGAAAATAATAGCTCAACACTAGTTCATGGATCAAATGGTTTTCAAGAGTCTTACCTCTTTATATTCATTGATCAACTTTGTGAGTCCATTTAAAAGCATTGGTCCTAAAGGCTTAATTTTATTGTCAGGGCAGCTGTGTGAATAATAAAACAAATAATTAGCACAATCAATAAAAAGCATTATACTTAAATAAGTTCCACCTGTTCCTATCCAAATGAATGTGAAAAGCAGAGACCGAGAAAACAATATTCTTTTCAAAACTAGAAATATTAAAGCAGTGTAATATTCCTGCAACACCTATTTCTTCCTTAACAAAGAAAACCTTAGCAGTAAATATTTTTTTAGGTAAAAACGGTTCATTTAAACAGCTGGATTTTGAGTCTGGCTCCACTGGTTAGCAAAATCTAAATCTTCCAACCAGATGTTAAGGTACTGAAATACACAATGAGGTTACAAACAATCTAACTTATCTCTATGAATGTGTCAGCAACCTCTGATGGCAGAAAATCAGTACTGCAGCTAACTACACACCTACCCTCAAGCTATTGATGTGGGTTTCTGTAGCCACATTATTTAACTCTGTTTTGTCACTGCGAATGTCGATGACATAGAATGGTTCATTTTGCATCACAGCAATTTAAACTTACACTTGATATTTTGCAATCATTGCATCATTTCGTGGCAAGCTTGGCTGAGCAAACATTTAAGAATGTGGTTAGGCTTACCAAGTTTCTCCTCATTTTGAAAATTATCTGTTTCACCCTTGACATATATTATTCCCTGACCAGATTGGCCCAAGAAACCTATTACCTTGCCTGGCCTCGAGCCAGGAGTCAGTTGCTGCACAGTTCAGCTGTCTCCTTCACAGTTGGAGCAGAAACTCCATTTTGCAAATGACTTTCCCAAGATAGTCCAAGCAAAAATTGAGGATTCACTGTATGAGTTATCAATGGCTCTGATCTGATCTCTGATTTTTCTTCAATAGGTTTTCAACTTAGCAGTCTTTAGAATTAACAATATAGTGTAAGAATTATGCCTGCAAAGTGTTTTAACCTTTTAATATACTTTCAAAATTCAGGTAAGATGGAACTAACAAAAAACAGCGATGTTGGATCTTTGAATAAAAGACACATCCTTCGACTGTGGATTAGGACAAACTGTTAGTGGAATAACTGTGATATATAACTACTTAGAAATAAAAATGTTCAATTTAAAATAATCGAACAGTTTTTGCAAAATTTGTGTTCCGGCTTTTGAAGTGGTTCATAAAAATAGCATGCAACATTTAGTGTTGTGCAAATATACAGCTAATGGGTTAACTATTTTTATTATTCCATTTGCCTGTAACCACAGAAAACATTTCCTCCATGAGTCGTGTAAATTGCATTTCTTCTCCAAAGAGAAGGGTGGACTTCTCAGTGCAGTACATACATCGATATGCAGCATTAATGTTATTCCTTGGTCACAGCAGGAAATGTGAAAAGGAATCCTTCCCAAATATTCCGCCGTTTTAAAAAAGTATTGTTGATTAGATAATCTTGTTTAGGTCTCAATTGCTGTAATGAACTGATCTGTCAAAATCTCCAGCCACTTACACTAAACATATATGATGCACAAACTGTAGGGTTAGGGTCCGCAACTTTGCATTTGTATTAGCACCAAACAGTCCATCGTACACCACCTGTGGAAATAAGATTGTGAATCAATACCATTTAAATAAATCCACATAGTCATTAATTTACAACAAGCTACTATTAGCAGAAATTTACAGTTTAGATTGTTCAAAGAACTAGTTAAAAACCCTTTCAAACACAGTTTTATATATTTAATCTTTTGACGCACAAAAGTATTCCAGGATAAAATCAAATAAATGACTCTACAAAAAACAGTCAATAGTTTACTAGCACAGAATCTCTGGTCATTTGAAGAATTCAAATTTGCAATACTGAAGTATCACAAACCACTTTTCAGGATAACAAGCATCCCATAACATTAGGTTCACTAAGATTATGCAAAATGTTGTAAAGTTGTTAAATTCAATATTAATTTGAAAGTCACTTTGCTCAGTGTTTAAGAACTCCACAGTTTGAGTAATAGCAGTCACATAATGCATCTCTTGCCACCCACTTTGTGGTTCAGAATGTTGATACTTCACAAACACTGCCACACAAATGCACACATTTAAAATTATAGCTCTGTGTTGGCTGATTGAGCTGAACCAGGAAGTTGACAAGCCATGTAGATTGGGAAAATCTCAGGATCAATGCCTGATCTGTGCTAAGTTTGCTGATCTCAGTCGGGACAGCACTAGAAGCATTATAATTGGCCTTATTACATCAGGTAAGGGAAGGAAAATCAGCCAAAGCTATCAATACTCTACAATAGGGACAACGGATGAGGAAATGTACAGGGTCTGATATGATGGCAGCCCAGTTCTCCCCTTCCCCGCCAACAGTCACCATTCAGGTTCACAGGCAAAACATTATAATTCTTATATTTGATGTGTTGCTACATGTGTGAACCACCTTTAGAAGAGAGGATAAAATACAAAAGAGCCAAAACAGAAAGGGGAATGGTTCCTGAGCAAGTAGCTACATGCTGTTAGTGGTTCATTGATTCATGAGGGAAGATATAAACTTTTCAAAAGAAAAGTGTACAGATTTTAATTCACATGTTTAAATTCAGGGCTGATTATATTTTAAAGTCAGTCAGTTTGACTGTGAGGATTTAAGCCGTCAGTGCATACCTGTATACTGGCTGGGAATATCTCTGCCGCCTGCTTGGAGCGCAACAGGTGGGGGAGAATCTTGAGTTTAACTCTGGTGCTGACTGGTTCCCGTTTTAGCTCTGGCTTCAGTGCTGCTCCCTGTAAAAGATTGACAGGCATTCCTGTTAAGAAAACTAGAACAGTAAAATAAAATAATAATAATAATAATCCCTCCAAAACCAAAAACAATAATAAATTGGTCATTTTCAATCTACGACTGTTTGTGAGACATTGCTGTGTGCAATTGGCTGCCGCGTTCGCCCACAAATATACAGTCAATTCACTTTACAGTGTGTTCTGTGAAGCGCTTTGGGACGTCCTCCCGACGTGAAAAGCGCTATATCAAATGCAAGGATTATTATTATTATTATTAAAACTACAAGAGCAGGCTACAAATTGAATGAACTGCAATGCAGCAGCAGTTTCCATAAGTCTCCACCAGCAACTGGACTCTGAAAACAATCTCACAAATGAGCAAACAGTGACATAGATCTATTCAATTGAGATCACATGGAAGGTAAATGTTTCATGCATTGCAAATTATTTCAGAAAGCTCCTGTCAAATTTCAGTGGCTGTTTTTCTTCTTTATTTAACAATAAGTATCGAGTGAAGATTATCTTTACTGTCAGAATGGCCCTCTTATTCTCTTTATACTGTTCGAAGCAAACCTATGTTGCTTCCAGCGCTGGTCAATGGTTTACCAGAGCTGAGCTCAGTTACACAGGTGAAGCAATTGGGATGCAAAATCTCTAAGGTCAAAGGATGATTTTGGAATTTGATTATAAATTGGCTAATAGAAAATAAAGAGCAAAGATCAGTTATAGTAATTCTAATTAAGCCTCTCTGATCTTCTGTTGTTCACGGTAATTACAAGTGATTTTTGTGAGGATGTTTAACTCTATTTACAGCTGATAAATTTGTGTGGGACTTCAGAATGTTCACAGGAAAGGTCAAACTGCAAAGAAACTTACCTCCTTTGTTTTCAATGGTATGTCTCCCAGGTAAATCTTATACAGTTTATTGACAATCACAGGATTGTTCCAGTCAATTATGCTGTGAAAAGATAGAAAGCTATAAAATCAGGATATATAACCTGTTGCATATACACGACACCTACATGAAAAGAGTAATAAAAATAGTGTGACAAGTGTCCTAGCTTCTATCACCTTTATTCTATATTGCTTTGTAAAGAAATACTTCCCCAGTGTCTATCCTAAAACTGCCTTTCACAACCTGTGCCTTCTTGTCCTGTTGCTTTGATAAAACTTAGGTGATTACACAATTTATACAAATCAGACTTATGCGAGTTTTATTGTAATGATATTCATGTGCATTTTGTTAACAAAGTTCCATTACGTACTGCTGAATTTCTAAATAATAATCCTTGCATTTTATACAGTGTTTATAATATGAAGAACATTACAATGTACTTTCCAAACGTTTCTGTATAGTGACAAGATATTTGCAGAAAAATGCCACAGCAATGTCCTAAAACAACCAAGTGAATGACAAATTTTATCTGGAGAACTGCTGGTTAGGACACCAAAGAAATTCCCTTCTCTTTACAAATCGCGTCATGGATCTTTAACATTCACCTGAACAGGTCTACGGGATGTTGGTTTAACATCTAATCTGAAGGACAGTACTTCTGACAATGCATTCTTTCCCCAGCTCTGCACTAGGACATCAGCCTAGACCAGGGGTGGGCAATTATTTTGGTTGGCAGGCCACTTCACGAGGTTTGATAAGTTTCATTTAATTACAGATGCAATGCTTAATAATAGCTCAAAATCAAGTCTTACACTTGAACATGCATAAAGTCTATATAATTGACATTCGTTAAAATTAGGTTAAATAAAAACAACTCATTGAGCAGACATTTATTCGATATTGATTCATTTATTCACATATTGATGAGAATGTGAGAATCTCACTCAATGGGAAGAATGAAAGCGCTGATATGCTTTAACCAGACAATTGAAGTCAGGCATCGAATCCGTTGTTGCAATCCAGAGTACTGCTGCAAGGTGGTCATCAGTCATCACAGATCTATGTTTTGATTTATTGAATTTCATCACAGAAAATGTCTCTTCGCATATGTATGTAGATCCAAACAGCACAAGCATTATCTGGGCATGAGTCTTTATTTTTTGAAAGGTATACTCATCAAGAGAGGCATAAAAACTGGGAAGCGGCACTGATTTGAATTGCTCCGCAAGCAATGGATCACATTGCAGGTCAATTTAAGCTTGAGTTCAAGGTCAAATGAAGCTTTGTCAACATCAAATGAGAAAGGTGAAGAGATCAAAGACAGGTCATTTTCGATCAAATTGAAATCCTGGAATCGGTGAGAAAATTTGGCACGCAAGTCAAGTAGTGACGAAGTACATTTTTTAAGGCTTTGATCATAAACAGTAATCTGCTGCAAAGTTGGAAAGTGGGCGAACAACGTGTTTCCTATCTGATGCGATAAAATAAATAATTTTGTCATAAATGACTTGACACGGCAATACAAATCGTGCACAAAGGCCTCCTTCCGTTGCAGTTTGGAATTCAGTTCATTCATGTGGCCCATGATATCAACGGCAAATGCGAAATCAGAGAGCCAATTCGCATCATTCAGCTGTGAGAAATCCAAATCTTTTTGTTTCATTCCCAAAAATAATCAATCTCTGCTCTCAGTTCTCACACTCTTTTCAAGACCTTTCCTAAACTAAGCCATCGAACATTCGTGTGATACAGAACATCTGTGTGTTCGGATTCCAATTCCTCGAGCAGAGTTACAAATTGCCTGTGGTTTAAACCTCTTGCTCGAATGTAGTTGACTACTTTCGTAACTGTGTCCACGACATTGCTTAGTTTTAGAACACTCTTACAGAGGACCTCTTGGTGGACAATGCAGTGTAGAAAAACAATATTCTGTTCTGGATTTGTTTCTTTGACTTGATCTTGAATTCTTTTCATTAACCCAATATTTTTGCCTGTCAGATTTGGGTTTCCATCGGTGGTCACATTCACCAATTTTTTCCACTCTATTCCTAATTTTAAGATACACTTATTTACTGCCTCCAAAATGTCTTCTACAGTTGTCATATCTTTCATTGACTGCATTGATGCTAATTCTTCTGTGAGTTCAAAACGTTTGGTGATACCTTGAATAAAAATTATCAAGTGGGCTGTATCCTTGACGTCACATCTCTCATCGAGTGCCAGTGAAAAACATGCAAAATTGCTTACTTTATTTTTTAACTGCAGATACAGGTTCTCAGAGATATCCTCAACTCGTCTCACAATAGTTTCAACTTGACAAGCTAATGTTCTCGAACTCTTTTTTTCTTGTCTGGGCATAAAATCGAGGCAGAATCAACCATATATTCCTTTATAAATTCTCCTTCAGAGAACAGTTTGCTATTCTTGGCAATTTTGTTAATTGCTATCACGTAACTCACTCTTGTAATCTCTTCCAGGGATGTAAATTGTTTTGTGAAAATGCTTTGCTCTTTTTGCATCTCATCAGCTTTCTTTCCTTTTTCTTCAGCAGAAAAATTCTTATATTTGCAAGGATATTTGCTCTCAAAATGGCAATTCAAGTTGTAGTCTTTGAGCACTGCCGCACTTTCTTTGCAAATTAAGCACACAGGTTTTCCACCCACACTGGTAAAAAAAAATTTAGAAGTCCATTCTTTGTTGAATATTCGGCCTTCAGGGTCCACTTTCCGCTTCTTTGATAAACTCATTTCGAATTAACATTCACGGTTTATGGGTGATATAAATACCAAATTGGCGCACAAAAAATACAAACAAGTAATAAACGGCTAAATCACAGTAACGTCCTCTTCAGTGAAAAGTATTAATGGCGAACGTCAATTCTGTGGTGGTAAGGCTTTACGCTGCTCGTGCCGTGGCCGACACTGTAAGTCAGTTGAGGTTGCCGCGCGCGTTTGAAAATTTGCCAATCTGTAAATTTCTGATGTCAGTCTGATTCGACACTTAAGGGAGCGTGCGCACAACTGAGCAGTGTGATTAGCTGATGTTCCTGGTCTGATTGAAATGCAAAATTTGAAGAGAAAAAAAAACTAACGACTTTAGCAATTAAAAATCGATGCTGTGACAAAAGAAACGTAAGGGACGCATTTAAAACTGCTCCTATCTGGGACTGAACGAACTATAATTTTATCTATTGCTAGACACAAAGACAGGCCAGATAGAATCATTTGGCGGGCAGGATATGTTCTGCGGGCCGTATTTTGCCCACCCCTGGCGTAGACACTATGAGCCCAATGTCCCAAAGTGGGACTTGAACCTATAGTCTTCTTATCCAGAAGTAAGACTGTTATCAAATGAGCCGGGCTGAGCTTAATCTAGAAAATATAATGCTGAATATAAAGCACCCTCAAAGCATCCATAATCCAGATTGGATGTATATCATGCAGAAAAGGCTATAAAAGTTCAAGCCTTGCTCTTTCTTACCTTTGTTTGCTCTTCACTTCCATGTCTGCAGCAGTTGCTACGCTGTGTCGTGTATCACTGGACGCTACCACCAGGTGAACAATCGCTTCATTTTCTGGTACCTGTTCTGCTTCAATGAATTTCACAATTCCCAGTTTACACTGTTTTCAAATAGAAATGTAGGGTTAGTCATCATAAGTTATACAGAATAGTAGTAGGTATTTCAAATTTAAAAAAACAATTTAACTTTAAAGATAAAGAAGCCAATGTAGAATAGAACCATTGAAATCTATGAGAATAGGAGGCCATTCAATCCATTTAATGGTGTGCTGGTGTTTGCTCTGTGTTAAAATTCTACTGCATAAAACACTTTTCAAATAATATTACTCTTCCAACAAACTGAACGATTTATTATTCGGGGTCATAGTTAGTTTGATTTACATATAAGAATTTAATGGCTTAAAACACCAACAAATAGCACTTACATACCACCTTTCACATCGAGAGGACATGTGAACATTACATCAAAATGTTAACTAAAAGAAACACAATCCACAGCCTGAGTTTATAACCGATTGAAACCAGACTGTTGTGATAAACATTCAAAGCTAAACATTCATAAATCCAGCCTGTTATCAGTCAAATCTTAACATTTTCAGCAAGACAATTTTAAATTACCCAAATTTTTTTAATAAGATTACAGACCACTACCGATTACAGACGGTTGAAAACCATGAAACTTTACCTTTCAGCCTAACAGTACAATGTTTTAGCCATTGTTACAGAATATTAACTTATTTTTTCTGTCTTCCTTAAATCTTTAATATTATTTAAATGAGGATCAGTCAGTACAATGCTTCATACAATTATTATGAGACAACTGTGAGGATTTTTTAGGGGTGCAGGAAGTGTGTTTACACATAATTAGCTTGTTTTTCTAGTGTGCCTCATCATACAAGATACCAATTAGTTAAAAATTTACCACAATAAACACGTAAGCATACCTTCAAGTTAGTCATGTTGTATTTCAAGAAGTTTACATTATTGTACTGCTGTTACTAAAGCACAATTCGGTACCTGTTCTAGCTGTTCAGGTGTCCACGGATTATCACCAACCACACGCTTAGCTGCATAGGAGCTCATGCCAGCTGGTGGCTGAGCAAGACCAACAGCACCACCATTGACACCTTGCGGGCCTTGGCTAGGTCGATTTTGTGGCTCACTCAATATAAACCTAAAATAGAAACAAACCACCCAAGATGCAATGAAAAATAATCCCCTCAATTTTCTGTTGCTATTGCTACAACATTTAGAGACATTACCGAATGAGAATAGGAAAGTTAGGTTCAACTAGCACCTTGAACATTTAAAATTATTTTTAGTTTATAAATTCCAAAATCAAAAGTCATCTCTGATTCTAAGCTCGTTTATTTTTGTTTTTTCTGTTTGCCTAAAACTACCCATTTGTTGTCTGCAGTAAAATAATAATCCTTGCACTGGATGTAGTACATTTTTACGTCGTTGAGACGTCTCAAGGTGCTTCACAGAATATATTATAAAGTGGATTGACTGTATATTTTGTGGGTGAAATCCAGCAGCCAGATGTTTATAAAACACTTCCGAAGGCTGGAAAATATGGTGCAAGAGGGGGGATTGATGTGAAGTGGACGGTGACCAGAGTTGCAAAAGCAGAGAGTACATGCAGGAAGCTATGGCTGGAGGAGATAGCAGAGGCAGGGCAACATTGTAAAGCATCGAGGATGGGACAAGGATTTTGAATTTAGAATTATGAGGCTAGTGAGGATGAGGATAATAAGTGTTAGGGAACCTGGTGCGTGAGAGGACACAGCTGAGAAGTTTTTGAAGAGTTGCAAGCTTACACTGTTGGAACGAGGGGGTGAAGCCAGTGAGGGGAATATTAAGAGAGTAAAAGCACCATATGGTACGATACTGAGCTCAATCAATCACTAAGGTCCAAAGTTCAACCCCAATCTGTTCACACATCTCAGTTAATACAGTAGATGAAGATTATATAATTAGCCACAATGTTGCCAAAATTTTAGAAGGAGCGAAAAGAGCTTTTAAAAAATTGCAACCAGCTTGTTAAGGAATTGTAACACATCAGAACTGCTTAAATAACACGAGGGCTCGATGGGTACCTGTTGTATATTTTCACTGGAAACAAAGTATAAAATAAGGCCTTGTTAGTTAGCCTGGTCAATACTGCCACTAGTGACTACACAATGTGTTTTAATGATTTCCAAAAGATAAACAGGCTTGAATTACAGAAAGATACAACTCTTTCACGTACTCACCCATAAGGCATCAACAGGACATCCAACATGAAGTCCAATAGCTGCTGAACAATCTTTGGTTTCTCTCCCAAGTTGAAAGGAGATGTTGCTTTGGTTACTTCCACTGCGTACTTCATATGATACAATGTTGGGATTAGTAACTGCATCAGGCTGAAAAAGAACCATAATTGGTCATAATTATCTTGATCTGCTTCGAATCGAGATTTAGTATGTGGCAGAGCAGCTATCTCAGTCTAAACTGTGAGGCAATCTGTTGTATGATTCTATAAAATTACATTTATGTAGTGCCCTTCAAGTGAATAGCATCTCAAAGTGTTGGGGGAGGTACCATCATTAACACATCATTGAAAGACGGGATTTCTACAAATTTTTAATAAATATCTTGTGAGCAATTGGCTGCCGCGTTTTGCCCACAAATACACAGTTACTATACTTTACAATGTATCCTTTGAAGCGCATTGAGACGTCTCGAAGGCGTGCTAAGGCGCTATATCAAATGCAAGGAATATTATTATAAATTGTAGTGATTTTGTATTATAGGCAAACACGGCGGCCAACATTACTATGTGCATGTTGACCACCATGTTTATCTATGAAGCGCCAGGAGTTGAATGTTAATTTCGTCTGGAGGACTTTTTGCCAGGAAAAACCCCTTTCTTTTCAAATAGTGCCATGATCTTTAATTTCCATCTGAACTGGCACGAGACTTCAGTTTTAATGCAATAATAATAATCTTCGCATTTGACAGAGAATCTTTATCATGTCGTCAAAACATTTCAAAGCTCTTCACAGTAAAGTGTACTGTACAGTGGTATGACTGAGTATTTTTGTGGGCGAACGTGTTAGCCAATTTGCACACAACGTCCCACAAACAGCCATGGAATGAGTGACCAATTTTATCTGCGAGATCGTTGGCAGGACATCAGGATAAACTCCCTTCTCTTTTTGAATAGTGCCATGGGATCTTTAATGCCAACCTGGTCCAACAATGCAGCACACTCCTAGCACTTTCTGATTCAGAAGTGAGAGTGCTACCAATGGAGACATGTTGACACAATGTTTTATCTGAATGTAGGTACCTCCAACAAAGCAACAGTCTCCCACTGGACTGGCATGTCAGTCTATGAGCTCAAAAGTTACTCAAAATAGAGTTTAACCACAGATGGTATTAAATCTTAGTGCTATCTTCAACAGAAGATCTAGGTTTAAGCAATACCTGTCTTGCTGTGGCTGAGGTTTGCTTTCCATTGCAGTAACCAAGGAAGGTGCCAATTCACACTGTTTCTCTACAGATAAACGAGGATAGCCCATCTTGATGTATATTATAGTGAAGTTCTGGAGTTAAAAAATAAAAACATAGCTTGTTACCTAGGTGCAAATAAACTGTTTGAAAGAAGTCCTTTATAAGCCAAGTAGTAGTGAAAACAAACATGTAATCTGTTTTTCAGTAAAAAGTTTCATTGTTCAGATCAGATTGAAGCAAAGTTTACTGGCATAATCCTACATGAGTGGAACAACTCTTGAAACGGATTTTTGTAAGAAATTCACACTCTTTTCCTACAAGTTATATGCTGAAAGTAGCACCTTTAAAATAGCCATATATCATTACCAAGTAAAATGTCTGCAAACACAAACATTTCTTTCACTAAGATATCGAATGTGCCAAATAAATCATGATTGATGCTTTAACAAATATTGCATTAATAAAACATTTTCTGAATGCTGCATATTTTGCATAAAACAGTATGCATCTGATTATATTATTCCTGTATGTAATTTGGGAACACATGTACACATAGTGATTTAAATAAATGAAAATGTCTTATCAGGTAATTTAGGCAGGTACTCACGGTGACAAATGACACAGCTGCAGGATCCTGATACTGAACCAGCAGAGTTTCCACTGGTAACTGAATTTTAGGACGGCTCTTAATGCGCTTGTTGAGATGAACCAATAGCTCCATGACCTGAATTTGAACACAGAATAACTGTAAATTGTACATCCACTTATATCCAACAAGGTTATTAGAATATTACTAGTTTTCAGCTGACCTAAAGGTCATGGGTGCATTTACTGTTCTCAGAAACCTGTGAGCTAATCAGTAATTTTCAAGGCACGAAAGAAAAACTGGCAATAGAAACAGCTCAAAGTGACTAATATTTATTGGATGACAAAAATGGTGTTCATCACCATTGATTAAGTAAAGGATCTTGAATAAACATGGCGGCATGAATAAACGTACGCCAAAGAAAATTTGGACTGACTCAAACATCATTAGTATCTAATGCACAAAGGAGGAAGATCAAATCAATTTTCTACATATACACACAAGAATAATGCATGTAATAATCTTTAGTCTTAAGAAGGTAAATCAAACGAGTAGCAAAATACTGTATGAAGATTTACCTTTTTACGAACTCCTTCCTGAACACTAGACAGCTTCAGCAAAACAGGAGGAAGAAACTTTGAGATAATACTTTGTAGCTGTTCATCTGTCTCAGCTAGGCCCAGGCGCATAAAAACCCGCTCAAGTTGGTCTAAAAATAAAAGATAAACAATGTTATTTTCCTGAAAAAACCACCCAATAAGTTTATGAGAATTCCACAAATCCCTCCAAAGAATATTCTACTAATTGAAGTTGATGTATGTTACTAAACAGCTTTAGGTGCTGGTAAGTTTTCACTTTCACAGATAGTTTTTATCCAGGTCGGATCCTGAAGTTTAAGTCACTGGAAGCAAATCTTAACTAACTAATGAGAATGACGGGGTTAGCCCGTGCATTATAACTGGAATTTTAATGTACTTGCTGCACGTCACTTTGTGGAGTTAACATGTTCAAATATTCTCGACCTACCGAAAACATTGTTTTATTATACTGTAATAAAGAAATCGAAATCATCACCCTATCCTCATTTTAGGATTCCCAATGAAGACCAGTGAGGTATTTTCGCCCTCCAGTTGACTTAAATTTATTAGGTCTTGGGGAAATATTATGTAATGAACTCTAAGGAACTCCTAAGTCTAGATAGTAATTGGACATTTTTCAGAAAAATACGTCCATGCATTCGATGTCTGGAGAACAACAACAACAAGATTCCATTTATAGAGCGCCTTTCACGTCGGGAGGACGTCCCAAGGCGCTGGACAGTTGGGTCAGGACCCGAGCAGGGGGGAAATGGTCAGGGGGAGGGAAGGGAGGGAGTGAGGAGGGGGTAGAGAGTCGAGAGGGGAGCTGAAGGCACGGTCAAAGAGAAAGGTCTTGAGACCGGCCTTGAAGGAGGAAAGGGAGGAGGCGGCGAAGGCACTGGGGGATAGAGTTCCAGAGCCTCGGGGCTGAGAGGCTGAAGGCCCGACCACCGATGGTAGGGCGGTTGGGGCGGGGGATGTGGAGCAGACCGGAGCCAGAGGAACGGAGGGTACGGGCGGGTAAGTAGGGGGATAGTAGGTCAGAGAGGTAGGAGGGAGCGAGGCCGTGAATGGCCTTGTAGGTGAGGATGAGGATCTTGAAATCAATCCTCTGGGGGATGGGGAGCCAGTGGAGGCGAGCGAGGGTGGGAGTGATGTGGTCCCGAAGCCTGGTGCGGGACAGTACACGAGCTGCAGAGTTCTGAATGACCTGCAGCTTGTGGAGGGAGGTGGCGGGAAGGCCGGCGAGGAGAGAGTTCCCATAGTCCAGCCTTGAGGTGACAAAGGCGTGGACCAGGGTTTCAGCAGCGTGAGGGGTGAGGTAGTGCCGTAGTCTGGCGATGTTCCGGAGGTGATGGAAGGCGGTGCCAGTTGTGGTGCGGATGTGAGGGAGAAAGGACAGCTCAGGGTCGAACAAAACGCCGAGGTTCCTGACGGCTTTGAGAGGTGGAGAGTGCAGCCTTGGATGCTGATGGTGTCAGCGCCTGAGGTGCGGAGGCGCTGACGTGAGCCAATCAGGAGGGCCTCGGTTTTGCGCACGTTGAGCTGAAGAAAGTTGTCTCTCGTCCAGGACTCGATGTCGGACAGGCAGCTGTCAGGACATCGGTGGTCGTGGAGTTGAGGGTAGAGGAGGAAAGGTAGAGTTGGGTGTCATCCGCATACATGTGGAAGTTAACCCCATGTCTGCGGATGATGTCACCAAGGGGGAGCATATAGAGGGTGAAGAGGAGGGGACCGAGGACAGAGCCCTGAGGGACACCACACGAGACAGTGCGGGGGGTGGAGGAGAAGCCATTTGTGGAGACAAAGTGAAGACGGTGAGAAAGGTACGACCTAAACCACTCAAGGACAGGGCCTTGAAGGTTGAGGTGGGAGGACAAGCGGTGGAGGAGGATAGCGTGGTCGACCGTATCGAATGCTGCCGATAGGTCGAGGAGGACGAGGAGGCAGAGGGAGCCCTGGTCACAGATGGTCAGGATGTCATTGGTGACCTTGACCAGGGCAGTTTCTGTGCTATGGGCAGCACGGAAACCCGACTGAAGGGGTTCGAATAATGAATGGGTGGAGAGGAAAGAGCGCAGCTGGGAGGCGACAACTCGTTCCAGGACCTTGGACAGGAAGGGGAGGTTGGAGATGGGCCGGTAGCTTGATAGCTGCGACGCATCAAGGGAGGGTTTTTTCAAGATGGCAGTGATGGTGGCAGTTTTTAAGGGAATGGGAACAGAGAAAGAGGAGAGGGTCAGGTTGACAATGTCGATGATATGTGGGGCAAGGAGGTGGAGCTGGGAGATAAGGAGTGGAGTGGGGATGGGGTCAAGGGAGCAGGTGATGGGTTTCAGGGATAGGATGAGTTTGGTGACAGAGGGTGAGGAAAAGGGTTCGAAGGTCTGTAGGGGAGGATGGGTAGGAGTCGGAGTGTGGGAGGGAGGGGGTGGGGGGAAGTTGGAGGGGAAGTGACTGCGGAGCGAATTCCCTTGATTTTGGATTCAAGGAAATCCAGCATCTTCTCGCAGTGAAGGTTGGAGGAGATGACCTGCGCGGGGTGGCGGGGGGGACGGAGGAGTCGGGATGTGGTAGAAAACAGAAGCCTGGGGTTGTTCTTCGCCTCCAGGATTATCCTGGAGTAGAAGGACGACTTGGCCGAGGCTAGAGTGGAGCGGTAGATTTTGAGGAGGTCCAGCCAGATTTGTCGGTGGACCGTTAGGCCAGATTTAGGCCGTTCAACGGCCCGCACCTGGCTCTTCAGTGAGCGGAGGTGGGTGGTGAACCAGGGGGAGCGAGCGAGAGTAGGAGACAGTACGGGAGCTGATGGGGGCAAGAGTGTCGAGTGGGGTGGAGACGGGGTTGTGGAGGAGGGTGAGAGGAGAAGAGGGGTCAGTGAGGGTTGAAGGCCAGAGGGAGAGGAGTTCAGAGGACTCCAAGGCAGCGGTTAGGGATTGTGGGGGTAACTTCTTCCAGGGGCGGTAGAAGATGGTGGTGGGTCTGGTGGAGGTGGGGAGGGGGTGGAGGTGGTGAAGGAGATGAAGTGGTGATCGGAGATGGCCTTGTCGGTGATAGTGACATCCGAGACACTGAGGCCCCGGGTGATCACCAAGTCGAGTGGGTGGCCGTGACTGTGAGTGGGGGAGTTGATGTGGAGGGAGAGGTTGAGCGAGGAGAGCAGGGAAGAGAAGTCCGAGGAGATGGAGCAGGAGGGGGTGAAGTGCAGGTTTGAAGTCGCCCAGGATGATGAGGCAATCAGAGCAGAGGCAGAGAGATGTAAGAAGTGTCGAAATATCGGAGATGAAGGTGGGAGAGGTTTTAGGGGGCCGGTAGAGGAGGAGGAGGATTTTGAGTGAGAGATGGGAGGGGTGGGAGAGGGTGAAGTGCTCGAAAGAGGGGAAAGAGCCAGTGGAGTAAGGGGATAGGGCAAGTGGTGTCCTTGAGATAAGGGCTACACCACCGCCATGGCGGTTGGGGCGAGGGATGTGGTGGGAGGTGTAGCCGGGTGGTGTGGCCTCCGTGAGGGGGAAGGTGTCGCCTGGGGTGAGCCAGGTTTCAGTTAAGGCCATGATGTCAACACTCTCATCAAGGAGAACATCTCAATGCGCTTCACATATCACTGCAAAATGTAATGATTGTATATTCACAGGCGAAAATGGCAGCAGTGAATTCAGTTATGCATTTTTATTTCACAGATACTGATTAAAATTGCTAGTCCAATATTCCAGTGATCTGGGATATCTAATCCCTGACTATTCAGCACCTTGGATGTCCTCCCGATGTGAAAGGCGCTTTACAAATGTAATTTTGTATTGTATCTAAAACTACTCTACGAAGCAAAAACTTTTCAGGGCAGAACAAGGAGCCCTCTCAACCGAATCAGAAAATCTCACCATTGATCAAAAATGTTTCAAATCAGAAACTTTAAAAATAATTTTACATTTTAGCATTAGCCATATTACTCAAATAATGTACAAGATTCATAACTGAAGTTTTTTAACAACATTCTGATGACAGTTCTCAGTTGGTTAACGAACTAAAGCATAGGAGGTCCACAAGTGTGAATCATCCTCATCCTGAAACCACTTCCATCAGGTGATGTTAAGAGCAGGGAACAAAATTCATGTTGGCTCAACCCCCACGAACACTGCATGTTTAGTGTAAAAAAAACAGCAACTATTATATGATTAAAGTGTGTGTGTATGTATGAAAGAGAGAGAAACAATAAAGTCAGCACACAAACAGACTTCAGTGTGATGTTCTGGGTTGTTATGTCCCTATCACGTTATATCCCTATATGCTTTAACTGTGAGAGGAGAGGCGGGAGGCTGCCTGGTGAAGACTGATCAATGTATCAACCCCAATATAAGAAAAGCTTTCGGAGGCGACATGACGACAACACTTAACAAATATTTACAATTACAGAAACTTATTGTGACCTGGTAAAAGCAGTTATGATTGATGGTATTCAATGACGAAAAAAACAAAAATCACTTAAAAGATTGCTGGGAAGATGCTTGGGTGGTAGAGGCATAAAGGAGTAAATCGAAAGGGCGGGGCATTGGTAACAAACAATCTGACAAGATCCAACAAACTGATGGAACAGGCTACAGATTCTGAATAGCTGACTCCTTCCTGTTCTTGTTTCCCTAAGTTCCCTGCTCTTTATTTGGAAGTTATCACAATTGGGCAAAAGAAAGCAGGGAACAAGCCACGCATCAGTTACTTTAACTGAAAGTGTCAGTGAAAGCATCCAAACTATTTTGAGCTACAAATCTGTATGCCCCTCTTCAAATCTGAAAAAGCAAGAAATATTTGAAATGTAAAGTGCACTCCTTATAATCGAGTGCAGTTGGGACTGGACAGACACCACGCAATTAATTACACGGAGTATCCAAATTGTGTGGGGCATGCAATTACACAGTATGCAATTATGCAGAGTATGCAATCATATAGAGTAGACAATTATACATATGCAATTATAAGATGTACATGCCGCGAATGCAATCATGCAGCATATAAGATGCAATTATCCAAACTTCTGATGTTAGTTCATAACTACATGTAGAATAAACGAACAATATATATTTATTCTTCAGGATTACATAAAGCATAACACAGTATATATCAGCAGTGAGTATTTATTACTTCAGGAGTGAGCTAAAGTAAGCATAGTATACCTCCTCTTAGAAGTTGCTATAACTGCAAGTAAAATTGTTTGTGGTCATCCGGTCAACTCCTCAAACAATGCAATTATCTGAACTAATTATACAGGTGTGAATGAAATCGACTGGCTATCATTCACGCATTTAACTGAATTATGCAATTATCCGATATGCATTTGATTGGAGTGCAATATCATACAAACAAATAGCAATTTTTTGGTGCCTAGAAATTGCTGTGCAATTAATTGGAGTATGCAATTATCAGATATGCCATTAAAAGGAGTATATTGTAGTTCCCAATGGAATTCCTAGTGATTATAACATGATTATTATTCCTTAGGGTGCCCACCACAGTGCAACGAGTACACCAACAGGCACTATGTCAAGTTTATAATAAATTCAAACTGGAATAAAATTACCTCAAAAAAATCAGTTGATGATAATAACAATACAAGTACCTGCATTTGGTTTAGCGGCTTATTACATCAGAAGGACATCGCAAAGCGCTTCACAGGAACTACTGTGAAATGAAATGACTGCATTTGTGGCAGCACAATTGCACATAGCAATGTCCCAGAAACAGACATGAAATTAATTATTTGAGAGAATGTTGACCAGGACACTGGGAGAAACTATCTTCTCTTTTCGAATAGGGCAATGGGATCTTAAATGTCCATCCGAACAGGCAGATGGGATTTCGGTTTAATATCTCACCCGAAGGAAGGTACCTCCAATAATGCAACATCCCACAGTACTACATTTGAATGCGTTCTTAGACTTTGTGATTTCAAGCCCCATATCAGGACTTGGACTATGTGTTCCAAGTCCCGAAGGGAAGCTTGAGCCCACAACCTTCTGCCTCAGTGGTGGTGAGTGCTACCACTGTGCCAGGCTGACTAATCAATGGTGAATTAAATATAGGCTGTGAAGTAGCATCCCTGGCAGTAATAATAATAATAAATAATCCTTGCATCTGATCACGTCTTTGAGATGTCTCAAAGCACTTCACAGAATATACTGTAAAATGAATTGACTATATTTTATGGGAAATTCATTTTTTTTGAAGGAAGTATTACCTCCGGAAAAGCGATCTGCCAATCAACTAACAACCGGGTTCCTGCTTACTGTTAGGTAAACAGAGGTGTGTAGAGTAAGGAAACTTGACTAACGTTTTGCCCTGCCGGGAATCAAACCCAGTTATCCTGCTTGCAAGGCAAGTACTCTAACCACTGAGCTACAGGACTCCTTTTCAGATACAAGTAATAAATCAGTCAATGTTTTGGGTCCATGACCCTTTGTCAGAACTAAGGGTCGTGGACCCGAAACACTGACTCACTTTCCTTTCTCCATAGATGCTGCCTGACCTGCTGACTTCCCAGCGACTTCTGTTTTTGATAATAAACCCATTTTGCATACTGGTTTGTGCATTACAAGCCTAGTTTCGTTTTCTTGTACATGGCCTTGTTTGACAAGAAACACTCCTCCTTTCCTGCCCAGCCAAACCTGAAAAGACAGGCCTGCAGCCGTTACTGTCAAAAGAGCCGAACAATTTTAAAAACAGAGAAACACAGAACGCTTTAAAGGTTGCGGCAAGACACCCCGAAAAAAAGCCACACATAAAAAGGAAAAGAAAAAAAACAAGCCATGAAGAGAGAGAGAGAGACAGAAACAGAGACAGAGGTAAAAAGGAATGATTCAAGCTGACGAGGAAAAAAAAATGAGGAGAAGTGCACTTTCTGGGCTGTCATGTTGCCCAGAGGCCCAGTCTGCAACCCTTCACCATCAGCACCCGGTCCCCTCCCCACCATCCCCTCCCCCACCATCCCCTCCCCCCACCATCCCCTCCCCCCCACCAGCCGAGCCCAAGACCACAGCAACATGAGGTTACACACACATTAAAAGCACAGCCCAGGGGAAGCGGGGCTGGAAGGCGCTAACACGGCAGCGGCTGCGTGTAACCGCCGACTCTCTCTCACTCTCTCTCACTTTCTGGGCTGTCATGTTGCCCAGAGGCCCACTCTGCAACCCTTCACCATCAGCACCCGGTCCCTCCCCGCCCGCCCGCCAGCACAGCACCGTGTGGGGCACAGACACACGAACAGCCCCACACCGGGCAGAGAGAGGCGGCTGTGACTGCCGCTCCCTCTCTCCTTCCTCTCAGCTCAGTAACTTACTCAGCTCATCCTGGGCCGCCATCTTGCAGCAGCGGCGCCGACCTTAACCGTGAGCCTCCGCGGCCCCCCCGCCAGCCCGGCCCCGCCCCCCCGCCAGCTCGGCCCCGCCCCCCGCCAGCTCGGCCCCGCCCCCCGCCAGCTCGACCCCGCCCCCCGCCAGCTCGGCCCCGCCCCCGCCAGCTCGGCCCCGCCCCCCGCCAGCCCGGCCCCGCCCCCCGCCAGCTCGACCCCGCCCCCGCCAGCTCGGCCCCGCCCCCGCCAGCTCGGCCCCGCCCCGCCATCTTGGCCCCGCCCCCCGCCAGCTCGCCCCCCCCGCCAGCTCGGCCCCGCCCCCCACCAGCCCGGCCCCGCCCCCCGCCAGCCCGGCCCCGCCCCCCGCCAGCTCGGCCCCGCCACCCGCCAGCCCGGCCCCGCCCCCGCCAGCCAGGCCCCGCCCCCGCCCCCCCGCCAACCAGGCTCCGCCCCCCGCCAGCCAGGCCCCGCCCCCGCCAGTCAGGCCCCGCCCCCGCCAGCCAGGCCCCGCCCCCCGCCAGCCAGGCCCCGCCCCCCGCCAGCCAGCCCCGCCCCCGCCAGCCAGGCCCCGCCCCCCGCCAGCCAGGCCCCGCCCCCCGCCGGTGTCACTGTGGACAGATCAGCCCCAGGACAGGGACAGCAACTCCATATCCCGGAGGCACTGACTGCATTGGTCTCTTTTCTGCAACGCCATGCAATAACATCAGTGCATTGCTTCTTGTATGTTTCCTCTGTGTACCTCGCAGTGAGCAGGAATCCGCTTGTTAGCCCATCGGTGGGTCCGTTGGGAATAATTCCTTGAAAAAATTTGGCTACTCACTCCATCCATAACTGTTTGTGGGACGCCGCTGAGCGCAATTGACTGCCGTGTTTCACCCACAAAATATACAGTCAATTCACTTTACAGTATATTCTGTGAAGCGCTTTGAGACATCTCGAAGCTGTGATAAGGCACTATATCAAATTCAAGCATTATTATTATCATCAGGAAGTTTGATTTATATATCCTGCCGTGCACTGCATCAGGGGTATTAAGAACACATTAGTGCCCTATTTTGGAGTTCTGCACATGTGATTCATGGTGCTGTTTAGATAACTTGAATGAATACAATCCATTCATGCAAAAGAAAACGCTAAAGAAACAGAGAGCCCAGCAGCGTGAGGAGGGAACTGAATGAGGTGGAACAGAGTGAGAATACAGTTAAGGAATTTGCTGAGAGTGGTAATTCAGTGCAGAGGGGGAAAGAGGTGCATAATTGTAAAATATATAACAGATATATTAAAATAATATAAAACATGTCTGGGAATATGGCAGAGCAGCTGACACATTGCATGCACCACATGTGCCATGTAGGAACTCCAGGATGCTTTATGTGCCCTGGACAGACACGTGTGTAGGAAAAGCCTCCGGCTGCTCAGCTCAGATTGTCTTTCAATCCTCTTGCAAATGTTACTCCCCTGTACAAAAAGGGGGAAGAAGGATAAACCCAGGAACTACAGGCGAGTCAGCCTAACGTCGGGAAAACTTCTGGAGACGATAATCCGGGACAAAATAAATTTTCACTTAGAAAAATAAGGGTTGATAAACACAGATTTGTTAAAGGCAAATCATGTCTGACAAACCTGATAGAGTTTTTTGATGAAGTAACGGAGAGGGTGGATGCAGGTAGTGCAGTTAATGTAGTTTATATTGATTTTCAAAAGGCATTTGATAAAGTGCCACATTAGAGAATTGTAAGCAAAATAGAAACCCACGGTATTAAAGGGACAGTGACAGCCTGGATACAGTGGTGGTGATCGTTTTTTTTCTGACTGGAGGGAAGTGTGAAGTGGTGTCTCTGGGACCACTGCTATTTTTGATCTGTATAAATGATCTGGATTTGGGTATAAGGAGTACAGTTTCCAAGTTTGCAGATGCAGACATGGCAGACTGCAGATGGACATAGACAGATTGGAAAATGGACAGAGAACAACAACAAGATTCCATTTATAGAGCGCCTTTCACGTCGGGAGGACGTCCCAAGGCGCTGCACAGTTGGGTCATGACCCGAGCAGGGGGGAAATGGTCAGGGTGAGGGGAGGGAAGGGAGGGAGCGAGGAGGGGGTAGAGAGTCGAGAGGGGAGCTGAAGGCACGGTCAAAGAGAAAGGTTTTGAGACCGGCCTTGAAGGAGGAAAGGGAGGAGGCGGCGAAGGCACTGGGGGATGGAGTTCCAGAGCCTGGGGGCTGAGAGGCTGAAGGCCCGACCACCGATGGTAGGGCGGTTGGGGCGGGGGACGTGGAGCAGACTGGAGCCAGAGGAACGGAGGGTACGGGCAGGAAGGTAGGGGGATAGTAGGTCAGAGAGGTAGGAGGGAGCGAGGCCGTGAATGGCCTTGTAGGTGAGGATGAGGATCCTCACACGTGGAGATGAAGTTTAATGTGAAGAAATGCCAAGTGATGCATTTTGGGAGGAAGCACGAGGAGTGGCAATATAAGCTGAGGTACAATCTTAAAGGAGGTGAAGGAACAGAGAGACCTGGGGGTTGACATAAGTAAATCTTTGAAGGTGGCGGGACAGGTAGATAAAGCTGTTAAAAAAAGCATAGGGACACTAGGCTTTATATATAGGGGCATAGAATACAAAGGTCAGGAAGTTACGATGAATGTTTAGACCCTGGATAGGCCTCTGCGAGAGACTGTGATCAGTTCTGGGCACCACACTTTAGAAAGGATGTCAAGGCATTGGAGATGGTGCAAAGGGGATTTACCAGGATGGCACCAGGAATGAGGAACTTCAGTTATCAGGAGAGGCTTGAAGAAACTCGGAGTATTTCCCTTGGAGCAGAGAAGGTTAAGAGGAGACTTAATAGAAGTTTTCAAAATTATGAGGGGATTTGATAGGGTGAACAAGGAGAAAATATTTCCACTGGCGGGTGGGTCGGTAACCAGAGGACACCGATTTAAAATAGTTGTTAAAAGAAACAGAGGTGAGGAGAAATGTTTTCACACAGCGAATTGTTCGGATCTGCAATGCATTGCCTGAAAGGGCGGTGGAAACCAATTCGATAATAACTTTTAAGGGAGAAGTAGATGATTATTTGGGGAGGACACGTTTGCAGGAATATGGGGAGAGCGCGGGAGAGTGGGATTGAATTGGATAGCTCTTTTCAAAGAACCGGCGCAGACACGATGGGCTGAGTGGCCTCCTTTCATGCTGTATACTATGATTCTATAATTCTATGATTCTAAAGCACATAACAATTGGAGTAGTGGACACTGAGCAACAAATGGAGGGAATTTAGAGGGATTTAGAAGGGGAACAGATAAGCATGTTTTGGATTTTTGCAAGTTTTTTTGGTGGTGGGGGAGGGCAGCCGAGTGTTTGGCACATGCAGCAACCCATCACAATGTTTAAGAGTATCCAAACCAAGCTGAGATTTCCATGCATCCCACCTACACATGGAAATCCCAGAGATAGATTGTTGGAATGGAATATGCACTCTCTCCCTGGAGGGACACATCCTGCTTACCTTAATCCGAAAAGTATTAGGCACAGATTGGCAAGAACCAAGGCTTGAGGACCCCAGAGTGTGTGTTGAGGCACTGCTGGACTCTAACCAGCTAAAACCGCATAGCTTGCCATTCATTTTGCTGTCCAGCAAGTTTTCCCGCTGCTTGTCCAGCTAGGACCACCCTACCCGTTAGGGCTTTGGCTTGGACAGGAGTTGAGTGGGATGACTCCCTGCCCCCGGTCACTGGTCTGCCCTCGCAGATCCTGCTGATCCAGGCTGGCTGTGCTGTTATCAGCTGTGTCCTGGAATACTGCGGACCCGCCTGGCTCAGGAATTGGACTACCGAGACTGCCACAGAAATCTGGCTTGATTCCGGCATTCTGTTGTCAGACATATCACCTTGGAGCCAGTTCAACTCCATGCTTACCTCCCCCCGCGCCCCAAGGAGGACAGTCACTAGTTGGTCATTTGACATCGTGGAGTCCTGTAGCTCAGTGGTTAGAGCACTCGCCTCTTAAGCAAGAGACCTGGGTTCGATTCCCTGCAGGGCGAAACCTTGGGCAAGTACACATGCAGACACTCTACATGCCTAATAATAATCCCTCAAGAAAAAAATAATAAATTGTTCACTTCAATCCATGACTGTTTTGTGGGACACTGCTGTGTGCAATTGGCTGCCGCGTTTTGCCCACAAATATACAGTCAATTCAATTTACAGTATATTCTGTGAAGCGCTTTGAGACATCGAGAAGACGTGAAAAGCACTATATCAAATGCAAGGATTATTATTATTGTAACAAGTGTGGGTTTGAGCCCTCACTAGGTGGATGGCAGATACCAGGAACTCCCAGCAAGCTCTCATGAGATGCGTGAGAGCATTGCCACCATCTTCCTGTCTGCATCTTGGGCACACGTCCCTTTCCATTGAGCGATGGTTTCACCAATTAGAAGTGCGGAGTTTAAGCAGCAGGTGCTGATCCTCTCTGCAGGCCAATCGAGATTGATTCCAGGCATTGGGCGTACGAACATGTGTTCATGAAACTTGTACTCCAGCAGCTGTCGCCCCAAGCCTCAGAGTTTCCTCATCAGTTATCTGGCGGGCATCTGCCTTCAGGGTGGTGGGAGCACCTTTACAGAACAACTTGTGATGGGCCAGCCACCAATGCTGTTTACTGTACCAGCACCAGCTGCTTTTTTGAGCAAATGTTTCAGGAACAGAGTTTCTTTTTGGTCAGCTGGTTGGCTGACACGCAGAAATCCACACCCATGAGTATCCAAATAAGACTCTAAATATAAGGCTCCATCTGGTAATGGATCTCCACTTAATCTCTCCTTGATTTCGATCTCTATTTAGATCTGGATCTTCTACACCTGGACACACAGTCACTCCATTTCACATTAAATCCTGTGAAGTGTTTTGTTATGTGCTCCTGACGGGAAATGCAGCATATCAAATGTAAGGATTATTATTTTTATTATTAATATCCTAAGGGAATGGAAATGAGGACCAGTTCAGACCATCACTGTCATTTTCCAGAGTTTCTAAACTAAAAATTCCATTTCCTA